CAACACGACGAAGAACAAGACAGTTTGCCTGTTCGTTGTTGACCCTCGGTGAGAATTTTAAATCTCTGAAGGCATTGCTTTATGCCCATAGATTCAATTCAAACGACTCAACAAACGGTTAGAAGATGTTATTGATTAATATTTCATTTCTATCAGTATTTGTTCGTTCTCTCGTTAGTCTTACAATGATGATTATTATTCATAGATGTTTCAAGTGACCAGAAAGAATGAAATAGTAAAAAAAGGGAAAGAGAGAAAGCGAGCGAGTAAGTGAAAGAAACAGAATGAAGTATAACATGTTGGATCGATTGACCTCCTTCTTCTTTTCTTCATCTTCATCTTCTTCTTTATCGTCTTCTTCAAGCTTGAGGTAAATGTGTTGCTAAATGCTGAGAATAATGAACAGATCGTTGCATATTGAATTGAAGTAAGTCAAATGCTTAAAGTTACCAATGATATCATCGCTCATTATCCTTGCGTAGATAAGTGAGAAAGAAAACTAGTATCCATTTTGACAAGGACACCGACTTGACTATGACGGGCAGACAGCGCACGGGAAAACGCTTGCCCTTTTCTTTTTCGTCTATTTTTTTACATATTTAATGTATTTGATTACACTTTTAACATTGCAAATACGCAAAGAACACTAACGAAAGATAAACAAGTTCGAACTCCTTTTTCTTTCGCTATCAGTTTGTGGATTGATCGGATCGATGCGACACACAACTGAACATCTGTCAGTGCTGACTGCTCAAGTATTTGTTTATTTTGGTTTTCATAGTCTATAAAGACGAGAATAGTCAGCAAGTAAACGAGGGCAGGTGATCGCCTCTAACATCATCTCTCGCCAAGACGTAGAAAGTGGAGTTCTTTTTCATTAAGCGAAGAATAAGTGCGCTCGTACGGATTCCATTATCATCATGATCATATCGACGTAAGGTATTGCATGGATAAACATAAAACACTTTATATATTGTGTACGAGATATTTGTATGTGCAGTTGTAAGATGGCAGTTAGGCCTGAAGTCAATTTGCTTGAATGACAATGAACGGTGCATTAATGGGAAGGGCGTCGGGTGCAATTACACGAAAGCAGATATGAGAAATGATGCTCATATTGGCGGCATCTTATTTTATGATGAGAGAGAAGAAGAGAGAGAGAGGGGAGGGAAAAAATTGATTAAAACTGTGCGAGTATTCGTAGGTCATATTGAGACAAATAAGTGTACATCGTAACAACATCGTCATCTCCTTCTCTTGATCCTATTCTTGACAACTTTTTTTTAATCAAACTAGAGATTTATACATGGGATAAGAGAATATCTTTTGAAGAAATCTCGTACAGTTAATACTTATTGATTCATTTTACTTTTGTTCGCAATGAAAATCGAAAGAAGAAGACAAGTGACAGACCCTTCAGACCACAAGGCATACGATCAAATGTTTTTAATTGTCACGACATCATTTCTTCTCTATCAATGCTAACGTTTTCCTCCTGAAGAGTTCTGTCTCATATTACGCCTGCCTCGACTTGCTTGTTGTCAATAAAGTCAAATATGTCATTTCCTCGAGAACGTAATGATCATTTCTACAGCAACTTCTCGTTCTCTGACATTCAATCCGCGTCCATCGAAGAATCTAACTCAATCATTTCGTTTGTTTTAGAATGATATGATTCAATTGAACATTTCTTCTCTGTTCATCATGCCATGCCTTCATTTATCATTATTCTCTTCGCATTGCTGATGTTCTTTTGTTGTTGTTGCGATTGTCAACAACAAGATGATCGATATCTTATCCGTACAAAAGAAAAGCTACCTGTACAAACTGAAGTAGTCAATCTTCGACGATTGTTTTTGCCGAAAAATTTCACCGACAACATCAATGTCGATTTCACTTTAGCCAAACGTGATGAATTTCCTTACATGTATTTTATCATCAATCACTCATCACGTGGCATCTTAACTATCCAAAAGGAAATTGATCGAGATGAACTGTGCCGTTTACGTCGTTGCCGTTGTGATACATGGTGTGACTTAGAATTAGAAATACTTATCAATAGTGAACAATTCAATATCGAATTGATTACCATACGTATTCTTGATCGAAACGATCATAAACCAACATTCACACACAATCAATTGAATTTGACTATTGTCGAACATGCACAAATTGGGGCAATGATCAAACTAGATGCAGCGATAGATCAAGATCAAGGAAATAACAGTATCATTGGTAAGTACAATCGAACCAGTGATTTGCTTTGTCAATCTAAGTTTTCTCTTCAAAGGTTATTCGATTGCCTCATCAATATCACTTCCATTTTCTCTTCGTTATGATTTATTACGTGGTGATTTATCACTTGTCGTTGAGCAAATACTTGACCGAGAGATCACATCATCATATCAATTCGATATTATTGCCCGTGATGGTGGCAATCAAACAGGAACGTTACACGTTTCAATAACAATCACCGATATCAATGATTGTGCACCAAAATTTGATCAACCAATCTATATTCTGAATAATATCAGCGAAACTCTGCCGATCGGTTCGATCGTCAGTCGTGTACACGCGAAAGATGATGACGATGGTATAAATGGTGAAATAAATTATCATTTAATCAATCAAGACCATTGTTTGGAGATTGATCAAGTTACTGGTGATATACGTGTGAAATGTCAGTTAGATTATGAGACAAAATCCACACATCGATTGGAAATCGAAGCACGTGATCGAGGAGAAGGCTATAAAACCGATTTCTGCATGTAAGATTCGATTTAATAACTTCAATTGCAGATGTGCGAAGAATTTGTCTAATTTCAGAGTATTAGTTCATATCTTCGATGAAAATGATAATTCACCTATGATTGATATTTATCCTCCAAGTAAATTAGATAATACATCAAATTCGATCGAAATTGATTTGAGTGAATCTATACCACTTCATTCATTAGTATTATCATTGACGATAGTTGATCGAGATTCCGGTGATAATGGTCGTGTGACATGGAAGTTACTACAATCACCTTCAACGATTCCTTTCGATTTGATTCGTTTAAGTGAAAACACAGGTGAAATACGTACAAAAGAGTTACTTGATCGTGAGCGAATCGAGATGTACAATTTAACATTGGAAGCAACTGATCATGGACGATCAATGTCGAAATCGACGTTTTTGAACATTAACATTCGTATCCTTGATGAAAACGATAATGCACCTCAGTTTCGTCAAACAAATATGACCGCAACGATAAATGAACATGTCAAATCAACAAATTCAAAAGGCTATGATATCTATCATTTACACGCAATAGATTACGATCATGGTATCAATGGAGAAATTCGTTATTCGATACAGAATAATGATGAAAATCTCTTTCAAATCGATCCGAAAACAGGAATTATCCGAGCTATATTGGAATTCGACCGAAAAAAACAAGAGACTTATGTGATTCAGGTCGAAGCAAGAGATCAAGGTACAACTTACAGATCACATGATCTATTGAGATTAGTCTTATGACACGAAAAGAACGGTGTTCTTCTGCAAGGTTAATATAGCGAAGAATAGGTCATAGAAAGAGGATATGGAGTCGAGTTGTTTTCGAGGATTAGTTATATTTCTTAGTGAGAAAATACTTGTTAGAGCGGAATGAATAGAGTTCAATAAGAAATTTATATGTAAATCTGTCGATGTCTTGAAATTTCTCAAAGATATGCGATTATGTAAGAGATTAACCTTTACACGAACGAATCATCATTAACATTTGAGAAAAGTATTGAAGATTATATAAGAACACTTCTTTTTGTTGTTATTTTCAAAAGGTAAACCTTCATTATCAACTCAAGGAACAATAATATTTACAGTTATTAGTCGAAATGAATATTCTCCTGTATGTAATGTCGAACAGAATATTACCTGGACAGTTAGGGAAAATAGTGAAACCGGTACTGTGATTGGGACAATATCCTGTCGTGATGATGATAAAGATGAACTCAACGGACAAATCAGTGTCTACCCTCATTGGCTATCACAAGAGAAAAATGATAAACAATACCAATCTGATATTCCTTTTGCTATCTCAACTCAAAAAAGTAATACGTCTCAGGTAATGCTTGCTTACAGCGAAGATACAGCAAATACGCTGAATTTTTTGTTTGTTTGTTATTAGTCAACAACGTATATTATCATTTCAACCAATGGTACAATTGATCGTGAAAAACTTTCTTCCTATCCATTATTTCTGACTGTATCCGATAATGGCAATCCCCGTCAATCGATAAATATATCCATCACTATTGAAATCCTTGATGAAAACGATCATTGTCCACAATTACACATCGAATCGTCGTTTATAATTATCAATCGTGATTTAACACCGAAAGATTTTCTTATACATTTAATCGCAACAGATAACGATCAAGATTCGAATGGAAATGTCACATTCGAATTGTCACCTGTCACATCGCCCGAATACATTCATTTATTACCGAACGGTACATTAATCGTTCAAACAGACTCCGATTTAATTCTCGATAATTCACTCACTGTTTTACATGTCCAAATACGCGATCAAGGCGAACCCACTCCATGTCTGATTGTGGAAACTTTGCGTTTGTTTATTGGTTCGAACGCAACAGACTGGATTACAGTGGTGAAAAATAATAATTATGACGACACATCCTTGGTAAGCTGTCAAATACTTGATAATCATGAGTACATTAGCGAGTTCAATGTTATCAATTGTTGTATTCACGCATGTTCTATTCGTTAACAGATGAATAAGCCTATTCATGAGAAACTCATTGATGAGAAAATTACAAAATAATCTCGTATAAAAACCATAATTTGATTTTTCACAAGCTTTGATGTCTAAATATCCGAGTGCTCATTAAGTTTGACATTGCATTTAGGTAGAAAAACTTTCTTCGATAACGAGCTCTTGAGAAACCTCATGATGGACATAGATAAATTAGAATTTTCTGAATAGGCATTTCGACAAATAAAAAGTGCTTCTATTGTGCGTTCATCGAATGATGTCATGTATTATTTAAATAAGTATAAATAATTACGAATATCATTTGAATAAAAAAAGCACCAGACGCAGTACTGATCACCTATGTTTTATTAAAGATATTTGTTTGTTTTTCGAGAGATATTATACAACTATAATGTATATTTGCTTCTACTTTTAGCGTCTCGCCACTGAAGAATTCCAACAAGACAAACGTATGGCTCATGCGTACTCCGTTTCGCCATCATTACCCCTGTCTTCCCCTCTGTTTCAATATCCGTCATCAATAGCTTCATTAGCTACACGAAAACAAATGTTCGGCGTCTTCATCGGCCTATCGGTTTTGATGTTCATTGTTATATTAACAATGGTTTTATGTTTTATTGACTGTACACAAAAGAAATCCAAGAAAAATCGTGCCATGTCCATGCTCAGATCCAACGGCTTTAGTTCTCATGATTCAACATCCTCGACCAATGGAAAATACAGTCTAACACCTTTACCATGCGAAATCAACAATATCTATGAAAATGGTTCCACAGCGCATCGTTATAAAGGTTTCAAAGGAATGACAAATATCAAGCCAGTTGTTATTCTTTCTTCATCTACGTATTCTCGTTCATCATCATCGATTGATTCAACAACACGTGCCAATACAGAACATAATCGCGCTCGGATCAATACATATACATACACAGCATTAAGCACGAGCGATGATTTCATGCCAATTGATTTTGACGATCGTTTAGGCAGCACTTACGACGAAAACGGCATTGAACTAAGGATGACGACTGTTTAAGATAGAAAACTAACAACAATTGTAGATTTCTTTATGATGAATGTATTTTTTTAGTTATATTATTCGCAAAAAAGAAACGAATAAAGCAGAGGAGCAACAGTATCAAATGTTCTTTTGTAACGGCCCCATATTACATCCACTTCTTACTCCATAATACTTCTCTTAACTTTTGAAACGCTTAGAAAACTGAGAAATTATCATGTCTATAATGTCAAATATCATCCTTCAGATTCTTGTTATTATTTCAAGGTAAACATACATCAAAAGAACGCTTGAACACGATATATTTTTATGATGAATATACTGTTTTAGCTAATCAGAGTTTATCAGATATGATAACAATTAGACTTTCAATGGAAAACAAAGTACCGATAATTAATGCGTACTAATCATTTCGTACGGACTTGGTATTCCATTGACGATGACAAAATTCTCTTTCATAATAGACTTTGCACACCATGCGAAACCTCATACCGGGTTTATTCGACCTATTTCAATAATTAAATACAAACTATTCGTATTAAATTACACAGCAGATTTACTAGATAAATCTTTCGTTTATCACTGATCTGACTCATATTTACATCATAGGATCGAATGTTCTATGTCGTCAAACAGAACATTGTTTCGTGTTGTATTTTGATAATCAGATATTCTTATCTTGTTCATCTTGAAATGGATGCGTGATGAAGTTTCTCATTTAACTCACACTTCAGTTGTTCTTATAACATACAGAATAGTTAGTCACGATGATTAATAGTTCTCGTATATAAAAGAAGCGGAATTATTTGCTCGAGATACCATTATTAAATAATAACATGAATAGAAAATCAGAGCTCGCGGTGTTTAATGCCTCATTTCATCCACAGAAGGTAAGAAAACGAAGTTATATAAGCAGTGTTATGCTCAACTTTGTTTGTTCAGAAAAATACGAATTCGTCTATCTATAATTCATCACGAACATCGAAAGTTCGCCATACTCGAACAATGTATCAACATCGAAGAGGTATGTCCAATTTATTTAATGAATTTTCTTGTCTATCATTCGATTTTCTTTAGCAAATTCAAATTGCATTTCAAAATGCTTGTCTTCACCAACGCTCAAGAAATGTCAAATTGAAAAAATGACGAAAACACATTTATTCGACTTTCACATCCACAAAAAACTGTGTCGTGTGAAACAATGGTACAATTATCTTAACAATTTGATGTTTAACTGTGTGATTAGTACTCCATGAATGAACATTCACTGTTTCGATCGAACATTCTAGAATCTTTCTCAAAAATCGCCAAATAATTTTGTTATATATGTTGATGTTTCTTTCACATAAATAAATTTGTTGTTGAAAAACACGAATACACATCTATATATTCGAAACACGAGCATTTATTCTGTAACCTTAAGCGTAATTACATTTTGCTATTTAACAAAGTCTACCTTGAAATAACTGTATTCAAATGTTAATCCACATAGGTAACATTAGTTGATTAGTGTTCGAGTAGAATAACAATGTTGATCGAATGACAGATGTCGCAGCTATCTCACTCTCTCATCAAACGAACGGGAAGACCCTATTGCAACGCTTTCGATTGCTCTGTTGCTTATCCAATACAAGAATCTTGAATTTTTACTTTTTCCTTTTCTATTGTTTGTCGTTATAAGTAAATGATTAAATTTAACTTGTCGTCATCCGCTCTTTTACGAGCTACTCGTTGTCATCTAAAATGACTACGTTCTTTGCTTGCGTTCTCTATGCAAAGTTCTGTTCGATTTCATTCTAGATACTCAATGCTCTTTTTATTTTTGTATGTATATTTAAATCAAATTCATTAGATTAGTGATGGGATTTTTATTTTCGAAATTATGGGCACTTTTCGGTAACGAAGAACACAAGATCATCATTGTTGGTCTTGACAACGCTGGTAAGATCAATCGAACTATGCGTTCGTTCGATTTGCTTGTTTCTTTCGAAGGTAAAACAACCATTCTCTATCAGTTTTTAATGAATGAAGTCGTTCATACATCTCCAACAATCGGCTCCAATGTTGAAGAAGTTGTTTTCAAAAATATTCATTTTCTTATGATGGATATTGGAGGGCAAGAATCATTACGTTCATCGTGGCAAACATATTATGCTCACACGGAATATGTTATCTTAGTCATTGACAGCACTGATCGTGAACGCTTGCCTTTATCTAAAGAAGAATTATTCCATATGTTACAAAGTGAAGAATTACGTTCCGCATCTGTTCTTATTCTTGCAAATAAACAAGATATCAAAGATGCAATGACTTCAGCTGAAATCTCGAAACAGTTGTGTTTAACTTCGATTAAAGATCAGGCATGGCATATTCAAGCATGTTGCGCTTTAACGGGTGAAGGTTTATATCAAGGTTTAGATTGGATTGCATCGCGAATAAAACGATAGGTTTGAGTTTTTGTTAGGTGGGAATCGATGTTCTCTTTCGTCGATCATCTATTTAATGTCTTCTGTTTGTTTTTTTTTCTGTGAAAAACTTTGCAACCAAAGTATCTAGAGAATATTCATCTAAATGTGCATATATGAAAAGTCGGTTTTCTTTGCATTTGTATGTGTATACGGAGAATGGAAATAGATGTTGTATGAATGCTCAAATTGACTTATTTATTTTACGTAAAATCTTCTTTTTTTTTCTTCTTCTTTTTCCAGATGATTTAATAGAATTCGATTGATCGAATGGACAGTTCAGATGATTATCCACGCGTGGCCACTGCAGCGACACCTTTGATTGGATCGATTTATCATCGAACGTGGACTTACATTGCATTTATATGGCTTGGCTTAGGTACGACTTTACCATTCAATTTCTTTATCACCGCGGATCCTTATTTCCGTTACAAATTACACGATCCGTCCGTAAATACATCGATGTCACCTTTGGAATTTTATTATGAGAATTCCGTGACCATATGTGCATCTTTAACGAATCTACTGACAGTAGTTTTAGTTACATATGTGTATGTACCATACATTCATAAAACTCGTATATACACATCGTTGTCCGGTGTAACTTTATGTTTATCCGTTTGTTGTGTATTAACTGTAATCAATGTTCAACAATGGCGTGCAATATTCTTTGCTGTGACGATGTTACTTGTGATGATACAAAGTATCTGTAGTGCAGTGTTATTAAATTGTTTGTTTTCGTTGGCGGCAACGTTGCCTAGTCGATACATTCAAGGTAAAGTTTGCATTCGATAAAAACCAGTAGACTGCAAAGTTTGACGCTATATATATCATATCACTAAAGAACCTCTGGATATAATTTTAGAAAAAAAAATTAATCTTTTTCACCGTATGTCGGAGATATGCAGCGAAAGAGGAAAGATCATATTTTTCATGAATTTGGATTTAAGTGTAGATTCTCTGTTCTATAGGACTAATTTCTGGGCAAGCAATTGGTGGCATTTTTGTGGTGGTATGTTCGATCATATCAATAGTTGTGTCAAGTAATATATCAACAGCTGCATTAATCTATTTTCTTCTGGCAATATTGGTTTTAATATCGAATATAATCATTTACTTCTTCTTGGAAAAATCTCATCTGTTCCAAATCTACTCATCGGCTGTATGGGAAATAAACAATGAGTACGAAGTATTCTTCCACGAATCCTCATCGCACAATGATGGTTCTCATCCCACGATGAGTATAACATCTTTGGCTATTCGCCAACGTTTGTATGTCGCTTATAAACACATCAAATGGAACTTCTTTGGAGTATTTTTCACATTCATTTCAACTTTGTCGCTATTTCCAGGATATTTATCAAAGATTCAACCGGCTTATCCATCAACCGAATACCCGAATTCATTGTGGACGAAACGTTTATATGCTCAAGTTATGACATTTCTTCTTTTTTACATCGGAGACACATTTGGACGAATGATATCACTCAAATTCCAGAAACCATCTCTAAGATATCCACGTGTGCTTTTCTTCATATGCCTATCGAGATTCGTATTCATAGTCTTCTTTGGCTTTTGTCATTTTCCCAATGCCAACGGATTTCCATACCTATTCAAGCACGACGCTATCTATACTACAATAATGTTAATCTTTTCTATATCACATGGATATTGCCATTCGCTTAATATGATGTATGCACCACAGCGAGTTCACTCACAATTGACCAGTACAGTCGGAGCATTGATGACAATGGTATGCAAAGAGTGAATTCGAAAGGAAATTATGTTTAAATTTTTGTATGTTTAGGCGTTGGCTTCAGGTACGTTTATTGGTTCAGTATTATCGTTTGGTGTTGTGACCATGTATGGTGATAGCACACCGATGATACGCGAGTATCTTCGATGATACACAGCGCTTTTTTTAATCGTCTAAACAAGAAGAGAATGAATTATTTTTGCTCCCAATGTCTTGAATGACTGAAATTAATAAATGCAAAAGTTACTTTTAGTTCCATTATTAGTGAGACAGGTAGGTGAACTTGTTTGTAATTGCGTCAGATAAGTTTTCATAAAGATTTCCACGAACTGTATCAAGAAAGAAAAAAAACGCAGTCCAATGAGAATTTGTTCCTTTTTCTTTCCTTTCGCTTTTCTTCCTTTTAAACGCCCCTTTTGTTTTTCAAAATAAGCCGTTCTTGCATGTTTCATTTCTTCGTTTCATATAAGAGATTCTTGATCGAGACGTTTTACTCCGACTTAAAAAATGACGACGAATCCAGTAGAAAATACAGGAGCATCATCATCGAATAATAAAGAAAAGAAAAAGACAATCTGCGGAGCCTGTGAATCAGAGTTAGAACCTGATCATGCTGGAATACAATGTATACAAGGCCATCATTTTTGTACGGAGTGCTCCAAAAATATCGTAAAATTGTTTTTTTCCGACCCTCATCTTTACATCCCTTTACGTTGCGTTCAATGCCACGTGGATTTGAATCCAAGCGTCTTCGAACGGCAATTAACAGCTGACCAATTTGACTTCTACGATCAAAACATGTTCGCCCTGGTCTACGTCAAAACACACATCGGAGAAGATGAACGATTGGACAGTTGTCCATTTTGTAATTTTGCTGTTATACATAACCTAGACTATCAGGGTTTCCTCTTTTGTGAACATCAAGACTGTGGTAAAACGTCGTGTTTAGTTTGTCGGAAAGCTTTACCTCCAATTCAAAGTGATCACATCAACGATGAACAGGAAGTCGAAATTTTCAAGCATTTTACTTGTCAAGAGCTAGCAGATGACAAGAGAGAATTCGATTCTGCAGTGGAATTCGGTCAAAAAGTTCCATGTCCCAGCTGTGGCCTGGCCGGTATGAAAGATGACGCTTGTACACACATGACATGTCCAACATGTTCGCAAATTTGGTGTTATTTTTGCGGCAAACGAATGGAAGATTGCGATAAAAAACCCGGTGGAACGAATGGCATCTATGATCACAATCACAATTGGCATGCTAATCCCAATCGATGTCCGATGTACTTTACTCAAATACAAGATGTTGATGAACGATGGCCAGGTGATGAGGAGCAATGCTTGATGATATTTCATCGGATTCGTTCGTTACGTTTGTTGCGTGAATTTGTAAATAAGCTCGGAAAGGATCGCGTAGCGAAATTTGAGAAGCATTTCCACATTTTGAATTCATGTGGCTTTACAATGGAAGAAATTCTTAATGAAGACCTAACTCTTATACGTGGAAGAGGATGATTCTGCCGAAATTAGCGTGGTCAAAATGGGAGAGCCAATTATTATCGCAAAGAACTTTTTTTATTTCGAAAATAAATTGAAAGAGGAAGTAATAATCAACATTTCTTCCTTTTTTTTCAGATGTTGAGAAGACAAGCTCGTTTACGACGAGAGTATATCTATAAAAAATCGATTGAACAACGTCAGAAAACAATCGAAGACAAAAAGAAACGATTGAAACAAGCGATTGATGGTAATATTCTAGATTTTTGCATGATAAATAGAAAGAAATGTTTTTTTTTGTTATTAGAAAATAGAAAAATACCAACAGATCTTCGTGACGAAGCATTGAAATTACAACAACAAACCGATTGGGACGATGCTGGCGCAGAAGGTCCGTTCGATTGATCGTTCGAGAGATCAAAACTCACTTGTTCTACTTTCTGATAGGTATTATTTCACCTGAAGATGATGAATATCGCTGGGCTGGTGTCGAAGATCCCAAAGTAATTATAACAACATCACATGATCCTAGTTCAAAATTAAAACAATTTTCCAAAGTACTTGACAGAAATATATCGGCTACTGGAATTCATCTTGTTTCTCGTTGTTTAGGAACTGAATCGTTTGATACCTAATTCTCAACGTATCAATCGTGGTAACTATAATTCACGGCAAATCGTCGAAGCTTGTCGTAGCAATCAAGTGACCGATCTCATTCTTGTTCAAGAAACCAGAGGCGTACCAGGTTAGTTCATAATTGACTACCATTTCACATATGAATTCCTAATTGTTTCAGATGTTATTCAAATCAGTCATTTTCCATACGGGTAACTCTTCGATGTGCTGTAAAATAGACTTCTTTCTTTCTGTCGATTAGACCAACTGCATCATTTTCATTGAGTAATGTCGTGATGCGGCATGATGTGCCGGATGTTGGTCCGATGTCTGAGCAATATCCACATCTAATATTCTCAAATTTAACTTCGAAATTAGGACAGCGAACGAGCAACATTTTGAAATATCTGTTTCCTGTGCCAAAAGAAGACAGTCATCGAACGATTACATTTGTTAATCAAGATGATTTCATTTCATTTCGGTTCGATAATAGGAGAGAATGTTTCGTATTTGCACTTCGACTTTCTTTCGTTTCGTAGGCATCATGTGTACAAGAAAAAAGAAGGTCAAATTGAACTAACAGAACTCGGTCCGCGTTTTGAAATGAAATGTAAAAAAGATACAATTGAAATTCTGCTCAATGAACTTGATGTTTGTTTTTCTAGTGTATCAAATCAAACTAGGTACTATTGATCAATTGGATGCATGCGATACCGAATGGCAATATCGTCCGTTTATGAATACAACAAAGAAACGGCAATTTCTTGCCAAGGAAAATGATAAAGAATAAAGAAGAAAAATTTGTTCTTCTGTGTTTTTTTTTCTTCTTTCTTTTTTGTTTGTTTATCATAGAAAAGTTATGGTTTCTGTGTAAAGAAGAGAAGGAAAAAAGAAAAATTGTTGTTTTGTGTTTCAGATTGGTTCTTTTTGTTTTAATGCTCGATCGATCAAAGCATATTGAAATAGTTTGATTATGGTGCTAGAAGGATCATTCTAAGAACATTTCTACCAAGTAGAGACATGTCATTATTCAAAGCGCGTGAATGGTGGTCCTGTCAAGTTGGTTCGGGTGAACAATTTGATTATGGTTGTTTGAAAACTGGTTCATTTAATGAAGACTCGAACAGTGAGTTTGAGTGAACTACTTGACATTTTCAGTTTTCGAATGTTTAGATAAAATTATCGTCGGAAGTCAATCGGGTATATTGCGGATTTATAATCCAAGTGGTTCAGAAGGCGATTCGTTGACGCATAATCATGCCACTGATCTTCTTTTGGAAAAAAATCTCGGCATGCCAATCGTTCAAGTAGAAATAGGAAAATTTATCAGGTAAATCAGTGGAAAACTATCTTTACTTATGTATGAATGAGTTTGGAGATGTTGATTATGTACTTCCGATTTGCATAGTCAATGAAATTGAATTTCCAGCAGTTGGTGAGATTTGACAAGCTTTTTCTCTGTTGTATTTTAGTACATCATCAATCAATCAAATTGCCGTCTTGTTTTCGCATAAGCTTTCAGTTTACGATTATACTGGTAAATAGATTTGGTAATCGAAGAGTGAAATGATGAAGATTTGATTTTTGTTAGAACATTCTGGTGTGGCCGAACATGGTCGACAGATTGATTTAGAATTAAATTATGAGCATAACTTGAATCGTCCAACGTTTAACATGTGTAAAGGACATTTTGGAAGCGGCGGAAGAGGAAGTAAGAAAAACTATTTACATATATGTGGAGTTGCATTCAATATTTTCCTAGATAAAGATTCGCCTAATCAGGAGTACATTTGTGTTCAAACACTTGACGGTGTTTTGTTTGTTTTCGAACACGAACGACAATCGATGGTGAAGTCTCTTCCAAATACGTATATTCCTGGTCCACTGTGTTACCTCTCCCGATCGGATGCATTTTTAACTGTTTCAAGTAGCTATCGTCTTGAGTGTTATAAGTAAGTGAAAAGAAAAGAAAAAGAGATATTCAACATCGATTCCAAATTAGATATCAAACTTTGGCAATATCAAGTGGAGTTGATCATGGATCGAATAACAATGATGTACGACGTAAAGGTGTTGAAGATGAATCTTCGCTCTCTGTTTCTCAATCGTCGAAGCGAGTCCTACCAGAATGGACATTCAATTTAGGTGAATGTGCCCTGGGAATACAGACGACACAACGAGTGAGAAATACACCACAAACGATTATAGTTCTAGGTGAGAAGACGAATGATAAGCGTAACTATTTCTTATGTATGTATCCTTCTTAGGTGAACGGAATTTATTTTGCTTGAGCGACAACGGACAATTAATATTTATGAGTAAATTCGAATATAATCCAAGTTCATTTATTATTTATAACAGTGAAAATAATAATGGTAAGATAACCGTCAGAAATCAATCAAGCAAAAACAACACTCTTCTGACGAACATCTTCTCCTAATGTTCCTATTTAGTTCAACAATCGGATTCATCCACTTCAAGTGTTCGATACATCATTGGCACACACTCTCACACTTTGTTTATCGTCCAAGATGCGCACATTCGTTGGGCAGCACATGTGGATTCAATACCCGTTCAAATTGAAGTATGCACCCTCCAGTAAGTTCATTCAGTTGCGAAAACAACCACATGTTGGAACTTTTCTTCCTAACAAATATTGCTTTGCAGAGGAATACGTGGAATGATCTGTACATTGAGTGAAACAGGTTTATTACAATGTTGTTATTTGGGTACGGATCCTGTATCCACATCTATTCCAACTATCATGCCAAGTACAATGATCAATGTGCAAGATGCTGAGGAACAATTAGCGAAATTGAATAAACAAATCAAGCAAGCAATGAATGATCCAAGTAAACTACAATCGAATTATCTATGATTGATATGAGAGAAAAGCCTTTTGTCTTTAGCTTTGGTCGTCAAACGAAAAGCTAATGCCCAGGTGCTTATTCAAATCGAAGATACTCATCAATATTCGGTTTGTACTGAAAAATTCCTTGATCTATAATAATATCGCTTGAAAACATTTAGATGACAGATGAAACACGATTTCAAAGAAGTGATGTTGAATCGAATGTACCAACATTGAATTTGAATGTTCGAGTAAAAAGTAATGAAGCTATTCAAAATGTTCTCTTGACTGTTCATGTCAACAGTCCATTATGTGCACAACCAAATGAAATTCGAATGGGAAATATCGGTGGTTTGTATCGAATTAATAACATCGAATACAAAGAAGAGCGTTCGTTTAGGTACAGCCGCTGTTGGTACAGGAACAGTTGCTTTTTGGATGAGAGAAGATCTCACACCGTGGAGTCTCGAAGCGACATTTACGATCTCATACAACGCAATGTCAGATAGTAAACGAAGTTTTAACTGAATAACAAGATCAACATGTTAATGAAATTTCCTTTTTACATTCAGATGTTTGCCATACGATTCAAAAAGCATACAAATTACCATTGAAACTAGTAGCACGTTCATTTCAGCAAGTAGCATCATCTGCAGCTGGTAGCCAATGTAAAATAACATTAGGTGCCAACAAACCTGTCGTAGATTTGAACTTACTCTTTCCAGGTAAGGATTGTTTTTCTTTTTCCAGATCATATTGACCTACTTCCTTCTTCAGAACTCTCATCGGGCGATAGCAATCAACAGCAAGGTTTAACTACTCGATTTTATGGTTCGAATGAAAGTATTTCCATCTTAGCTTCATCGAAATCACGTAAAAGCTTCTTAGAACACTTTGGCGTACTAAACTTTCCCCTCGTCTTCTAGAAAAATATCGTTTTCAAGCTGATTCTCTTGCTAGTATTTGGCTATTTTGTCATTTACTTATCGAAAGATTACATGCATCATCTCCGACAATTGATTTTGAATTTGGCGATCCATTACCATTGGATGATTATTTTCTCTTAATCGATCGTCATTATGAATTACGTGTCGAATGCGAACAGATCAATTCAACACTAGATGTATGTTCAAAACAATTTCGGGCGATACAAAAACGTTTATTAAACAAATTCAAAGATAAAACACCTACATTACTCGACAATTTAGATATTTTATTAGAAAACACCAATCAACAGGTAAATACTACCCTTGAGAAAGCTAACTTTCATCGCTTAATTATGTTAAATTTTCAGATTCTTGCATTAGCTAACCGATACGAACAGTGTCGTTATGAATTAAATCGTGCTTCACATGATTTATCATGTGCAACCAAACTCATCTGCCTTCTTTTGAAAACTAGTGTAAATTTATCAAATGAAAACGCACAATTACTTAATGCTATTCTATCACCCGTTACTTCAGATGACAATGAACAGGTATGATGAAAGTAGGCATGAGTACATTCTCGAAAATGTTTCTTCCTCTTCTGAAAAATCATTTAAAACAAATTATCCATTATTCATAATAGAAACGGAACCGTTTCGCTAATCAAGTAGCTATTCATTCTAAATGTTCGTTTACATAAAAGAGAAAAAACAACAAGAAAGAATTATAACAACATATGCGATTACGAGTAATCCGTTATACATACGTTTATCTCTAGGAGAATATGATCACCAGAGCTATGGTTCGTATTGAGTACACAATATTGTTTTCGATTCTTTTTTTCCCCGGAGGATCTAATTATTTCCTATTCGAAGAGATCGATCAAATGACATTTTCTCGATTCCCATGTTAGTGAATAATTTTATTGAGTCTAGTTCATATTCCACGAGCATAGTTTCGAAAACGATTTTCGTGAGGATGAATTTATCAACCGATTGTTTACTTTGATCCAGGGTTGGGAGGAAACTGTTGATGCATCAGTCAACTATGCGTTGCGTACTGTTCTCGCACGTTCGAAAAATACTGATCTGGGTACGACACCAAGTACAATTGGTAATTCCACAGCCAATTTGGATATAAGTCGTTTAAAGAAGCGTATCCAGACATTATGTGAACGTTTAGAAAAAGGTGGTTCGTTAGTTTCATCAAGTTCGTCTACAGATCATAATAATTCAACAGATGGTATGCTGTATATTGAAATTCTTCCTCAGAACTATCGTTATCTGTGTTGTAGCATATAGATCAACAAGACAATCGAAACCACTCACATCCAATTATGGTGAAGATGATGATGAATTACCTAATGGTGATGATGACAGTAAGATATTCGAATTTCCCTTGACAGAACACGAAAAGATTCCTGCTATTTTGCTAGGTCCATTTCGTCTCTTACCGTCCAATAATTCCCGTACACAGTATAACAATAATAATAATAATAACGATGATGATGATTAATAATTATCAATATTTCTTTGTGAATGTTTTTATTCTCTAATCCTCCGTCCAATTTTTTTGTTTGGTTATTCTATTTTTTATACGTTGTCTTATTCTACGCTTTTCTCTCTCTCTCTCTCTCTCTCTCTTCTACGTTCTTACTTGATGTTGTTCCTTGTTGTACTGCCGGCTTTTTATGTATCATGATGAATTCTTTTTTCTTCTACGCGTGAGTTTGTCTTCTGGGAAAAAATGAGAAAAAAAGTCTACAGATTTTGTTCGTTCTCTCGCTCTGTCGCTCACTATATATATATATCATCCGATTGGAAAGAAAGTCAGAGACATTTGCATTTTGTTCCAAGAAAAAGAAAACGTTCGACACTATCGACAAAACCCATGGCGCTTCAACTGACTCTATCATGTGATTCGGATAAAACCGAAAGTGGTCCCGTGCTCATTCATTCAACTGGAGTTGAGCATTACAAAATTCCACCGGATGTGGTAGGTACACAGGAGTTTCTAAGGTCATTGGATGCTAAACGAGAAGTTGAAGTCGATAGTCAAACTCAGTGAATTGTTTTGCATTGCTGAACAAAGTTTTGTTTTTGACACATTTTCTCGTTATAACAGTATTATCAATGAGTGAATTTTATATTAGCCACAAAAAAAAGAATGAGAAATAGGATCGACCGTTGATATTATTTTCCATATTTAATAGTGTAAGTTAATAATAAAAACTGAATTTCCCTGGAGATTGTGATATTCAATAATAATAGTTTTTCATAGTCCGTAATGCAGAAAAAAAGCAGAAATGAAACTTTACAAGCATGAATTTGTCTTAGATTCGCATATTACAAGAAACTTTGACGAACGAATTGTTATCTGACCATGCCGATGGTGTACTCTGTAACGAAGGTTCTCAACGGGTTCTCGATATTCTTCTTCAAAATGGATTTACGTTACAGAATCAATCTGATGAAGATGGTAAGACGACGTGGGTAGTTGAAAAAGGTGGTGATGGTGAAAGTGATCGTTCGGTTCAACCTCCGGATAATTCCAATACAACAGGTGACGATGAAAATGGAGATGATGCTGGAAATGAAGATCAAGGTGGTGGCGAGGAAGGCGGTGAAGAAGGTGGCGAGGAAGGTGGTGAAGAAAAGGAAGAAGAATAGACAAAGATACATTGAAACTTATCATTTATCAAAAACAACAATAACTCTTCGCTTGATTCATCTTTTAGCATTCATCTTCTATAGCTATATATATATATATATCTTATCGAATAAAGCGTATATATACTTTTCTCATGCTTTCTTCAAGAATAAAACAATTGACTTTCTGATTCATTTATTAAATGTAATAATAACCAAAGAGAAATCAAGAGCTTTATAAATCATAGTTCGGAATAGTTTCTTCTATGTTTTTCTCAAGTATAATACTCACACCATAGCCGAAAAGTCTCAAGTGATTTAGCTATGAATGTTGACCAGGGATTGACGCAAATATTGCTAATTAAAAGTACACTTTTTACAACGATAACAACTAATTTAACAGTCAAAGATACAAATAAAAAGATTCCTTTCGTATTCAAATGATAGAAGCTTTGAGTGTTGAACTTTTGTTTTTGTATGTATGCATCACTTTCCAATTTTTATTAAATATTTATACTAGAAAAAAGAATGAGGAGACATTTTCGATCACTTAGGTGGGACTCTCAATTTCTTGTAAAGATTCTTGTAGTGTCAACTGTTGACTAGCACCAGTGACGGACGCATTGGAACGAGTGCTCGTTGCTATAGTTAATCGATGTTTTGACGGTCGTAATAATCGTTTATCCGAAAGTGAAGCTGGATCGACAAAACCAATTAAAACAACGCGCCATGTTCGTGTGACATCGCCTTTGGTTATCACAGTGACTGTTGCTCGAGAGGCTTCATTCACCTAATAAAAAGATATAAGAAACCAATCAGTTCGAAAACGACAAAACTTGCATCGAAGTTTGATGGTGGTGTCCAAGTAATTTTTACAGCTTTTTCTGTACCCATTTCTACGGAAGTCTAAAAAGTAAAGCAGAGACAAAACATAGATACTCTTCAACACTCATTAAATATATACCTTAGGATTATCCACAATGAAACCTTCGTTATTAATATCTTTCATATTATCGAATGAATAATCACCATTCTACAATCATAAATCTTTCTACGATTGAAATGAAACTATGGTAGATCTTACTCGTTTAGTTCCACTTGTTGCCGCACAGCCGATCATCAGTTCACGTTGAGCAGGTACATATTTACCATTGGCCATCTGCGCACAGAGTAAAACAACAATGTTATTCGGCGCTCCTTTTTCAGTCGGATCTAAAAAAAGTAAGTTCGTGAGTACCACTATGAACAAAAAATTCGATTTAAATCAAATCTAACCAATGGCTTGCATTTGCGAAGTTACAATATCGCTGATATTCGGTAGGAGACTTTTCTGCACAACATTGGCATTATCTAGTGGTCGAATAAACATGGTATTTTGACGACCACTACCACGCAAACGAAATTCGAGTTTCACAGGCTATAAAAATTTATTTAGAATATAAATATTCAAATTTTATGTTTTAAGACCAACCTGATCCGAGATAGTTATACGAACAAGATCCGAAAAGAAGTCAGAGTCATGGTCAGGACTGAAGATTACGGTCAGTTGCTTCTTACTGCCAGCTGGAATGACTCCATTCACTGGGGTTATGTCAAACACGGATCGACCACTTAAATTTTGTGGACCTAAGAAGTTATTCATGCGTCAGAAGAGAACGATCATTTGTATTCTACCTAACTTACCGATCATGTGTTTATTCGAGTCAAACGTAGCACCCCATACATTTTTATTTTCTTGTTCAATTCGATTATTTACATATTGACTGGCTAAATCAACCCGAAATGTAACTTCAGTCTCTGATTGATTAATAATCTATAGAAAATGGAAATTTTTATCAAATATTGACAACATCAATCAAATATAGAAACAAGAATGATCAACTATGATGACAACAAAGCTCTTTCTTTCATTCTCTCTGCATCTTTTTCAATAACATTGACACCTTTACCAGCGAATTTCTCGGGCCCCAGTTCTGTCACTTTAAATCCTCCACTGCGATACTTGGCACTCGGTCGCTTTCCAGGAAACGAAAATATTGCATTGAACCATGTTTCTTTTACATACCAAGGCTCGAAAAAGTAGCCCGTACGCTGATATCGACCGTCTTTGGTCATTGGACAAGAGCGTGAAGCCTGACCGCGCTTATCTGGATAGATACGTGGTAGTGCGCAATGTACGAGAAGAAAAGCTCGACAACGAAAGAAAAATATTGTCAATTGTTTTATCCAGTGCGGTGGTTGCTCAAACCCCATAGCTAAACGAAGTCTTTCGTCTACCAGTGAAATGAACACTTTTCGAACCAATTTCCGCATACAATTTGGATATATCGAGAGTAGTAATTCTATTGTTGCTTCTCCACATATTTGATTATCTTTCGAATAAGTCATATGTTGGATTTCATAATTGACTGACCAAGTTTCTAAGTCTTTTAAAGTCAATGGAATATTTTCAATACCCATTCGCGCACCTAATTCTCGCCAGAAGAAAACTCGTGCTTCGCCTTCAACGGGTGCAAGAGGTCGCCAGTCATATTTAACTGCCCAACGGCAAGGTTCAAGTACGAATAAACTTAGTGTATAAAGCATATCATCATTACTTATTCGACCTCGGTACAGATTGTGAAGATAATTTATACGCGCTGTTGCCATTCGAGCTCGAGGCGAATCGAGATCATTTTCAAAACATTCAGAGAGAAGAACACCGGTATCTTCTGCTCGACGACCAGCTACTTCTAATCGAGCTAATTGATCAGTTTGAACAAGTAAGCGTGAAATGCTCGGAATGCCATATGTTTTAAAGAGAGCAAATGATATCGATAAACCAGATATATAGGGCATGTCGAAGAAAGTAGATAGCCGACTGATTTCATGTCCTTTTTGATAATCAAGAGTGTTTATGTCGTATTGATTCAAGATTGACTGAAGACGACGAAAACGAAAATAACGGCAGGCTAGTAAATATGTGAACAAAAGCGCGAGAAATAAAGTTGTAGTACAAATTGCCACCATTACTAGATACCCGACTCGACGGAAAGTATGTATTTGTAAGATTATGAAGTATGAGTGGAAAAAGAATCGTTATAGGCAACGTTTTCAACAAGGTGAATAAACATGCAGAACGAATACAACACGTGTACAAGATAAAGAAAATCTTTGCTTTCTTTTCTATTTAGCTCACATAATGCAATATGAGTGATGATTTCTCGAAACCGGTTTAGTTATTGATTAGATTCTGTCTTACCTGAAATGATTTTTCAATGTGATCTTTGGCGAGAACACAACCCATTTGAAATGGAGTGTTTGTATCAAACGATAATTGAACATTAGGTTTAAGACCCACTCCTAATAGAAATGATCATCAAAATTGCTTTTTCAGAGAGATCAGCGAATTTCTACCTTTGAGACATAATGTTAACTTTGAACTTTCACTAGTCAATTCAAGTGTTTCTAAAAACTATTGGAAACATGCGTTAGTGATGGTAAAAGATATTCTATTTCTATGTTTTGAACACACCTCAACGGTGGCATTTGGTGTAAATGTTAATTTGATTGGCGCTGTACCACCTGGTTCTATCTTTCGTAGGGCATTCAATAATCGGAATGGTCCATCGATATTCAATAGAGCACTACGTAACTAAATCACTCGATATGTTAAGACGAAAGATTGTCATTTAGTTGAGATTTACTTGAATTGGTTTATCAGTGATATTTTGTACGAGAACTGTTCGTGACAGTTCTTGACCAACTGACGCCGATCCAAAATCAATCGTAGTCTGTCCGTAATCGGAGATAACGATCAATTCTGGTTTAACAATTGGACAATGAACTTGGAGAAACAGAGTATTAGCCACACTATTCATATGTTTATCTATTAAACGACAGAGAAATTGGTAAATATTCTTACTCATAGTTTAATATGCCAGGCCGTTGACATTCACCCGATGCAACATAACATGGAATAAGAAACGACGCCAACGATGATGGAAATGATTTCATCATAGATAATTGAGCCAGTGACCATTCATTTGAACTAAACATTGAAATGATTAGACAAAGAAAGCGATATAATGTTCAGTAAAGGTGACTAACTGTTCTGGTGCCGGTGAAATAATGTCACCACTGGTACTTGTAGTTGTATCACGTCGTCGACTGATGGTATTTGATCTATGTTTTGACTAGAATCATCTAGTGTGAAGAAAATCGATGGAAAATCTGAATATTCTTACGTCGCCTTTGTTTGGTGAATCTTTTCCATCCGCTTGTCGCCTCGCGTCCGCTTCTTTGATGCGAATAGATTCAGTACGTATATCAGCAGGATCCAATTTCGGTGCCAAGCGAACCGTTATCTTTTGTCTCTAAACAGCAACGGACGAACACGTGAATGACTAACTATTAGGGAACAAAAAACTGACCGTGCCAGGTTCAACTGTACCAACAAGGGGTGAGATAGTAATTGGTGCATTTTCTGGCACTTCAAATTGAAAGGATGTTGGGCCAACGGCAGCAAATTCGCCTGAACAAGCGTGTTTTAATATATGTGTCTGTTAACAAAAGAGAAAAGTGTTCTATACCGTTGCCAATACGTGGTACCGGATGTCGAAAATGATTCTTATCTAAATGCCGATTATCAACGTAGAAAGTAGCAATCGATTGATCGTTGATTGGTGTTGCAGGAAAGTGAATAACAGTCGACGAAAGTGAGAGAGGTGGTAAAACACCAACGCCTTGACAATCGAAAGTAAACTCTCTGGAAGAAAACCACATATCTCATGTCAATTACACAAAAAATACAAACGCACCGATTGATTAGAGATCTACAGGTCAATGTGCACTGATACTCCTTTGTTGCCGAAGGACTGAAGAGAACATGTAAAGGAATCGTTTCTTCCGGTAGTAATGTACCGAAACCATCGTTTGGTTGCACTTGAATGTACTACACGCAAGAGAAACAGTATATGCCAATGGAAACGCGAATGTTAACTTACATCTGGGAGATTCACAAATCCAAATGGTTGAGCCAGTAATGAATTATTTTTTAAATGTATCTTCGCCACAACACTTTCGGTGGTAGTACAACATCCAAAATCGATATGTTCAACATCAAATTGTAGATCACTGGTGGTTAGTACTGCACTTATACTGAATGGAACTGTTCGAATTTGATCGGCTACTTTGATTTCCAATGGCACAATCAATGTGCTATATGTTGGATCGAATATTTCAATCGGTAAACCATCATCAACGATTGACGGACGAGCAGTTAGTTTGATCTGTAGATTGAAACTTGATTTTGCTTGAATGTAGGCTGTGCGTGGAACAATTTCAATATGATTCTGTAAGGCGCGCGGTTGGATATCAACGGACACACGAAGTGCGGCCGAACTTCGATTACGAAGCACCAGTGCATCTTGATACAGACGATCGAACATGCAAATTTTAAAATCAGTGGAAGGATTTTCAACCCAAACAGGAACGTCAATTGATTGAGCATTGATTGAGAATTTCAACTGAAACAAAAAAACCAGTGATTCGACAAGAAATGAATATTTATCATTAAAAATACTTCGGAATGATTTTGGTCAAACGCAATAGTATATTCTTCATGGAATGTTCCAGCTACCGGAGCAGTGAACTCAATTGGAAACGATATCGATGAATGTGATGCAAGGAAGCCCTGATCAGCCGCTTTTATGGTAAAAACTTCAACGTATTCTTTCTGAACAAGATCGGCTACATCTGCAAGACAACATTCATCTTAATTTAATATGGATTTCCAAAAATACCTGGCGTAGATGCTGGTTCTTTTGTTTTCTTCTGATCTTTCTCGTTTTCGGCTTGTTCACGACGCAACACACTTGTTTTCACCAAACGATAATTCGTACCCAGTCCACCATTGTTACGCAAGGTAATACTTTGATGAAGACGTTCATCAACAACTGTTGTTCCAACATTGACTGATGTTTTATCCAAGGATAACTAAACATGAAAATATTTGAACGATAATTGCTGATCAAAATACAAACAAAATTTTGTCTTCGCTAAATTGTTTATCTACCTCAACTTTCTTGATTTCACAACGAATTGGAACAGTAAACATGCCTGTTTGGGCAAGAAATTTGATTTCACCACGAAGATTTTCATTGATCTATGAAAACAGAATTGATCCAAGATAAAAATATCAAAACCGCTCTATTCACCTTCGGTTCGAAAGTAACATGAAGATAACACGACATTCCAGCCGAAATCATTCCTGGTGGTTCAAATCTATGAATAATCAAAGAATTGCAAGAAAACCATTTCGAGAAGCAAATAAAAATACTTCAGTGTAATGAAATCTTTCAACGATTCTGACAGATCGACTAATTTGAGTGTATTGATTGTTAAGGTTACATTGGTCAACGTTACTCGTGTTCGATATATTTTTCCGACATCGAAATCCTACAGAAATGAACACATATCCATCAAACAGATAAGCTTTGTTTTGGACAAACTTTGAAATAAATTTCTGTTGGGTCACTTTTGAACGGTACAGTTCCTTCATACCGTTTTGTTCCAACAACTTGTTCACGAACAACATTCTCTTTTAATCGAGTTAGTGTTCGTTGCAAGATGTCCTTTGAGAAAGGAAGAAACACAAAAACTGAATTCATTTCTCTAATCATAAGAATGATTACTTTATCCATTTTTGTTTTCCAATATTTCGATCGATTAAAAAGTGGATCGATTTCTTGTTTGGCTGGTTGTTTATCCCACAGACCATTGAATTCAGGTTGAGCCAAATCAACATCCATATCTATGCAACAAAATCATTTATTTTTAGATAACTTGAGCAAAAATATGTTACCATCTTCGAATTCATCATGATGAAAAGTTGATGTCATCGATGATGCATATTCAATTGGATCAATATCGGCTTGAGTCGTTGGCACAAGTTGTGGTGCTATTGTTGACTGAACGTCGGCAACGGATTGAGTTTGTGACATAGAATAAACAAAAGCAGTCAGCATGTATTCTTGATTTCGTACGAAGTTCAGTTCAACTTACTGACTAACTTGAGAAGAGATATCTTTGGCTTTGGTCATCGATGGTTTCGTGTTAGTTTTATAAAGTTCAGGATATAATTTACGTTTTCTCTCTTTCTCATTTTCTTCTTTGAGAATTTTGTCCACGATGACTAAACGATTTTGTTCTTGTTGATCAGCGAAACGTTTTTGCATTTGTTCCAATTTCTCATTTCTCTCTTTACGAAGCATATAGAATAAGCCATTCTGTCCTTCGGTTTCAATCGATTGTTGTTCACGCTTTTTAGCATCCTGTGAATCTCGTTCTTGAGCTCGTTTTTGTGCTAATTTAATTGTTATCGCATCTTTATTACGTTCGATAGCATTGCGAAGATTGAGCAAACTTTTGATTTTTCTTTCAGTTTCTGCACGACTCGCGTCCTCTTCAATGCGTTTTTCTGTTCGAACTCTAAAATAAGGAAAAAAAACGTAGCGATGATAAGTCATTATGATCATGATGTACACTACTTTTCGAATGTTTGCTGTAAATATTTATGCGCAACTTTTTTACTACGACGTGCTTCATCCAATGCAAATCGCTGGGCAGCTGCTTGCTGCTCGAGAGCTTGTTTTTGAGTGCTAAAATTAGATTTGGAAGTGTAAATTAATCGCCTCTCTCATTTCAACTATACTTTAATGTTGACTGATGTGCTCGTTTCAGTTGAGTAACTTTCCAATCTTCTTGCCGTTGTCGTAGTTGTACCAATGATTGTTTCTGATCGATTAAAATCGTTTCCTTTTCTCGTAGAAGGCTGTCTTCAGCATTGTAACGTCCTCGTTCAACAATCGCTCTAGTTCGATGCATTCTAAAATCGAGAAAGTGAGTTTGATTCGATTAAAAACGAATAGTTAACATACTCGGCAACACCGAGTTTTTCTTGCAGATCTTTCAAAACGTCATGTTCAAGAATGATTTCATGTTCGACACGATTCAATTCGCTGGAAAGTCGATTGACGATTGTACTAAACAGAAATATAATGCGATCATTCAAAGATCGTATACAATCGAGTGAAATATTTGGTATTACAAATGGAATAATCGAGTAGTGTGCTTTTCTTTTCTCACGAGTGACTTACACGTTCCGTTGGTCTTGTGCGTGCGCAATATTTGTTTCCAATTGTGTTTTATTCTGTTCCATTTTCGTAATCTTTTCTTTAGTCAAATAAATTGATTGACTGAAAAATGAATGAAAAATCGAAGTGATCTATGTTTGAAATGATCGGATTCTACCGAATTTGTTGAACGGCATCATCTTTCTCTTGTACTTTTAGATCAAGTTGAGTGATAAATGCTCGTGCACGAATCATTTGACCTTCTTCTTTCGCCGTAATTTTCGCTTTCTTCTTGTTGATTACTTCATTTATGACAGATTGTTCCTCTTCCTCGTCTTCTTCTTCTTCACCGCCGTCGCTGATTAAACTATCGTGAAAGAATACTTCTTAGTAGAGAGAAAGAGAAGAAAAAGAAGTTCAACAATTCCATACCTTGAATAAGTCGTTGATCGACTGGTTAAATAACTATCTTCGCCTTTGGTACCACCGATTTCTTTCTCTTCTTCAACGACATAATCGATCAAATTTGCATCGTCATTCAATGACGTTTGACTCTTATCTCGTGTCGCATGATTATTTCGAGTAACTTCCTGTCGTTGTTCATCATCATCATCGTCACTGTCTTCATCACCATTCCCGTACATTTCGACATGTTCATCATTCATCTCGTCTCCTGCATAGTCATACTCATCATAATTCACTGGAGCTTCATCTGCATATGATAATGAAGACATCTAAAACGAGGTTCACAAACGATAACGAAAATATTCGCTGGAAAATCTCTATCATGGAACTTTTTTAATAGTAGTTAAATAAATAGACATAGCTAGAGTTTGAAATTCGTCGAAAGTCATTCGAGTTTTGGAAGTTGACGCTCGTGACGGAGACCACCGTTGTTCCAAAGTGTGTTTGACTTGATGTGGGCTCAATTTGACGATTGATTCGTGAAGACTAGAACACAAAGTATTGTTATTCAAATGAATACTCGAGCGAGAAGTACCTGAATGTATCAACCGGTGCTTTATTCAGTAATTCAAGTGAATTACTTAGCATTTGTAGGAGAATATCACATAAAGATCGATCGACATCTGTGTTGCTGCCAGCATGGTTAGCTAGCGAATTGTACAATGAATGAGCCGTTTTATGAAATTCTACTTTTTATAAATTACGAAATGATTCGAAAGTTGTGTTATCTCGACACTAACCTTTTGCAAGTAAAATTGCTTGAATGCCGTATTTAAAAACAGTGAAACTAACAGCATCATTTGAGCGAAGACTTAACAAGGATATCAACGTTGTTCGATGCTCATCCAAACCTGACCAGATTTCACTAGACGAAATAATTCGGTGGTCAAGTGTTCATAAATGTTCTGCTCTTCTTACTTATTGCATAAATTATGTAATAATTTATTATATGTATCGCCTTTGAGTAATAAACCATCGTCGTTGACTAGAATAGATTAGTTTATCGAATAGAAAATGCTATTGTTCAAGTTACTTGTATCGAAATTGGAATATAGCTCAACAAGCAGCGAGTGAAATGATGGATGTTTTGGATCGGCAAGACGCAAACGAGTCAATGTTTTTTCATAAGGATCTGTTTGACATTGGCTTTCAAAGCTAGAATTTTGCAATGAGAATCGAGGAAAATGAGCTGTTTGAACTCACTAATTGTAAAGAAAATCAATGGGATTATCAGGTTTTAGTCGAGTTACTTGTAATAAAGCATCCGAGATTATTTCTCGTGCTTTTATTCGATCTAGAAAAACATTCCAATGTCTAAGTCAAAGTTAATAAACGCTCCTTCATATTACCAAGATACGCCTGATCACTTTCACTATTAACGTTGGCATACGCATTCAACGATGGTATCGACAATGTCGAATTTGTTATTGTGTTTGATGCCGTTGGATTTGACGGTGTTAGTCGTCCACTCGGACCACCTTTTCCTTGAAAACGTGTAGCCATCCGAAGAAAATCCTGTCCTGTACACTATAGCATGTAAACCATGTGTCTACCATTCTTGTGTACTGCTTACTAGGTAACATCCTTCGAAAAGATATTTTAACATAGAAATGCATTTTGAGCGAGGTTCGTTGATTTGCATCGAATCTTCATTGGTTAACGAATATGAACCAATGAGAATCGAGATGAAGTATATTCTGTTTATTATTTATTCTTTTCACTAATTTTTTTCTTTCGGAAAAACTAAACAATTTGATTTCATTCTTAGATCATTTGAAAGAAAATCTATCTAGAAAAAAATGGTCCAACGATTAACTTATCGTCGTCGTTTATCTTACAACACCAAATCCAATCGGGTTCGAGTGTATGTATTCAATGAAAACTGATTTTATCGGAGGACAAACTAGACACATTTTTTATTCATTTTTCAGTGTCAAAACACCCGGCGGTAAATTAACATTTCAATATGTTAAAAAGCGAGGAACAGTCCCTAAATGTGGTGATTGTAAAGTTGAATTGCCAGGCGTAAAGTTGATTCAAAGTTTTTTGTAATTGTATCTAATATAACTGCTGATTTAGATCAAAGCATCTCGTCCAAAGGAACGTATGGCAATGACAAAACGCTTGAAAACTGTTTCACGTACCTATGGTGGATCACGATGTGCCAAATGCGTTCGACTTCGGTATGAGATACCTTAGTATCTTTCGAAAAGATCTGATTGTTTTCGTTGTTTTGCAGTATTGTCCGAGCTTTTCTCATTGAAGAACAACGTATCGTTGCTATGGTTATGAAATCGAAAAAAGGAACTGGTGCAACTGAAACCGCCGCACCGGCACCAGCCACAAGCCAAAAATCGAAATAAAGAAACACACTTCTGTTTGGCAATTCATCCTTGTTTTCGATTGAACTTCTCTCGTTTTGACATCATTTGTTACCAACTTAATATTTGAGAGATATTGAAGAAACAAAAAAGAATAAAATTAATAAACAAACTATAAAATCTCGGATCTCCTATCTTCAACGATTATATTTCCATCCAGAGCTGCGAAAAGTGGCGGTCGAAGGAGTGATGAAATCTATTGAGATAATTGTCCAGATTTATTACTTTAGATTAAGTTTCTATGAGTAGAGTAAAGCATAATTTGATTCTTTTTTTGCATAATCTCGTTGTGAAAAAAATATTTCCGAAGAAATACCTGTTTGAGAATTAGCATGACAACAGCGAACATAAAACATTACAATCGTACGAAACAACAATAACAACAACAACAACAACGAAAGGATGAGCTAAGCAAAGGAAAAATAGAATCGTTTAAAGAGGAGAAAATTGATTGAGAACAATAGATATACAATCGAGACTAAATCTGATTTAAGAGAAAGAGTGAAATAAATGTTAAAATATATATGTTTTGATATACACCAATGGCAAATGGAATATATAATTCTCATTGATTCATCGTTTGAAATGCAAATTGAGTCGATTTGGTTAAGTTAATGTAAGGGGGTAAAGTTGAATCCCTTATCACCCATGGCTGGTTGTGGCGGCATTCCAGATGCGTTCATTGGTGGACCTTCAGGTACAGGTGGACCTCGAATGTTGCTACCAACACCTGCTCGTTGAAGCATCTCTTCTAATGGTGCTCTACAATGAGAAAGATATGCTTATTGCCACATGAGCACAGAATCTGATCTTACTTTTTGCCAACAGCTAACATAAATTGAATAGCGCCGTTGACCAGTATACAGATGAAGCCGAAGACAATACTGATTGAATGGCAAAGCAATAATGGAACTAGTGGTGGTCTAAAAATTTTCTCGCTGATCATATCCGCATGTAGGCACGAGTATCGAACTTACACTGAATAAAGTATTGCCTTTTGCCATGGAGGACGTTGTTCCGAAAATTTTGCTGCTGGTTGAGTATATTGCACAAACTGACAGCAAACTGGTACTTCGAACATGATTAATGCGAAGCCGAGAACACTAATCAACAGTAAACTAATTGTGATTGAGAAATGTTGAAAAAGCATCAATACGTACATCATCATCACACCAGCGATGATACAGAAAGGCGATATACTCAACGCACCAAACAATCCACAAAGCATTGCAACTGTGAAAAAGAATCAATAGCGAAGATTATGTTTTGTTTTGTCATTTAAGAGAGAAAACTTACGTAGTCCAGTGGTAACAGCAACCACCCGAATGAACCATCGGAACCAGAATGTCGTACCTTCAGGATGTGCCTGCTGATCGTCAATGTTAACAGCTGTCTGGAATGCATTCATTGCCCGCCCGGCATAATTTGCTCCCTGTGCTGCTTGACTGGCAGTAAAATTATAACTCATGTTTCATATAAATATATAGAAAACTAAATAAAAAAAACATATCACTGAATTACTTATCATTCAATCTCAAAAAGAAATTTTAACTTACAAAAATCAAAAAAGAACAAACAAATCTTCAATGTTTTCGGTACAACGATTGTCTGTTCTTAGAATCGACGAGAGAACAGGAAATAAACAATGAGTATTAGTATTTACCAGATGGAAAGAGTGCGCCACCTCATATGTCTGATCGACATGACATGTAATGATTGCTAGAGTATCGAGAGCAGTGGTGTGGTTGGGTGTTTTCGATGAACACAGTGCACGCATTCTTCTTATACACAGAACGAGACGAGGAATAGGGTTCAAGTGCAACTTCGCTTGAAAGATGAATCCAAATGATCATAAGTGGAAAAAGAAATATTGATCAAGACTAAGCAGTTTTGTTGAATTGAACATTCCATTCAGCTAACACACAAATTTTACTAATATATGATGCTCGATTGTGAAGTGATTAAGGAATCGGAAGAATTTTCTCACATGTATACATTGGTGTTTGTCTTTATCTATTCCAAATTAGAAAATATGTAACACACTCTAAATGCGCCAATGCCATTTTCATTTTTTATTCTTCTTTATCAAAAGAAAAGATCACAATGATTTTTTTAATCATATTTTACAAAACCGACATTATCGGAGTCGCCAAATTCATGGATTTGCCAATACACAAATCTCTCGAGAATCTAGTTCTCGGCTGTAAATTCTGAATTCGTCAATAGCACCGATGAATGATCCAGAAACAATAGATAAAGCAGCAACATTGCTACAACTGACCGATGCTGACGAACCTAGAGGACTGATATTACCTAACGTGACATATAATATAGTACTAAAATCTTTTATATTTAGAGTGGCCGTATTCGATGACATAGCACTTAATTGCCCACCGACATAAAGTCGTACACCGTTCGTTTCGGAATAAACATAAGCAATATGAGTCCATGTACCTGCGGATATAATGGGACCGTGAAATCCGTCGAAAGTGTTGTTCCAAAGCATCCACTGTGCTACTAATTGTCCAGTGTTTGTCAAAGCGAGAAGATCATAGCAGATGGATCCGTTGCCATATATTAAATTTGACATATGAATGATTGTACCACCGCCAACGTGTGAACTTGGATTGATCCAAAGTGAAAACGAATATGGTGGGTCATCTAATCCTGAATTTGGGAAACATTGTGATTGGAAGTAGCTTGTACTGGAGGTAAAATAGAGTGCTTCATTAACACGACCTGTAGATATTGTGACGGACGGTGAGCTGACACTACCGTACAGATTGATACTATGATCATTAAGTGGATCAGTTGTATCGAATGGAAAGTAAGCCGTCAGGGTTGCATCATTGAGAATTTGACAAATAGTTCGTACGATGCCGGCCGAAATCATGAAGTTGTCCACTCGCCTGTAGAATAATAGAAATGGGATTTCAAAAACAGAGAAATGTTGTTACACGAACAATGAAAAAAAATTTTCTCTACTAATATCTCAAGAGCAATATTACAAATAGAACTGGTGTACATAAGTACATACCCTTGAAAATATGTTGTCCCGTAGCCTAATGATGAACTTCCACCGATCGTTGTTAGTGATCCAGTTGATGTGCCTTGGTAAGAAGGAACAATGCTGGTAGAGATTCCATCTATGCGACCATTTACATAAATTCGTTGCTGATATAAAACAGCATCGTAGACTACCGTTAGATGAAACCAAATATTCGCTGAAACAAAAGTCGCTCCAGTTAATGTATAATTATTCGTCATCATCGAATTGAACGAGACTACGAAACGTGAATTTTGTACACTTATTGATAAACAAATCGAATTCGAATCGCATTGTCCGAAAACGCCGTAGTTACCCGAAGCAGCAGAATTATAGAGCATAATCCATGTTTCAATGGTGAAACTGCGTTGAGATAAATTAACATATGGAATCGATATATATTGTTGATTCAATGAAGCGAGAGTCAATGCTTGGTATCCGACATAACAATATCCAGTGTATCCAGGTGAACTTAGTCCGAATGCAGTTCCTGTCGCATATCCACTTACATCATTTGTATTTGCATCAAAAGGGTAGATTACAGTGATCGTCGATGTACGATAAGGTGTTTCTTGACCGATGCATGTTGTAGCGTAGCATCCCGATACAGTAATATTTGTGAATGATGCTAAAGTGAAAGAGTTTTTTAGGAGAATGATCCTTGTCCAACTACAGTCTTTCCTTACATTGAGAATTAGCTGGCTGAATGATGAGATAGTAGATTGGAAAGTAGATAATAATTGCAGTCAGAACTGAGCCAATTATAATCAAACTAATTGTCAAAATAAGGAACTTCTGTTTCCGCGTCAATTGGCTAAAGATAAAATTTTTCATCAATACTTTCTAATTACAACCTAACACTTCATTGCTCGATTATATCGACTGAGGTCATAGTAATGACACAAGTGAAAATCTGTCTTACTTGAAACATATTCCAGACCCAACATTAGGCTGTTTGGGATTTTTTACATTTCTGGATGTTTCCGTCTTCGGTGTTAAAATCCGAACATTAATAGGCGTTGACAATCGATTGTTGGGATCGAGGTCTACTAAGTCATGTTTGGTTTCTAATGGTGGCGGTTTTTTGGCAGGCGGAATTGTTGATGATATTGCTGTCGACTGGAAATTAGGAATGTTATTCAAATGAACATCCTGTTTATCATCAGATTGTGGATTGATCTATGGAGAGGAATTCGTGAGGAATTGCGTCTACAGATGCGATTTATTACTTTATGTTGAATTGCAGATAGCCGTCTGGGTACAATGGCGATGGTTGGCCGATGTTTTTGAGCCGTAACTTTCTCCTTAGACATCAATGCAATACAACGTTCTTATTGAAGGATTCGTGTGATCGAAAAATTCCAAACTTATTCTTTCAACATTTGATGCAGATATGCACCTGTCTTGAAACTTGAAACGCTTCCCTACTTATTATGCTATTTCTCAATAATTCTATGTTCTCCTTCTATTGTATATGTTTGTAAACTTTCAATGTGGAGTTATTGATTATCGAATAGTAATTTGTTCTCAAAAGACAAATGAGAATAAAGAAATTAAACGATATTATTATACTCATTGGCAAAAAAATTATATCTTATGTCTCGACAACGATCTGTTCCTCTAACTCATTGTACAGAAGCACTGTTCGTCTGTTGATGATATTTTCTTATTTATATATTAACAAGAGCACACAGTTCTTGTGTATTGAACTCTCGATTGTAAAGTCGAAAGTCATCGACATCGCCAATAAACGAGTCAGATACGATCGCAATCGAACCACTCTGGCACGCCACTCCATCTAATCGTGAGTAAATCACTGCGATATGAGACCATGTATTGAACAACTAAAGCGCCAGTTAGTGTGAAAGCAAGAAAATCGTAACAGAGGAAGCCAGCATCGGATGGTACCTACATATGATGTTGGGTTAACCCAAAGTGAAAATGTGAAAGGTGGATTCGTTTTAGATATATTTCGAATGACAGGGAAAGCTTGTGCTTGAAAACAACTTATCGACGATGTAAAATTTATAGCGTGTGCGTGACGTCCACCTGACATTATCGTTGTATTGGATGCTACTCCATTGAATCGATTGACACTTTAATCATTCAATGCACTGTCACTATCAAATGGGTAATAAGCTGTTAACGTTGCATCATTAAAAATGTGACAAACGGTTCAAGTTATGCCAAAGGACACTTTAAAATGATCAATCCGTCTGAAACATAATTCTTTCACCGGCGAGTAAGTATAGAACATCTTCTTACCCTTGGAAATATATTACTCCAGTGCTTAGAGATCGACTTCGGCCAATATTTGTTGCTGCATTTGTCGAATTTCCTTGATATGGTAGCATGATCCCCCTTGGAAATAGCGTCGATGTGTCCATTAACATACACCGTCTGTTGATATAATGTACCATCATACATTATCGTCAAATGCATCCATTCTCTGATGGAAACTAACCTGATCCCAACCAATGTCTTATTATTGTTATTCATCGAATCGAACGAAAGAATGAAGCGTTCGTTTATGAGACTTGTTCCTAGACAAACAAAGTTCGAGTCACAATGGCTGAATATGCCGAAAGTACCAACAACCGAACTAGCTGATAAAAAAGCCATGTCTCTAAAGTTAAACTTTGTTTCTCGAAAATAATTCCCGGAATTTAAATGTATTGCGATGAAGTAGAATTTAGATTCAATGCTGAAGTGCCCACATAGGACTGTGCCACATACGTAGGAGCACCATACGACACTCCATTGAAACGTCCGTTCGAATCATTAGCATTTCCATCGAATGAATAAAGAATTACCACTGTAGTTATCAAATTCGACGTTTCTTGTCCAATGCATGTTGCTGATGAACATGGATTGATACTGGTAGTGTGGGAGCTAAACAGTTTCGAAAATACAATCGAAGATTTCGCTCTAATAACTTTCTTACGAGGAGTTGTCCGATTGATAACAAGCAAAACTACAGGAGGAAAAACAGCAATGGATGCGAGGATTAGATTTGGCGCGAGTTTTTGATTGGAAGTGAATTGTCTAAAATGAATTAGTGCGGTTTTCTTCATTGTTCATGATTATATTCGATGACATTTACACACAAATGACCTACCTGTAACAACTAGGTTGAATAAACTTGTTTAGTTTTTCGGTCGCCTTTAACTTCGTATGAGTACGTGAGAGTTGTGATTGAGCTTGGTTTGGAACGATTGTGTCAGTCGCCGGCTTACTGGTCTCCGTCGTCGGGTCAACTTGGTTTCCATTATACACTTGTCTTCTCTACATATATATATCCAATAATGAAACTTTCATCAGAAAAGATCGTTCAATACCTCCGCACTAGGTACATATGCAAGATGAACAGGTTTTTTTTAGGAACACGTTACACTGCAGCCATGAATATGCGTCTATATTTGATAGCTTTTTATTTCAGCAATTGAATGGCAAAGAAACAAAAGAAATCCAGTTTTCTGTTTTAACAATAATGTGCAAATGAAATCTTTTAGATGTTTAGCTTCCAAATAATCAATAGACTCTTTTACAGTCCACAGAAGAACTTTCCAATAATTTTAATGTTTGAGTACTTTTTTAATAAGAATCCTGAGAAATATGTTTTTCGAGAGCGGAGAGAAAGTTCTTAACTCAATAGTTTCCTTTTGCGCAGATTACAAAAGAGAGAAACAGCAATGAGATTCGTTATGCAAATTGATCGCATACAACAGCGTCATCTGGGTTCATATTCATGCGTTTGCTGCTTATTCGACCTCTCCTCTTTCTCTTCATCTGATTGTTGTCATCCCAACAACATTACTTCTCCTGCATATTGATTTGATTTTGAGGCAAGAATCATCTGATAATTTTGAGATGATATCGTTAAATGATGCTGCTGTAAGTTAATTTAGAGGACGTTAAACATTTAGAATTAATTCTATACTTGATTAGCACAATGCTGAGCAATATTCAGCGTACGTTGAACGACATATGGATGAGCGCCGACAACGTGTTGAACAGCTTGATGCCTTTGTGCGCCATCGACTTCGTCTTTATCGAGAAGCACAGAATCACGTTCAACGACAAACCACAAATAAAACGGTACCATTAAATCATCACCTTTCTAATTCGCCGTACACACTACATTTCTCATATATAGATCGAAGCTGTAACTTTGCCTCCACCACTAGCACCAGCTGACACAGTTGTTGTCCTATCCCAACGAGCGACCACTCCTTTTCTTCAATCGTCCACATTCTGTCCAAACGAACTAACCAGTCGTGTCCGCCACAGTAAACAACGCTTAGCATCCAAACAACTCGTTCAGTCTGATAGTCTACCATCCACTGACGATACACCACCTGTTGGAACATGGCTCAATCCTGTTCCAGTAACACTAGTAAGGAAATAAACTCATAAAACTCTATCCTACACCTGATATGTGCTTTCTTTTTTGTAGCAAACAAATAAGAATGAACAAGAACATCTGTCATCAGGTAATCTATTTTATGATCAAATTCGAACAAATGACCGTTGCTTTCTTAGACACGACACTGCGTCGATCGATGAGTGAAAATCAACTTTCCGTGTTTGCATTAAAAGCATTGACGGGTACGAAAATTCCTTTTGTTTCTCAATAAACTATCTCTACATATAATAGACACTCTGACCGAGGGTTTAACAAGTCTCGAAAATCGAAAACGACTTCAAGCTACACGTGCCTTGTTCATGACGATTGAACGACGACAAGTAAAGGAAGCTTTACTCCTAAGTAAACAAAACAAAGAAATGCAACGGTGAGGAGTGAAAAAAAATGCAATTCCTTTCTTTATGCAATACTATTCTTTAGTCTCGTTGAATTAAAAGAAGCAGAACGTTTGCATCAAGAACAATCTCTAGCACAGCAACAAATCTCGCCAATTCCAAGTAGATTATCAAACATGGACTTCACTCTTATTTTCAAACCATTTTTCTAGATGAAGCTGTCCTTGATGTAAATAGTGCAGATCCGAAGGAACTAGCTCGTCTTCGACAACAACGTATTCATGACCAAAAACGACGCGAAATCGAACGGTAAGTCGGTACATTCATTCTCATTATCAATCTTCCTGTTTGCAGATATATTCGAGCGTTGAAAACAACCCTGCGTGAACGCTGTTCGAATCGTGGAATTCATGTTCCAAATTTATGCTCGTGTCATTCGACAATATGGGAAGCTGATCCGATGACATGTTCACAGAACTGTTCATTCTACCAAAATCCTACAGCATTCGCAACATCATTACATAGTCTGTTGACATCGTGTCAAGCTACAAATTAATACTTTGAATTCCTTTTTTTGTGTATGAAAAGCAAGAGAAAAAGAATAATTAATAGTTATTAGTATCCAATCGGAAGAATATAATCCGTATTTTTGTTCTGAGTTTTAGATATAAAATATATTATCTCTTTTTCTCTTTTTGAGCATGGTAAGTTTCATTTCATGAGACAATTTCTTTTCATCTATATTGATCTTTCGTTGAAGGCTCGAACGAATCTATCTGTTATGCCGGACGTTAATGTATGTCTTCGAGATGCTATGGATGCTATGTTCAATAATGGCAATCAAAATCGATTGGATAATACCGATCGTACAATAATGACATCAGAAGAGAATGATGTCATCGTTGATATTGTGAATGATGATGATGATCAACAACCAATGACCGATGCTTTACAATCGACAATTAATAAAAGAAAATTGACAAATACAAATATTACGAATCACGAGCAACATAATCATGGTGAAAATGATAATGCAAAACGCATGTGTACAATGAATGGCTCACATTAATATGCTTCTTGACGGAAAAAGGAACAATAACTGACTTTTCAGCTTTGTATTATTCTGTTACGTCTTATCGAGGTAGTTTTTTTTCTATGTAGTCATATCTAATGTAAATATAGATGTATTCAAAATAAATGTATTGATCAAGTGCAAATAAGGAAACGTCTAACAAGAAAATAAATAAAATAAATAAATGAGTTTACTCATTTGAAAGAGAATTTAGTCCTCGTCCTCTATATTTTCAACAGCAGTCTTTTTCAGAGTTTTCGAATTGGATGGTAATCCATCATCACACATTGAACGCATTCGACTCATAAAACGAAGAAAGGTTGAAATCGGTAATATTCGATGATGACTATGTAGCAGCTCGAATTTCAACGAACGATACATGGACGTTGAGTTGGCTTTGCACATACTATATAACTCAGATAGCTCCTCGCCATTGATTCCATCACAAAGAGGTACCATCGATACGAGATTCTGCTTGATTAAGAAATCTCGAACTTTTGTTTCATTCCAACGTGAAACAGTACTGCCCAAGTTCAGTTTCGTCTCACTTTCCGATTCGAAAGCCATTTCACCTTTATTCTCTTTTTTAATATCCGCGTCGTCTGCAGCTTTTCTTTCGATTCTAAAATAATCATTTTTCCTCTAGAAGAAAACAAGTTTTCACTATTACTCATTACCTAGCAGATTCCTTCGCTTCTTTCCTCTTCTTCTTTTGTAACTGTATTTCATTGTCTAATAACCCAATTGCTTTTTCAAATTCATACGTACCAAAATCTATATACAATCGAGTCCCCAGAATGAAACCCAGCCAGCCATCCGGTGTGTACTCTTTCTTCATCTTTATTGGAACGATGTGCTTCTTTCGATTGAATGCATACTCTGCTTCCGATTTACAGTTTGCACTTCGCTTGTATGTTTCCGACATACACATCAGAATGAACTGAGCACCATCCACTGCATTCGCCTAAACACAAATTCATCTTCTCTTCTTCTCACAGAAATATCATCTCATACCATGGCTTCGATCGTCGATCCATGCATCTGTTCTTGATCAAGCCACACTTTATAACCCAGCTTCTCAGTCAAATGATGAAAGATTCGGTGAGCTAGATCCATATCTGCCCACGAGTATGAGATCATCAGATCATACTGTTCCTCCTCTTCTTCTTCTTCTTCTTCTGCCATTTCGCTCGTTCCATTCTCCTGTGCTCTCTTCTTTTTCTCCTGTTTCTTTCTCTCTTGCTCAGCTTGTTGTTGTTCTTTGAACTTTTCTTCTTTTTCCACTTTCCAAATGAAACCATCGGCTGCTTTTTCGAGGGTAGGATTCTTGTGTTGTTTCGCATGCTGAAGTATATGGTGAACTCTGGTAGTGAGTTTGGTATCTTGCTGAAAAGACGTGACAATATCCGGATTATCAAATGTGGACAGCCAGAGAATTTCTAGAGCGTCTTCCAATTGATTTGTTGATTGTTTTTCTGGATCTCCATCTCGGACAAACAAGACGAGATTTTCGAGACCACCTTGTTTGATAATTTCTTTCTTCACTTCCTCGTGCTGCATCAAACCTATAATAGAATATTTAAGAATACATTGATCCGTATTACACTTATAGTACCTTTCAGAGTCGACAATGTATTATCGAGATTTGGATTGTATTCTTGTATATTTAATTGTTTCAGTTGATCAACGAAGATTGCAGTCATTTCACTCGGATTCTCGTTGATCTCTTTTTCGTCCATAATTTCAGCAAGAATTCCAAATGCTGCTTTGCGTTGCTCGCTGTTCTCTGTCGATGCAAATGCCTTGATGGTCGAAGTCAGTTCACGTTTCTTGATGATGGCACGAATGTCAGGAGTTTTGGAAAGATCATGAAGTGCTTGCAGTGTGACGAGAACCAATGGTTGATCTTGTGGATCCGTTGTGAGTTGAGTTTTCAAGATGGTGATAAGGTGATCGACAATGTAGTTGGCATGTTTGTCGAAGGAGGCGAGATTATGAATAGTGAGAAGTTGATGGCATCGCTCGAAGATATAAGCAAACGATACAGGCGTAAAAGGTGGTGGATTATCAGCAGCTTGTTCAAGTCGTTTTAACAACTCATCATAAACATGTTGAAGTACAGCACTCGTTTTAGGTCGGTCGGATGAAAGTTGTAATGGGGTCGAAACGAAAGGTACATATTCCCAGCAAGTATACAGAAGAAAACGATCTATATCAGAAAGCTTTTGACCATTTTGAAGTTGTCGTATTGCCTGAAGATAATCATAGGAATCGAGGCAATTCATGACCACTAAATTGAATCATTTCTTAGTTTATCACATATGAACAGATCAACTTACGATCATCAATCAATTGCTGATTTCGTTCCATACTATAATAAAATGGGCAACCTTGTAGTAATCTTATTGTCAGTAGACCCAGCGTACATATATTAGGATCGTCATTTATCTCTGGTTTATTGAGAACAATATCATCTACTTGTTCTTGTACAAGAAAAAGAAAGCGTTTTGTCGCCAGTATGTCTCGTATCTTTATACGATTCTCTTCAGGATTGGTTACAGTTGCTTGTTCAGCCGCATGGACAAATATGATTGTAATTTTCAAGAATATATCTGTCTCTTGAATATTTAATCGTTGGTTCGCACTTCTCCAATTACCTAATATATCAACAAGCATCTGATGCAAAAACGACATCAACGGATGATAGAGAACTCGAGGATCAAGTAGCTTATAAGGTGATATGACGATAACAGCATCGGTTATCTGTTCAACAGCATCTAAAAAGATGTTCGTGGTTGCTTTTCCACTTTTCTCCATTTGTTCAAATTCAACTAAAAATTGATTAAACATAGCGCAAATATCATTCGACGTCAAATCGTGTTCTATAGAATCTTGCCGAATAGCAGCCCAGTTCTTTTGATTGACCATGATCGGTGTTGAGGGTGATGTCGGATGTTCAGTTGTCATCTCGATTAAGTCAAGTATTAAAGTATGACTACTTTAAAGTCTAAAATAGACGATATATTTTTTTAGAACATAATAATGAGAAAAAGAAGCAGTGAAGAAAATATCTAAATTTTGTTTTTGATCACGGTGTTTACTCGCACCTCTAATCGATTCGGATGAGTGCAATTCGTTGGTATACCAACCAGAACAACAGATAGGCAAACTAGTAGAGGCACATTGCTCACAGTATCGTCAAGGTATGTATCACGTGTTTATACAGTCCCGATTGAGAGCGAATGAGTCTTTAGCAAAGAATATCAAAAACATGATGTTTTTCGCTCTGATTACGTATTAGCAATCTGCCTCGACGCATGAAACAAAATAAGAAGCTAAAGAAATCATAAAAGAGCATGAAAACAGTGGTACAATTAGTACCTCAAGCATTTCTTGTACATATTCGATAAAATATTGCCGTTTTATTTCAGTCAAGATAATGATTTTCTCCAAAAAAAACAACCAATCGTACATTTTGAAAACAACATGTTTTCCAAAGTGATCAATGTGATACAGCTTTTCTAACTTGCAAATAACGCGTTAGTTTATCACAATGCCATGATCATCGATTACGAAAACCGATTCATGGTGAGAAAATCAATACTATTTTACTACTCATAATTGCTTCGTTTTCACTTTCACCGACAAAACATTATTCTCAAACTGAAGAAGTCATAATTGCAGCAGTGTTATTCGAGCCTTTCTCGTCGATATATTATTCACGCGCGAGAATCGTCTATTTTCATTTAAATTACACCAAGTTATAATTGTTAGTTACGGATGAAAGCTCGTACGAGAAAATTTAGATAACAATGATGAATAATCATGAAAATAATATGTCACATCAAATTGTCGAAAAAACCCAATTAAGCACAATCATCATCAGTGATACCTATGTCAAGTGTACGATTACATATCTGAATGACGCAGTTGATAGTCATAGAACTGAACATCGGTTGTCAAAAATCATCGCTTCTCCGATACTTTCGTGCATACAGCACTTCATATGCGACGATATGACAACAATAGATAAAATACGAGAAAAGATACGCACCTGGAAGAAATACAATGAAAATTGAGGTAACATGGGATATATAGGTGGCCGTATTTTATGTACTTGTTCGATTATTGTGAAAATTAAAATTACCTAATCCAAGTTGAGTATAACAAGAATAAGATGACATTTCAGATTGGGTACAAAATTCAGCGAAAAAAACAGTATTATCTTTTTCGGATAGTCAAGACTCATGATTGACAATAACAAAAGCTGCAAAAAATATCTATTCGTTTACAAATTTTATATAAATACAAGAAAATATATCGTAGATATTTTCTTTAAAACGAAAAAAATATTTCCGCTAGTCTAATCAGCGTCATCTAAACATTCTGCTACCTGTCTATCACATGCGAATGTATCTAAAGGTAGACCGTTATCACAAATAGTACGTAAACGATCGATAAAGTGTAGGTACGTGGCAATTGTCAAAACTTTATCGTGTAACCTTAACAGTTCGGATTTTAACGAACGATACATTGATACAGAATCGAGCTTACACATTGCATATAATTCAACTAATTCTCGCCCATTAATAGCACCAAAAAGCGGCAATACATCCGATAATTCTGTTTGTATAAGAAAAGTTCGAACATCAGTTGTAGTCCAGTTTGAAATATTTTTCGTATCTAACGGTTCTGTGGTTTCATTCTGATGACTTTGAAATTCTTCTTCCATAAACTTCGTTTTCTCATCAACAGTGTTAACTACCACGTTCGTTCTAAAACCAGACAATTCTGTACGTTTACGAGACAAATTCTACATAAGATTATTTACTTAGTATCTTGTGTTGCTTCCTTTTTTGTCTTCTTCTGCAACTGTATCTCATTATGTAACAGCTCTGTGGCTTTCTCGAACTCGTGTTCACCAAAATCTATGTACATTCGAGTCCCCAGAATGAAACCCAGCCAGCCATCCGGTGTGTACTCTTTCTTCATCTTTATTGGAACGATGTGCTTCTTTCGATTGAATGCATACTCTGCTTCCGATTTACAGTTTGCACTTCGCTTGTATGTTTCCGACATACACATCAGAATGAACTGAGCACCATCCACTGCATTCGCCTAAACACAAATTCATCTTCTCTTCTTCTCACAGAAATATCATCTCATACCATGGCTTCGATCGTCGATCCATGCATCTGTTCTTGATCAAGCCACACTTTATAACCCAGCTTCTCAGTCAAATGATGAAAGATTCGGTGAGCTAGATCCATATCTGCCCACGAGTATGAGATCATCAGATCATACTGTTCCTCCTCTTCTTCTTCTTCCTCTTCTGCCATTTCGCTCGTTCCATTCTCCTGTGCTCTCTTCTTTTTCTCCTGTTTCTTTCTCTCTTGCTCAGCTTGTTGTTGTTCTTTGAACTTTTCTTCTTTTTCCACTTTCCAAATGAAACCATCGGCTGCTTTTTCGAGGGTGGGATTCTTGTGTTGTTTCGCATGCTGAAGTATATCGTGAACTCTGGTAGTGAGTTTGGTATCTTGCTGAAAAGACTTGACAATATCCGGATTATCAAATGTGGACATCCAAAGCACTTTGAGAGCATTTTCTAGTTGATTATCAGTTTGCTTCTCTTCATCGCCATCAACCAGAAACGAAACAATTTTGTCTAAGCCACCTTGTTTGATAATTTCTTTCTTCACTTCCTCGTGCTGTATCAATACTGTAACGAGAATCAAAATGAATACGACAAGCTTGGCAGTTTTCGCTCAATCGAGTTTACCTTTCAGAGTCGACAACGTATTATCGAGATTTGGATTGTATTCTTGTATATTTAATTGTTTCAGTTGATCAACGAAGATTGCAGTCATTTCACTCGGATTCTCGTTGATCTCTTTTTCGTCCATGATCTCAGCAAGAATTCCAAACGCTACTTTGCGTTGCTCGCTGTTCTCTGTCGATGCAAATGCCTTGATGGTCGAAGTCAGTTCACGTTTCTTGATGATGGCACGAATGTCAGGAGTTTTGGAAAGATCATGAAGTGCTTGCAGTGTGACGAGAACCAATGGTTGATCTTGTGGATCCGTTGTGAGTTGAGTTTTCAAGATGATGATGAGGCGATCGACAATGTAGTTGGCATGTTTGTCGAAGGAGGCGAGATTATGAATAGTGAGAAGTTGATGGCATCGTTCGAAGATATATGTAAGTGATGGTGGCGCAATAGAAATTAATTCATCAATGGCATATTCTAATCGTGTTATAAGTTCATCGACCAGATAGTACACGAGGTCAATTTCATGTATTGAAATCGAATAATTTTCTTTAGTTAAAGATCTGGAAGATAAATACTGCCAACATGTAAGAAACAAAAAATAATCCACATCGGTCAACGCTTGACCATGTTGTAATCGAAGCACAATTTGTCTATAATCGTATGAATCAAGACTATTCATGATTACTAAATTGAACAATAGATCAAATATTTCCTGACTAGATGCGAAATCACTTACGATCATTGATTAATCTTTGATTTTTGCCTAAATTATAATAGAATGGCGAACCTTGTAGTAACTTGATAGTAAGTAAACCTACTGCCCATACGTTCGGATCTTCGTCTGAATCTTGTTTATTCAATACGATTCCATCGATTTGTTCCCGAACTTTGAAGAGTAATTGTTTCGTCGTTAGTAGGTCTTTTTTCGTTTTCTCATTTTCATTTACATTCGGCATAAATGCTTGTTCAGCTGCATGGACAAACGTAAGGACGATCTTCAATAAAATATCCGTTTCTTGAATATTGATTCGTAATTGTGACATGCACCAATTATCCAGTATGGTTATAAGCAGTTGCTGAATAAAGTGCATCAACGGATGATTGAGAACTTTGGGATCGAGTAATTTGTATGGTAAAATCGATAGAACGGCATCGATGATGTCTTCTACAGCATCGAGAAATAATTTCGTTGTTGCATGACCACTCTTTTCCATTCGCTCGAATTCAATTAAGAATTGATTAAACATGGTACAAATATCATTCGAAGAGAGTTCATCGTGAATTCTATCATGTTGAATGGCAATTAAATTCGCTGGTTTCACTATCATTGAAACGCTTTTGTTTCGATACGAGAAACTATATGTTTGTCACTGATCTTGTCTAGTAAGACGTGCTCGTCGTCTGACTGAAAGAACGAGAAGGTTGATTTGAAGAGAAATGAAGCGCAATAAATATGAATGTTTCACTGATTAGTGACGAACGCTTGTTTTGCTTTGATTGAAGACGTCAATATATTTTAATAATAGAACGAACATATCTACAAATTTACCTGGAACTAGTTCTTTTCAGTTTTAAATGAAAAGATTTCGTGTTCAATAAACCTGTTGACGACGACTTGAAACCAAAGACAATGAAAACGTTTTTTTTTATTCTCCTTATGCTTACGAAAAAAAAAAGATGACATGCGTAGCTAATATGTTGTCCTTCAATTACAACATTTAGCTGTAATTAAGAGTCTCATTCGTTTTATAAGGTCAATAAAAAACATTCGTTTGTGTCTATTAACTATTCTAGACATTAAATAAAAACCATGTAATGATACTCCAACAATGAAGTCACTGCACTACTTAACGTTGATCGATGAATGAATTCCTTTTCATGGCCAGACGGAGCCTTGATCTTCCCACTGGTTTAATGAAATTTCTTTATCCGTCTCATCGGCTTACTCCAAACAGATAATTAAGTGTAAATGGAGTTCTTAGTATTCCAATATAATAAATTTCGAACGTAGACAAACATAACACAACAAAGTCAAAACAGATAATTGCTTTTGCATTAAATACTCGTTGCTGCTTGGGGTGAAGCAAGTGTTTCTGTAACCATCACTGAATGATGATTAGCTGGTCTGAGCGATGTGGTTGTCGGTTTAGGTAGAAATGCGTTTGGATCAAGAGAGCATTTTTGAAAAAATGAAAATATGTCAATTGGTAAAGGAAAAACAATCGTTGAGTTTTGTTCAGTCGCAATACCATTCAAGGTTTGAAGATAACGTAATTGCATTGCACAAGGAGATTGAGAAAGAATATCGGCTGCTTCTTTTAACGCTCGTGATGCTTTAAATTCACCTTCACTAACAATAATCTAGGAATGAGAAAGGAAAACAACAAACTAGGAGACGATCATAACTGTAAGATTACTTTGGCCCGCGCTTCTCGTGCTGCTTCCGCCTCTGCGGCCATAATACGTTGTAACATTTTTGGTAGACGTACATCTTTGATTTCTACCCGTTCAACTTTAATACCCCAATTCGCTGTGGCTTCATCCAAGCATATACGCATCGCTCTGGAAACGGCACCACGATCACAAAGTAATTCCGACAATAACCGCGTGCCAAGGACATTTCGTAATGATGTTTGTGCAAGAAGACGTGTTGATTCTTGTGCATATTCAACATTAGCAACTGATACTGTTGGATTGAACACACGGTAATAGACGACTGCGTCAACTGCAACTGTAACACTATCACGTGTTAGGACTTCCTGTGGTGGTACGTCAAACGAAACCGTACGCATATCGACAAGATGAATGGTATCAATACATGGTAATATAAAACACATACCAGGACCACGTACGGAATTACTTGTTAGACGACCTAAACGAAATATGACTGCACGTTCATATTCTTGAATAATCTTCAGAGTGAGAAAGAGTGAAAATGGAAACAAAAGTATAATAAGACACCATGAACCAAGAATCAATGCTGTTTCACATATGGTGCGTTTAGTATCACGAATATCTTCTCCTATAACGTAGGGCACATCATATTTCGACCATAGACGACGTATACTTGATCGTGTCTGCTTCAATAAAACATCATCACGACGACGATCATCAAATATAGCCGATATTGATGATTTTCGTGATAAACGTGATGACAGAGGCACTGTTGGTAGTAATGATTCTTGAGGTGACAACATTTGTTGTGATGGTGGTAGTGGTTGTTCATTAGCAGTTTCGTTCAGAAAAACTTCATTCGAGGAACTGTGTCGAGATGGACCCATGGATAAGAACACTAGAAGAATAGAAAAGAAAACCTGTTTATGAACCTTGGCAAGCACCGTTTAAAACAACAGAATCAGCTCACTCCGTCATTTTATTCATGAGTAATGAAGAAGAACGCAAAGAATATCCGTTTTATTTAAAACTAGAAAAATTAAGCGGAACAAGAAGTTTATCTCGGTAGATTTACACGTTCAACACGTTAATGAGAAGATAAGCAGGACAAAAGTTTATAGAGGATTCTCCTTCTTGTCGTATTTGCGTTCATCACCAGCATGAAGATTTTTTTTCTAATATCGAATAGAATGTCATGAAGTGTGTGTATTTCAAGCGAACATGAAACTCAATTGAACAAATCAGATCGTTTGTAACTTTACTTGCTTCTCGTAGACGATGTACGATTGCTTACCGAGCGAATAGAAAAAGAATCATTTTCATAGTAATCTATGTGAATCTGCAACGAATATCGTCTTTTGATTGTCATAACATTAGACGATTTCCTTTCTCTTTTCTCTCGACGGATTGAGAAGGATTCTACTCAATACGCGAAGCTCACCTATATTTTCATCTGCGAGAAAATAGAAAAGAAGACATCAAATTACGGTATAAAACCTGGAAACATGCACAAGCAGACTTATCTGATTAAGGTTATGATTGATTGTGGATTTCTTTTACATCATCTATCTTTTCTTTGTCTTTTGTCCGTCAAGAAAACAAGAGTACGCTCTATTAGATTGAATGACCTCATACAATTCGACCTATTCCACATTGTCTCACACATACGACTGAATTAACATAAGGAAAGGAAGTGATCGGCAATCACATTAGAGATTGCGAAGAAATCCAACGTTTGCTAACTCTTATCTAACTATTCAAATTAATCCTTGATGAAAAGTATTGCCTGAGAATACAAAATGTCGTAATAACGTGATAATTGTTTCTACTTTAAAACAGATGTGCATAGTTTGCTGCGACAATGCCAAAGATGATTGCAAGGTTAAGTAATGAAGCTCAATATTATTGTCAGTACGCTTCATTTCATTTCTTGAACGTCGCTGAATGAAATGACTTTCAGTAAATAAACCAGTGTTCTATGTAATTGACCCAACTTTGTTATTCAAACAATGCTCGTGTTTATTCTGACAATAGTCAGCGATCAAAATCTACATTTTCTCCCTTTTGATACTGTTAGTTTAGCACTTCTATAAACGAAATGTTTCTAAGTGTATTCTTCAGTTTTTCTTGCACAAATGAAAAGAACCACACTTCGTTTTTCAAGACAAATCGCACGAGTCTGTATCTTGATTAAGTTTTCTTTCCATTCTGTAAACAGTATTAGAGTTTCCTTTGCAAGTAATACTAATGAAGGTCTCATTCAAATGACTTTTTGCAATGAATGTCATGTTTGTTGTCTAATCTCGACTGTCGTTTTTCAAAAACTTACTTTCATCTTCAAACATGATCGAGTCACCGCAAGTTTCCCGTCAGTACTTTGTCGAATGAATTCATTTATGAACAATATCTCGCTTAATATGCAACTCATCTTTCTTTGAATAAAACACACATTTTACTCGCATCTCGAGTGATGTCTCTAGGCACAGACATGTTTCTTTTTCTCCTTGGTGTAACTGAATGAAATCATGTAGATGAATGTCAATATATACTCGATATCTCACAGAAGCGCTTCACTAAATTTTATTTAAAAGCTAATCAATGCAAAGGAAATCTATCTCACAGGGTCTGTTAGCATTCTTAAAAATAAGTTAACAAATAGATAATTGATCCTCGTCAACAAAAAGTGTATGTCCACTGATACGAGACATCAGAGCGTCGACAAAATCATGTTCACTTGGCCAATATTCCTTGAACCGTTCACGCAATTCACTTTCGTGTGGCGTTTCACTCGTAGCTGTCATAATGATCAATCGATGTGGAACAACAGGATTTTCACCATCACAATAAGCAAATAATAAACGGGCTCGTTCGAATGCATCTGAAGATGAGTTATCGTCAATATGACGTAGGAGTACAGCTTGTATGTCACTGCCTGACTTGAATAATAGTTGAAGATCCTGGTCCAATTGTAGTTTACCACCACGGTGTGACTTAAGATCGATTTCGGTTGATGCCTAAAACAGGCAAAGTACAAGATTGTTTAGTTTGATTTACCATCTGAAAAGCGAATGCAATTTACCGTAGTTGCGCGTGATTTTCTGTTTACAAATTTAAGTAGACATTGGGCAATTCTTGCAGCACTTTTCTCTTTTGGTGACAGAATCAGTAAAGTTGATACACCTTCTCGATGAGTTTGATCCATAATCGATTTTAGTGAAGCCGTAATAGTATATTGTTGTTCATGTACAAGTCGATTATTTGGATCGATGTTCGAGCGCCAATCTTCTTTTTGTGAATTTGAATCTGAGTACGAGTCGGAAACCCGGGAAAATATCACTGCAATTGCTAGAAAAATCAACGCTCCGATTATGAGAGCAGAATTGTTTCCGGCTGAATTTTGCTACAAAAATGGAGTTTAGACTTGGCTGAAGTTCTATCCATCATTTACTTTGGATTGCTTTTTAGGAGATACACCATTTTCCGTTGTTTCATCCTTTGATTTTATATTTGACTCATCTGTTTTGTTTAAGTTATCAGCGCGTTTTTTCTTACTCTAAATAAAAGTGCATACATTTTTGCGAAAGTAAAAACAAATCAAATTATCAGAAAAGGATTTTTACCTGGTCTTCAGTGGTCTGGTTCCCTTCCTCTTCACCAGAGTTAGAATCAGCAGGGACAGAATACTTAGCGTCGGGTAATCCCTCCTTTTCCGGTGACTTGTTGCCAGAAGAAATGTGGCTATCTCTTTTTCCTTTGCCTTCTCCCTTATCCGTCATGATTTCAAACCAAAAGCAGGCAGTAGATAAGTAATGATGAAAGTAAAACGAGCTAGTAGATGAATGAATGAGGATGAGTCATAGATTTATATTAAACCTTTACAAAATATTCCATTGGACAAGTGATTCTAACCATTCTCCTTTTGTTTCTGAGTGTACATATCGGCATATTGACTGAATTCCAAAATCACATCACTCATATATCAAGAAATATGTCCCATGAAAAATCAACTGATCTCAATTATCGTCGTTTTCCATTAGTTTAAAACCGTTAGCAACTTGATACTGTTTACCCATGCAGTATATGGATAAACCATCTCGACCTGTTGATACCGTTAATCAGGTTTTCAAGTCCTGAAAAGTACCATTTTCCATCGATTTCCAGCAAGACAAGACTTTTTGGTGGGAATTCGTGTTCCAGTCAGACATGTAATAAATACATGATACTTCTGTTAAACAATATTTAATTTGAGTAACATATATTATCATTTGTACTTTGCCTTTCCTTTGCGAACATTTTTATCATTTCGGCCACTATTTGCGATCATATTTTGATAAAGCCATGACATTTTATCGAGTGACTCAAGATAGATGTTTTTGAAAAGGTGTCACTTGCCCAAAAACGAACTATAAAAACATTTCTGTATCGCATTTATTCTACATATCCAATACTTCAGGAATGCGTACGAATTTTTTTTCAAAGCTATACAAATTACTGTTCATTATGTTCAAGACTTCGATCATAATTTATTTTAGATACTGTCCACTACTTTCACTATGTTTAAACTATCATTGATAAATATTTTCTTTTTAACGACATGCATTCTGCCTGGAATATCGGTCTTTATCTATTTGAGTATACCCGTTTACACTGTAAGGGTGTTTGGTGTTAGTATTAGTGATCAGTCCACACGTGATGCTGCGCAGCTATGGGTTCGGACAACGGCCAATGGTGATATACTTGTTTCACTATTGAGTGGTATTGCTTTGTACAAAGAATCGGATTGGAATTTTCGACAAATTGTTATTCGTGTGTGTTCAATATCGAATTTTGTTCATTTCGCTTGCTTTCTCCTTCATCACTATTTCGTTGCACATCACCATATTGGTTTAGTTCTTGTATATTATTCAGCATTGTCGATGACGTTGCTCACTGGCTTAGGTTGGGGACTTAATTGGGATCAAATTCGGAAAAAGCAGGCGAAAAATCCCGATCAAATACAGTTGAATGTTGACACAAATGCCTGATTGAATTACGTCTTTCATATCTTGTGTTATCATTTTGTATTCTGAAGTGATTTTTTGCTAATCAGTATGTAAATTAAATGCTCACTAATTTTCCTATACAAACCGTCAATTGATTTCGAGTGCAGAAGACTAGATAACTTAGAAAGTGCTTATTTATTTTGTACATAAAAAGAGCAAGAATACAGATTGAGATTTGACATGAGTGTATACAGTAAGAAACGAGAGAGATTTAAGTAGGAATTGAACTCGTTGGTTGTTCATTATTATCCAACACTTGATAACCATGTTCCTGTTTCTTCGTATTCTTATAAAGAATATAATGTTGAACAAGAAATATCAGATCGAATCCCATGGAAATAATTCCCAAACCCAATTTAGTTATCGAACCAAATATTGATGACCAATCGTTGTAATTAATTGCTAATAAAACCATTTGTATGAGACTAAGTATTCCACCGAGAAAGTCTAACCAAACATTCCCAATGGACCAACCCTCCGTTGATCTTCGTCGACGATTCATGACTGCTTGTGGAATGTATTTGATACACGATGCAATTAGTTTCACATAGGAATAGAAATAGATCAGCAAAAGTAAATCCATTCGACCAACAGCAGTTACAATTGTCGTTATAGTTAGAAATAAAACCGACAGGACTAATAAAATTGATGTGATGTACGAAACACGTTGTGTTGAACGCTAAAAACAAAACAAGTTTACAAATGAATATCTAAATCCATTGGATTTACATCATAGAAAAGACATTGAAAAATGGTTATCAATGTCGCAATAAATCCGTGTAAACCAAAAACGACATCGTTGACTAAGACAGGAATAACACCATGTGGATGTGACTTTCGATAACTATCCTATAAAACAAGAGTCGAACATTATTCTCGTTCATCCTGTGAAACAAAACAAACCTGAACATCCCGCCATGAATACAATGCAATATTATAAATTGAATAACAGAAGAATCCCAATAGATTAAAAGCTAAGAAGTCGAAATGCAAACCCACAACGCTGAAGAAGACAAAAATATCAAGCGAGATTGTGACTGTTAATTCGTAATTTTCATCTATACCTTTGCCGCCGTATGTTCAAAACAATTTGTGGATAAAACGAGCAAGACCAAGCAGCAAAATAAAGCCAACCAACAATATTAATCAAACGATTCAATTTTGTACTTCGTGCAATGTTAATGCGAAGAAAATCTCGTTCAGTTAGATTATTATTCAGACTGGGTGTCGCATTACAACCAACAATCAAATGACCGGGACGACGACCCGAGATTTGTAAAACAATTTGCATAGGAGCTAAATGCCGTGGAAAATGAACCGGTTTCAACGGTTGAATGTAATCTGTTGATGGACTTCGATCAAGTCCGTAAACGAATGAAACGTTGACTGGTTCATCTTGTTCAGATCTAATAGCCAAGAGAAATGAATTTGAGACAAAACAAAAAAGCAGTAAAATCCTACACTAATTGAATCGTAGCTGTAGTATTGTGGTCAACAGCTACAGTTAAACTTGGAGGATCGAACAAAAACACGTGATTGTTAGCAGTCAATTGTTCACTGTCTAAGATATGAGAAGAAATCAAGATTTTGAGGAATTCGTCAGTTTGATTATCTTACTTGTGCGATGAAGAATAGAGATGATTAAAAGAGATAAAAGAAACATTCCTTTGAGATGAAAGGATTGCATTTTTGTTCTGTATGAGAATAGAATGAGATCATTCGTATACATTTGTCATGTCAAAAAATTCAGATACAAAATAGACCAATAGGATTGCAGAACAGAGGTCATTAATCGAAATAAAATACTTCGTTACTGTTGGTCAACAAATGTCAATAGAAGTACGATCTTTTCTGTATGATGAATATAGAACATCAAACAGATTTTTAATCTTCACTGATTATTTTCTATTTTTACTCGCTTTTCATTTTACAAATAAGGTATCGTACTACGATCAAATCCTACATCCATGCTTTCCGACGTTCGCGATTCGTCTAGAAATCTATGTTTGCGATTAACATCAACAGTTCGAGAAATTCCTTTTTTGCTAAGAAAAAGAAAAGTAACACGGCGATGGAATTTACCCTCGGATAGAATTAACTATTATTATCAACTTCCTTTGAAACAAACGATTTTTTGCGAGAACATATTCATTTTCTTTTTCTATTTGTATCCAAGTATTATAGAACGCTGATTTTTCTCTAATACATTCGAGGCACAGAAAAAATTTCTCGTTTAGATTATTTAATCGGATTCCAGAAGAGATCTTTTGTGCCATTTCTCTATCGACTAATCGAGATGTCATTAATTTTTACGATGAGTCATCTTAAGACGAAGTTTCTATTCATATATCGTCTTTCAACATCTTGAAAGTACATTCTGTACTTGACTATTCCATCAAAAGATATCCAGAAGGAATGAAGAAAAGTATGATTATAGTTTCTTCGATCGACGCACAATATCGACGATTGGAGAAAAACTAAATCCTTGAGAAAAAAAAAAGAACAAAGAACATATTGCCGGGTATATTCTCTCGAAATAGTGGAGTATGCTCGTTAGAGAATGAAGAACAACATATGCCGAGCTTGGTGAAAACATCATTTAGAACGAGAGAAAAGAAAACTTCAGCTGTTGACGATTGAACAAATAAGACATGTCGTTGTTTTGTCGAAATAGCAATATTTATTTGTAGATCTCTTTCTTCTTTTGATCTTTTTTTAGATTCTAATGGAGACTAGAGCTCGATCGGTATGAGAAAACGATTATTAACAATAAAATCTTCCGATGCGAACGTCGCTCAAGTGTCTCGTATTCTATTTGATTGTTGGCGTCATTGCACTCAATCTTTATTTTCTCGGTCAACTCTATATACAACATCAAAATAATTCAGACAACGAACAACAACAAGAACACCATCTGCATCAGCATGTTAAGCAAAATTTTGAGAATATTCCTAAAGCAGATGATTCAATTGCGGACAAGCCATCTTTTAATCTTAAAATTACCAATGAATTTCTGATATTAGATTGGACAGGTCATCAACATATTTTCCGAGAACAAGATCCAATCAAATGTAAGTTTAAATGAATAGACGTCAAAATCAATTTAATTGTATAGAAACAGCATTATTTTGCATGACTTATATTTATCGACCGACACATCTGTGACCGTCTTTTACTAACATTGTTTGTAGGAGTTGTCAGGCACCAGCTGTATTGATACAATGATAAACTAATACACTCTTCGATTTTGATTTCGTAAAGAAATGAAGTATCTTCATCGACAAGACAGAATGATTGAGTAGAACAATTATAAACGAACAAAGAAATTATAGTCAGATTGATACTTCCCACATCCAAATGCTGCAGTTCGTGTCACTTCATTAAGGAATATTCGAAAGTGAACTAAATCTAAATTAACAGATTGTAGACTTCTAATTATTCCAGGGATGTATGAAAATATCGTACATATTTTAGGTGATTTCTCCGATATTACTCGTGAGCAATGTACATCAAAATTTGAAACAGTAACAAATGAAGCTCTTCGATCACATTTGATTGAACGCTGTGCGCGTTTGCCAAAATTAACTGTTCGATGGACCGATGATCAATCGCGTCTGAAAGAAGCTGATCTTGTTTCGTATCATTCCATTCACATGCCATCAAATAGCTTACCAAAATTAGAACGAAGTGATAAACGGCAACAATATTCAACAGTCTATGTACTTGAAAGTGAAGTACATTCATCTGGTGGTCGTGACTGGCATGAAATCGATTTTCCCATGTGGTATAATCTTGCACGTTCATATCCGGAACCAGCCACTTATTTCGATGTGAAACTCTATTTGGACAAACTTTTCGCTCCTGTCCGTGTACCATTTACCGCTAAGACAACATCTGCTCCCATTGTATGGATTATATCTAATTGGTAAGTTTTTTTAACATTGTTTGATCTTTACCGAATATTTTGTCTTCGTTCTTTAGTAACGCATACAATGGTCGTCAAACTTTGGTTCAACAATTGATGACTTATATTCGAGTCGATTCCTATGGTAGCTGTCTTAATAATGCTCAGTCAGCCCAAGCACAGGCACGTGCACAATCTAATGCCGAATTATATGCATCGTATAAATTTGTTATATCTATCGAAAATTCCAATTGTGAAGACTATGTTACAGAAAAACTAATCGATGGTTTATCATCAACAGCTGTTCCTATTGTGGCCAGTCGAAATGGCAAACCAGATTATACACGATTTGCACCGCGACACTCGTATATCAATGTTTATGATTACAAAACAGTTAAAGAACTCGCTGATCATTTGAAGTATCTATCGAATAATGAGACAGCTTACAACGAATATTTATGGTTTAGACGCGCACCCGCAAATAAATACGCGGTAAGTTCGAATAGAGTGATGAAAACGAAGTATAGCAGTTTATTTTTCTTTCCTTATTCTAGGCATCAGGCGCTACTGAACGTTCATTGAGCGAGAATCTTCGTTTAGCGGATGAAATCTTAGGTAAAAATGCATCGATGCGTGAATGGTTATTGACAAAAGAAGCTAGTATAAACAAATATTGCAAATTAACTAAATTTATTCATATGACCTATTGGAAACTCATCTATAAGAGAAAGAAATATAATCGACCAGCAATAAATGAAGTTTGTTTACCTTCCGATGATCTTGGCGCATATTTCACCAAACAATCTACTCCTCCTCTTGTTGCTGCTGATTAAAATAATGGTTGGTTGCTTGTTTTTTTTTATCCAGAAGATAAGTTGTGATTTTTCTATTTGTTGTCTGTAAGTTTTTAAAACAAAATTTCATCGCGAATAAACGTTGTTCAACAAAAAAAAAATAAGATCGATGGTAGTTGTAGCGAACTTCAATGAGATACACTTTTCGGTTGAAGTTTTTCAATACCATTGATCGTTAATGATGAAATATTCGACAGTGGTTGGTGAGTCTTAAAGTACAGGATGAAATACAGCTTAAAATTTTTTGTAAACTACGCACGGATTTGTTTTTTTTCGTGTCATTCTATGTATGAATGAAAATTCGATAAAAAGAAAACAGAAATAATCTGCTTAGATCTTACATTTTCTTTGGCAACGACCAAAGATACTTTGATTTTCGACGATGACAGCTGCGATCACAAATGCATTCAATATTTGCTTGATAAACGAACGTGTCCTACCTTGTTCAAATTTGTCAATGATAACATCGATGTTGCTCTACTTCTTTTGTTCTTAATTGATTTGATTTGTTTTGGTTTCGATATTCGCGATGATATTTTCTTAATTTTATCGACTCGTAATATCGGTCCAACATCATCATCTCGTGTTCGTTGTCTCCAATACTGAATAGAATATCTCCAACAACAAGTGAAAAGGACAATGAGAAGAAGAAAGACGAGTAGAAATGGCAACCGCCATGATAAAAATGTTTTCCATATTAGATTAGCTGGATATCTGTTATCTGTCACACAACTATCATACATAGCAATTCATCGAGAATAGACATGAAATTTCGAAAAATATGATTAAACAAAAACAAAAACAACCGCGAAATTACATAGCTATTGGGAATTCAAAGAATATACGCAAAATAATCATTTTAAAACGTTTACAATAATAATTTATTCAACAGAATGCGGTATGATTCTGAGAAAAAACACAATCATCAGTATGAAAGAGAAAACTACGTTCATAAGTTCATCGGCGCCGTCGGTGAATTTTTCTACGCATCAAAAATGTCATGATATGCAGATTTCATTATCGGCTATATAAAGACGGCGAAGAGCTTTGCCTGTTCCATTTTTCTCGTTAAGTTTTCTCGCTACTATTACGCAGTTGACTTGTAATGTTTCTTCGATCAATTATTATTCTATCAATCTTCGCACACTTTTCTGCTTATGGCATGGTTCTAGTCGATCCAATGTATCGCAAAGCTGAATTGGCTCTGAATCACTACAGTGCATCGTTATCTCGAAATCCAATTGTATATTCTCTGCTGAACGTTCTCATTCATGATCAACAAGCAAAAGCGTTTGTTTCTGACGAAGCGATCGAACTGGCTTTGCAACATATTAGAGAATTTGACTTGGAAATCAACGACCATACTGAGAAAATCTTTCGTCAAATCATCTACGGTGTAGATTGCGGACCTGCTGACAAAGATTGCTTGTCGAAAGAACAAGGTTCAGCCAGGACACCATCACCAGACACCCAACAACGGATTGTCGCTGCACTGGACAACTTCTTTGAAAAAAATCAAGTTAATGAACAATGAGCTCTACACATAATGCGCGTTCAGAGACTTTCTTTCAAACTAAACTTCGTGGATAGATCACTGTATACAACTATGTATGTGCTGTTCTACGTTCCAATAAAACGTTTGAAGTTACGATCAAAGAATTCTCTGTTGAAATCAAATAAAGTATTGTGCTTAGTGTCATATAATCAACAAAGAGCATTTTTATTTTTAATATGTAACTGGCAGAAACACGACATGTTTCTAGGTAAAAATAATGGAATCATGAAAAATGATATTTGACACAGCTCTGTGTTTTCCTTTTTGATTTTACACAGTTCAATCAACACGGTCATAATGATTACTCTTCCTAGTTTCTTTGACTTGCCCGAAAACAATTCTAATAAGTGTATGTCTAAAATTTCTCATTAAAAAATGTTTTTAATGTAGAAAAAAACGCTTTCTAATGGTTCAATCTATTTTTGCTCCGTGCACCATCGTTTTATTTGACGTTTTCAAATTTATCGCCGTATGTCTTCTCTATTCTATTCAGTCAGTCTATCACAACTGTCTGACTTTTTTCCTTTCTTTCGTTCTGTCTTTCTCTCTCTCCTGCACGAATAGACATTAGCCATTCAATCGAATCTAACACCAAACAAAATATTATCTTTCACACAAACATGTATATGTTCAATCGAGCAAATGTTTCCTAAGTGATCACTGATACTTCATATTTGTCAAACGGACATCAGCAATGAATCCACTAACCACAACAACATGTTCACCAGTTATGGTCGATCAAATATTTCGTTCGTTGTTACAGAATAATCCGCGATCAGATAATGTTCGAATGACCACATCCGAAACCAGACCACCATTAACTTCACCACCAGCGAAAAATACCATTCGATTCATCGAAAACGATCAAAATAATCGCCGTGAAAAGTATGATGGTTATCGATGGAGACTTGTGTGCACATGGAACATATACGACTGTACGAATCTTGCTGGTACACGACAGTTATGTGGAAAACATAACGCTATGCAACGTCATAAAGAAGTACCGAAGAAAAAGAGACCGCCGCTATTAACAACTATATCACTACCAGTTGGTAATCACTTAGGTAGTTGATCTTCATTTATGAATTTAAACAAAGCAAATTTTTTCCCATTTTAGGAAATCTGTACAATCAGAAAAATATGCTTCATCAGAAAGAAAATCCAGCATACAGTGACGATGATGATATTCAAATAATTGAAGAATTTTGCAAAGTAAAAATCTAGTTTCTTTCGTATAAATGTTTAGCTTCAATTTATATTTTAGAAGCCAGCGATTCGCCATTCGACGAATACTCATGTTAAGTTAGAGACGGCAGATTTTAATGTCTTTTCCGTGGATCATGTCGATGAAGCTGATACACGTTTGAATGTGAAACCAGAACCGACGGTAAGTCATTTTTCGACGAACACTTAAGCCATCCGTATTCTCCTGTGACCGAACAGAAATCATTCATCAACTTTGTGTCAGTAACCTATGGTGAGGATCATTTAATTCTAATCAGGATGTAATCGGTTCGCATTCTCATACATTAAGCATAAGCTGCTCGATAGTTAAACGCATATGGAGATATCAAGAGATAATTTATGAATGGAATTCATTATCATCTCTAGATACGTCTATTCCATTCCGACTTTGTTATATTATCTCTTCTCTTCTTCTATAATTTATTTTGATCATTGAGTATAAATCAACTTAGCACTTTCTTCTGTGAAATCATCAATCCTGTACACATACACAACGACACTTCACCTTTTACACACAGATGTTCTATTCCATTTGCTAATACTTTTAGACTTCGTCTGCTCATCGTCCAAGTTCCAGTACTGATATTGAATATCTCAGTTCCACAACACGTTCCAATGGCTTAAATATTTCAGAATTAATCGCAAAAAAAATTCCGCCACTGACTGATTTCGAAGAAGAATATATTGCGAGCCGCTTAATGGAAAAATTTGCAACAACTTGTCCCATGCTAGATGCTCAACTGTTTCTACAGGACGAAGCGGTGAACGTTGTCAAAAAGAACTATCGTTTGAAAGTAAGTTCATTGTCCTTCATAACCTAAACGATTTCTACATAATTACACATCGTACTTCTACTTCATAGATGGACGCAGTGGCACCTGAATACTTCTACGACTTTCTTCTTCGCCATCCACGTGTAGCTCTCCATTTTAATAATTGGTTTCTTACCTGTAAAGCTGTACCACCGACAACTGGTTGTCCTGTCGATACTAAAGTATGGACGTTGAGTATGATCGTACGTGGTGCTTTGGCAGCTGACAGAATAATTGATGAACACGACGGCTAATCTTCTCTTTCTTCTGTTTGTTTCCTTTATCTATATCATTTCGTACTTCGTTCCTTGTTGTTTTTGTAATCAATGTCACCTGTTCTTTTACGTTCTAAATCATAACCTATCTATGTTTATCCTCACTTTCTTGTCTTTGATTTGTGAATATCAGATGAAAAAAGTACAATTCATTTGAAATCATCCATTTATACAGTTCTTTCTGACTCACTACTACAAATTCTCCCGTTGAAGATTTTCAAATGACTCGAAAATACCGTTCATTAGAATAACTGGCTTCTTTCGTGAAATGAATTTATTCTACATCACACGAACCGAACAACACAAGCAACAAAAACAGGGATGCGCAAAAAATATAAATACTGACAAGCTATACAAACAAAGTTAATAGAAAGATGAGTAAGGTGTGTACGATAGACCGTAGTTCGAATACATAGCCGGAGTTACCGGTGAATCATGTGTCGGATAGTAGTAACCATTGATCGGAGAATACGACGAATTCATTGACCCATAGGACATGGCTGGCGATGATGGCCAGTAGCCTAAAATAGAAATACGAATGACTTATGTGTCTAGCGATAAATAGAACACTCACCACTGGATGGACTAGAGGTAATCGCTGGATCGAATACAACGTCAGACATGCTCATAGGTTTTCTGTCCACCACTGGTGATTGAAATGACGGCATGGTATTTTCTTCTTCGGGTAGCACATAAGCGGGCGTGGGTGCGACTTTTCGAGTACGAGCACGACGATTGCTGAACCATATCTATTTAACCCAGTCCAACAAATATTATTGTTCTACCAGTAATAAAGTGATGCCTACCTGGATTCTATTTTCTTCAATATTCAACTGTTGCGACAGTCGCTCACGTGTAGAAACATCGGGATACGGTGTTCGAGCAAATGTTTTCTCGAGAATTTCAAGTTGCTCAGCATTGAATGACGAACGGTAGCGACGTGTATTGTTTGGTAAATTTCGTACTGGACGTAATGGCAATGTGTCACTCAATGAATTATCTAAAAATCATATAATCTCTTCGAAAACTAGTTCAAACAGTAAGCACTCTTACTTTTGCTTTCGTCAGATTCTTCTGTCGTGCTATCGAATTCATTGAACAGCTGTTGACCATTAGTCTTCATATCCGTTCGATTGGGGCGATTTCCAATGGGACCTGGCTTGTATGAACCTGTTTCGTTGTAACGTGAAAGAATCTTCGACACACACCCATGAGACACTCGAAGCTACAAGAAACCAATTGAGTTTTTCAAATCGTCGGAACTCTTGTTACCGTACCTGACGACTGATAGCACAAGGTCGAATATCGTTTCTGGCCATTTCGATGATTTGACGACGAATATCATCCGGTAGCGGGCGACCATTGATGAAGACTCCACCAAGTTGATTTACACGACCATGACCAGCTAGAAAAAGTTCAACTGGAAATTTTATCAACAAAAATCAATCAAATCATACCGAGAAGAGCTTCTTGTTCAGCTTGTTGATACATTGTTGAATAATCCCTAGAAAAGACTTTGATTAGAGTTTGAATAGATTACCTTACAGCGAAAAAGAAGAACTGTATTAGAATATATGATACGATGGTTCTCTTCGAATTGTTGATGATAGTTGTACTTGTTGTTGATGTTGAATTGATTAACTGTGATGAAGAAGTGAAGATGTACGGCTAGTTATAGGAGAAGATAAGTGTGAACAAAATTGATAAACAGAAGAGAGACAGAAGACGAAATAACCTGCTGCGTTAATAGATTGATAGAAGATGTAACCTGCATCTAATTTATTGATAGGTTGTTTTTCATCTGTGAAGACGAATCGTCTAATTTCTTATTCGATTGTTGTTAACAAGTAATCGTCAATGGATGAAATATACTTCGCATCATCATCAACATGGTGTCATTTTTGTATATTTTATGCTAGATGAATGATCAAAACTAATCAACACCTCAGTCGGCGGTTGTATGTTTTTGATTAACTGTTCATCGAGATGAAGATGGACATGTTCGGATTGACTTTCTACGATGCTGATTCACTCGGATAGCGTTTAGGGGAGAGACACAGTCGGTTGATTAGTAGAAAATGTTCGTGTAAATTATGTGATTAATTAGTGCAGGTGGAATGAACAAAACAGCTGCTGCCGCGGAATCGTAGTCTGTACGTTGATTTGATATGGCCACTCCTACTTGGAATGTCTATAGCAAATACTTGTGAATGAAGATAGAATGATATCCGTTTCACCGTTTCTTGATGATAGATTCAAGTCCATAAATTTTCTTCGGATAAGAGCAGATTGACTTGGAGATTTTTTCACGAAGGACGAAAATTGAGAGTTGTGCAGACGTCTTCGTGTGAAATGATCTAGTGTGATGTGGGTGTATACACTGGAGATTTGTAGGAACTTTCTTGTTGTTACATGAACATAGGTCATCGAGTCATATGCCCATTACTGGTTATGAATTTAGATTGGTAGCCCTATGAAAAAGATTCGTTCGGTATATTTATTTATTGAAATTAACTAGCAGCATTAGTTACAGTTCACGGGATTCGTTCAAATTTGGCGATATACATTTGGTTTTAGTGTAGTTGCATAATTTGATACCATCAGAGAGTAAACAGCCTTTATTTTACATAGACTTTCAGTAGAACGGTTTATTCGTCTAAATACTTAATTCTTTAATAATGGCTGCAGTAAAATTAGAATTACTTAAGCTATTGTATTCGTCTAGATGGTAATTAAGGTTTTAATAATAGATGAGCTTGTTCAAAGGCGTTATTTGTAGGATTAAATATAGTAGTTGGAAGCACATCAATGTCTAATTATTCCTTAAAGGTGAATTGTTCTTACTAGTATGCATGATGGGATTAGTGGAACTCGGACCCGCTTCTCCTATCGCTCCAGGAATGAAAAGCTGAATTCAGAAGTAAACATGAATAATACTTGGTGTTTGTCTCAAGTTGTTGAGAGTGAAAGGCGTTTTCTTTTTGCTATGACATGCTTGATTGCCACTGCACTTGTTGCACTACGTTGTAACATTTGAAGGATACGTTACATCGTGTCTTGCTATGTAAATTAAATAGTGACGGTTGGTTGAATTATGGCGAGATTCAAAGATATTTTACATTAGATGAGAATCGAAACGAATAACGAGAAGCATATTTATTTTTCTTCTTTTTCTCTACAACAACTATACATGAGAAACAAAAGATTCACAAGCTTGTCAAAGTTTCTTGAACTTCGTCAATAACTATAGATGGATTGTCTTCTGTATTGGATAGTAAAACCTTCGTCACCGAATGACGCGTAGTGATTGAATATTTTCGTTGTGACTTTTGTTTGATACTTCCGGTCATTGATGACGTTGAAAACGAGAGATCCGTTGTGTTCGCCGGATTGGAAACAACTGTCGTAAAGAGTTTGCGTCTCGTTTTTCGTTTGGGTTTGTTCACGGTTAGTAACGTTGATGGACGCTTGTCCGATTGAGTTTTGCTACTTGCACTACTTGTCGAACCTATTGATCGCACCTTGTCAAGTAAATAAGATCTGATCGAGAGTGAACGCTTGCGCGGTTCAACCTTGTAGGGTGATTTTTGAACAGTTGACTCAGTATCACTCAGTGAACTTTTGCCATTTTGATAATCATCACTCGTGCGATCGAAACTGCATGAACCATCGTCGGAGACATTCCGTGGTTGACCATTACTGCGGTTGTATGTGATACTTGTCTGCATCGAGTTATTTAGTTTTCGACGTTGGTGATGAAGATTCGGTGAGGATAAACGTCCAGAATGACGGTAACTCTCCTGCTGAGGATGATGATAATTATTTGTATTGGTCGAAAGATTGTTTGATAATTGTCGATCCAATGGATGGTGTAGTAAGTCGATTGAATGTTGTTTTATGTTCCACAAGGTACCATGTCCGCAGACCAAGATGGCCTTCAGTAAGGAGATAAGTCGTCGGCGAAATAATTTGCCTGACAAGGAATATAATAAGCAATTCGTTGATGAATTAAACAAATCAATTGACATGAAAAACACGGCGTATTCTTTCACGACTGGACATTCTTTAAATTCAACAACATACAATGTTAAACAATGATACATTGTTAGTAAGATTGGTATTCCCCATGAGATGAGGATGACGAGAAAACTTTCGATTAAAATAACAAGAAATGCGTGTAAATCACTTTTTAAACGACGTTTGCGTCGATTTTTTCTTGTTGATTCTTTCAAATACTGGTAACTTTTGGAAAAGTATATAACTTTGATTGATGAAAGATTGGCCAGAACAGCAATGAAGGATGGTAATGCATTGCCAAAGAAGACTGCTATCGTATGACGGCCGAATCCGAATGAGACCGAATTGAAGAAGTCGTATGTTTTCAACCAGGTTGAATAACTAATGGAAATTTGACATGAACGAGGTTTTAATAATTGAGAAATAAAATCATGGGCTTTAGTTAGGTCAATACGGTCTATCAACGCCGATTGTTTTTTTTCATTGTCATCGATCGAAGATAGGTTTGATAGAATGGTTTCGATTCTTTCCGAAACATTGGCATCGCCATTTGAAAACAAAGATTTGGTGAAGTCTTCAAATTGATCAGTGATATTTGCAAGTAGGCAAGCAGACTAAAACAGATCGATATGTGAAGAGTTTTGCGCGCAAACATTTCTCTATCATCTGTCATATTTTTGACATGGGATGAGCATGATTTCTCCATCCTGAAACAACTCTTGACAACGTATAGTTAGTAAAAATATAGGTTAGCAAATCAAATATAGTCTCAGTTAAGTAGGAAAACTTCAAAAGGAAAAAACGAAGAATTCACTAATTGAAAACATAAGCATTCGCCAACAATATGGAAAAATGTATTTTGTTCATGTTCTGAATAATAATACTTGGAAATATTCAGAATATTTACGCTCTTTATTTGCCTATGTCGGATTATATTCATATAGTTGAACGGGTGTATTTCACACTGCGATAGCCGACCTATAGAGCTATTCTATGCTGCATGTATTGTAACAAATTAGTATGTTTATAATTATGAAGCTGCCATTACGGCAAAGAAAAAAATGACTCCCAAGAAGATGACAAAAACAGGAGAGATGTCTGATTAGTCTCATCCACAAAGGAACTGATTTGTAACGGGAAAAGAGTTTTTATTCAAGAACCTTCTTTGGACGTAAAATATCGAGAAAAACGGGAAGTGCTCTCAGATTTTATCTGCAGTACATTTAAAAAACAAATTAGGATTGCATTCATACTCAATGAACGAATCATGCAGACATTAGTATCATTTTTCTTACAGATTCATTAGGTATTGTCATAAAGAAAAGAGAAACCACTCGTAAAGTCATGTCTGTATTTAATAATTCTTTCGTTTTGTTCGAACCTATTCAACTATTTAATTTGATAAACGTATCAACCTACGAGTCTTATAAACATATGGGATAAGTTATCATTTTTTATAGCATCATACTGTTTTTCGGAAGAATAACTCTGCTTTTGTACTATTTGATTCTTTCATAGAAGTACATGGTGGAACAAAAGAAAATGAATACTTGCTTTTTCTTTCTCCATTTTACGTCACACTAGTTCGAGAAGAACGTCATTGTACTTCAAACTAGTCTGGTCATCACGACCGTTCGCTAAACTCAACTTCACCTGATCTGATTAACTCAGTACTAGTACGAGCAGAGCCAATAACATCTGTAGAGCAATTCTAGAAGAGGTCTCTTCACATCTTAGTGCTAAGAATAAGCATCTATAGATGAACTTTTAATCACTCAATTAAATATTCATGACTGAAAAGGAAAGTTCTTGGACCGAACTATCCAGGATAAAAAAAAACGACATACTTGGTTAGTAGGCGATTTGCCGCTGAACGATTCTAATAAACAACGATAACGATCCGTTGATTCATTTGAATATCGATTTAAAGTTGACAAATAAAATTCTCTCGATGAATCATCTTGAAGAATTCTTTGATAAATGTCTGTGAAAAGCTCAGGGTCAGCGGCAGTATCATAATACACATGTGTCCATTCCATACACGTGATCAACGAGGCAAGAATAAGACTTAAAACACATGCCGAAAACGCAAACATACGTGATTCATGATACGAAAGTGAGAAAAATGTTCGTGTTCGTTGAATACTTAATATAGCTAAGAGTATAGTTGACACACGTAACCACAGAATTCGATATAATATCCATTCCAGACAAAGGCGTTCCGTAAATGCATATAGATAGTCTTTCAAACGTTCAAGATTTTTCGTTAGAAGTAAACATAACCATGATGGTTCAATTGTTGGATAGATTTCACGGTTAATCATATCGATATAACCAATGAATAAACCCATTGAATCGCTTAATAATAAACAAATAAAATAAATCGCAATGGGTTTTTTAATAAAAACATTCGAAGAGAATACCATGATGCAAAGGATATTCGAGATTAAACTAAATATATGAATCAACGGTAATAGATAACACCAAACGAATGGCGAACTTTGATATTTGGCGGAAGTGTTCAAATAATTGTCAATGAAATGCGTTTCCATGGGTGAAGTGTATCGTTCAAATTAAGATACTTGTTCTATGTTGTTCTATTTCGGTATTTTTATTACATCGAATCTTATCTGAAGATAGAGAGTGCAGAAAAATAACATATCATATTTGATAATTAATATCAAAAGAAATAGATGAGGGTAGTGACACTAATCTGTCTTTGTATGCAAAGAATGATTCTAAATAAGTTTTTAATGAAAGAATGACGTTATTCAATAAAAAAATGCCTGCGTATAGAGACAAAGAATAGTGCAAAAATTGCGGAGGGTGGAACAGAAGAATTTGTCTATTAAAAATAGTTTTTTTTTTAAAGAAAGTATCTCAAACTCATTCGAGATGTTCTTTGTTCTCTTCATAGACATTATTTCAGACAAAGTCTGTGTTTTTCAGACAGACAGAGAAACAAGAAGGAAGAGAACAAAACATGAACTAAGCGACATACTATTATATTACTTTATTGACAATCATCTGTCGGCTGTAACTAAATCCCATATAGGATAACGTCTTTGCTGAAGTGTATTGAATACATATATCTACGCAAGCACTCGAATCTTCTTAGAGAACTGATTTACCTCTTGTCAAACAGCGACTGTCAAGCTTTAACTATAGTCTTGCGAGCTATCTTCGATGTGAAGAGAAGAAGGATACGATGGTCTTGAACGAAACTTCATTTTGACATCCAGGTGACAGACAAACAGAAATCATTTCAGCTGAGATGAACATCTCTACCTATACGCATGTCCTACAGGGCTGGTTATGCATTTATATACCTTCCGTTTTCTTTTACTCGTTAGCAATTATCAGTAGGCAAAATGAGTGCCGGTAATTATATAGAAACGAGCAAGAGTAAAGTAATATTTGTCTCATTTCTCTTCTTCCCTAGCGCGCATTTTCCTTTTTTCTATGACATAGAACATATAGCTCATCATTGTCAACGAAAAACAACACGAGATGTTTGCTTTATCTCTGTTCAGCGATAAGCATTAGCTAGAAGCAACTGAGAATCTATTTTCTATCTTTTTAATAGGCCAGGACATGGCATCATCACAATGACTAAGTCAGACATATGAAATCAGATAACTAAATTAATAATTCATACTCTCGTCGACGAGAAAAAACAAAACGAAGATAGGATTCTGTGAAACAATTTCGAAAACAAATCATCTTTCAAGGACGTATTGAAGAAAAAGAGCTCGAATGATCTCTTGTCTAATAAGTTAATAAGTACAAATATATTCGATAAAAATAAAGCTTTCCAATCAAATATCACTGACTACTTTCAGCTGCGTCTCTGTAGACAAAAATAATAATAATGATTCCAACGAGAACAATCAGAGATATTCTATTTCCTTTTCATAACAAAGATTTTCCTGTCAGGCCCTTCAAATACGATTATGACGACGTCATCACAATGCTTCTCAATAATTCCTTAAGTTCATAAATATGTTATCATCAATGGTAGATATATATATATTGCAAAACAAAAGACAAGACGGATATACAAGTTCGTTCTTTACAGTCGATTTGAGAGAAATTAAAAAGTATGTCGAGGTGAAAAGTCAGAAAAATAACAAATGATTTGGATGATCAAACACTTTCATCGGGGTGGTTGAGTCTAACAAATAACTCAGTGTTCAAAGATTAATCTTGATTCGTCTATATGAAATGAACAAACAACTAGTCTTTCAAATATTTTCACCCATGATAACAATCCATTCTATGAAACCTATGCGTTCATTAATCTAACGATGAGGAAAGGCAATCTCTATACGAGACTGATTCTCTCACCATGTTAATTCAAGTTCTTTCTCTGGTAGACACAAGTAAGTCCCACCACTACAGTTTTTTATATCTGACTGACTACATAATAGGATCAAAAGTAGCAGAACAACCGATTTATGATCAGTTTAGCAAATTGGTCTATGCTATATATAAACCTTACCACTCAAAAACATTCTTTGCACTGCGGCTCGTACTTACTCGTTCATGTCATCTCATACCGTACGGGATATTTTTGTCCTTAAGTTCGGAGTACGTTCTCAATCAACTTACCCGGGTTAATTATGATTATATGTTCGACGGAATATAGAAAGAGCCGATTCGGATGAGCAAAGATCATACATCCTAGTTTACAACGATCTACCCGTTGATTTTACTGATATTAATCATAAATTTCCATGAAATTGTTAATTATAATGATTCCATAGCTAAATAACAGAGACGAAATTTTCTATAATGAGTATGGAAAATCGCAAGTGTATTTAAGATGATCTGAAATAAGTAATAGTAATCTTTTTTTTTCAAAACATATTTAGCAACAACTAATAGATATATTAAAAAATTTCTAGCCTTTGCTTATCGGTTAATAATAAATTATGGGGACCCAAGTAACATTTTTGGAACGTAATACTAAGCACTTTTCTAGGTTGCTGTAACTTGCGTTCAAATACAAACGCCACCTGAGACATGATCTGTGCTATTCCTATTCAATGACTCGCAAATCCTCAATCATTTGCGCTGGCATTGAAAGTTTTTACTCAGTGAGCCTTCTTGAAAGACGGGCAAGTCAAGTCTGCACATTATCTTCGGATCCATCTACTCTCTCTCTCTCTAACTATGAAGACATCTTATCTATTGAAGAGTATATCTCTATATATAACCAAGATCTATTTAAAATAATCTCAAACATATTCAATTTCATAGATCAGCATATCAGTCCTATTTTATTCTTAGCTATGGACTGTCTATAAATGGAATGGTATATGCGAATATCATCTAAATTAATGAGAAGACAGAAAAAAACAACTTGGATAGTGAGACAGCTATGCTCAGTCATAGGTGTATATGACGAACGTTCGGAGGGATTAAGAAAGGAGCGTCCACATTACAATGAAGTTTCTGAGGAAATGAATTTCATCTTACCTCGTCTCCTCTGACATAGTAGCTGACGTTCATATAAAAGAAATGAAAATGGTCGTGTTTAACAATACTTTTGACCAGTAGTCTCTTCAGAATATATAATTACTTCTTCAGTACATTGAACTAGAAAACTTTTCGACCTGAGAGACGAAGAATTTTGACCTTTCCTTCATTTCTTCTCCGTAATTCTCATTTATTCTTATACTAATGACCATCAAGTACTCACGAATCATGTGATTGGATGTTTTGATTATTAATTAAGAGAAATTAGTGAACAGTTCATCTCGCTGTTGAAAGAAGACGTCTGAAGATTTGCTCGTATGTCTGTGTAGATTATAAAATTTCCAATAGACAACTTCTTAGACGTAGGTCTCCTAGTAAATGTGTATGTGCTCAAAACTGACAAGCACTGCTTTTCTATATGGAAAGTACTTTTTATGTCAATCAGCAAGTTATCCTGTATGTAAACAAGAACAGATTTTTGTTTTCTAGGATTATGAACTGTGTGAGGAAGTTGACAAGAAAGAACAGCGTTTAAATAACTACTCATTTGACCTTTTAGACAATCAAGAGTGAAAAAAAACATATTTTTCTTATATAGAAATACGGGATTGATTATTTTTCGATTGATGATGCTTACTAGTGCCGCTAAATTAGAAGAGAGCTCACTCAAGACAGGCGTCGATGAATTGAAAAAGAAAACTAATGACGACAGGAAAATTTGGTTATTTATAGACAGACAATCATGTTTATCATCCCATTTCTTCCATAGTGTTTATCTGATTTAATCAAATGAAATGAAATTAGAGTATAAATTAGGTCAGTTTTAATGTGACTCCTCATCTGTTCTATTCTTTTACTAGAAGAACAATAAATTTAGAAACTGCTCTACTAAGCATCGCTCGGAAGAACAGCACTCGAAAAACAATATTAAAAGCCTTTAGGTTAAAGAAACGGATAGCATGGAAGTTTCGGATTAATTTGTTCCTTATTATAGATTCATATCGAGACATGAAGAATTGTTTCCGCTTTAGCTTAAGATAAATCATATAAAATAAGAAGAACATAATTCACTCAATTGACAATAAGTCGTATTTTTAGCAGTGCTTCTTTTTTCATTACATCATATTTTTCCTCTTGCCGTGCGACCTATGAATAATAGATACTAAATCATTAATGTCATAAATCTGTCTATTGTTCTTTTACGATACAACATTTTGTACTATAGACAAATTTCTATTCTTTCGCTTTACTGCAAGGAAATCGATCTTGGATTTGCTGTTTCGAAACAACAATAAAAAACAAATTATGATAATCCTTCGATAAAATTAATTTTCATACGATCGATATCGAATTGTATGTCGACTACTTGTTCAAATAGAAACGCACATGTCTCGGATTATGTTCTCTGTGTCTAGCGAAGATCGATAGTAATGCAGTTCATTCCGTACACATCTCAGCAGGCATACTTGCTGTTCTTTTCTCGCCTCTTCCTTCTCTCTCTCTTTCTCTTCTTTGCCGTTAAAATAAATACGCAAATGTTTGTACATGATTCATTCATTATATACCGTATGAAGAAGTCGCTAGCGAAGGAAGATACGGAGAAAATGCGTAGGAAGCAGCTGCCCAAAAGATATGAGAATGTAAGAAAAAGAAGAAGTTTAACGAATGGCAATATTTATTTTGCTTCTTACCATTGAGACCAAGGAGAAAATAGCGGTTAAGGATATCGTCTTCTCAATAGGACGTTATATTCTTATATTCTAGATAAAGGAACTTACCCTACCATTATTCTCATCATATTCAGAAAATGAGCTTACTTATGAAGTCAACACCGATTCTCGTTTTTCTTTTGGCTTTAGTCAACTGTGTTGCTGCTGACTATTATTATGTCGGACCTACAGTTGGCGGTATTATCGGTCTAGTAAGTTCACATTCATGATTTTCCTTTCAATCGTCTTTATCTTTTCTTTGTAAAAAGATCATCCTAATTTTGGATATCATCGCGGCAGTGGAAATTCTTCGCTCGGGAAAACCGCTCGTTGAAAAACTTCTCTGGATCTTATTCATTATCTTTTGCCCTATTATTGGTATGTCTTCATTTATCTCGTATTCATATGCACTATTTCATTATACACGTTTGCTTTTCTTTCTACAGGTCTAATTGTTTACATTTTCTTCGGTCGTCCACGCTCTGGTGGTCTATAAACATGAACATCAATCAGTCGTACTCGACTTCTTTTCTCATACGAACAATTTCAGTTTTTTTTTTGTTTAAATTCATTTCATCTTTAATCGAATATTCAGCTTTTTTTTCAACATATGCAAGAGACCTGAGCAGCATTTGAAAATAAAGATAATTATTATTCACAGAATCATTTATATTTCGACAGATAAAACGCACTCAACTCATATGTTTGAGTGCATTTATGTTAAAAAGAATACTACACTTGTTTCTTGAAAAAGAGTGTTAATGGTCTAGTATCAAATTCATGTCATTTCGATCAGTCAGCTGATTACAAAACGCAACGTGATACGTATTTCAATTAGCCCTGCCCGTTGGTAAGGCGATGTTTAAATCTCAAGAATTGACTTTTCAATCGGAAAATCAACGAAATGCGAGAGTTTAATCTTGCCTTAGACTGTTGTTCACAGTTAGCTTTCTATTACACAGGAATATCGTGTATACGGTTTGAATTCTGAGTATAGAACTAATTCTCTATCTGAACGAATATGGAAAAGATCTTTTTGCACTCACTAGTTGTATCGGATGTCCTCGCTCAGCTTTTACACTTGGTATTTTCTCTCAGAAAAGTCTTTACCTGGATTGCGGCCGGTTTCTACCTTGTTTTTGGTTAATATGAACGTCGTACTGAACCGAAGACGTTGTTTATTTAATCTTCTTTGGGTATTTATGACAAACGCATATAGCAAAGTCATTTGTTGAATGTGTTCAGAGAGATTTTACTTTTTTACCTATTATCTGTTTAAAACTGCGACTTCAAGTATATTTTGACCTCTACTACTTGTCAAAAATCCATTTATATCTCTTAATCAACTTCCCAGTATTCTCGGCGTGATGTGGTGAAAAAAATTAATTATAATCTTCTATCAAGCTGTTTCCGCTAGAAGTTATTTTGAGATGTATAAAGTTCATATTGCTGAACATACGAACTATTTTTGTCGATTCGAAATCGAACAATAGCTGTTTTTTTTTTCATACTTCGTATGTGAATTATTTTTTTGATTACTCACATTCAGGCAATAAACGTACTTGAAAGTTAGTTTTTTACGTTCCTGTATGTGTATAAATAGGGCGCGGTTGCTATCACATCTACCAGAAGAAAATGACGAGAAAAAAGAAAGAGAACTAAACTGCAGAAAAAACATTCATCAACTTCACCTATATTTTTTTTTGTATTTCTGAAATAACTTTTACACAGTAGATAGGATAGTTACTTGTTTGAGAAAGGAAAGAAAATTATGACTGATTCCGAACAATCTCTGTTACAATCAACAGAAAATAGGTAATTGAAAAATATTTCGTATCGAATTTCAAAACGAATATAAAATATTGTAGAATAAAACACCGAGTTGTCGTAATTGGTGGTGGATGGTCGGGCCTCTACGCGTTAAAGTATCTATTAGGCGAAGGTCTAGACGCCCATTTATATGAAAATCGCTCACACATCGGAGGTATATGGTGTTTTAATGAAAATGAAAATGTCGGCGGCGTTTACAAAACTACTCACGTCACCTCATCAAAAACATTTTTACACGCATCTGATTTTCCTATACCGAAATCTTACGGTGAATTTCCTTCTCATGAAGAGATTCTTGGATATCTACATTCCTATGCGGATCATTTTAAACTATGGCCAAATATACATTTGAATTCTGAATTGATCAAAATTGAACCACAATGGCGACTGACTTTTGCAAATCAATCTCAGATAATTCACTGTGATTATCTTGTCATTTGTTCAGGACAACATCAGCATGCTAATGATCCACGTGACACACATCCATTTGATCAATTTACTGGAACGTTTTCACATAGTATTTCATATAAGCATCCTTATCAGGAGCAATTTATGAACAAAAGAATCCTTGTCGTTGGCGGCGGCGAAACTGGTAGCGATTTAGCAGTGGAACTGAGTGCAACAGTGGCTAAACGCGTTTATATGAGTATTCGGGAAGGTCAATGGTTCCAAGCACGTGTGCTAGGGCAACAACCGGCTGATATAATGTATACAATGTTAATGAGATTATTTGGTTATTATAACAACATATTAGTTCGATGTTGGAAACGAATGTTTTTTGTTCCGATGTGGGGTAGTGGTGGTACAGGTGTTCCCGAATGGAATCCAACAGTGCCGTTTCTACACGGATTTATTAATAAAAGCCGAGAAGTTGTAGATTTCATTGCATTGAATCGCGTTATTCCCAAACGAGGCATCACATCAATTAACCAACAACTCATTACTTTCGATAAAGATGAAACTCCCGTTGAAATTGATCATATTCTTCTTTGCACTGGTTACAAATGGATTCACCCCTTTTTCTCACATTCAGACATTCACGATCTATACAAGCTCGTTTTTGCGTCGGGTGTCAATGGTACTCTCGCATTCGTTGGTACAGCACGACCCGTTTTCGGTTCGATACCAGCCATGGCTGAACTGCAAGCACGATGGGTCGCTGCAGTCTTTGCTGGACGATGTCAGTTACCATCGGAAAAAGTTATGGCACAACGTCGTCAAGCCTATTGGACTCGCCATGCCCGTTTATATCCACACGATCATCATCGTCTCAGACAATTAGTTAATCTTTTTGAATACAGTGATGTTATTGGTGACGAATTAGGTGTGCGTGTTAGTTTATTTTATTTATTCTTTCGGCATCCATCGATTTGGTTTCGCATTTATTGTCGTTCACCTTGGTCGCCATTTCTTTTTCGTATTGGACGATACTCAACAGCTGAAGAAAAACTAGCCTATCAACGACATTTAGACTGTGTCCCCGAAACAGATCAAACCTTCCATCGTTTTAACGATGTCATGCTCGGAGCGTGGTTAATCACCTTGTTTTGTTTACTGATTTCTTTCACTGTAATTGCAGCTGTTTTACTTTTTTACTTTGTATAAAATACTTTTCGAGATCGAACGATTCTCTTGCCATACTTCTGTCTTTCGTCCTGACATTGACGAGAAAAAGTTAGAAGGTGTTGTATTTTGTTGACGCAATCCTCCCACATACAATAAATCAGAATGAATCAACGCGATTATTTCTGACTGCCGTCATCATCTTGAAGAAAGCCCCAAAGAGACGAACTATAAATGATCTAGTAAATTGCGCCGTACAGTACATAGAGAGGCGATTGATGCGTCCTGTTGATCAATCAAGCAAAAAAACTACCTCACACTTTTTCACATACGTATATAATAAATCAACCAATTTTCTTTTTTTTTCCTTTTCTTCTACAAAATTACTGCCATTTTATTTTCTTCTTCTTTACAATCCCTCTGTCGGCACTTTCATCGACATAAAGTGCAAATAGAGCTAGATTGATCGCGTGCAATGTATTCATGTTTATGATTCATAGATTGTTGTTAGTACTTGAAAAAGAAAAAAGAGAGTTCCATTCTTTTCTCTTTTTTTTTAGTTCTTAAAAGGAGGAAAAATTTTGGTTGTCATCGTCAACCGGCATCATAAAATAACATTAGGTAACTGTTTTGTTATTGAGTCAAATATCCTTGGAGAGAGAGAGAGAGTAGGCAAAAGTATAGAATAGAAGCACCAGAGATGAAAACTAATAAACATCGATAAGGTTCTGGAATTATTTGATCACACTGATAAAATGAATAAAGGGCAATGACATAACAATCAAGTCACGCACACTTCGTATTTTCATGTTTTAGATGGATAACACAAATGATGAAGTATATTTTGAATACGATACCTACGAAGAATTTCGGCAGGAACGTCTTAAATTGAACTACAATAGTACGTTAAAGCTATGGTATTCATTACCAAATGGGCTGCCGACGATAGATAATCAACTAGTCAGACGACAGACAACTCGACAACAACGAGCACGTGTAAGAAATATGAAGTTTTTTGCATTTTACTGTACATTGCTGAAGAAAACATTTCTTAGAAAGAAAATTCAATCGAAAGGTAACAAACGAACGAGAAATGAATCGTCTTCTATGGTGTTCTTATTCTAGGTTTTCGATTATGGAATGAAACATTGAACGTACCAGCTGTCAAAGATGAATCTCTATATGGCATCTACCAATCAATGGGTCGAATAACCAGCGAATTTCTTCAAAAAGGTCAACGATACGATCCAACGATAAGCCACGAAGAATTATTCAAGGCTGGCCGGACTGTGTGGTTTATGATTGCTTTTCAAATGCAATTGAATTTACCTTTAGTATTAACTGATTCAATATTTGGTTACAATATGCTTTATCCATATACCGATGATCTAGTCGATTGCAATGATATAACACGAGAAGCGAAAAAGGATTTTGCCAAAGTATTTCATGACCGATTACTCTTTGGCGAATCAACGTACGATCCTACATCTCATTTCGACGGTAAGCAATCCGATTCGACGCAGTTGAATCTGCCTACATCATTGCAACCGCATGCAAGTCGCGTGGTGAAAATCTTCGATATGGTAAAATTTATCGAAAATGATTGGAAACGTGGTGGCGAATACGAAGGTGTCTACATGAGTTTAGCAACAATTCATGAATCGCAAATGAAATCAACGTTACAACATGCTAGAACAGAAGATAATTACGCTCCGACGATGGCTCAAATTGAACAAGTTAGTGCAGAAAAAGGTGGTGCATCATTGATAGCTGCGGGTTTTCTCATCGAAGGAAGATTAACACATGCAAAACTGGCTTATCTCGAATATTTAGGATTCGGCTTACAACTGCTAGACGATCTACAAGTAATTTGCGTCGAATGTCGTATTTCATTAGAAGAATTTTCGTTTTAGGACGTGCGAGAAGACATGAAAAACAACCATCGAACGATTTTTACTCAAACGCTCGCTGAAGGTCAACCACTAGATGCGCCGACAGCTCGTTTGATTCAATATTGTTATTGTGCTCCTGCTTATGCCAAGTTTAGTGATGATCAACGCACCGTCTCAGATCGTAAGACTGGCGTTACATTAGCACATTACGTTCGAGTCTCTATGATGATGTTTTCGGTGGTATTGGTCTTAGAAGCAGCTTCGCGTTTAAAGGAATATTATTCGAAAGACTTCTATCGCGAATTATCATCGTTAAGTCCGCTGACATTCAGTGATTTGAAAAAAGTTCGTGTCGAAGAGACGATTTGGTCGATCGTACGAAATCAATGGTTTTAAGAATCTTGTTCTTTTTTTTTCTTCTGCTCTCAAATTCAACAAAATGTGATAATTAACTAATTTGATATGAAAGTATATAGTTTACGTTGACTATTTTTTCAAACGAAAATAAAACTTTACATTGAAACACGAAATAATGTGATATACATAAAAATCAGATTGGATTATTTGACGAGAGTATTGATTTTCAATCGAGAGTGGTACATTCTGAAGAGGATTATTCATCGATCTTCGCTAAACAAAACAAAATGAATAGATCGAGAGGAAGATTGTGTTCTTTCTATTTACGTTTTTTTGTGACGGTTCGGTGCAAATTAGTAATTCGTTTAAATAATTGCTTCTCATTTTTATAACAATCGAAGTCGAGCTCATCATCATCGTTGATCTTGGTGTTCTCTATTGTATGGTATCGTCGTTTGATCTGCTGTTCGGTATTATTCGATGAAAAGTTTTTCACTGATGTCTGATCGATTCCTAATTGCTTGAGAAGTTCGTTGAATCGATCGGATGTGACATGATCGGGTAATGCAATGGGATGAACACGAGTAGGAGAGATTTGTTTAATAAATGTACATATTTCGTTATAAGACGAATGTAGAGAATAGCAAAGACGATAGAAATCAATGCTGATTTGAATTAGCGGCGATTGAAAGTGTTGCTGCTGCTGTAATGTAAACCAAAGAACGGAAAGTACGATCTGAAAAAGAAGAAACCGTATGAAAATTCATCTGTCAGAAAAAAAACATCAGTAACACTTGCCTTGATTGATGGATTTGTATGTGAACATCTTGGCCAACATGCATGTAATCTTGTGCTTTGACCATCTGTAGTCAATGCTTGTTGAACTTGTGGTAAACAATCGTACAAATGATATTGCTCTGTGCTAACATGAATAGGAATTGCGAAATGTCGATATAATGACATGTAGATATATTCATAGCCGACGCGCGCTGATGTTTTCAAATAAAAGCGTCGATCTTGGTTCTGTTGAATGAAGTCAATCAACTTCTCACAAGCTTGTTCACGTTGAGGTAACTGACGAATTGACGGTTCAAAAAATGTCATATCAATGTAGAGACTATCGATGCGTTTTTTCGAAAGTATAACACGATGACGGTTGGATTGATGAGAATAAAGACGAAAATCACCGGTGTATAAAACAGTTCCATATAAACCTTCGAAAAGTAGCATTAACGAGCCCGGGCAATGACCTGCTCCAAAACAAGTCACTGTTACTGAACTATCTGAAGCAAAGAGAGAAATTGCAAAACAAAGTAGAGCGTGTGAATTTACTGTCATTCTCGGGATTTTGTATGGTAAATGGTTGATCAACATTAAGAACTGAATAGAATTGTGATAGGTGTTTGTATGCAGATAACTGGGAGAGAAAATATCGTGTGGCTTCTGAACAATATATACGGGTTGCACGATTGCTCTTGGCATAGTTCGAAAACGTTTCGTCATCTAAACCACGAAGATGATCTGTATGTCTTTGAAAACAAATGAGAAAAGAGTTCGTTTGAAAGTTTGAATAGAAAGTGTGCAGTTACATATGTGAAATGAAGAAAACACGTGATGTTTGACAATTGTTTTGTGTAAACGAATCGACAGATATCCATGGATATTCAGTTAGAATTCCACCAAATGTACACATGTTTGTTCGATGTTAGAGGAATCCAATATGATAAATAATAGTATCGAATGTTATTACACAAGAGTTAGGCAATACTCTCAGTTCTGTTTTTGCTTTGGTGGACTTTTATACCCAGTCAAAAGCCATGTGGATAGAGAACGCTATGACTGAAATCATGTGACTTAGCTTTTTTTCTCAGTATTTTCATGTTTTTCATTTCAAAAATTGCCTAAAAGAATCTTCGCACGTGACAACGTAACAGAGAGAAGAGAAAACAAAGTCTAGTTTATGATTCAGACGTTGAAAAGTCCTGTGAAGTGAACCACTGGGGCAGAAATTGATAAGTTGATTCTTTTGTTGACATCCATTTGATTTTTTTCTCTTTTGGAGAAAAATAGAAAAGATACGCCGTTCTAAAAAAACACATACATATAAAATTTGGCAGTGCTATCGAATCCAATACTTACTGATCATCGTCGAAATAATCTTTCGTGATGGTCTTACGAACAAATGCACAAAATTCACTAAGAAATGCTAAAAACGAACTCGAACTCCATGTGCGCTAGGAGAACAAAGAATCGTGAGGTTCCAAAAGATCGAAGGGAACTTTCTTACCGCACGTGTCTCGATATCCTTGATGAGTAATGGATGTATTTGACGAACAATACCATAATCATTGCGGAAACCCAAAAGAATCTGATCAATGCCTGTTAGAAAACATTGTGACCACCATTTTGCATACTTTCGAGCACTACATAAAAAGACTCGAAGTAAATATCTTCTCTCAATATTTGATTTCTTACGTTGATGTATGCAATTCTAACATATTCTCTGCATAAACTAATTTAATCTCCACAAATGTTCGTTTCTTCCTCAATTTCGAGTTGATATTTGTAGAATTGAGTGTTGTTTGTAAATCGTCACTTTCATCATCGATAATTGAATCCTTGGTACAAGCATCGATCTCACTACCGTACAGAAGTGTATGTACACCAAGGGTGGCTAAATTAACCAACGAAAATAGTTTCTTTGGCGATGGAAACAATGGTGGAGTTTCTAAAACGTAAACATCTCTTTGTAGGTTATTATATAGAATTTCAAAGCATAAGTCTTAATTCCTTACACATCCTAGCGGTGTAAGAAATAATTCTCACATACCTGAACAGAGATAATCTTCGAACTTATGTCCCCAGTAACACATTCGCTTCTCGATAGGTGTTTGACCGAATTCAATTGCTAGTTCAGTTTCGGTATGAACGACGTGAAAGAAATGAGCGCCACGATAACGTATAACAGCAATGCGCCAATCTGTTTCTTGATTGAATAAAGATGACATGATCTTCCGAATCGTTCCACGCCACCCAACAAAATCAAATGTAAATCTTTGATAAAATCATATGGACTCAGCAATAAATTTTCGGATCGATTTACTTACCGTCCTTTCTTATTGACAACAGTGGCTTTATGTCGACTGATCCACCAGAGCATCGCATCCAGCGATGTCGATGGTTCAGCTGGATTCAGATAAGCTGACCCAATATTTAAGTCGAATTCGATATTTAATTGTTTCAGTTGTCTGGTATCGTCAATATCGTAGATCAATCGTTTCAAATAACGGAAGTCTTCGCGACATCGATTTGCATCAGAACGATCGGCTGTTGAAAAGTAACCAATATCTTTTAAATAGAACGAGATGTTCCGTCCGTGATATTTCGACCAGTGAAGCACCGCTAAACTTGTTGGTGATATATATTTCTCGGGAAATTGTTCACACAAAATGAATACTGGAACATTTCGCTCGATCACTGCTGACAGTGGAAGTTGGACATCAACACAGACAACCTCCGCTTTACGATGATGCCTTTTCTTTTTAGTTTTCTCCTCGGAATTTGTTAGCATCGGTGCACAAGGTACGGTATTATTCGGTTGACAAGCATATTGTACTTGTCGAAATAGTTTGCCACGGCCTGTACCGTCCAGAAAAGTTTCATTGTTGAAATAAGTCAACGACGACGACATTAGAGATGATTTAACTATTTCTTCGAGAAAGCTGTTTAGCTTGTGATAGAATAACTCGTGACAGTTTTCGAACAGAGAGAGAGATTATCGAAGGAACGCAAAAAAGAAATTCGATTTCTAAATCAGTTCAGTCGACAACACATATGTATGCTATATCCATAGTAAATAGGAGAAAGAATAGTATATGTTATGGATCTGTATGTTGAATTCATGTACTCTAGGAAGATAATCAAAACGAGCAGACGTATGAGAATTATTATTATTATTATTATTATTAGGGAGGTTTCAATAACAGATACGAAGGAACAGTTGGCAGACCATAGAAAATAATCTCTTCAATGAAGTATATCAGATTTATTAGATTATCATCTGGTACGTTTGCTTGGCATGCAAATGTACTTGATGTGTGTTGTGTCGAAGAAAAACAAGTTTATACTATCGACCAATATAACCTTTCTTCATACTTAAATTATCTCTTCTCAGTAGGAATCACTTTGTTTTCTCTCGATGAGATACAGTACATACTACAGTTTAAAAATATTACATCAATTACAAGCCAAATAGGTCAAGGTCTTGCTTTGTGAAGAATAACATCATGTTTTTCTCTTCAACCATGTGGTTTTTGTCGAAGAACTCTTCTCCACTGATTATCGCCACTCGGTTTGTAGGTATATTTATATTTAGTAGCGATTTGTCACAGACATTCATTCATCAATCATCAATCGGAATACTATCAAACTACTAACCATTGATATATGATGAGATTTACATATGTTAGTCAATCGAAGATCATTGATACATTCAGATGGTCTTTCGATTTTGTGTAAAGATTTACTAACTCCGATGGATTGTAAAGTTTGGCGCACGAAAGGTCTCGCATACACTGCGTTCGAAGAAAAGTTTACTCAACGATACAAATCATGGATGTTAAGATGACATGTGTCACTTGAAACAGAATCTGTATGACATCGGTGTTCATTATAGATTCGGGATATGTTGGATGAAATGAACTGCAAAAAAAGAAAATTATAGCACGCGAATAATCTTAAAAATAGAAGCAATGTGTTTGTGATAAGAAACAGTTTTTCTATACAATTAATAACTGAATCATTGGGAATGTACCCGAGGTTGATAGTTCAAAAGAATAGTTCAATCCTCACCGAATCGAATCTTTTCTTCCCTCAAGATATTTTATGAACTGACTTCATGTCTGATGGGTGGAAGATGATCAATTAAATTCCCATCATTACATAGTATTTTCTCATGAATTATTCCCCTAAGCTAAAACCATAAAATCTTCGTGCTTGATTATCATTCATCATATTCTCATGCACAACTGATGCATTATCTTGTGTGCATCTTTTGCCGATCTCGTTTGCATTCCTGCTCACAGATCGGTTTCGATACCAACTCGACATGAACTGCGATGTCTCGATCGACGCCTTTCGTTTTAGTGACCTACACATGATAATTATAAGATTGTTCGACTGTTAGATATTTCACATGTTTTTTTTAATGAGTTTATCCGAGCACAATTTAATATTTTCAACATTGAATGCGAGGAAGTCGTTATTTTTAGACGCTTTTTACATGTCGATAGTATCTCTGCATGTGAGCTTGAATAGACCTTCTCTCTGATCTGTAAAAAAGATAATTGGAGGACTAGTTGAGATATCTATTATTAATATGATAGATTTAGTAATTGTAATAGATAGAAAACACAACTCATCGAAATGCGCAAATGCCACGTATTCATAGATCCGATCAAATTTGATACTGAAATGTGTGCAATACGAGAAGCAGATGGAGAAAACGGCAGGAATATTGTTGAATGTGTCACACGCAACCAATATGCACGAGAATCTCTCGGGAAACATAATACGATTAAAAAACCTAACCGACGAGGAAAAGCATATTTTTCTCGTGTTTTTTCCGATGTTTAAGAAATTTCTGCGTGTTAAATAGTTGGGAAAAAAAACTGAATTGGCCAGCGAACAAATAAAACCATCTGATTAGAAATTAATAATTAATTCAATTATCTTCTCAATAGTGAAGGATTCCTTTGTAGAATCTATGTAGAAAACATTTATCGACAGATGTCAGTAGACAAGACGTGTCTATCGTGGCATCGATTGGTGAATCCCTACGATTAATATGAGTCAGCCAAACCGAGCATCGACATTTTTCTTCTTCTGGTATTTTTTTTCAAGGAAAAAAAACGACGCGAGAAATTCCTTCTTATTTTGTATGTCAATTCATTTGACATATAGAAAATGTTATTACATGAATATCGAATATGCTTACCATTTACAGTTGAAGAGGTACCAGTTTATTTGAAATTAACCGGTCGAAATCGTCTTTCTTCTTATTCTTCTAGTACCACACCGGGCAACTTTACATGATATGTAAACATTGTGAAATCGAATCAAGTAAAGACGAGGGTGTCGAAGTCGTTCGCAACGAAGCAATTACGAATGAAGACGGTTTAACAGGACAATTAACAGAAAAACGTTTATATTTATCAAGGTTTGAACATCTATGTCGCCATTATTATACATTCTATTTTGGTTCATACTAGCCGTCTACCAACTTGGATTCGTTCTCTCATTCCTAATGTATTTTATATAACTGAAAAAGCAAGCAATTTCTATCCGTATACAACAACCGGTACGTTTTCTATGCGCTTTGATTTCGTCGTTCTATATGAAATGACTAAGGGATTGCTCTGATTGTTTCTTTTTGTAGAGTACACCGTAAGTGATTATTTGATGTTAATATGTTGCTTTTTCCCCAAAGATCGCGCTTTAATGCTCGAGATTCATTATTGTATCTTCATTTTTTCTGCTGTTAATACCTTTGAACATAAAAAGAATTACAAAATTTGATCACCGCCGCTTGCGCTTTTTCATCCTTATCGATCGATGTGTCTATTTGTATGTGTGTGTGTGTGTGTGTGTGTACATGGTTGTTCGTCACGTTGGATTCTTCTGAGAAAACGATGAATTCTCTTTCAATTTCAGTGTTCATTTCTACCACGTTTTTCAATCATGGTTGAAACACGTTATGAAAATAACAATGGAACAACAGAAAATGTAAGTCGATCTGTCTTTGTCTCTTTGATTGTCAATATTTATTCCTTTGATCTAGTGTCATCAACTATCACCAGAAGAATTAGCAATACGGAAAATGGAATATTTGGATATAGCATTAGAGAATGTACCAGATTACAAGTATAAAGAAAGTGAAGATCCATGTAAATATAAATCTACTAAAACAGGTCGTGGACCATTGGTGCCTAATTGGAGAGTAAGTTTTTCTTCTTCTTTAATACAAACAAAAACGTGTCCTGTGTCCCTTTTTTTTAAAAAGGAATTTATGAAACCAATTATGTGTGCATATAAGATTGTTCGCGTGCGTTTCGAAGTGTGGGGATTTCAAACACGAGTAGAAGACTTTACGCAACGTGTGAGTGCTTATGTCTGTGATCATGATCGATATGTATGCATATGCTTTAGGCTGTTCGTGATATTCTAGTTCTTGCACATCGACAAGCATTCACATGGATGGATGAATGGTAAATGGAAATGCTATGATGTAGATCAGTTTCTTCAGTCTTTCCTTTCAGGTACGGAATGACTCTCGATCAGGTTCGAGAATATGAACGGGAAATGTTCGATCGAACGAATAGAAAAGTTCTCCAGACAACTCCAGCGCCAACAACGAATACGAGCACTACGAATTTCGATTAGAAAACCCAGAAAAAAGCTTACATGTTGTGCAAATTTTTATCTTGAAATATTCAGATATATGTTGTCATCTTCTTCTTTTTTTAACCTGTCTTGTCATTTATTTTTGTTTTTGAAGAAAAAAAGAGATTCAATGTATAGATGTTCTCCATAAAAGAAAAACTCCGTTTACTTTCTTCTCATTTCGATTCTGTCTATTGTGATTACGACAAAAGAATAAAAAGAAATATTTCCATATCTTATAGATATCCAATGGCTGCTCAATCGACGCCTCCTTCTGCTTCTGCTTCTGCTTCGTCTCATTCTCAACAACAAATCGATTCATCCGAAAAAATCGCTCAACAATTTCTTTCCAATGCCAACGATTATTTTCGTTCGGATATTAAATGTACGTTCAATTCTCGTTTTTCTCCTTCTCTCAATAATATTTGATTGCAAATGTGTGCGGGAAACCGAAGTACATGCTTCAATCAAGATGCACTTAGAAATTGAATAGCATTCTTAGCTTGATTATCATCTAGCCAACGACGAGGATTACTCATCTTTCTTCTAAATAACGTTTTAATCATATCAAATGATGAAATTTCATTTGGACCTATTGAATATTCGATGAGTTCAAACAGCAGAAAATTTCATTAATGAGATTAAATATAGATGAGACTTGTTTTCGAACAATATGAGATTATAAAATTAGGAAGAAATCCTCTTTTGAACTTCAGCAGAAGAGAGAGAGAGGAGTGTCGCATTCTAAACTTCATCCAATTCCCGACAAATCTCGAGTAGTCCGATTGGTAAAGTTAGTCGTAGGAAAATCGCTTATTTATCTAAGTAGAAAACGATGGAAATCAGACATATGCAAATAGTAACATCGAGATTATTAAACATTATATGAGACATGTCAGGAAACTTCTGTCAGTCAATCAAAAGCATCTTTTCGCTCGAAGTCCTTGAGAAGATCGGTATACTACTCCTTTTTAATTTCCGGATTAGTTGAGAACGAGAGAAATATTTTCCTTTCAGACTTTAATCATTGAATGCTTTGCAAAGAATCCACATCTCAAGTGATTTCCGGCAACTGAAAATATTCCTTCTCGACTTGACTAAACAATAATCTATTACATGATTGATATCATTCAATATGTGTCAGAGAGGTAGAAATGATGTAATTGATATTACTGCGCTTTTAATGATCACATCAACTAGCAATGCAAATGAGACTTTGGATGTGCGTAGAGATATGGAGAGAATAATTGATCGTGCCTTCCCAATGTCATCGAGACGATAAGCGATTGTCTCGAAATCGAATTCTCTCATTTCTAATCAACTGAATTTTAGTGGTTACGAGTGACTACGATTGTTTGATACAAATGAACAATGCTGCGTTGGATAAATACAATCAAATGCACCGAAAATTACAACACGTGAATACTTCTGTACGAACGATGAGTGATAATAATTGTAAAGATAAGACAGATTATGCGAAAAGATTTCCTTGATTGTTTTATTTTTCTAGCGACAAAAATGTTGTCGACCTTTAGTCAATTGAATGAGATTGAAGATGCGATGTCGAATCTGGAGTCGACAATTATGAAATTGGACGCGTATTCTCGTTCATTGGAAACTCAAGTGAAGAAATTCGAAAAAACATCCAATTCAGCAGCACGGACAACATCGCCATGAAAAACAGAAACGATTTTTTTTGTCTTTTCGTCTTCTATTTTAATTTTTGTCATGTGATTTCAATGTCTTACTGTTGTTTTCCTCTTCTTTTTTAAAGATGATATCACGTTTGATACTTTCAAACTTGCCACATATACGATGCTTATCGACAGTAACCAATGTCTGGCGTGAGAAAGTCTCTCAAGGTCCTTCATTGAAATCTTTCATTGAACAAACGGTAAATCAACCATCATACGAAACTACTCTTCCACCATATCTCAACGATGTTGAACCATTTGATCCGTTGAATCATGTCAAACGACGTGTCTATTTCGATGTATACGGTTGTCAGATGAATGAAAATGACACTGATATTGCCTATACATTTCTTAATAAGCACGGCGGATATGAACGTGTCAATGATGAAAACGATGCTGATATTGTTCTGTAAGGATACGATGATGTCGTCGATGACTTTGCACTGTTTGCCTTTCTGTTCGTTTTAGATTAATGACATGTAGCATCCGGTATGTCAAAAATGATAGTTTTCTTCTTGAAATTGGAATGAGATTTTCTGTGTGATTAGTGAAGGTGCCGAACAGAAAATTTGGAAGAAACTACAATCACTCGGACATCGAAAAAAGACACGTTCGCCGCATGCACCACCATTTCAAATTGGTGTACTTGGTTGCATGGCTGAACGGTTAAAAGAAAAATTGATCGAACGTGAAAAAGTTGTTGATGTCGTTTGTGGACCGGATGCTTATCGGTCTTTGCCAAACTTACTTGATCAAACCTTAGTCGAGTCAGATCAAAAAGGCATCAACACACTTCTATCTATCGATGAAACATATGCTGATATAACACCACTACGATATGATACAAATAATCGACGTGCTTTTGTTTCAATTATGCGAGGGTGTAATAATATGTGTGCTTTTTGTATTGTACCGTTCACACGTGGACGAGAACGTAGTCGGTGAGTATGCATAGAGACATCTCAAGAAATTCGAACCAACTGCTATTGATTTATTTAGACCTATGAGCAGTATACTTGATGAACTCCGTTATCTTGTCGATCTAGGCATAAAAGGTAGTTTCATTCTAGATTTTAGTCATAAAATTTCTATCGTGTAAATAGATGTTACTCTACTCGGGCAAAATGTCAATAGTTATTGTGATAAATCTGAAGTAAACGTATCTTTACATACAACAAAAACACTATCAAGAGGATTCAAAGAGAATTACAAAACAAATCCCACTAAAGGTAAACATTTCCATCCTTTCATATGATAAAAATATATGTGTATTAGGATCGATTCGGTTTGCTACACTTCTTGACCAAGCCTCACAAATCTCGCCTGAACTTCGAATACGTTTCACATCTCCACATCCAAAAGATTTCCCGGATGACTTACTACATGTAAATCGTCACATCATACTGTTTTACTCCTCAACCTTTCATGTTTAGGTGATGTGCGATCGTTCAAACATTTGCAAATCAATTCATTTACCATGTCAAAGTGGTAGTACTCGAATACTTGGTAAATATTAACAAAAACCAAATTATTGATCATTTTGCATTTTCGATTCGTCTCTAGAATTGATGCGTCGTGGATACAGTAAAGAAGCGTATCTTTCGTTAGTCGAACATATTCGTTCAATTGTGCCAAATATTACTTTCTCTTCCGATTTTATTGCTGGTTTTTGTACAGAAACTGACGATGATCATCGTGACACATTAGACGTGATTGAACGCGTACGATATAATTTTCTCTATTCGTTTCCGTATTCGATGCGAGAAAAAACAAAAGCACATTATCATTTAAATGATGATGTATCATTCGATATTAAATCTCGACGACATTTGGAAATTCATGAACTATTTCGACATCATGCGCATTTGATAAATCAATCTTACATTGGCCAAATCCAATTATGTCTTGTTGAAGGGCCTAGTAAACGCGCACCCGATTCGGAAGTCGCCGGAAGAAATGATTTCAATACAAAAGTCATCTTTTCGAAATATTTATCGAATAGTGGAGAAAGTTTTCAACCCGGTGATTACGTTCAAGTTCGCATTGATTCAGCAACGTCGCAAACATTGAAAGGCACACCAATAAAACGGACGACGTTGAAAGAATTTGATTCTTCGTTTTTGAATGTTTGTTGTTGATGTTATTGAGAAAACCTAGATGAATAATACATGTAAAAGGTGCATATCAATAGAGTTAAATGTTTCAAACAATGTTCTAGATACTCTTTGAGAAGAACACAGATATGTCTTTAATTTCCTTCACATCTCCATACTTTGCCTCATTGAATCTTATCCATAGTCACGTACTCGAGCGTTTTGATCGTGCTGGAATTAAAAATCTAACAGATCTAGCAGTTTACAGTCCACTTGAAATTTCGTTGAAATTTCGTTACTCTCTGAATGATGCCGAAATGATTCTTGACAAACTTCTTTCGATTTTAATCAGTCAACCAAAAAATGTTTATGATATGTTAACAGAAACATCATCATTGTATATTTTAACCAAATTACCGACACTTAATCGATATCTCAATGGTGGTCTACGACGCGGATCGTTGATCGAATTATGTGGATCATGGGGTACAAACTACGATTAAATTATCGACCGTTTTTCTCTTTTATGACAATTTTAGGTAGCGGTAAAACACAGTTTTGCTTACAACTAACTGCCCAATGTTGTTTGATGGGTTTACGAACGATCTATATCGATACTGAACATACATTCTCATCAATTCGTCTTTTGAATATGATTGGTAGTTTTGATAGTAAGCAAGAACATTTACTCGAACTGGTACGGACAGAGATGATCTTCGATGCGGATTCTTTGATGAAAATCTTGGCAACTATTGAAAATGAACTAGAAGAAGAGGTGAAAAGTGATAATAGAGATCAATGTCCTGCTTTATTGATTGTCGATTCCATTGCTGCTCCGCTAAGAATGTCAACGATGGGTTACAGTCGAGAAAACATTCTATTACTATTTACCGATTGTGCGAAACGACTTGCTCGACGATACAATCTTCTTGTCTTTGGTATGAGTACTTGAAATGCAACATTTCATCATTTAGTTCACTTTCAGTAACCAATCAAGTAACTACGAAACGTCGTTCAACTGTTTTAACAGAAAAACAAGATGATAACAAGAAACTAGGAAATGATTTTTATACTAGTGTTGCCTTGGGAAAAGCTTGGTCTCATTCGGTGAACGTGCGTCTTGCCATTTCCTATCATGGTGATACACGCCGACAATTAATTGTTGGTAAATCAATCGAATCGCCAGCGTATACAATAGCATTTCGCATATTAACGAACGGGTTAGAAGAAATTGAAGAAGATTTCCAAACGAATACACAACGAAAAGTTTTCGAAAAACAATCAACACGGCGTTTGATTCAAGCAGACGAAATGCATCTTATCGGAAAACAATTACGGCCTTAGAATCAGTCATCTATCAGATAATTTATTTTTCTAGAGAATATGTCTTTACTAAATAAAATTTTTTTCTCGAAAAGATAAAGTTTCATGTTGTGCTTTTTAAGCCCATCGCCCAATAACAGCCATGGCGGCTACACCCAAATATAAAGCAACGAAATAGGCAAATTTTAATCGTTTACTTAAACGATTGAATCCATGAGCATTTACACCCATCTCGGCTGTTATTAAATTAACTAAAGCTACATAAATAAGAATACCAGCAGCAAATGAATCTAGTATACCAGTGGACAGTAAATAGGAAACAGATTTGGGATTATATGTTCCAGAATGTATACCGATGCCAATAGCAATACCAATAGGGGTCGTTAGCGAGAAGAATATAACCATAAAAATGGCAGACTTGATTGATGCTGATTTCAAATTAGCAATTTGTGCACCAAGTGCAATTGCTTCGAAAAATTGATGAAAACAAAGCGCAATAAATAGAGCAACAAATGAATCTGTTGCTGTTCCCAATGTTAGTCCAATCAAGATGGAATGAAGTGCAATACCAAATTCCAATAGGTAAGTACTTATTTTGGTGCTATGTCCACTGTTTTGAAGCGCTAAGCCATGATGATGATGGTTCGATTCTGCGCCTTCTTCGACTGATGTTAATGGAGGTTTCACTTGAATTATCTCCGAATGTTGATGCTGATGATGATAATGTACCTCGGGCGTATGTGCATGGGCATGTCCGCCATGTGAGTGGTGCGTGTGCCATATAGAGTTCGTCCGACCTCTATCACTGTTAGCTTGTGACGCTCTGTCAAGTTCTTCCGTCTTCTCTGCCGGCGCTTTCACATTCGTGCTTTCCACCCCATGAGAATGTTTCAAAGTCATCGAACGATATTTTTCGTGTGCAAGAAACTCTATCAACTGCATTCCAAGAATACCTAACATAGCAAATAGCCCAGCATACGCTCCGTACACATTCCACGAGTCAGGTAAACAAGGATCAGTCAATGTCTCCATAGCATCTGGTAGAATATGCACAAATCCAGTGGCTAACACCACACTAGAAGTAAAAATAAGAAAATAATATGCAAAACTTGTCACATTTTGACACATACCCGCTGCCAAAAAACTTTCCGAAGTTGAGGACAATTGGATTGATACGAAGAGCTTTGAACCGGTTCGAAACTACAGACAAAGACGCTCCAACGAAGGAAACCACTAGGAGAACAAAGACCGAGACGATATGAAGTGTCAGGTTATAAGCTTGATTGATTTCTTCATCGCTTAGAAAACAAGCATTATTGTCACTGCCACTTGCATTGCTAGTTTCATTGCTAGTTTCATTGCTACTGTCCATGTTGATCGGCTGCTTCAGACGTTTACGACTGACAAAAATCGGTATTTTTTGTCAAATGAGTTATTACTTTTCGTTTGCTACTGATTATTTATACGTCCAAGCTGTCTCTCATTTGTTTCTGTACTCAATTCATGCTCTCTCTTCTCTCTCTCGCTCTCCCTCTCTATCGTCGATCGATAGGAGGAGATAGCTGCGCATACGTCTCTACAGGACCAAATTTATGCATTTTTTAAAGGTGTACGTCATTTACCCTTTTACTCTCTTATTTTTCTTCTCGTGTTACCTTAAAAACCGTCCAGCTTGATTGTTACTATACATCTCCTCATATACAATCACGTTTTCGAGGGGACGTCCATGGCGAAAACACCTCATTTTCTTTTTTTTCTCTTGTTACTCCCTTGTAGAATATCATTTTTTCGTATATTTCCTATGGGCCTGTAGTTATGGTTTGTTTTTATTTTAACTAAAGATTAAATGCAAGTAGATCTATAAAATGACGAACAATACCAAAAACAAAAAACATGTGTGTATTTTTCTTCGTTAGTTGAGTCGTATGGTAGTAAACGTAAACGCAATTTCGGATTTTGCATCAATCACAAGGTCAGAACGAAGGCGCGAGCCAAGTGAGCGAGCCTTATTATCATAGAATAAACACGTAATGGATACTTGACATATAGATTTGAAGCGAATATTAACTTTTCGTTGTTTATAATTCTGAATCAAAACATTCGTTGTCATTAACGATGAATTTGTTGCACGATTCATCGACAAGGTTCGATTATATACTAGCATGATATCCGCATCTTGTCCCAATTCGAATTCATATTTTTCCGATTCAGCCAATGTTGGCAATTGCCATTCTCCGGTTAAAATATGAGCAGATGAATCATAAAGTAAAAGATGACCAGTCGGAAGAAATGACGAACTATTGGATAATTGATACAGACGTTGAAATTTATGTTTACCTGAAATGATCGCTTGAGCACTATTCAGTATCGGCGATGGCATTGTTAAAATAAGAGTGTAAACAAATAAAGCTTTTACACGTATGTATGGAAAAAGAATAGGTAGTGTAAGTATCGAATAAGGTTCAATTGTTAGCGTTTTGTTGATCGTCGAAAACAAGTGAACACCACTGTAATCAACGGTGCTTTCTAATGTGTCACTCGAAATCGTTAATGCTGAGCTTTTACCACTGCCAAATGCTAGATTAATGTCACCTGACATCAAATACGTTCGATTCGAATAGTATGGCAATGGACTCGTATTGATGATGTCTGCTAATACTTGAAATTCGACTTGGCCATTGTTATATGTTTGCAATGTATAACGAGCATTCCAGCGAAGACTGTTGAGGATGAAGGTGACCACGAGAGAATGATTGGTTAAGATTGGATGAAAGGAGACTTGATAGATTGGATTGGACTGCGGTTCATAAGAATATTCGATGAGATCAGAGTGGACATGGAAATAGCGACCAGTTTTAATGTCACGAACAAGAGAATGTTCACGATCGTCTCTAATCAATTCACAAGCAATGGGTTCTTCTTGTGCTAAGTGCGTTCGTACGAAGATTCTTTTATCTAAAACAAATGGCTAATATCAGTCTTTGAATATGCGAAAAATCGAAGAAACCTGAACTATTGGCATTGAGTCGAAGGATACGACGTTCAAAAGTGTTCGTTTGGTTAGTATCATTGGAAAATGATCGAAGAATCAGACTCTCGTGTTTGATGTTATCCCATTCGGCTTGTTGGAAACGAAGCGGTCCATTGTATACTTGATGAATTTCAGCGAATGAATCATACAAGCGAAGGTTATTACCAAATGCCGTCGTTGCAACTACCGATAAATACAAAAATCTGAGAATACTCACGAAGAACAACATCGAAGTATGAACGTCGACTTTTCTGCTTGTAAAATGAACGCGTAAACGAATGAATAGAATTGACATGTATATTTGAACAATATGAGAATATGATGTTTAAAATGACTTGATATGTGCAAACAAAGTACATAGGATATTTGATACGACATCGTTTCGACCTATTTATTCTCGAGAACATTCATATCGAGAGTATAGCAATCTGGCTATTTGATCCAAACGCTCGTTACTACAGTAGTACTCGTGTTTATTTAACGTAGGAAAAATAAGTGCTATAAGAACGATTTGTTTTTTTTTATCACGTCCGATCCATTGAAACCGTAAGATGAGATGTACATAGCTTAATTTGATTGTATCTACTCATCGAAATCTGCATAAAGTCAAGGATTATTGAATGCAATAGAAATTCAGTACAACGATATACTGCACCTTTCTTTGCATATTTCTTGAAGCATGGAGATTATGATGTAGATACTCTTTGACCTCTTTGAAAAGATCATTTAAAATAAAGTGTTTATCCACGTGTACGATCAGATTGTATTCGTTCATTACTAAAATTCGAAAAATATTGAGGGGAGTGTTCTTCTTCTTCTCTGATGTCTTACATTTTTTCTCATTAGTTTCTCTTCTTATGCGAAGATAGGTGGATAAAGACGGAGAAATTAAGATAGATTAGGTCAGATAGCATTTGTATATTTTCTTCTATGACACATGCCTGACAGAACTTCTATCTTATCTTTCACATCTTGTTTTTTTCATTCCCAACGTCATCAAACAGACATTTATCTTTCCTTGACTAATGTATGTACAATATACCCAATACAGAACTTATGTTAGAGCCTTGATGTTTATCTTTTGTATGCGGCTATCAACGTCATAGACGAGAATATATCTGTGTATATATACACGTATAAATATCGTACAGTTCGTCATTTCTCGTTCTTATTCTTCAGAGTATTCAGTCTATTGGTTATTATCGTTACGTGCGATGACGTCGAAACTTCTTCTCTTTGCGGCTTTTGTCTGCTGTAAGTTGAAGAAAAAACTATTGATCAGATTCACATTTTCGATATTTAGTAATTTCAATTCAATTGGGTCTCATCGAAGCAAAGATTTGCTATCAATGTGATGACAAAAACCCATCGAAATGGTGGAAATTTTGGGGAGAAAAAATCACCAAATGTAATGGTGTTCCATTTCAAAAATATGCTTCAAAAACATCAAAAGCCTTCGGTGCTGATGTTTTAACATGTTATACCGTAAGAAATCGTCAAGATCCATAGTGATCCATTGACTGTTTTCTTTTTGTTTTCTGAAGAAATTTGACGAAGCTGGCAACGTTATTAAACGAGGTGCTTATGGATTCGGTGAAACTTTTGACAAAAACTTCAAATGTCAAGATCGATTTCATATCTGCTGCAAAGGACCATTCTGCAATAAACATGTAAAAGCACCATGTCCACCACTCCGTAACTATCCTTTCCATCTGTACTTCCAAATTCATCATATTTTTCTAATCTATAGCAAATGCAACACAAAAGAAGGAAGTCAAAGCATGTTATGAATGTAACGGTGCTGAAGCTTGCCGACCACAAAGACTCGGAAGCGCTGAAGTTCGTACCTCCAGCATTTTTGGTGCCAGCAACTTATATTGCTACACAGTACGTTAGAAAATTGTTCATTTGACATTCATCTATCTTGTCATATCTCATAGAAATTTGATCCCAAAACTGGTGTTGCTATTGCTCGTGGTGGCTTCGGTTTTGGTGAAGCTATTGATAAGAATCTTAAATGTGATTCAAAACACTACCTCTGCTGCTACGAAAACATGTGCAACACCCATACAACTGGTCTTTGTGATAAACATCATTACGAAGATTAATAATCGAATGACACAAAAAGAAATATTCTAAAACGCGCGCGTGCTGTGTGTGTGTGTGTGTTTGTGTGACCAACTTTTTTTTTCGTATTCTTCATTTAAAACAATAAACAGAAATTTGTATTAGTTTAACAGCATGAAGAACTTGAATCCTATATACGATGCTCTCAATTTACAAAAATGGCCAAGATCTCATTCAAATGAAACCTCAAATACTGTTCTCAATCAAAATGTTCGTCGTCAATTGCATACAGAAGCTTTAACGGAAGAGAATTTTCATCAAGTTCATCTATCTCATCGAAGAATAGAAGACTTTCCAAGTGAAGTACTGCTTGATTTCAATCAAGTATCTATGTATTTCTGAGAAAAGCAATCTTTCAACTAGCAATTAGTCATAAGTCGTTAATGCGATCAAGCATCTATCCTATCTCTGATAGTATCATCGCCTATACTGATAAGAATGCAGATTATCTGATTTTGGCTTTGTTTTTTTTTGTGTTAGATCTCACTATTCACGATATCGATCGATTAAAATCGATGAATGTGCATACAATTCAAGATCTACTCGGCCGTTGTCTTATACATGATACATTAGATGAATTTCACATGTTTCTTCTGAATGGTTTTCGTTTGAGCGAAAAGACTGCGTCTGGTATAACTAATTTATTCAGCCAATGGATAGACTATAATTTAAATGGTATTCAATCAAATCATTGATGTTTTCCCGATAGACTATGCCACTTTATTATTGTTTGTCTTAGAGAAGGAGAAATTGACGTCACTGTTTTCAATGATTGATAAACGAAAAATAATGATGATTATGTGAGACTTTCATCCATATACATTTCTGTAAACTTGCAGATGAGAAAAGAGAAAAAAAGAAAAGGAGTGAAATAAAATAAGATGACCAATCACCAAAGAAGATGCTGAGAATATTGATGTGATACATCATTCTTATGACGATGATTTTTCTTGCGTTGACGATGCTGCTGCTGCTGGAAGTGCATTTGACAATTGAGGGTAGTGATTATTAGTTGTTGGATGTGAGGTTGGAGAAGATGATTCTGGTTCAGTGAAGAGCGGATTGCGAACTTCCATCTCACCCGTCTAAAATATATAGATCAATGTGAACACGAGCAAGTCAAAGTTCAGTTAACGTACTGGAGCAAGACCAGGACATTCATAAACAGTGTAATCTCCGTTCGTTGGTGCTTCATCATCTGAATCATCAGAATGAACAGGTTTCGCATCCAGATGAGCTCTAAAAGCGAAGATGCCTGCTAAGATTACACAAGTTCGTCCACATACTTTTCTTGTGCCATCATTTGTTGCCGTTGTTGTTGATAATGAAACATTTGAGCACTTTGAGCTAATTTTCGATCAGATATTGTTGCACTTGGTGAGATTTTACTACCATTGCCTTTCGATCCCGTGACACCGTACGATGGATAATCAGAGTCGATTGCTGCTTCAGCTCGTTTTTGAATTCTGTTATCCAAGGAAAACAAAAGAATTAAATTGAAAGTCTCCTCTACTATTACTTTAATGGAAGATATGTCAGGTGAAAATATAAAAAATTAATCTTCACTCAGCAGAACATTCTTCCTATGGAGAAGAAAAAAACGAGTAGCTGATATTTCATCATCTATCAAGGTCAGATTGTGTTCGCTCGTGCTACTAAGCGAAATACTCAGATTATTATTGTCTTCCATTAACATTCATGATATAATCTTTGTTCTCTGAAAATATCATTTGATTCACGCAAATTATCATGAATTCAGACAGAAAAACTAAAATATTAATCAAATCTGAATACTAATATAAAAAGAAAAGTTCAACTAAATCATGACATTCGTGCACACTAAACCGGATCTAGCTAGCACAGGAAAAGCAACAGACGTTTCCTTTTTTCCATACTATTTTCTATCAAAATTTAACACAAAGGAAATAATTGCATATGTTCTTTCGAATATCAACGTATCTGATCTATCCTTAAGATTTGCGTAGATTCATTGAATAAGAATCCTTACACGTACCTGTACCAGAAGACAGCGGCAGCAACAAGTCCCAGGACGCCCACTAAACTGCAAATGCCGACGATCACTAACAGAGAGAAAAAAAAACATAAAATTTTCGATATAATGCAATCATTATTGTAATTGACACATCTGATGATGACGAGAATTTTGTTAACTATCTTTCTCAGGTTATTCAAAAGTCGTGACGATGTTCATTTGAGCTAAACTTAGTGTGAACTTACAAAGAAATATGGTGTCATTTCGTCGTTGTGCTTGATCGGAAGTATCAGATTGTAGACGTGCTGCTTCACTTTTTGCTGTATCTAAGGACCACGGCTCATCGCTGTCATGAGAAAATCTACGAGCTTCATGTGAAACTCGTGTGTCTTGGTCCAATGCTGATAAATAATCAAATTCTCGTCGATCTATTAATAATAGATGTAGTGATAAAACATTCTTTTGTCTTTAAAGGGAATAATATACTTGATGATGCTTCTGTATCCACCAATGCTTCCCAATCGAAGTTGCCCCGTTCTAATAAAAATTAAAAGAATTTGCTCTAGATGGTTAACAAAACACAATGATAACAAAAGAAGAAACTTAACATTATAAATGATGTTTCACTTATGCTGCCTTATTTCATATAGAACTCTATACCGAATGAGTAAACAAGAAAACAACACATTTAAATTTTACGAAATACAACACGAAACATAACAACATCGATCAATTACTTTCAATTTCATTTCCATTGTTCAACATGCCATTTTCCATAACGAACAATGGTAGATATTCATTACTAATAGATCGTTCTTTGTAAGAATGTTCTGTTGGTTCGAATGCAGCGGGTGTTGTTTTCACTTCATGCTCAGATGAATGAATTTTCGGTAAAGGAAGATAGAATATCCGTCCAGCATCAATTGTAATTGTTGTCACAACGAAAACCAGAACGAGAAAACGAATTACAAATCTGGACATTGTTTCTCACATGTACTTCACTTTCATAGATACTCAAATGACGTACACTAGTGTTATTACATGCGTAGATATAGTTTCATATGCGTATATAACATCCGACTGGCATCACTAGCATTTGAATGGATGCCAATTATGATAGTGTTCTTGTTTTTGTGCGACTTTCTTCTTGAAGTTCTATCAGAATTTCTCGCCTTTCTTTTTCTCTTTCTCTTTTTTCCCTTCGCAACATTACTGATGTCGTTCAAACAAGAAATTCCTCTTTCTGAAAAATGCATAGGGAATGTAGCAAGAGAGAAAAAAAAAGAAAAGATTCTCTATCGACACTATCTTCTACTTAAAGACAATGACACTCAACATTTAACGATGACGTTAGTACGAGACAACCAGATGAAATTATCAGCCGATCGACGATGACATCATACAATAATCAGAAACAAAATTCAATTCAATTAGACGTCATGTTCAATGTATAACTGTTACGTTCTAGGTTTTTGTTCGAATTCTTCGTCAATTTCATTTGTAAATACAATTAACCCACTAGTACCCATAGGGACATAAAGCCTGGTTTTCTCTGACAGTCTCTAGCCATTATAAATTGAAGAATGTGTCAATCAATAAATTACTTTTTGAAACGTTTGTGGACCACTCGCTTCGTGCAACCCACGCGTACCGATCGTATCATGAAAAAAAACATACGGATGGGTTGATGTCGTCTAATTTCTACTATTCAAATATATGTTCTACATAACGACCGGAAAAAATAACGACATAGCAGTGGGACATTTGACGAAGAGTCTGTATTAGTGGCGATGAGTGATTTCACTCTACGAGACATGTTAGTGTCGATAATCATAGCTTTCGCTTTGTTTTCTCACTTGGACATGAGTGAAAAATAGATGAAAATGCGATCAGATAGATACTGACATGTAGCTAAATAAGAGTGTACGTACCACCCACGTAACGGAGAGCCAAACATGAATTGTGTTTCGTTAACAGGAGATGACTACTAAGTAAAAGAAGGAGAATAACCGATGAAAAAACACGTGCCATGATCAAGTGTATCATTGCTATCTAATATCAAAGATTGTTATTGATACTAGAGTGTGATTTTCATTGCTTGTGTATAACAGCACGAAAACAATAGTCGATGAATGATGTAAGTGCCTCACCCAATCAGTAAAAGTTTGAAAGATATCAAAATAAAAAACGGGAGAAGAATGAGTAGAATAACATAATCTGAAACATATTAATGTTCGCTTGGCAATAGTCCAGAGTATGAAAAAAAGACGAAAGAGAAAAGAAAAAAAAACAAAAATTAATAGAAAAATCAACATCAGTAAAAAGTAACAGCTGTGATTGAAGTCAACTATTTCTTTTACAATGCAACAGCTTTCCAAGATGTAATCATACATACATGTATGCATCGATAGCTACCAGCACAATTTTATGTTTTCTTTCAAAAACTATCCTAATGATTGTTATTCTTTGTCCCACGACTAGTCATGTCGCGAAATAGTTTATATTTCGCAAGAAAAAACACAAGGTGAAATGCATAAGCGGGGGCGACAGAAATCTATTAATCATATGTATGTACAATGACGCGAGACGAATGGTATTCAGAATACACAAATAGCAACTATGACGAGAGGGACTGTACGATGCCAATAAAAGAGGTCACTAATGATCAGATTTTGTTTCGTCAATCAATGAAGTACAATCGTTACTTTTTTGACATTCGTATTATACTCTTTTTCTGCATTCTTTCACTGTCAACTTAGATTATGTTTTTCTCGTTAATATTAATTGGAGAGTTTATTTACAATTGCAATAACTATTCTTGTTTGACTCTATTGACTTTTTTTTGTCGATGTCATTGACGAGAAACCTTTCCTTGGCCGTCCATTCTATAAAAATTACAATCATCAAAATCAATTCAACACATATTTTAAATCTAGTCAAGTTTCTTTGCTTGAAAACCAGCTGCATGAACAGTTTTCACGACCAAACTCGTGTCTATCACATTTTTTGTGATTAACTTCGCTTGTCCAGTTTCCAGATTAACATGTACACTAAGTACACCCTCAAGTTTCCGTAGTGCTTGAATAACCGCTGAACGGCAACCTTCGCAATGCATTCCGACGATCTGCCAATACGTAATAACGACGCCTGCAGTATGATTGAAATCATTTCTTGCGAATTGATTATTGTACATTCGTAAAAGTTCTGGTGATAACGATAGAAGTACTGTTACAAGTACAATCATTGTAAAGTGTTTTTTCGATGGACGATAACGATAGAATGAATAAGTTAAAGATATAATTGTTAGTGAAATAAATATCGGTCGATATGGTAATAGAAATGTGTTCAATCCTGCGCAACCAATTCCGAATAGATTCAGCAATAATTGTATGACACAACAGGATGATATTAAAAGACCGCCAACAAGACCATTAATCCAGTTCATATGTGTCATTTCTGTTTTTTTCTGCAACGAAGATTTCATATTCATTAAAAAAATTAATAGAAGAAGAATCATCACAATGAAATCAATGTTCATAGTTTACTAATCTACATCGATACGGAATGATATCTATATACAAGAAGATAAAAATGATCCTAAACAGTTTCTTTTGGCTTGGCTGTTCGAGCGAACTGGACAATCAGTGGTTTTTCGTGTAAAATAAATCCATTCGTATCATTCAATGCATTCAAAGCCAAATCTTCACTATCGAATGTCACAAATGCTTGACCTTTCATTTTTCCTTCGCGCATAAGACGAATATCAATTTCCGAAGAATTTCCTCTATAACGATCGTATATAGAATGCAAAACACGTTCATCAACATGTTTTGTAGCGATATTCTTTATATAGAGCCGTCGGGAAGGCTGACCACGTTCGTAATTTCGATATAGACGACCATTATCGATTAATCGTAATTGATCTTCATTGAAACGATTTTTGATTATTTCGTCGAGAGGTATGAGTGGAAGTGCTGGAAGTTGCTCGACGATTTCTGAAGCAACATTCGCTGATGAAGTTGTTGATTTCGTTAGTTCTAATCGACCGAAACCATGACTTGTCGATATTGGTACGCTTTCTTCTTTCTAAAATGAGATTGTGAGTTGAACAGACGTCTCGTATTTAGAACTGAATTTACTCGAGTTTGTCGAAGTGATTGTGGTAAGATAAGCTCAATTATTGGTTTTTTCTTTTTCTCAGCGTCATTCGTTACGCTGCTTTGTTTGACAGGCTCAGTTTCTTCCGCAGTTGACTTTGGCGGAATATCTTCATGATGAAATCGACGTCTGACTCGTTTTTCTTCTTCTCCGTCATCAATTTCACTTTCATCGCCATCCGTATCCATATCAACAATTTCATTCGGCTCTCCTGTTTCATATGTAATGTTCGACGCTGATGAACTTCGAACTTTCTTTGCCGAATCTACACATAAAATACTGAAGACGATATGTCAATTCTCAAACGATTCCTACCGGCAACCATCGGACATGGAAGAGACATTTTGTTCATAAGATGAAGAACTTGCGTATAAAAAGCAGGTACAGATAGAAGAGCATTATTAATATTTGTTAAGATTGTCTCGTTAATTGGTGGATATGAGTACGATAGTCTATCGGATGGTAATGAATAACGGAGTTGGTTTTTACCTGGTGAGATCCCATTTAATAAAGGATCGTCTTCTAACGATAAAGTCTTTGAAAATACTAAATGGACTAATTCCAATGGACAGTATTCAACACTCAATCGACGATTTAAGATTTCCAGTTGATGCAGACGTTGAAGTGCCTGAGAAGCTTGTGGTTTAGAGCCAAAATCCGCAATAATCGCATTGACAATGTTTTTAATGCGAGGTAAACAACGTACACGAGTAGCACCAAAATGTTCTAAAAACTCCTGTCGATCACAATCATTAAATATCAATGGAAAATTCTTGATTGTTAATACACTCGATGAATAACTAGAAAATGTGCTCATCTAAATAAACACAAAACATACAATCCTCATATCTAACAGTGATAAAACGACTGGTCATGTTTAATATTGATATTTGATAGTGAATTTAGAACAAACATCAACAAAATGTTGATTTTCGTATCACTGACGAGCTTTAAATGACATAACTAAGAGTGAAAAGTATTTACTAACGGTTTCGAGCATGCTTAGTTTGTCATAATTACTATGAAATCAAATTGTACTTTCGAACAACTGTATTAAACGATGTTTATAATGCCCTTGGACTTTGCTTTGAAGGACGAATAACAGCAGTAAGTCAGTGCTTCAAATTTCACATTTCTACCAGCAAAAGAATCAAATTCAAGTATTCGTTAGAACATATTAACATTGATGCAACATTGTATTCGATCGTTCGAGGCTGGAGTCGATGGTTACAATTACTATTCTATGTTGAAGAGCGAGAGAGAGACAGAAAGTATCGACGATTTGATTGGAAGAAAAGGAAAAAAGTTCAAACAAATTATATTCAAGAATCAAGTTTGACATAAAGAGTTCGCACAATGTTGACAATCGATTTAACTTCGAACGATGATACGAACTGCTTAACTTTCAATTGTTTCTAGTCGACACGATATGTACAGCGGACTAACCCTCATCACCGATTCGTAAATTGATCTTTCGGTCAATGATGAATTGTTTCGATTCCAACAATTCATGTAGAAGAAAGTCATAATCTTATGGTAAGTGTGTTTTTTTTCACCAACTGTGAAGTACGTATTGTACTAATACAAGTGAATTCATTTGCTCTTGTAAAGTTCAGATGATTGTTATGATATTAGTCGACCAAGCACGAGATTGATCCTTCTGTGTGAATTTCGTATTGACTACCAATTGACCAAAGTTTATCTTTGCATTCATTACTGAAAGAGAAAAGAAATCAACCCGATCAATTCTATTCTTCTTGTAATATTAAAGTATAATCCTCAGGTCAGTTTGTTTTCTTTTCTTTTCATTTATGACAATGAATTCATTGTGTGTTGACCCTTTTAGTCTGATAACGACAAATCGTGTCCTTTTCCTCTCTTCTACAGCCATTCTCTCTGTCCATATATATATTTAATCATATGATATTAGTCTTTTGTCAAAAATACATTCATAGCCAATGGGTCAACTATTCAATCGAATATCAACCGTACAAACGGACCAAGAAACGACAGAACTAATCATTCAAAACAGGTAAAATAATGGTCATCGTTCTCACCGGGATCGTCATGTCGCTTTTCTTAGTGCGAAATTCATTCAACCGTTGATAAAAAAACGAAAACGCCTTGAACAAGAGAGTAATTCCCGGAAAAAGAAGTTTTATTTACACAATGATTATTCCCGACTTTTCAATTCGTCGAAATTTACTAGACAATCAATGATGAACAATTCCTTTACGTCAAAAGTAGATATATTTCACTTCAATCTATTGACTAAACGGCTTCTGTTTGTTTGTTTAGATATTCTTCAAATGTCAGTTATGTTGTCGATGTTTTCCAACGAAAGATTCCTATCTTGATCATATGATAGATTGTGCCATTGAACGTCAGGCATCTATTCGAATAGTACGTGCCACAACTAACTAACTACATGTGTCAATCGGACACAAGATGACTTTCTTGTCTTTTAAAATTTTTGTATTATTCAAGTTTTAAGACTATTTTTGTTTCTCGAAAAGAAAGTCGGATATAATAATTATTAGAAGATTTATTTCGATAGGGTAGGCGGAGTAGTGTCACCTGTTTTCAAAAATCGTACACTTTCTTTCCACAGCTCGAGCGATTGATTCTCTTTAAAGAAATGAAAATGACCACCTTTGGGTAAATGCCAAGTTTGAACATGAGTTGACCGATGAAATTGTTTGGTAAAGATATCAAATGCTTGTTGTGTATAAAATTCATCATCAACAAAATTTAAAGCTAAAACTGGACATTTAACTGAATTAAAACCCGCTGTCATCAATTGTCCGTTATCATCAACGAAGCATTCACGATGTAAACTCCAACGAGCCCATTGACGAATAATATCCGATGGTAGATCAACACCAGTTCGAAAAAAACTACGCATCGGATAGTATCCATACGCCCATAGCAATGGTTCACGTAACACGAGAAGTGCCAAACATGTATGAAGAAACGCAAGATTCCATTTATGGTACATTAAATACGAATTTGCAGATGATATCAGAAGTATTCGTGAAACTTGTTCATTGATTGCTGCTGGTAAGAGTGCATGCATGTTTCCTCCTAAGCTATGGCCAACATGAACCACCTGAGGATATTTTTGGGAGAAATACGATAGCACACCAGCACAATCACGCCATGCCCAATGTTCGAGAAGAGTCCATGGAGTTGATTTTCGTTCGTGTGTTCCACGGTAATCGTAAGTAACGACGTGGAAATGATGTTGTTCATTCAGATATTTTGCAAAAGGATGGTAAAATTGACGTCGACTACCGGTTGCTCCGGATATAACAACACAAATTGGGCTTGACACAGAAGATGGTAATGTCGCTTCGAAGAAAGTAGCTTCAATGGGATAAGAATCGACTAGAGCAGGAATTGTGATCGTCGATGATGATTTTCGTACACAGTAAATTTTTGGTAAAAATTTGTGAATGATACGAATGGAATTCATTTGAAATATTTACAAAAATGTATTTCTTGTCTTGAATCTTAATTTTTATCGGTAATTGTTTCGTTTGTTTGAGTTCAATTCGATTGGATATATTTACGAACCAGTCGATATCAGTAAAGATAGAGTGATGGTAATTCTGTAGAACACATCTCTATATCGTCAATGTTACAAAAAAAGTGTGACCTAGAACATTAAGCGATGTCGTGTTTGTTTAGGCACAAGATTTTGAAATCAATTGTCATTCAATCCTTATCTCTAGCCGTCTGTGGCACGAAATAGAATTTTATTTTAATCGATGCAATTATGTAAAAGACCTAGAAAGCTTTAACTATTGTTGACATCAAGCACACGAGAGAAGTCTACAACAATTATACATCGATCCACAAATTGTTGAGACTATTCTATTTGAAGATATAAACTCTTCACTTAAAATTACCATGCACTAAAAGTATATATATATTCAATAAGTTGAACTTTGCATTTTGGAAAGTATGTATGATCCATCCTTATTCTTAATTTAATATGTAATGCTCGTGATGTTCTTGAATAAGAACTCTAGTATCAATTACTTTTCCTATACATGCACATAATACAAAATTGATGAAGAAACTTTTCATAGCCTAATAAATCTAATTTGAAGAGCATTAATTATGCTATGCATTCATCGAACTTCTATATATGTGTGATATAAGAAAAAAATATCGGATTTCTTTCAATCAATCTAAATTAGCATTTTCGTATATGTTGGAAAAACACGGCAAATTCTCGCTGTTTTTCTATCTTCGTGTATCTACAAAATTGTGTCTCTAGTACAGTCATTAATTACTCATGTCAGTGATCACCAGTACATCATTATCTGTTATGACTACTACAGTCCTCATAGGAATAGAGATTGCAAGCAGTGGAGTTAGTTATTACGGTCCTATTATTGTATTAATATTTGGCACGCTCGGTTGTCTCTGCAACTTCATCACCTTTACTGTAATTCAGCTTCGAAAATCATCATGCGCATTCTACTTTCTTCTCTCAAGCATTTTTGAGTTATTTGATGTTACCTCTGATCTCGTCTCTCGATTTGCTGCCGATCATCTCATGTACTAATGTTATTGTTTGACTTCCTAACATTGATGAACGTTCGACGAACGAAACAGTGTATAGCAGGAAAACACGCTTCGGATATAGATGCAACAAAGTAATCATATGGACATCAAAATCAGAACACCGACACACAGCTCATTGTGGTGCGAATACTGATTTCTTCAGTAAAACACTTTATTGATAAATTGGTTTTGTTTAGATGATGTTTATTCAAATTGGATTACGTTGCATATTAATAGTGGCTCGAATTATTTCTTATGCTTATTGTATTCTTAAGCCAACAGCTACCGGACATGAGCGGTTAGTCGATGTCTTTCTTGTATCATTTACTATTATTTTATGTTATGCTAGTTTTGCAAAGTCATTCTATTTATATACATTAACAAGTCATTTCTTTCGGTCGGTGTTTGTCAATAGAATCAAATATCTCATACGCATGATTTTTGGCCTAGTCATATCATTTGACGCAAGGCACACGCCAATAGGTGCTGTCACGAAAAGGACTAGCCGTTCTTTGTATTAATCGCACATGCTAAATTTATTTGCGCTGATGGTTTCTCAAAGAAACTTTGAATACTGTACACATGAGTTTTATCTAGAACGTAAATTTCCATTAATTATGCACGATAGACGACATTCAGTTTTGACGGTAAAAAAGTACGTAATTTCTAAGTGAGAATTTATTCGAACTTTTCTCATACTTTCAAGAAGTATCCAGATACACTTCTACATGAATATCAGAAGAAGCATTGATTCTAATATGACAAAACAAAACATTAAGGTCTCCATCACGAATTCATATCATGCATAAATGAGTGACATATGTGCTAGTAGTTCATTTCATAAAAGAACATCAAAACGAAAGTGGGCGTATCAAGTAAACAGGATCAAAGTTCATACTGATTAGTTATCTATAAATTTGAAACTATCCTAATGGAAGGCATGTGTTACACATGAAGTAAAATTATTTTAGTTTCCATTTCAACGTTCTTATTGATTCTTTTCTAAAACTAGTTTCTTGCAAACCAGATCGTGACCATGATTCAATCTATCAAAGTAAATCTGCATCGAAAGATCTCAATGTTAAAGAACTGCGTGTTGAAAATAATGCTGCAGAGATAAGAATTAGGTCTGTTCCTTTATTTCTAATTAAAACATCCAATTTATGTCCCACATAAAAGAGTACTTCTATGTTTTCTTTTAATGTTTGAAAAGAGCATGCCTTATATTTCTGCTTGAGAAATTTCAATTTTTTCAGCAAAAGATGTTATCGCCAACAGAGACATCTCTGTACGAGCGTGCAGTATTAAACATAATATAATCTGACATTTATGGCATATATTTTTTCACACGCTGATACGTCACGACTGTTTTCTATTTAAACTGCAGATAAAATCCCCACAAGATATATTGCACTCAAATACTTTCAGGAATACACTAAAAATCCGTTGAAAAATAAACACAATGTCGACATCGATCACAACTACTACTGCGCCACTCATACAAATTGCCACTACTCAAATGACATTCTATAGTCCCATCATTCTTCTCATCGTTGGCATCATCAGCTGCCTCTGCAACTTTATCACCTTCACTTCACCTCAGCTTCGAAAATCATCATGCGCATTCTACTTTCTTCTCTCAAGTATTTTTGAGCTATTTGTTGTTACCTTTGGTCTCATATCGCGATTTGCTGCCGATCATCTTGGCAGTACGCTCATCAACACGGATCGAGCATACTGTAAACTTCGCGCTTATCTCGTCTCCATCTTGCCACTCATCGCTACCTACATGATCCTGCTCTCATCCATCGATCGATGCTTGTCATCATCAGTCAGTGCTCGTCTTCGACTGTTTGGCCAAATGAAAGTGGCATATGTTGCGAGTGCGGTGGCAATTCTTCTGGCTTTTGTTTCAGGTCTTCACATTTTGATCGGATATGATCTTCGACCGCGGTGTGCAGCATTGCCAGGTGTATTCGCCATGTATGACAGTATGTTTGTGGTGTTCTGGCTAGGTGTGATTCCTCATGTACTGATGTTATTGTTTGGTTTCCTGACGTTGATGAACGTTCGACGAACGAAACAGCGTATAGCAGTAAAACCTGCAAAGAATGCGAACATATCAGATCAACAGCAAGAAGGTCATAAACAGAAGACAGACGCACAATTGATGATGGTAAGTGCGAATATAAGAAAGAGGGAAGTGAGCAATTGCATATATGGACGTTTTGCTTGTAGATGATGCTTGTTCAAGTCGGATTAAGTTTCATATTAATAATGACTCGAATGATCTACTATGCATACTATGTGCTGGGTCCATCATTGACAGGTTACGATAAATTGGTGGGATCATTTCTGATGTCATTCACAACACAAGTATACTACGCGAATTATTGTAAATCATTCTATATATACACACTATCAAGCAGCTTATTTCGAACAATATTTATCAACCGAGTTAAGATCGGCATTCTTAAATTATTTTGTAGAACGACACCAACAGGATATGGTGAACATACGGCAAAAACTATGGAAACAACTATTACAGTTCGGCCTAAACGCAAAGCTAGACAGTGATATGCTGACAGAATAAAGTGATCTAGTTATTCTGTAATGTTTCTCTGTAGGATACATATTTATTAACTTGAAAAATAAAGTCTACGCTTATCGTGATGTGTATGTCGCTAAATTGTAAGAATCTGTGAAAAATATTTAAGAAAATGGAGTGAATAGAATACAATAGAATGGAGTTGATTAGAATTCTATCGAAGCACGATCATGATTGTGAATGATATGTTTTTCATTGGACACCCCAGTTACCAAAGTCGAGAGACATTTCTCCAATATATTGTAAATCGTTTTTATGGGACACAAATGAAAACAAAGACTAACTTAGAATAGTAAAAACTGACGTATACGATTCGAGAATCAGAACAGATGCGATAGTTGTTTGTGAGAAAAGCGTCAGACAGATATCAATAATATTCGTTTTTAGATTCACATGATTCAAAGAAGTGTACGACATCGATTTATATTTGGCTTCACAAAATCCAACATATTCAAGTAATTCTTCTTAGAGTTCAACGGGAAAAATAAATCATCTCGATAATATGCCAGTAACAAAGAAAGAACGAGATGCTTAAGAGTGAAAAAAACATTAGCAAGATTATTTCGGTATTGTCCTTAAGCATTCATTCGGATAAAAGTTTTTCTTTCTTGTGAAGTACATCATAAAAACGGAAATAGAACCCGTCTTACTGGTACTTCATAGCAATTATACTATTTCATTATTGTTGAAGTACGCACAATTATTTCTCTATCTAGAATATCTTCATTTTTCTATACCATCTTATTCCGATAAACACCAAACATCATAAAACGATGGTGGAAAACAATATGCTTGCACCGCTTTCAACGACTACTCAAGCATCCATCAGAATTGCCACTACTGAAATGACCTACTACAGTCCCATCGTTCTTCTCATCGTTGGCATCATCAGCTGCCTCTGCAACTTTATCACCTTCACTTCACCTCAGCTTCGAAAATCATCATGCGCATTCTACTTTCTTCTTTCAAGCATTTTTGAGCTATTTGGTGTTACCTTTGGTCTCATATCGCGATTTGCTGCCGATCATCTTGGCAGTACGCTCATCAACACGGATCGAGCATACTGTAAACTTCGCGCTTATCTCGTCTCCATCTTGCCACTCATCGCTACCTACATGATTCTGCTCTCATCCATCGATCGATGCTTGTCATCATCAGTCAGTGCTCGTCTTCGACTGTTTGGTCAAATGAAAGTGGCATATGTTGCGAGTGCGGTGGCAATTCTTCTGGCTTTTGTTTCAGGTCTTCACATTTTGATCGGATATGACCTTCGACCACGGTGTGCAGCATTGCCAGGTGCATTCGCCATGTATGACAGTATGTTTGTGGTGTTCTGGCTAGGTGTGATTCCTCATGTACTGATGTTATTGTTTGGTTTCCTGACATTGATGAACGTTCGACGAACGAGACAGCGGGTTGCAGCAAAACCAAGCACGAATGTTAATGCACCAAATCAGCGACAGAAGTGTCGTAAACAGAAGACAGACGCACAATTGATGATGGTAAGTGCGAATATAAGAAAGAGGGAAGTGAGCAATTGCATATATGGACGTTTTGCTTGTAGATGATGCTTGTTCAAGTCGGATTAAGTTTCATATTAATAATGACTCGAATGATCTACTATGCATACTATGTGCTGGGTCCATCATTGACAGGTTACGATAAATTGGTGGGATCATTTCTGATGTCATTCACAACACAAGTGTACTATGCTAATTACTGTAAATCATTCTATATATACACATTATCTAGTGGTTTATTTCGACGAGTTTTTGTTCAAAGAGTGACATATTATCCTCGAAAAGTACTTAATCTACGTAAGCCCATAAAAGCCAACATGTCAGATGATAAGACGGATGATACACAAACGGATGTAGATGCAGTAACTCGTGGTATAAGACGACAAAGGTAATGGGCTGTCCCAACATATACAATATGAATTATATAACGCAGACATACATTGTTCTTTGTGTAAATTGTTGTTCAATATGAAAAAAGTCGGTAAATCGTAAATAAACTATTTATAATCCGTAATAGATCTAGTGCACTTATCGAATGATAATGGATGAGTTTGTCTTATGTCGTTTTAGATTCTTCACATTCTTATCTTATACCCAAAATATCGAGAATCAAGACAGAGAAGAAGGAAGATCATCGCTCACTATATCAATCTCCATTTCAAATTAAAATTATGGAATAGAACAATTCTATTGATAAGGAAATGAGTATAGTCCAGTGTGAGAAACATATAAAAAAAAACAACTTTATCGCGATCTTTGGATACACACGAAAATTTGGAAAAATATTAAAAGTTATATTTTGACTTAGCAATGAGTCCTACGCAACAATTCTAAACATTAACAAAGATACCTTCTTAACTGATTCAGATAGGAAGTATCGTTTCCTATACAAGGAAAATAAATATTTAAGTTTGAATAGTTATCAATTGTAGTGGAAGAACATCGCGTTGTCGTTATTTTGTGGGTAACGATCACATTCTTTTATTACAATTGTTTTTCCTGCTGCCAATACTTCAAGTTTTATCAGCGAGTACCATTTTTTTTCATACTCAAAGCATTAGTTCTATAAAGCAAATGTTTTTTAGCAATGTGTATCGGTTATTCCTGATAGTCTAAGTCAAATTACGAATCCTTCTAACACTTAATTATATAGTCTAATGTGTTCAATTCGTAAATGGAATTAGAAAGAGAAACCATCTTGAGTGAAACAAAATTGGTCATCGGGTCTCGTATGTGCTTGATGATGATGTCTTTATTTTCTATCATGTTGAAATCAGATCATCTATTAGAACGAATAAATTATAGAACTAATGCTGATTCTCAGCGACACGATTTACCCATGTTCATCCTCACCTTGAAAGAATAGTTACCTAGATTGTATTCCTCAACAGTTTAGCATCAATCTGATCGTTATGGAGCTTATGATGAACAATTCATGTATTAACTGATGCACGAATCGGAGTTCTGTATCGTTTACTAACACAACATTTTATTAGCAGGTTGTATTGTGTTCATTACTTAGTAAATTATTAGTCAACAATTCTTTGTCGAAAATCAAACACATTGATCTTTAGATTTCGATTTATTCCTGACGAAAAGTCATATTATTAGGATAATTAAACAATACAATATATTTTGGAAACAATATTATTTGTTGACGTATAATGTAAATCAATTCTCAAATAGTGATTAGAATCCCTAATTGATTGATCTTTTAACCAACAATTCATCACACTCACTTATTGATGTTCGAATGTGCAAGCAGAACAATCTTGTCTGAGAATGCGAATAAGTTTCTTCAACCGACCAATGAATGACGTAGTCAATAGATGCTGAAAAGCAAAAGAACGCGAGGTGTGCCTAGTTGTCGGAGCAACGTCATCAAGAATGGTTCCTATTCATCATTGTATGCGCATGTGCATATGCGATTGATAGAAAAATCAATAGGCAATATAAAGTTAAAAGATGTTTTTAGATTTCATGCCAATGACGACCGCAAAAAACGTTTTAGAAAATGTATCTGATGATGTATTTCAAAATTTGATAAAAAAATTTCTTAAATCACTTGATCCCGTTCTATTAAAAGCAGTACGACGTGGCTCATCAAACACCACATTTACCGATGAACAACTGAGTAGTTCGCTCTCGTCATCCATTCACGATGTTGCACAAAAGTTTGTGAAAATATTTCATTCACCATTACCTTTCTATACACGATCTTTTTTTCTCTTGTCAACTTTTTCTAGCTCGGAGCTACTAGGGAATTTACACTACATTATTGACGATGCATTTGGTGATATAATCGATAAAGAAATCGAACGTTCTTTGTTATCGAATACATCTATGAGAAAGCAAAAACAACAATTGAATAAAAGTAAATTAGAACATGAAGGAGCATCAGCAATTAGTCAAACGATCAGTGATTCACGAGATTTTGCTGCATTCCGCAATGATATTGTCAAGCGTCTCCAATCGATATTAGTTGATTTAGTGGAAAATTTCGATGAAGAATTTCCTGGTGCATCATCAACATCATCAACAGCTCTTGGAATAGCATCTGACACATTGCTGATCGATAATAATGTTATTGCTGGAACTTCCATTGCATTAAGTGATATTGGAGAAAATCATCCATCAGGTACACATGGTTATGGCGGTGGATCATCAGCTTATAATGTTAGCTATGAAAGTGATTCGGATAATTCGTACGTGAATGGTTCAATTGGTCGTCATGTATGTTTTGAATGAATATATAAATGAGTAGACGATCTAAGTCGATGTATTGTTTAGAAGAGTTTGATGTTCTTTGATGATAATCACTTGCGTACAGTGGCTGATAATTTATCACCGAGTAAATCGGAAAAAGTAAGAGTTTTCACATGACTTTCTCCTCTGCAAACATGTTTTTTCATGACAGGTTCGCCTTCGTGCATTGAACGATGTACTGAATTACGCTCCAAATGAAGTTATTTCCATTGGAAGTTGGAAAATTCTCTGTCCGCATCTAATGTTTGCATTGGGAGATACAAATTTAGATATAGCAGTAAGATAAATATATGATGTATAGGATAATAATGATTTTCAATCGTTTGTTTTACAGATGGCTTGTTTAACATTACATTCTCGTTTGTTAGCCGCAGCGAATATGAGTGTCGTTTGTGAAACATTGACTAATCTCGGTAAAAATTTTGTTTGGGGATTAAAAGAGGTTTCATGTTCGATTCTTCTAGTTGAACATTTGATTCGATGGTTTTCGTCATCGAACATCGACGAATTACAACCAACAGCTACTTCCATCGATACCTCTGATCCAATAATTGAAATTCAATTCAAACAAGTAAAAATAACATGATATTTCATTCTTGGTTCACTCTCAATCTTTGATTCGCGTAGATTCGTCTGATTCTCGACTTTCTACAAGAAACGACTAAATATTGGATGAGATATTCAGAAAAGTGTGTTGCATTTTAAACGAATGTTTTAAACTTCTACGTGTTCTATTTAGTCATGTGGAACATATCATCAATGAAACAATACGTCTTCTTGCGTTGGGTATCATACCTCCAGAAGCAAATAGAGGTCGAATACTCCCACTGCATTTCATTGCACTATTGGATCCAGAAGCAAATTGGTTTCGAACATGGATGGTAAGTGAACGAAAATTGTCATAGATTGAAGTGACTTTTTCACTTTCAAATATGTGCATGTTTTATTTCATCGTAGCATGCAACATACAGTCGAGTGTATGTCCTACGTGCATTAACAAATAACAAGAGTTTCGTAAGTTGAAAGTGAAACTAATTTTACAGGCAAAGTCAATGATGTGGATATGCGAATTTAGTTGATAAACGCGTATCAATCTGTTCTTAATTATGCCAGTACTCACTCTCAACCACTCAATAGTGGAGCTGATGGACACGACAATACGATGCATCCGTCTGGTGCTCGCAAAAGATCAAACAGTAATACACATTTTCATTCTCCTGTCTATCTGGAGTATAGGTAATAATTTCGTTTAGCAACAGGTTCATTGGATGGTAATGCTCGAACAACAGTGGCACCATCGAGCGGGCCATCAATGGCTCCTTCATTTCTTTCCAGTCTGATAACCAGTCCATCGATTCCTCCTGCGGCACAGACGGCTCCACCCACGACACTTCCGGGAAGTTTGTTGCACTATACACGAACCGAGTTGTCCAATGTACATTTCGTCCATTCGGTTGCTCTCTTTGAATATGTGATTTGTTCAAAACAAGCACGTGAAACTCTTTTCCCACTAATAATCAACAATGACAAACGAGGTAAATGAGTTTGCAGAGAAATTTTTTCATAAATATTTTGCTCTATATTTACAAAAGTGAACGCGAAAGAAATTTTACGAATATTCGTTCAAATCATGTTTGCTGCTGGTAGTGGAAGTAAGAATTCTATTGAGTGATACAACTATTTTAGTGATGTTTGTTTTTGATTTCTAGAAGCTGCCTCCAATCTTTGTTGTCAATTGTTAAATCGAGTCTGTCTCGAGTCGGAAACCTGTGGTCCATTGATGTGTAGCGATGATCTTTTCGATGTATTATGTCGTCCGATAAGACAATTCCTTTCGACGAAGAAATCATTTAATGATTACTTAAGATCTAATCAAAATGTCTTGGCTGAGAATAGTCTGATAAATCTTGCCAATCTGTTTGCTGCCATGGCTTCAAATGATATCGGTTATCAATTTCTTATACGAACTTCAGCAACGCCAAACTCGTATGATATTGACATGAAATCAATAGATTTCTCGTAATCATCTATTCTAGAAATTCACCAGCATTGTTAATCGTTTCGTATGTCAAACGTGTTCTCTCTCAATATACTAACAACCGTTCTGGTTTCATGACACCGGATTTATCGTTACCGACATCACATTCAGCTATACCTACAAGATTATTATCCGAATTTATCTATGTCTGTCGTTTGATTTATTCTCGAACAGCAGGTTTACTAACAATCAAACGAACAAATCTGCATAAAGCACTAGCGGACGCATATAAAATCGAAGTAAGACTGCGTTAATATACAGCGTGTATTTCAATCTTTTCGTACGATTTAGATAGAAACAGCAGATACACCGTCTTTGTATGTAAGTCCATCAGCGGAATCCGTGGAACAAATGAATAAAAGTACCATGTCCTGGAAGGAAACGCTATTAGATAATCTACTGTTATTCGGGTCTACACCGAAAGGTAAATTTTTACAATGTGCAATACAGAGTCATCCTCTATTTGCAAATTAGGTATGCATCTGTTGACTCAAACTGGTTATTTATCTGAGTGCGTTATTTATATCGATGAACGTTTGCGCACATCTGGGCAAGTAGGTAAACTAGAGAACTACGGTTATGGATATTTACTGTCTGAAATGGGGAACACACCATCTGTAATTTTGCGATTATATGAATCAGGTTTGTTCCGACTCTGTGAAATACTTATTTTGTATAGAATTTTGTACATTTAGGATTCATTGAATATTTAATTGATCAACTTTGGAATGAATTAGAATATGTTTCTAATGATTTAACGACTGTCTTTCCACGACGGTTTCCATCCGAACCAATTAGTCGGCATGCTCTAAAAGTGAAACTTTTGTTCGAATTTAATCTTTAACTCTCTCAATGCTTCTAGCCTCTATTGAGCCTTTGCTCAGTGGTTTGTTCATTCCCTGCTGCTTATGAATTATTGTCAATTGACGATGATGAACCAATGACTCCACATTTCAACGACGAATATCCGAAACCGTGCACACTCTCGGTAAGACTTTGCTCTAAAAGAAATCAAATTTGATTTTGTGCTTTGATCATTGCAGCAATTACTCAAACGAATCTCATTTGTTAACGATGACAATGCAGTTCGAAAACTGCTCTCCTACGAACATACGCATACTACTGGATTAAGGTTTGACAAAACATTGTACAAAAGAAATGTATTCATCGTCTTCAATTTTAGATTATTAACACTAATGCAATCAGATTTAGATGTTCAATTATTACTCGAAATTAAGTATAATTATATCGAAAAATTACGGGAAGCACAAGGAGAAATCGAACATGGAGACAATATTATCATAGATCAGTTAAGTCTGGCACGGAATCATGTTCTGGTCAATGCAGAATTGATTGGAGGAATCCAAGAGAAAAATGTGCCGCCATGGACATTGAATGAAAATGATTTGACAGAACTAAGATCACTACCGTTATTTGCTGGATCCATGCCGCTTCCAAGTGTTTACATAGGTAAAGTCATGTACGGTAGTTTGAGCAATACAAAAACAGGTAAGACTCTTTGATGCCCAACTCAATTTGACAGCTGTAACGAATCTATTGCAGAAGAAAACGAATTGCATCGATTTATTCGAAGTTCTCGACCAGATCGACTTGATGATCGTTGGTTGGTCAAATGTAGACATTTATTCATGACTGCACTTCGCCAATCCACGCACGAAACTGTCCCACTTTCTCGTATGCGAAAACAAAACTTAAGAATCCGCTCATTTCGATCGATCATCTTTATTTTAGTCATGGCCGATCTGTTAGATGCTGTTGTAGATATTCACGATAAACTCCATATGGAAGTTGTTTTCAATCCATCGCGAGACTCTTCTTCATCTTCCTCTGTAACAGTTCAAAGTAGGTTTCTTACCAGTGAACTATTCGCTCTTGAAATAATCTTTTCTTTTGACAATAAAACAGAGGATGCGCTAATGAAGCTCTCATCGACAAGTGTACTCACACCATTACAAGAACTTGGCGTGACCAAAGTCTTGAGGTATGACTATATTCCAGAAGATCTATTGAAATGCTTATAAAAAATTCTTCTAGTTATGGTGCCCGCATCGGCCTCGTTCAAGATCAATCAATTAGTCAACAAAATCTCAGTCGATTATTGAAAGCACTTAAAACGCATTTAAAACAAAAATCCGTTATTTCGTCTTCAAATACTAGTAGCGGCAGTAGACTTAGTGGAACGACATCAGCCAATTCCTCCTTTTCAAACCTTCTATCTGCTTCAGCATTGGGTGATATCGGTGGAAATAGATCAAGTATGTCTAACTACATTGCTGTACTCAGTATATTTGTTGAACTTTAATGTTTACTTTCAAAATATAGACTATACTTGTTCATCGGATGCATATCCTGGTTTCGATTGGTTTTCGGCAACTATCTTTCTTCTGATGGGTTGCGATGATATTCGTTCGTGGCGTTGGTTACGTACATTTTCGTTACTCTTGCCGTCTGGCTTTCTCTGGCATGCCCGTCTCTTCAATACAGTACGTATACTTTGTGAATTTCAAACTAGAAAACACGAACGACATGAATTCGTTTTTGTTTCTTCAGCCGTTTATTTGTAACGAGATGAACATAAACGGTCTCCATCCTGTCTACACTGGAATAGGTCATTGTGTTGAATTAATTGTTGAACAAGAGATGCCACCTACATTTGCTGCTTTTCGTATGTCTGGCTTAGCAGTTTCTCATGTAAGAAAGTACCCAATTAGTTCTAATCACATGAAATCGGTTTTACTAGGTAATTGTACACTGGACTAAACAATGCTTTTGGTCGATATTAGACTGGCCAGAGCTTGTTACATATATTTGTGTATGTATACTCTATGGTATTGATTATCAAGTGTATTTCTGCGTTGCACTTCTTCGTCATCTGAAAGACGACATTGTCTACCAACATTCATCAAGAAATCTCTTACCATTTCTCAAAGTAAATATCTACATGTGCAAACACTGAATCTAACATGATTTCAATTCCATTGTTTTTCGTAGTGTCATCAAATACAAGGATTTTCAATGCGTAATGTAATCGAATACATGGTATCGTTAGAGAAAAAGTACCGAGCAACCATTATGTCCGAACTGAAAGAAGTGCTATGCTCGAATTCTAATGTATCTAATACAACTACTAAGCAAACGAATGTTTGATTGTGCAGCTTCTTGTTTGTTTGTTTGTTTCTCCTCATTCAAAAAATTAAAGTTTCTCATACTTGAAAACAATCGATAATCAATTATTGAAAAAGGGAGCTCAATCATCAATATGCACGTATTATGACGACATGGCGTGATCTTGAATTCTGATTTTGAATATCCATCTATCATGTCTTCCTGACTATCACTGGACAACGTTTACCAAATATGTACCTCCGATCGACACTCATCAGTTTTTTTCTTACATCCTAACAATTGTCAAATCACTATTCGATTGGGATTGACTCATATGTAATCATCCAGTCTCAGATGAATCGTTCACTGATTCGATGATAGTTCCCACGGAAGCAATAATAATTAAAGAACGTATCAGTACGTTTCGCAATGTCTATGCATCGACAATGCAGTCTATTAGTATCAATGAAAGATCAAGCAAAAAATTGCATATAATGCACGCATTCTATGAGAACAATGAAAACATATGTTTGCAAATAATTAGATCCATTTTTTAACTTTGTACCATGTGACCATACCCAGAAAAATGAGTGCCAATGCAGATAAAATGATATAATATCCATAGTGGTATTCTAAGAATGCTTGAAAATAGAAATTTGTTGAATTCATACCAGTTAACAATGTACATGGCATAAATAGAACAGTGATCAACATGAGGATTTGAAGTATCTCCTGTATTTCATTACTATTCAATGTAATCCAAAATGAAATCAGAATCGATACGCTTTCACGTTGAATTTCTAATGAATCGATTAATTGGTCAATATGGTGATTTAAATCGTTTAAATAGACATAGATATAGTCGTTCAGATAAATTGATGAGAATTTGTTCTTTTTAGATGAAGAGTTGGATATAAAACGATTTGTTTTAGCTTGCCGACGAACAATGTGATGTTTTAAACCTAATCGTAATGCGGGATCGGTGCGTGGAAAAGACAAGAATGGATCATCGGATGTTACACGCTGCAGACGAGCTATGATTTCTTTTAATGGGTTAAATAAAATACGTAAATGAAGTAAATCATGTTTCAGACGATAGATCGAATAGAGAATCGACATTGTTCTCGATTGTCGATCGGCCATCAGAATTTGATCGTAATAAGCAATACGATCTGCTATTTCTTCCATGACAAATGTGTATCTATATTATAAATCGCTTCAAAACCATCGTATAAAAGAGTTTTTCATTCCTACCTGTCAATGATATCATCCAACAAACAGCAGAACAAATAATCAACGTTTAATTGTCGCAAACGAGATGATTGATATTGTTGAAAATCTTCGCTAGTCGTCGAATAAGACTGTTGTCGCCGGAGACGATTTCGAATAGTTTGAAAAAACGATTGATGATGATCTTTCGATTGTTCTTGAAATGTAATTAACATATTCTTTGAACAGTGTAAATAGAACGATATCTGCTGTTGTTCAACTCGAGAACCATTCCATGTTAAAAGCTTCATTAAAAGATAAAGTGCACCGTTCTGATGAAATAAATCTAATTTTGTGTATGAAGCTAGTGTTGTGATATCTTCGACTGTTAATGGATGAATGTTAAAATGTCGACAGAGAAGTCTGATACTGGTCGGAAGAGCAATCGAGCTGAAATTGATAACTTCAATCCAATGGTATCTGTCTTTGTTGGAATGACCGTTCTTAATTTGATTCTCCAAAACGAATATAAGCTCATGAACCGAATGAAATGTTTTTTCTTCGAAATAGGACTCGTTATACGAATAGAATACGAATTTCACATCGTCTAATGAAACATCGGTGGAAATCCGTCGTCGGGTGCGATCAACATCGCTTAACGGCATCGATATCTTCGGATGAAAACAACATCCACCATGTTGGATGGTACTGACTAGATTTTATATCTTTACGATCGTTATAAATACCGTTGAAATCGAACCTTACACATTCGTTTCGATGAAATTTATGGCTTAGTCATTCAGAAATCAATGGAGAAAACATTTTCGTTTAAGTTGATATGAAAGCGTTGAGAAAGAAGTGTTGAAGTATAAGTAAATATTTTCCTATCACATCTCTATGATTTTAGAACTACTTTGTCCGTTTTTTAGATTAGATGAGATATCGAAAAGAAAAAAAGAAGCTGAAGATACATCGTGTAGATGGATTCTAAGGCTTCATAGTTATAACTGAAGCCTTGGTAATAATGATGCAATTTCGAACAAATTCTCCATTACCTGTCGATGATTTCGGTCGAAATTCTATTTGTCAAATAGAAAAAAAAATCAAAGTCTAATCGATCAGTGAAGAAACTGTCGACATTCAAATTGGAATTCAATTGACAACAAAGCAACGAGAGATTACACTTGCATTTTCAATGTGAATTGAAGACGACTTCCGTTGTTCTCATTACAGTCTTGATCTTTCTATTGGTAATTATAAGACGATTTTCTTTCTTCTCAACACATTTTTCTCCCTCTTTTCTTTCTTTCGTTCTTTCTTCCTTCTTTGCTTCAGCGTCAATTTTTAATTCATTTCATTATTACCCTCGCTGTCGCAATAGTATTGTATTTGCTAAAAAAACTTGAAAGAAAACGAAAAGGATGTGTGTATATATATGTCAAGCTTTTACATATGATCAAGATTGGTTTGATATTTCGACATTCAACACATTCGTATAAACTCTCTAGACAACATCTAATCATTGTACGTACATTTCGTGCACATACATATACAAGCCTGCTCTAGCTCGTTTCTATCCATCAACTATCGACGCGACATCGACTGGCCTTTTTACACATACACACACGCACAACACACAGCAATAGATGTATACATTAGACCATACTCTATCGTCGTTGTCATCGTCTCAATCTCTCGTTTTTACTTCTCTCTGCATCAACATTATATATAGTATCCACTAGAGTGTGCGTGGGTGGATGGTGGTAATCGTTAGTCGATTGTATTATTTGTCAAATAGAATATCACAGATAAATCGAACGTGAAAGCAGTCGTCGTCTTTCTTTCCGTATTATTCAGCTTCATCGACTTTAATGCCAAGTTGGAAAATCAATTGTTTGAAAAGTGAAGATCACGGAAATCTCTCCACTTTACCAACCAACACCATCAATGAATCGAATCAACTTGATTCAATTCTATCATCTATCGAACATGACAATGCAGGTATAACTAACGTCTCAGATTTCATCGTTTTTCTATCAATTACAATTACTCATACAGTCATATCAACCAACAAAAAAGACGACGGCGAAAACTGAGATAGCGATCGTCTTCTTAACGAAGCTTTCGTCTTTGATAGTCGTAACTCATCTAATTATTGTTTTGAGTTCAAGTCTACTTGAACAACAATCGATTAACCTTAATACCGCCTACTTTGAGCTGTCTCATTCTCGACAATTGATATTCATGTGAATGTAATAAGTGTTGTCCTCTAGTCCCAAGGGAAAAACTTTCTTGATTGAATAATTAATTGTCAAATAATATGTTTACATGATTTACTTTCTTTTTTTTTTCAAAGACACGGCAGAAACGATAACAGCAATCGATATTCATAGTTTACCTTCGAGCCCAACAACTCTCAGTCGTCGCGATCAAAAGCAGCGATATCGTCCTTATTCACCAATTCGTAAGTTTTAAATATTTATGAAACGTTCTACCGGTTTTTTTTCCTTCCTTGCTTCTGTGATTATTATCAATAACTGAAAAATGTGCGTGTTGATGTGACAGTATTATCAACTAGGAAAGAAACAAAAAAAGACGATGGATGGGCAACAGCTGAGTTCGGTAGACGAGTTTATTTGTTAGGATCGTACTGGTTCTTGTTGTTCTCTTTTAAGACACATACATGCATAAAGAAATATCTAGTATGATAATCGACTACCCGACATAGATCAGTGAAAGTAGATAAGAAAAATCGAAGGATAAACTTCAATCTATACATGTATATGTTGATAGTATGGACAACAAATCTGTTTACCATCGTTAATGTCGACAATGATTGATGTTCAATTAGTTTNTACAGAAACAAGATGTAATCGATGTCTTGATCGTTAGTTCGACAATCGATCACGATTGTCGAAGGACTCATATTAAGTGTAAAGAAGCGCATATATCTACAATTTGGCTTCTTTCGTCTTCACTTCTTACTCTTTTTCTCTCCTTTTTTTCTTACTTATTTCTATTCATATGTACCTTTATATACTTTAGGCGGAGATTGTATTGACAATGACCTTTACTCCGCCTTCTTGTTCTTCTTTTTTTTTCACTTGTTCTCACTCTCGTTCTCCTCTTCTTCTCGTCGTGCTCAATGAATACTGATATTGATCAATTGATCAGCATCACACATAAGTACTAAAAGACATGAACATTTTTTTCTTCATTCATTGTCATTATTGTCGCATCGTACGCATCAACGACAATTGTTAAATGGTACTCAATTTCAACATGTTATGTGGTTCGTCGCGAAAATCCTCGTCAACGACTAAGTCGAAAAAGAAAGTTGATTGGAGAATCAAACGTAGAACAGATTTTCATCATAAGGGTGAGTGTCTTAGCCAATCGTCAGGAAGTCAAACGTTCAATCTCGTCTAGATTCCTTCGATAGTCTAAATCCTTGATTCAACAGAGTCAGATAGACGAGAGAGATTAAAATTTTGATTGTAAGATATATACACATTTGACATTTCATCTATCTCTTCTGTTCATATAGAACTAGTAGTATGAAGCCTTTTCTTTTCAGTTTACTTTCGAACTTGAAATTTTCAAGTACACATCGACGAATAAATGCTAGTTTGAAGCTTAGAAAAAAAACAATACTCGAATAAATTTCAATAAATATTTGCATGTCGATGCCGTTTAGAGTATCGTGAAGAAAAGAAAAGGATTTTCGTGGATGAACTAACACAAAGAACACATCTGGACTCTTTGCGTTCGACAGAAAGAAAAGCAGTCGGAATATCTTGTACCTTGTCCTTGGAGGATACTATTTATCTATTGACAGTATTCAAGCAGCCTTCTCCGTCGGTTGTCGTAACATTTCTGTTTGTGTTGCTAATTTTATTATCGAAAGCGTTAAACTCTCGTTGATGTCATTGTAAACAAGAAGACTTGTATGTCCTGATACGGTGATGTACATATTAATTGATTGATGAAGTAAAATTTAAATCAATTATAGACATGACGAAAAAAGTGTTCATTAAAATTCTTTCTTTCTTGCGCTTTTTATAATTGAAAAGAAGAGCGCCTTTCTTTTGTATATGTCAGTTAAAAATGAATGACGTTCTTCTTGTGTAATAGGTCTCTTCTAGTTCAATGACAGAATGATTTGAAAAGAAAGAACTGAGTGTGACAGTTAAATATCGAAAGTAAAATCCAAGAAGATTTTCTGTTGAAATAATTGAAGATTATGCCGATTGTTATTTATGTGAAAAAGTTAATCATTGCTCGATAGTGTTGACAAGGATAATGATAATAACTGTGTTAGAAGAATAACATAAGATAAATAATATGTACGTCTATGATCTTTGTTGTAGAATTGATTAGAAGATTATTACTAGAAGGTTTATGTAAAGAGAGAGAGAGAGAGAAAAGAAATCACCTTGAGATTTGTTAGATTATTACTTTTGTAATCAATCGATTGCTGTACGATGTGATGATTCAGAATTACTGTGTGCGCTCTCGAAAGATCAATTCTCTCTTTCTTCGTTTGCATGCCAATGCATGTGTACAAACACATCTTAACAATGCTGATGGTAGTAGTAACACTTGATGATGAGGGACATGACAATGCGATTGATATGGTGTCGAATACACACATGAGTGTGTGTAAGAAGTGTATTATCGAACACAGCGGTATAGACGTCCGCAATTGCAGAGTTCAAAGACAGGAAAATGAGAGAAAGAGCGCAAGAGAGAAATGGGAGGGTAAAAGAAAACACTCGATGCCAATACTAAAAGACAAGAGAAAAGAGAGTGAAGTGACACTTGTTCTCCTCTTTGTCTCTACACCAGTGAATTGCGCTTACCTTCCATCATTCTGCTGCATTACGCTTGTATATAAATATATACATATATTTAACGGAAGAACAGCAGGGATGGGTAATGAAGGTAATGGCTCGTTGTGGGATCTAAAACGAGCTATAACAAGATGTAAATGGACTGCGCCTAGTCCATTACTTTCACCGCGTGGTACGCATTGTTAATTGCTTAGATTTCTATACTTGAAAGCGTATGAGCTTCTCAGCTGATGTTTATTCTGAACTTTTACTTTAGCAATACGAGCTCGAACAACAGTCGAATTAATCAAACGAGAAAACTGTCCACTTGGCCTAACGATATCCGGTGGAAGTGACAAAGATGGCAAACCACGCGTTGCTCAATTGAAGCCAGGCTCCGTCGCACAGAAAGCAGACATTTTAGAAATTGGTGATGTTGTCCTCAGTGTCAATAATATCAAAACAGCTGGCCTCAAACACGAACAAGTTATCGATTTAATTAAGCAAACGGGCGATCAACTGACATTAGATATCGAATATGATCTACCTAAATGGCGTATGTATAATCACCAATTTGGATTTCTCTCTCTTTTTTTTTCTTGCCGAGTCTTTATTCGAATCTAATTATATATATGTGTATATGTAGCTATACATGCAATTAATACAGTACATACAAAAACGATTCAAATACAATTGGAAAAAGAAGGACAAAGTTATGGTTTTATTTTACGTGGTGGAGCTTCGGATGACAAGGTTAAAACAAGACCACTTATTATTACAAAGATACGTCCGCAAGGACCAGCTGATAAGTACGAATTTAATATTTAACAAATAGATGAGATTGCTTTTTTTTTCTTTCGTCATTCAGAGAAGGTACAATTAAGATTGGCGATCGAATCCTAGCAATCAATGGAATTAGTGTCGGAGGAGCAACCTTACAAGATGCATACAATTTGATGAGACAATGTCGAGGAACGACGTTATTTTTGATTGAATACGATGTTGCTGTTGTTGGTAAGATATAATTAACGTTTTGATTGATAATTATCGTGCATTTATCTATCAAATGTAGAAAGTGTTAAGCATGCGACAGGATCGTTATTAATTGAAATTGAAAAGTCTCCTGGTTCAACGATTGGAATCAGTCTAACACAAAAATGGACACGAAGTAATCGTTCGCTGATCGTTATTGATCAAATAAAACCAGCCAGTATTGCTGATCGGTAAGTTTTCATTTCTCCAACACAACCGAGAAAAGACTATTTGCTCGATCTAATACAGTTGTGGAGCTTTGCATTGTGGTGATCAAATCAATGCTATCGATCAGAAATCGTTCGATGGAATGTCTTTGTCCGAAGCAAATTCGATCCTTCGTTCTTGTACAGGTGATTTCTGTCGAATTGAAGTCACACCGTCGAATATTATCCTTGAACAAGTCAATGATATACAAATCAATTCGCCTGTTGGTCGATCGTTTCTGAATGAAAATTCTCGTCAAGCTTTCTATCGAACACCCTCAGGCAATCCCCTATCATCATCGACATCCAACTCGAATTGGTCAATGAGAAATAGTTATCAGAATCTTCCGAGAAAATCAATGACGAAGACACGTCATAATTCCATGAGTAAGTTTAACGAATTACTACATACAATTTTCTCCGTCGTACCTCATTTAATAAGCAAATATTGAACTTTGATGTCAATATTGGTAAACTTTAACAAAATACCTCGTCTCATCCATCTATAGGTCTCAGATCATTGGATAGATTGTCTACTTCTACTTCTACAAACAACAAAACTTCTCCATCAGTAATGAAAATGTATAATCTTCGTGAGTTAGGTAAATTGCTCAAAAGAGATTCTACTTGATCCACCATAATACGCTCAAATATACTTATTTTTGGAATGTTTCTTCTGCTCTCGCGACTGCATATCCGTATGCCATGTACATCTCATGTTTTGCTCAGCTTTGAAACGGATAATCTTGTCCTCTTTTTGTGACATGATCATGCATTTTACCTGCTTACAGCCATTATGGTTCTGTCTGGTTTTTTTTTAAATTCATTCATTCATAATCATTATCTTCACTTGGCTATTTTTTTAACAAGAAAAAAAAAAGAAATGAACGATACGTAATGGTACACATTGAGTCGTTGTTTTTCTGAATAGGTTCATTGAATTCATGTTATCAGACAGTATTAAGCAATCAAATGTGCCATACAGAAGTAATGGAATGTGTCCTTAAACTTGATTCATCGTCGCAAAATGGAAATAGTTCGGATGGTGAAACCGTAGGCAATTTTGGTTTTACACTTCAAGGTGCTTCATTTGCATCGGATGTCTTAATGCAACCACCGATTATCGGCTACTTAGAGCCTGGTGGTGTCGCTGAAAGGTAGAGAATTTATTTATAATTGAATGTCATTTCGAAAGCATTAATTGCTTAGATCGAGTATACTCCAACCAGGAGATCGTGTTGTAGCTATCAATGGTCAGCAGTTAGAAGGCATGACGTTGGAAGATGCTCGATCGATTATTAAAGAATCAAATAATCAGATATTTCTGGAAATTGAATTCGATGTTGTTGGTAAATATTCGGGTTTTTTTTAAATCGAGTTCTTTCTATTGTGCTTTTTTTGTGTTCAGATTCGGTCATGCTCTCGTCGGGTACATGTCAAGTAAAAATTTTACGAAAAAATCTCGATCTTGGTCTTTCGGTGACTTGTACGAAGGAGATTTTCTTTTCTTTTTCTGTATTGTCAATTGATTTCTTTTAGATTCTCGTTCAACACGAACGGATGAAGTTCCATTGATCAGTGATGTTAAACGGGGTAGTATTGCTTATCGTTGTGGAATGATTCAACCAGGAGATCGTTTGTTATCCATCGATTCGCATTCATTGCGTGGAAAAAGTCTAAATGAAATAGTTACATTACTGAAAAATTGCGATGATATCGTGCGATTGAAAATAAAGAAAGATGACATTTATGCGGAAGATAATCTTTCCGAAAATGTCGTCGTTTACAAAGTGCAATTACATCGACAAGGGTAAAATCGAATATAGAAGAAAACCAGAGCTAAATCGAAACGTATCGTTCTGTTTTCTTCTTTCTCTACAGTGGACCACTTGGTTTAACAATTTCCGGTAGTGAAGATGTTTTTGAGCCAATCGTCGTCTCAGATTTATGTGAGGGCGGCTTAGCAGATAAGTAAGTAATGATAACCTGACATTGTCCTTGAAAATACGATTTATCATCTTTAGAACAAACGCTATTCATATTGGTGATCGAATTCTAGCGATCAACGATGTTACTCTACGTGGTAAAGGTCTCAACGAAGCGATCAAATTGCTACAAGCAAGCAGTGATGAGATAACTTTGAAAATTTCTCGAATAATCAATCCTCAACAAAGTAAACGAAACAAATCTATTGTTCTATGAATTCATACGATTGTTTTCTCTGCAATAGAATTGTCTCGTTCATTTCATCATCCAGACGATTATACTCCATCTGTTGATTCTGCCATGGAATCATGGGACAGTTCGAACACAGATCATCGTTTTAGCGATAATAGTGAAGCAACAAAAGAAATTATTGTTAATGATCATCAACAATACTCCAACTATCAAGATCCGTCATCAATAGTTCACGTATCCCGAAGTAAATATCGAATGATTCACTCGCGTACATATCTCGATCGTGTTGTTTTTTCTTTCTCTAGGTGATTTTGTTCTCAAACCTCATCAAACACATTCAGTACCGATAACTATACATTCAAATCGTTCAATCAGTATGGTTACACCAACAGCAGGTTTTCGAACACCACCAACGAACGGTCGTCCACTTGAAGCTATTCGTCACTCCGACAGTGGCGATAGTATACACGGTGCTGATGTTCAGTTTTCATCTGTACTTAATGATAAACCATCAAGAACGAATGGGAACTTTTATGATACAAAATATGATAATTGTTCATCGTCAGCCAGTCGACCCAAATACGACACGGTTACCTTAGTACTTACTCGTGATAAACGCGTACTAGATTTTGGATTTTCGATTTCGGATCGACTCTATGGTACAGGTGTGTATGTGAATAAGATACGCCCAAATGGTCCAGCAGAATTAGAAGGAACATTGATGCCATGTATGAGAATTTATAAAGTACGTTCAAAATAAGTTCACATCGAATGCCTATTCACGCCACGTGTTCTTTTTCTAGGTAAATAATATAGATGTAACACGTATGGAATGCAATCAAGTTGTACCTCTACTATCGACATCACCCGATCAATTGGTCTTAATTGTTGGAAGACGGCCAGCTCCAATGTTTGACGAAACAGACGAATTCTTCGATATTGATCAAGATGGAGATGAACACCAAACACCTGTCGTTAATGATAATTCATTATGGAATATGTCAATGAATTCAACCATTCATGAAAATAGCAACAACAACAATAATGCCACAGCTACCAATTCTCTCAGTACAACCAATGCTAATGCATATTCTCTAATATCTTCTACAAAGAAAAGTGCTGTATGAAAACCGAAAGAGTTTTAAGCGTGTTCATCTAGTCAAATCAGGCATCCGTATTCACTCATATAAATATATCTATCTTTATTCTCATTTGTACAGGTTTTTTTTTCTCTTTCTCTTTGTGAAAAGACATTCGGTATGAAAAAACGTATTTGTTTTCTTTCTGTTTTGTCTATTGGCATATGCGTACATAGAACTGTATTACATTCATTTGAGATTTTTTTTTTTGATAAAGACGTAATAAAATAATCAATCGTGTTCCGATTAATACTGATAGGTATAATCAAAGTTGCGCTATCATAATGATTTATTTGTATTTATCGACAGAATTGGAATAATAAATGAGAAAGTATTGGATAATCTGTTAGGGAAGTTTCTTACTTATTCGGTGATTAATAAGAAAATCTAGTTTTATCTCGAACGACGATTAATTTCATGAAAAGTAATAAAAGGAAGTAGCTAAAAACGATGTACATTCATGCTGATTACTGATGAAACATTCGTTGCTGTTGAATCTAGAGAAAAAGGAAAGTTGATGACATTATTCTCGCTGAAACTCTTCTTCGTATCAAACCATGTCGGACTTGTCTTTGCCGTGGAATACCATTCAACCAATCTTCTGTTGAATATGTCGAGGAATCAGCAAATGGCGTTGGTTGTAAAATATGTATTGTTGCTGAATCTAATTCATCTTCAGATTCAATTTCATCTTGACTACGAGTATATATCGTTGGCTATGTAAAGCAAATCAAATAAAATCTGCGACGAGATATTCGTTATATCTTACACGTCTGTGAGCGTGACGCATCGTTGAATAAAGCAGATCTTTCATACTATCGGATGTTTTCGGTGCTAATGATGAGTTTTCCTTTGATGGTAATATAACAACATCGTTCCCTTTAGTTATACTGAAATGAAATCATGAATGAGTATGAATTACAAAACAAGATAAAACAACAAACATGACAGGTACAATGCTCGCTTTTCGAGTATTTGCCGGATTGACAACAGCAAGTAATGCTTGGGATGATTCACCAGGTGTGACTGCTGTATTAGTCGTCGCTGCAATCAATTTATTGACAGGATGTTCTTCGTGTAACTTGATAGCTGTCTGCAAGTCAATATTACGAAATGTTTGCCATAGACGTAGATCTAATTTCTCTTGTGGTTGTTCACGTAATAACCATTTCTTCATATAATTATGATCAAATTTATTGTATCTAAAGAAGGATTGTAATGTGTACGTATAGTTCAACAGTTTATTGTACTGACTTATTACGTAACGAATTCGCACCATTAATACCGGCGATATCTTCGAGACAAGTCATAATATGATCCATCATCTGATTGAAAACAAAGAAAAAGTAGCAAGGTGACTTTTTTCGAGATAAACCTTACGCGGTTTGTTAGGGTTGCACTCATAGTTGGCTCTTCCATTTGCTTACGTCGGACATTCAGCAACTCCACTAGAGGACCTAGTGTTGTACCCTAGATGAAGAATTGAAAGAAGTGAAATCATATTCCGGACGCCTTACTTGAACAAAAACAGTGAATAGAATAACAACTGTTGCTGCAGTGATAAATTCTTTCTTTCTTGGAACTAAATTTTCATTTAAAACTAATGCCAGAGCAAAAGCTAATGCACCTCTAAGACCACCATACGACATAATTAACATATCAATCCGAGTTAATTCCAGTAGGCGACGAATATTAGCAAGATTAGCAAATAACGCTACACCTATATATTAATTTCAAATTATTTTATCTTGAAAAGAAAGTCATCTTTGGTACATACCGATTGCCCGATATATAAGGCACGAGAGAAGTGTAACTATAACAAAGCCAGTGTTCCATGTTTGTTGTTCGGAGACTGTCGTTAAGCCCAAAAACATGAATATAATCGTTTCCATTATGCTCGATGCCATTTTTAATACATATTCAATAGTTGCCATCGATTTCTTTGTTATATTGTATTCTACATATTGCTTCATCATCTAGTCGAGTCAATCGAATAACTTTATCTCGTTCAATGCAAAGAGCAAAGAATCACTTACCATTCCACAGATTGTGATACTACAGAATGAAAACAAACCAGATACGTCATGCATTGACTTTGTAAACAAACTTACGATAAGATTCCAGATAGGCCGAACATATCCGCAGTGAGATATGCAATATATGCATACATGAATACGATCAATGGTTCGAGTACTGGTGTTCTTTCGGTAAATTTCGTCATGAAAACAGCCATGAAACCAAATACAATGCCAATTAAGATTCCACCGATGGTAACGACAAAAAATGATACGAAACCAAGTAAGAAATCTTGGGCGACGAGATTTTCTTGACCAATCTGGAGGAAACTTTCAAACATACGATAGAGTACCTTGAAAAGAAGATATTCATCAATGTTTCCTCGACAAATCTTCGACTCACAATCGAGACCGCATCATTGAGGAGAGATTCGCCAAAAACAACAATGTACAGCGTGTCATTCACACGAATCTCTACGAATGTGGCCAGGACGGCTATTGGGTCGACTGCTGTAATAAATGAGGCAAAGAGAAAACATTCGAGTAACGAGAATGTTGTAGAACCGAGAAGAGCCGTTTTCCCAAATGCCCATATTGTCAAGCCGATGCACATCGTATTAAATAATTTATTAAGCACGGCTAAGAGAAGTATAGTGCCAAGATTATCGAAGAAGGCTCGTTTTGGTAGGAAATAGCCTGTTTCGAGCACGATGGGTGGTAGAAGAAATAGGAAGAAAACATCATTGTTCAAAACATAAATACGTTTCTCTTCGTCCAGATGCGTTACGTAAAGAAGAACACCAACAATAATACCCAGAATAATGAGAAGACAATTTTCGGGAAATTTTTTTGTTAAACGGTGTGATAAATGAAATACTAATGAACAATTATATGAATGAAAAGAACAAACAAACAAGTTATTCAATTGTACTCATACCGATCTTAGCCAGAAGACCAAGTAAAATCCACAGGCATATACCGAATACGTTTGAAACATGATCGAATATCACTGTTACAACTGGAAAATGTGGACGAGTATTTGTAGTATTCGATGAAGTAGATGAAGATGATGTGTCAACAAAAGCTACATATGTTATCGATAAAACGAGAGATAGAAGATCTTTCATCTCGAGAATGTACGTGATCGAAGTTCGTTGCGATCAAAACTTGTCGAATGTAAGCGAAAAGTACATATTCTCACCTTTTTTCTCTCTTTTTTTAAGACAGTGAAAAAGTGTTGTAAAACAGATAATTATTTTCACATCAAATAGAATCATTAGTGGGAGAATAAGTCTAATGTCGAAAATGTGTATGAATACGATCGAATGACTGTAAACAAAACAAGAAAAAGTATTGATATTCTACTTTTGATTAATGATACGAACAGAAAACAGGGAAGTTTCTGATTTGGTTGAATCGAATATTTCGTTTCAAGCACATGCGTGACATCTGTAGAAGTGTTGACATATCAACGGAAAGGAAAAGAAAGCCAGTCATAGTATAGTGTGACATGATTCATATGTATAAAAACGTCGAAACATTTGTGAATGAGTTAGTTTGTTGTGATAACGAAATAAGAAATGGCTCTCATTGCGACAAAACAAATCGAACAATGTAAATTCTTCGAAAATCTATTAATGTTTATATGAAACTAAGTTTGTTTTCTGTTTATAAAGCTGTCCTACTGAATGATGTGGACAATTTGTCAGTATTGGGTTTAGAACAAGGCTGCATTTTACTTTTTTCTGCAATTAGTAAAAGTCTTTCGAAAGTAATTCACTTCTTTGTCGTGAAATTTTGTTTTTAATTAATATGTCAATGATTAGAATTCAACGACACCTCGAGCTGTCATTGGCGGTGTTCAGTTGAGCGATGGCGATCAGAAGGTACCTTGTCATGTGATTTGATCAAGGGAATGTATTGACTATTTTTCACTATTCTCAAGATTTATTATCGTCATTCATCAGTGGCCAAAATTACACATGCCAGTTTGAATTCAGCACGAACATTGTGCTGTAAGTTGAACTATTTCATCAATATTCTAGTTCATCTCTACCATTACTAATAAAATCATTAGGCTTTGTAACACGTACAGGTCAGCATTTGCTCGATTGCTGAAATCTTGATAGAAATGCACTTTGCTACACATCATGATTATTGTCTTATATTATAGAATCATCAAACTATGATGTATTTGTTGCTGAGATTGGCTTACTCAACTCCAGTCGATTATTTTCATTGAAATTTTCAAGTCAAAGTTCGATACGAGCATATTTAGCTCCTCATGATACTATTCTAATTCTCTATCGCGATAGTATGTTATCAATTGACTAGAGAATTTCAATTGTGTACTCTTTCATCGTATTTCAGCTGTCACACTCTTCCGAATGCCTAACGGTGGAGGCACTTCTGTAGTAAGACTTTTGCCCCTTTGTCCTAAAAATATCCTCGAATGATTGAAATAGGACAAATCCATTGCTGTGGACAAAGAAGCACAGATAAATGAATGTGTATACTATCAATGGGATACACTTCAACAGCGTTTACATATCATTCAAAAACGTATAGTGTCTTCGACAAAAATTATTCCACCAAATGGTTATGATTCGTTGATATACGTAGCTTATACTATCAACGCTAAAGGAAAATTCGATATTGTTGTAAGTCCCATTTTTATAAGAGGGATCTTTGAACTTTATATCTTTGTAGATGAAAGTTCATTTCGATTTGAAACTACCGAGTAAGTCTTCGCGAAATCTCATGTTTTTTTATAATGATTTATTTGTAATTTAGCACTGGCAACAAGTCAATTTAGTTTCGAAATTATTTCCAACGATTCCAGTCTATTTCTCTGTTGCCAAGGAATGATGAAAGTAATTGTTCTGAAATGTGACATTTCGCATATCGATTTGTTTTCTTTCTGTAAACTAGGAAGACACTAATAAAGTGGAATATGCAATTGTTTCCCTTGGCCATGGTAAGTTCAACTTTTCAAAACATATTTCCAAAATGAAATTCTTCTTTTTAAGGCCGTAGTCTCTACATTTCAAAAATATTAAGCCACGAGAGTGGGGAAATCTTTCAATCGCGTAGAATACATTTTGGTCTAATTGGTAAGCACTCAACTTTAGAGCGTTTTCTTGCATCTTGGTAGCGACATGGTGCTTTTTACAGAGGGTGATTATGTTTTCGCTGTGCTACGTGGTGAATTTGTTCATTTATTAAATTTTAACATACGGATGAATTTTACCAATCATCTATTTTTTCCACACAATGGAACTACTTTACCATATGATACAAAGTACACTACCCAACGTGGTCTTGTCAATCGAACGTACACTCTTCTCTACGAAAAGAGGAATCTTTTTACGTACAATATTGAAGTGAATACTGCGGAATTGATGAAAATTATATCACCGATCAATATTGAATCCACTATTGCGTATGCATTAGTAGCATCGAAGGATGTCAATATGCCAGCACAAATATTGGAAAAAATTCTATTTCAAATGTACAATGATTTAAATACAAAGACATATTTGAAAGAAATACTAACAGGTAGATAGGAAGATTTGCGAATTACTCCTTTCATCGAATGTTTTTTTTTTCAGGCTTAATTTTCATGCGTCTTTCTAAACGTATTCATCATGATAAATACGTCTTAGTTTTTCCTGCGACGATGGTCAATCCACGACAAATGACCTATACGGGTGTAAGCATACAGGATTTACTCGAATTATGAAAATGAAATCAGATAATTTTAGATATCCATCGAACCAGTCATTCATCATCGGGATCATGGACCTGAACCTAGTGGAACGAACAATATCGATAAAGAATACTATGATAAACTCCGATCATCGTTTGATTCATCTCGTCGATTCCGTCACAAAGCGCCGTGTGCACATCCGATAGTGAGTAAATCGGATAGCACTGATTTTGGCAATGATGCTATCGATGATTCCGGTACAAGTCGTCGTGCATCAACAGGAGCACTTACGTCACCAACATTTTCGCCAGGTGGACAGCTGTCATCACGATTCTCCTTTTTCGATCGACAACGGTAGGAAAGACTTTTGTCTCAGCGACGCTCTTTTCAAATCAAAACAAATTCTCTTCTAGAAAGCAATCAACAACTTCAATTAATTCGAACACAAACGATAATCCGAAGGCAGTACTATTGTTAGATACCAAGAACGAAAATGTAAGTATGACATTTTCGCGAACTAAATCAAATGATTTCATTCGTTTTTTAAGGTGTTTAACAATATCTCATATGAATTACAACGCTTACATCCAAGTTGGGACCAAGGCCGTATAAAAGAATTAGCTTATGAATATGTACAAGCAACGGTAAGAATCACTCTAACATTTCGTCCAACTATTTCGATGTTAAATTTTAGCAAAGTCAATGCAATCGTCTTATCGATCTATTCACCCAATTAGCAGGATACAAAAGTGCACAATTATTGGTTGACGATGACCATCCGTACAAAAATATTCCTTGAAATTTTGTTTACATTGTATCTTATAATGTAGATCAGCGTCAGAAAAATACAAATCTTTACTTGTCATCATTGAAAAACTATACATAGCAGTGGTTGAATTGGGATTTTCGCCGACAGATGGTAAATATGACACTATCGTTGACCTTAATGAAGTTTTCTTTACTTTATTGTGAATAGAACTTCAACGAACTCTACTGGAAATATCGTTTCGAGTCATGCCATTCGATCGATTCGTCATGGCTATTGATCAGAACATTCTGACATTGACAGAAGAATTTGTGAAACGTGTCATTCTCGGTAGAAGAACACCACGAACTTCTCTTGAAAATTCTTCAATATTTGCGTTTAGAATTAGACAACGATCAGAAATCTTACACAATCAAAGAACAACTAATTCTTATGTTACCAAACAAGAACTCGGTAAGAGATTTCCTGTCTGTAAAGTTCACAAAGCAAAACGGATATCCCTTTTGATTAATGTACATCGGCATATATATCTAATAATCAATAGTATTAAATAGATAGCAGAAAAACTTGTGTGTGAACAAGTCGTAATTCATCTGAGCGTTGTTCTACGAGAATGCGTAGTAATAATATTCGAAGAATTTATTAAAAAGATGTTTCCGACATAGTGCATTCATACTTGAAAATAATAAGGAAGTTATGCGCAATGAGAAAAGTAACTCATACATTATTAACTACTTATGTTTTATTTATGTGCATCACAAATGATTATTTTGAAACAAAAACTCTCTGCTTTGTACCATTAACGTTCTCACTGTCGTTGACTTTCTAGAGCAAGAAAATCTACGATCGATATGACTTTTTCAGATAAGAATAGATTCTTGTTATGAATAAACACCGGAAATCGATTGAAAACGACGTCTATAAATCATATTGGTGGCACTAATGACACCAATTTATTACATTCTTACCTTTCACGGCTTATGATAAACAACTGTGTAAAACAAAAAACAAACGGTAGTGTTGATCCTAACACTCTGAATTTTATACTTTCGATCATTAAAAACTGCGAGAATTCTCGATTTTCTGCAAAAATGATTGATGAGTTAACATTAGTAGAGTCGATGTTTTCTTTGTAGTTCCCGATTAGAAAATGACAAATATAGTTCTGTTATCCTTGAACAAGATCGTTTTATGTCTCAAAAATATGATTTTCATTCTTGATTTAGGATACACATTATCGTCTATGTTCTATGATGAAAAACGATCGTGCTAAACGAACAACTGCGCAATTGCTTGTCGCTCGAAGTTTCTCGGCAGGTAGTTCTGAAAATGGAATGACATTCGGTTTCCTAAAGGTTTTTTTTTCAATCTAGATAATAAAAACCGAAGTATAGAGACTCCATCTGAAAACTCGATGATACATGCAGGTATGAAGAAAATCTCCTTTTGTTCAATGTAATTAAAGCTTAGTTTGAATCTTTCTCAAGTCGAGGAGATCATGAACGTGAACAACAATCCAAATGGCGCGACGATGCAAAGTCGACTTATCAAAGAAGCGGCAGTAACCTTTTTTCGTGACTGTAACCAACGAGGTAAACCAAAGTGATTGATTTCTCTCGAGACAGATGATAAAGACGAAGAGGAATAAGTTTTCCTAAACAAAGTCTACTCTGATGATTCTTCTAGGTATCCTGGACGCAGATGAAATGGGTCTAGTCAAAGATGGACTCATCTCTTTGGCATCCGCGGCTCCTTGATAAAAAGAAAATGAATGAGACATCATTTCCTTTGGCGACTTTGATCGACAGACCTAGTTTTCCTTTTGCTTTTTTTCCGCAAGCAATATTTTTCTCCATCATATATCATTGGTAGATTTTTTCGATGAGACTATATGTAAAAAAAACGACCAAGAAAAAAAACATATTTGCCATTCTAATAAATCTATCCGGAGAAGTAACTCTAATTAAACCAACGCTGTCGCTGCTGCTGTTTAATGTTTTTACTGCTCACCCTGCGTGATTAATCAGTTATATATCCTTTGTCTCGAGTCTTCAATACTGCTCACATTTCTCCTTAGCACTCGCGTGCAATATATCTTGTCTAATTGCTTCATATTGTAGCTAATATAGAACGTATGAGGAGAAGCTGAAGGTGATTTCACTTTGGTGAGAGAGAAAAACGTTCGAGAACAAAGTGGAAAAACGTGCTCTATAGATTGAATTGAGTTGGGAAGATGAAAAAAGCAAATTATCCACAATATTAATTAACTTTGATCTTTTTGCATATTTATTAGTTGTTTATGCTTTTAAAAACTACTATTTCCGTTACAATGCACAAAGGAATCTTTTTCTGGGTAGTTTTTCTTCCTGTTCGCTTATAATAAAGTAAATGTTCATCATTTTTTTGTAGAAAAAATTCTAAGCCTGCCAACGACTAACAGGTCTAGTCATATTTGTCTGGGAGAAGTGCTTTAAAAAGAGAGAGAGAGAGAAGGAGTGAGTGAGTGAGTTAATTTATATTGTAGTAAAATATGGTTCTATTTTTCTTTTGCTATTATTTTATTATTGCTATTGTGTTTCAATAGGGGAATGAATCGTTTGCGAACAGCGCCTGGTGAAGAATCTCAGCAACTGGTTTCTAGTCAACAGACATCGAAAACGACTAAGGAAATTGGTGATGATGATATATTCTTGGATGATGAATCGAATGATGATCATCAAGCGCATATACGTCGTCGGGCACCGACTAGACACTCAATTAAATCTTTATCTGGCCGAAAAACGGCATCGAAACAAACAGCGACGACAGGCACAACAACAACATCAGCAGCAACAACAACTGAAGTAAGATATCGTCCTTCTATTGACTCATCATTTCATTCGATTTCATCACGTTTTGTATCACGCTTTAACGTGAAGTTATTTCATCAGGTGTCTTGCGTTCGTTGATTCTCGATTTCGTATTCATTCGACACATCAGAAGAATAAATGGACGTATGCTCGCGTTTAAAGATTCTCTTATCAGCTGTACACATACGCATAATAGTTTTGCGTACTTTTACATGTTAAATTTTCTCTGTGCAGCTGTTTTCTCCTCTAAGTATTTTTTTCGACGTAATCGGAGTGCAAAATTGTTTGAAATCACAAGAAAAAATAAAAGTGCAGTTGTAAGAACAGATCGAAATCGATCAGTGATAGGAGAATAAGATGCTATTTCAGTTATTTTATTCAGTCCATTTTAGCTCAGCTGCCTTTGACGTTAACAGTTGTTCTGTATGCGCGTTCTGCCTTTTTCTCTTCCCTGTAGTTATTACGCGACCTCATGTAAGCTATTTCTTCGTCATTTCTCTCGCTCTATGCAATTTCTTTCTCTTTTTTTACTCTCTTCCGTCGTCATCGAGCAAACGACCGCTCGTTGTTTGATACATGCCACGCAGACAGTACTAAACCTAGAGCAGAGAAAAAGAGAGAAAGAAAAGAGTTGACATAACGGACGCGCGTGCCTATGCTGTACGTTTGTATATGAATGTGTGCGAGAGAGGCGTGTATGAGATTGTAATGATGATGATCAGACGAATCAAGATGTGTCGAGCCTATCCATCTCGTCCTTAGTAATTTTGTAGAAATCTTCCCGAATATTCTTGAACTCAAAGCCAAACAATGTTTGGAATCAAAAAATTGAGTAAGGCGCGAAAATCAGCGAAGACAACTCCACCACCCATCATCAAGTCCAATGAAAACAAAATTCTTTACAATGTGCCAAGCGTTTCACAAATCGCTCCTCTTCCACAAAACAAATCTCACGGTATTTTACCAGTGTTAAGTCTCGATGGGCGAGATGCACCTAATCCGATGCAATCTGAAACATCAGAAACCGATTTAACAGCGAATGCAACAACTTCCAACACTGAAACAAATCGGCAACCGGTGGGTGTATACATGATCTTTTTGAATTATACTTAACCTTCATATGATTCCCTCATTAAAAGCAGAAACGCAGTATATTTTTCATGATAATCATTCTGATGATGAAGATATTTTTTCAGTCATTTCGTTAGCCTTTTCCTCTAACTTAGTATGCACGCATGCGTAAGGATGAACACGAACAAAAAATATTCTCTTCTCATAAAATTTCTCGTTTTTTTCTTCCTTGACAATTATGATTATATTCGCATAATAACGACATCACTCTTTATAGGTTCCCTTTTTTTCTTATTCATTTCAAATCGACAATTATTCCAATATAGTCAGTCTGTTCGAACGCGAACCATTTTCTCTTTCTTTCCTGGACTTTTATATTTGCGGACATCAACTTTTCTTCTTCTTCTTTTTTGCAATTTATTTTTCTCTGTATCCACCCAATCATTTTTATACGTCTAGTAGTGCGTAATGTAATCGAATGTGCAAAAGCAGAGGAAAGAGCTAGAACACAAGCATTCATCCAAGTGTCAGATGGTATTTCGCAATTGTTATAAATTGTGATGTGTATTGATTCAGTGTTGACGTTCGTCAATTCTAATAACTAGAAAAACGAGATACGACATAATCAATACGTGTTCATCGTTCTAATCTGACTAGCAAAAAAGATAACGGAGATAATTATATTACATCTAAGAAGATGAATATAAAATATGGTTAGAATGCTATATGAATGTTATTTTCACGAAAGAAAATAATTTCACTTGTCAGATTTCCAGTCATCATTGATTGATATCGAAGGAGGAAGTTTCTTTTTTTTGACAAGAGTAATCTATTGTTCTGTATTGAAAATGTCAGAGAGATTTTGTTTTTCTTCAGTTAAATATTTACCATTCAGAAACAGAATCGCTTTTCAAGATCGAGAATTAAGTCGATAAGAACGAGGTAGACATGTCGGAAAGATTTATGAATCATATATTTCGACGGAATGAATACACATTATCGTTGAGAAAATTTCAAAATAACTATCTTATCTGATGAGGGCTTTGCACTCGAATGACCTGCGAGATAATCTGTTGACGTCATGCGATATATCTAAAAGTGAAATTTACTTTTCGACGTGCAGGCTGTACGATGTGAAAAAGAAGACGTAGAAGTTTGTTCTCCGCAATATCAGTAGCAAAGCATCTTGAAACGACAACTGTTGATGAAAATGATGTTTACTCTTGAAATTTCTGTATTATTCCATTAAAATATATCAATTACATTTAGATATAATTGACTTAAAAACAAAACGTTTTTTCAACAGTACTTAATTCTATTCTGGAGTACTTCTTGATGATTGAGAAACGTGAAAAAAGAATACTATTCGAGCTGTACTTTCTAAATTAGTTTATCGTCGTGAACTCTTCAGCTACCATTTGGTTAAGGATGAAAATGTACTCAAATTTCTTTTGGGCTGAAAGTGCAAATCCGCACACGTCCGACAGATATTGTCTTTTCAATTTTTTTTATTTCTGCCTTTTCTTTTCTAGCACCGCATCTGTCTTGATCCAACAACTCGCCGACAATACTCCTATTCTCAAAGTTCCGTCTTGTCCGAAGGCAGTAAGTAAATTATAAAACTAAAAAAGAATCAGAATAAACAGCAGATGGTATTTTGTAAATGTATAAAAATTCTTGCTTGTATTTTCTTTGCGTGCACGCTCTCTCCTTCTCTTGTTATTGAATGGATCATAAATCATCATAATTCCTTTCGCCTACCCATCGCTGAAGTCGAAAGGCAAAGAGAAAGAGCGAGAAATGTAATGCCAAGGCAGGTACGAGACCAGTGCGCTTGGAATGATGAAAGATAAAGAAGAGAAAAAGTGAGAAAAATGCTTGAAGCAATGCACATTGCTATTGTTGAATGTCATTCATTCCAATGTTTGGATGATCAGTGTTATTTTACGATCAGATTAGTCTTCTTATTGGTGTGTGGTTTATATCTGATTCCTTCGTGTTCGATCGTATTCCATGGAAAAAAACACATCGAGAAAAACTGAACCGGGTATCTATTCGACTTCATTAGTCAATGTTGATCAAATGGATATCACAACAACATATCATCCGTTGAAGAAACAAGTTCAACAACATCAATTAACAGTTGAATCACCTCACGCATACAATTATCGATCACGCACAAATTCTAATATAATCGAGAGACGTTTTTCAAATGTTGAAGCGCCACCGATAATTCCCGAAATCATATGTGAGTAATCGAATTTAGTATGATTTACCCACCGACCCATCCGTTTCTCCGAATTCGCCATTGATTATCTCATCTGCTGTCTTACGATCTTGTTGTAAGCAATGAAATTACCGCCTTGTTTGTCTGTTTACACATTGTCAGCGTTGAAAATGATATTTTGAATGAATATTGTACTGAAGACATAGATGTGTAATGCGCATAGGAATGGAAGAACTCGAAACTATAATTGTCGTCGTATTAGCTATTGTTGACTCTCTCATGTGCTAGTAACGATGTCGAGAAAGAAAAGCAAATCTATTGCAATCGAAGGAACGAGAAAGAATTTTGTTTGTAGTGTTGTGAAAGAGTATATTTACTCTCGCAAATAACGCATTTTCACTTTTTTTGACTTTTTTGACATTTACGTCTAAGCTCGATTGCAACAAACATGTCGCTGGAACGTGTCCCGTCTACTACATCGCATTTCGAACAAGAAGAGTCACAGAATTCGAATTCTCAAGTGACAATCGAACTAGATGAAAAGATGCCTAATGAAAATAATGTAAATCGCTTGACAAAATTACAGAAACTTCCTAGTATAACCGAGCAACAGAATTCAGTAGAATCATTTTCTACTCCAAGTACTCCAGGATATGCGAGAGAAGATCAACATCGTACTCGTCGACGTTCTTCCGTTCAGATTCTTGATAAAAAATTTATTCAATTACTACCAAGCCAGATGACATCATCGTTCATCGGAAACAATGAATCTTATACCAGAGGAAACGTATCAGACTGTGAGTTATAATGACTTGTTTTGTCGCGATTTTCTTTCTTGCCTTGGTTCTATTCATGTCTTTAAAAAAATCCATCGAAAGAACAAGAAGAGGAAGAATAAGGAAAAGAGAATGGAAAAAAGAACTCTAAGGAACAAGAAAAAAGCGGCCAATACAAAGATGCATGGAAGAGTTATACTCTTATATATATATATTTCTGTGTGTGTTGCTGTTCGTCGTTCTCGTAGACGCACAAAAACGACATCCATACATCACAAAACACCCCTTTCTCATCATCGACATTCTCTCTTCATCTGTTTCGTTCGATCGCGATGTGTACTCTTGAATAGCATTGTTATTGTCATATTTGTTTTCTCAGCAGATATTTTGTCCCTTTACTATTTCCTTATTTTGACAAATGTCAACGAGCGAATTTGATAACGATGATGCAGAAATTAGAAGCGACCACGAGAAAGCCGAAGTTCGTCGGAATCGCCGGCCATCTGTACAATTTATCGATAAAAATCTTATTCGTCGACGATCGGGTGGTCTCGAAAAACAACAAACAATAACACAATCTCAACAACCAACTCGTTTAGCATCAATTGATTCTCATGATGAAGTCGAAGCGGCTGAAGTTGAAGAACACAAACACGACTGTGAGGATTGAGAAGACTCGCAAGAAAAAAGAAAACAGAAATCATTAGTAGTTGTTCTTAGTTTTCAGTGAGAAAATATGATCAACATAACAACATATCGAAAAACTCGATACTAATGTTCTTTTATTTTCTCTTTTCAGCAACTGCCAGTGATACTGATAGCGACGCCGAAGATGGTGCCGGCCCTAATATACGAGAAATGCAACATGTCAGTGACAATTATTCATCCGAATGATCGTTTAATCACTTCACTCTTTCTCTTTCTTTTGCAGAAAAATACGGCGAACTTCAATGATTTTGCGGTTCGACGTATTAAACATGCTCAATACGGTCGGCGTGAAATTGAAATTGCTGAACAAGGTGGGTGGAATAATTCATTTGAAACGGAGAGCATCCTTTTTTTCTATCTCATTCTATCATTATTCTTATTAGTTGAATTCAAAAGAAGGAGTTTCCTTTTTTAGGAGAGAAAACCATATTATTATCTGTTCTGTAGACGGCAAAAACTTCTTTTTCGCTTTGAACTAATAGAAATACAATAAACTGATTAACATTGATTGTTCGATAAATATTAACTTATAGAAAATTGAAAGACTTTCAAGGCAAATAGTTTTCCTTTCTTTCTATCGATCGTGGAGAAGAGACTTTTGTGATTAGTTCTCTAAACAGGTCCTTCGGGAGTAGGCCTCTTTTGTTGATTTCCAAATACGGAAATGATTGAGATTATTCTTTGTTCTTTTCTAGAAATGCCTGGTCTTATGGCTTTACGTCGTCGAGCGGAAAGTGATAAACCTTTACAAGGAGCGAAAATTGTCGGTTGCACTCATATAACTGCTCAAACAGCGGTAAGACTTGATTTTCTTCGTTGTCTTTGTTCTTTCTCATCGGATTACATCGGTCAAGGTTTTGATTGAAACATTGGTTCGACTGGGAGCGCAAGTACGATGGTGTGCTTGTAATATATTTTCTACTCAAGTGAGTTATATATTTTCGAAATTAGTTCGTTCGATCTGATTGTGAACTTTGTAGAATGAAGTAGCGGCAGCTCTCGCCGAAGAATCGATTTCGATATTCGCTTGGAAAGGTGAAACTGACGATGATTTTTGGTGGTGCATCAAAAAAGCCATCGGAGGCGATCAAGGTTGGCAACCAAATATGATTCTCGACGACGGAGGAGATTTGACACATTACTGTCACAAACATTATTCAACATTGTTTTCAACCATCAAAGGTATCGTTGAGGAATCAGTTACCGGCGTCCATCGTTTATATCAAATGTGCCGTACACAAACATTAACCGTACCCGCTATGAATGTTAATGATAGTGTTACGAAAACGAAATTTGACAATTTATATCTATGTCGAGAATCGATTATTGATGCAATTAAACGATGTACTGATATTATGTTTGGAGGAAAACAAGTCGTTGTTTGTGGATATGGTATGTTTATTTACTTTACACCGAGCATCAGTGTTTGAATGTCAGTCTAATGAGAGTTGAATTTGAATAACATATCGGATGAAGTTCATAACGTGATAATCATGTATGATGATTAATTTAATTTGGTATGATTGCACATGCTATCAGGCGATACTGTCAGACTACAAAATAGATTTCTTTTCCAATGTTATTAATAGTCTAAGGCTTGTTTTTCCTAGTTTGGAGTGGAAATATAAGTCTTGGTGATTTGTATTCTAGGTGAAGTTGGCAAAGGATGTTGTTCAGCTTTACGTGGAATGGGCTGTTTTGTTTATGTAACTGAAATTGATCCAATCTGTGCTTTACAAGCATGGTAATTTGAAAATTCTAGAAGACAATTGATTGAATTTTTCAATTCTAGTATGGAGGGTTACAAAGTTGTTCGTCTTGAAGAAGTTATTAAACAAGTCGATATTGTTGTTACTGCATCTGGAAGTAAAAACACGATCACCAGGGAATCGTTAGATAAACTGAAAAATGGTGCCATAATTTGTAACATGGGACATTCAAATACAGAAATCGATGTTGTATGTGTTTCTAGAAGACAAACTAAACATGTAAACATGATATGTCTTTTCGTTTCCTAGAGCTTTTTGCGTGGTTCATCATCGAGCGACTTACAAGTTGAACGTGTCCGAACAAATGTAGACCATGTTATTTGGCCAAATGGAAAACGAATTGTTCTAATAGCCGAAGTAAGTTGAAAACACAAACGTCGATTTTGATCATTCTTTCATGGAAATTTTTAGGGAAGAATTATGAACTTGTGCTGTTCAAGTGTACCATCATTCGTTGTTTCCATAACCGCTGCAACACAAGTATAAAACCATCAACACGATCGAATTTGACTATTAATTTTTTTTTGTTCTCTATCTTCAGGCATTAGCTTTGATTGAACTCTACACCGCTCCACCTAATCGATATAAATGTGATGTTTATCTATTGCCAAAAAAAATGGGTACGATTCATTAGTTGATTTTCAATATCGCACGTTGTCATCTGTTTTGTTTTAGATGAATATGTCGCAAGTCTTCATTTACCAGCCTTCGACGCTCATTTAACTGAATTAACCGATGAGCAATGCAAGTATCTAGGTATCAACAAAGCAGGACCGTTCAAACCGAACTATTACAGGTTTAGTTTCCGTTGGCATACATTGTTCATTCTCTGTATTCGTTTGTTTTAGATATTAATGGCTTCTATTCTCCTTCCGTTAAATATTCGGCAGCAATTCGATCTCTATGGCTTGTTTTTTCTTTTACTCTTTCAATAAAAAAAAAAAGTTTTATTTGTGTGTTTGTAAGGATCTTTCTATCTATCTCTCTTTCGTTCGGTAATAATAATAATAATAATAATTAATTTTCTTTGAATGTTTGCCTTCTTTTCCTTAATTATACGTGTGACTGTAGATCAATTGCGTTAATTAACGTAAAAGAAAAAGATGGTACTCTTGAGTATATTGAAAAAACTACGTCGAAAAGAAAAAGAAATGCGTTTATTACTTGTCGGACTCGATAACGCTGGCAAGTCAACTATTTTATCACGAATTAATGGTGAAGAAATCGACTCGGTCGCACCGACCCTTGGCTTCAACATAAAAACTTTTAATTTTGCAGACTATGTACTCAATGTATGGGATGTCGGTAGGTAGAAAGATTTCTCTAAGTCGATGTCCATGATGTTTTGGTTTTTGTGTTTGTAGGTGGACAGAAATCACTTCGATCGTATTGGCGTAACTATTTCGAAGCAACCGAAGCAATTATTTGGGTTGTTGATAGTGTGGATAAAATGCGATTGGGTGAATGTCGTTCCGAACTACATGATTTGCTCAAAGAAGAACGTCTAATGGGCTCATCACTTCTCGTCTTTGCAAATAAACAAGATGTAGTTGGTGCATGTTCATTACAAGAGATTCGGACACTATTAGAACTTGATTCGATACATAAACATCATTGGACTGTAATGCCTTGCTCGGCGTTAACTGGACAGAATCTTTTAGAAGGCATCGATTGGCTTGTGAATGATGTTGCACAACGGCTGTTCGATCCTGATTGAATAATTGTTTTTTGTCATATAGTTTTTAAATATCTGTAATGAATTGATCTCATCAAAGCAGTACATTAAGAAGAAATAAATTCCGCAGGTTTTATTCGATAAGAAATGATAATTGTTTGCTTTTCAATGAGCTGATTATGTTCTTTGTGAAATCATCTATAAACTTTATTGATAATGATATCTTTAATCGAGATGCGATTATATTTCATTGGTTGAGAAGTGAAAGAAAGCAAGTTTGACAAGAAAATAATAAACAAATGTGATTTCTTTGCAGTATAGCTGAATAAGAGCTGAGAAAAAGCTCATCAGTACTAATTTTAGATAAATCATCAGCAATTCAATCTGTTGATACATCATTATCATCATCGAGAGCAACAGTAAATTGTTTTTCTTTTGTGCTGCAAAGATAGTTGATGAACAATAAACGTTTCGATCAATGTTATGCTTGTTTTCATTTCTAACTTCGATTTATAATGATCATCAGTTGTAGATATCCTGCTGAGTACTCAAAGTGATCAATCTTTCGTCTCGTTTTGATATAGGCGCATATGCTGGTAGTTTGCTAGTTAGTTAGTTAGAAGAAGAAGAAGACAATCGGAAAGAGAGCACAAACAAGAGAGAGAGAGAACAGCAGTTGTTATATTTCTTTCTTGTTGATGTTGATAGAGTGCAACTGCTCTGTCTCTTCTTCTCTTGTGGAAACGACGCTTTGGTTATTTCTTTTCCGAACGGGCGGGGTTTTGTCTTTATATCATTTTCTCTCTTTAACAATCGTGTCTTCTCGTATCTCACCATCCAGTGACACTTTGGTTTTGTATTGCATGTTGACACTCGTGCTGTTATTTGGCTAATTCTATCATATCGATCCGATCGGCGATCGACTACGTTCAAGGTAATCGTGTCAATTTTCTTGCTCGAATGAAAACAGAAAAGAATTAGATCAAACTCCATCTGTATATGATTTATTATCCATCTATTTAATTGGTTTTTTTCCTAATTTACTAAAACGACTCTATTATCAAAGTTATTAACAGAATCCTTGTCTACTTTCTTCTTAGTTAGATAGATCTATGTACTAAACTGTAAAGTATGTTGTAATTGACAAAATGTCACACATGAGGATTGTATCAATATGTGTGTGTATGTGTGCTACTGGGCACTGTTACTGCTGCCTCTTTTTCTGTATACGTACCAAGGTTGAGCTACTTTTTCTTGCATTGATTCTCTACTTCTTCTAACATAAAAAGACAGATACAGATCATCGATGCTTGTTTACACATAGACACGTCATACAAAGACATCGAGAAAAGGGAGAGAGAGAGAGAGAGAGAGAGAGAGAGAGAGAGAGAGGAAAGAGCTTGTAATGAACAGTCATTGTGTTGAATGATGAATGGATGGATAGAGTAGAACTATATCCACGACGAATACTCCTAGTACTTGTCAGAGTCGATTAGTAAAATCTTTTCTTGCCGCTATCATATATGTCATTCTTCATTTATGGTATGTAGATATTGTATAATGTTTGAGACGAGTTATTGAACAAGTAAACACATATGTTCAATCGGCAAGTTCGATATCTCGAATTACTTCTCTATTTCCCAGACTATACGATGCTTTTCTAACCCTTCTATTGTTGATAATGACTTGACGTATTCTTTCTTTTCTCCACTTGATCTTCGTGCTTTTAAGAAATGATAAAAGTTGTTGTTTGCTCATATATCATCATAACATGATCCTCCTGTTCTCATCATTGGGATACTGCCAGATGGTGTGTCTTTTTTCTTCTTGTTAATTGGCTTTGCGTTACTGCTACTCGCACAGATACTTCCTCGATTGCCATAACGGCACCCACAGTGCTAGGATACTAGTGTCTATTTGTATGCACGTATACATCAACAACATCGATCTATGTCTCATTTACATGATTCGATCAATTGGCAAAGTAGTTGTTGCTAATTGAAAAGAATTCATTCGTCTCGATCCAATGTTTTTCTTCTCACAACAGATTCAAATCGAGAGAGTAGGGTTTTTCGACGATGAACTTTTGTGTCTTTCTTCGCGAATTCATTATACAGACAATCTGTAATTGATATACATATTTCCTTCATAAGAGAAGAAAAAAAACCAACAATAACAGTCGTTGAATCGTACTTGAGAAAAAACGGCGTTAATGACGTATTGGGAAAGAAGCAGTGCTTAGTGTATAAACATATCTACACACACACACATAACAACATTAGTATACTAGTAGCATCATTCTCAATATGCAACTGATTATCTTTATAACTATATAAGACGAAGAAAAAAAAGATGAAGAAGAACAGAAAGACGTAGAAAATCGAAGTGATAATGTTAGTCAACGTTTGAGGTGTGTGTATGCATACGTATTTTATGGTTCTTTACATGTTTCCACTCGACAGTGACGAGAGAGAAAGAGAAGAAGAAGAAGAAAAGAAAATAGAGAGAACATGGCGTCTGTTTAGTATATGTAGTATATGTTCGATCGTGTCGTTATTGTTTCATAATCACCATAAGTGGTGGAGTGAAGCCTTTTCATTCACTCGATTAAATGAATGAATGTGGTGCCGTACAAAAGAGCAGTAGTGTAAGAGTGAAGAGAATTGAGTGAGTGTCACGAACGAACATACCGATTGAAAATTCGATGCTTTCTTGTTTTAGGCAATCAACAATACAAATAATGACACGTTATTTTCTCGTTTTCGGTACGTTTCACCTGAGAAATCTTCGTTTTTACCTTCATAAAATTCTTTTTAGCAACTTTTATCCTCTTTGAACTTGTTCATAGCGAAGAACAACTTGTTCAAACAGGTAATATTGAATAACCCTTAACTTCGACGTGAGGAAACCTCATCATCGATTTAGATTCTCGTTTGTCTTCCTCATCATTATGTTCGATTCACCGACAAGGATTCAGCCAATTCGAACGTGTCCAACTAACATCTACATCCATCAATATTCGCTTGAAAAATATTTTTTCCGAGGTCACATGTCCATCGGTACGTGTCGATGTTGCCATAACAAATCTTCAAACAAATAAACTCGAACGAACAATTGAAGTAAATCTAACAAAGCTGATGAAATTCTCTTTCATGTTCTCTTGTTTTTCTCACAGAACATCCAAACGAGCACCGTTCGAATCGATCAATTATTTCCCAATGAAAATTATTCAATCACCGTCAAAATATCCAATGAAATAGATACACGTATTTTACCAGCACACGTCTTCCAAACGCTTCCATTCGCAAGTCAACAAAGTGAGAGACTGAAGAAGATGAACGTACTCTCCTAAAAACAATTTTGATTTCAGCTGAAACTTTGACCAATGAAGATCTCTTATCAATTGAACATATCGAAGCATTTGTACTTCCACACACACTTCTTTACATCGTTACATTACCACCGCAAATGCGTCGAGCAAGCATTCTGGCGAATATTACTCTTTCTTATTTTCACAATCGTAAGTAGTTATTGAAAACAACAAGTCATTTGCTTTAGTTATTAAATTATCGTTTTCGATGTAATAGGACGACAATATCAGTATCATCAGCTTGTCAAACCATTAGATAATAATGTTATTTCACATCTTGGTCGGCTGACAACAAAAACAATCGCGTTTTCGCTTGAATTGCCATATGAAAATAAGACTTCAATAGAATACACAAGTTTCATTCAATTATTTCTTTCAAACGATCAACGACACTCGATTGTTGATCATCCTGTTATCATCGAATCACCTCAACCGATAACGATGGAATTCATTTCTCTTTCCACTCGATCGATGCGTGTATCAATACACCATTTATGTTTATCATACATCGAAGTAAAAGTAACTGTTTACCAAAATTCAGTACGTAGAGAATACAGGTGCCATAGGCTGTGTGATTTCCATGGTTTTCTTCTAGGAAATTATCTCTCGTGGTCAATGTGATATTAATAAGAAAGACAATTCTCTCGAGGCCATTGTCAATGGACAGTGTTCTTTAATGTTTGATAAACTTCAACCTGAACAAAACTATTCACTATCAATTCGCACAACATGTCCGATAACAACCTCATCAGGAGCATCATATGTCTTTTATGATCGTGCGCGTGTCTTTCCATTTCAAACAACAAGCGGTTTACCAGATGACAGATCATTCCTATTATCATTTTCTCAAACTAATCGAACAATATCATGGAAGGAACCATCATCAAACATGTCTTATTTTGGTCCTGATTATTACTATCAATTATTGATCAAGTAAATTGATTTTATTAATGTTTAATTCACGAGAAAGCTAGATGGAATTTATAAACGATTTCCGTTCGATGTGCATCTAGTGATTCTAGTATAACGATGTAACAAGAGATTGTTGACCTTTGCACAAGGAACAGAAGTATGCCAATGGGGAATAGATTTGATGTTGGTTTAGCTTTGAGCCGGAAATTGTTCGTTGTAACTAATTGAAAAAAACGAAGCAAACTTTGTCAAATAATGTACATATTCAAATATAAACAGACAAGGAAGGAATTTCTGTCATTGTGTATCCTCTAATGACATTGAGTTAGGACTAAACTATGTGACAATGTCAAAAAAGAAGACGACTGGTACTTATCATCACCTCTAATCTTCCATCCTTCATCGTAGACAGACATTGTCTATGAAATATCTCGAACATTCTTTTCTGTCTTATTACAATATGGAATGTTCAATTGATTTTCTTTCTTCTTTAGATTAAATCAGAATTGGACATTGATCTACCAGGGAAATGAAACATTTTATCAATTGAACAAGACGTTAATTGACAGGACTAATCTTACTTTCCGATTGTATGTGGGCAATCGGTTCGGACGACAGGAAAAGAATTACTCACAAATTGACATACATATTAATGGTTTGTTCGAGAAACCTTTCCCAATGGCAATCCATATATTCGTTTCTTTGTTATTTTAGCTGTTCGTCCTTCGTATACAAACAATCAAATTGTTTCTTTTACACTTTTAATATTATTTTTACTTCTACTTCTTTTCGGCTTTCTATGTTTTGGATTCTATCGTAAGTTGACAACGATCGATTTTCGCTAAAGAATGCGTTCATTCTAGTGCGAAATAAAAAACTCTATGGTAAACTCAAAAAGAAGTATTACCAAAATGGGGAAATATCGGATAAGGAACTGGAACATCTTCGATCGCTGACTCATCCAACTGGATTGAAAGATAATATTCTCTATACCTGGAAGTGTGTTATCTAGATTTGTGTGGAATTCATTTTCGAATTGCTTCTATTGTAGTCACACACCAACGAATGGTGATTTGAACAAACTACCAACAATTGAACGTGCTTTGATTAAACTTGATCGATTGATTGGCAAAGGAGCATTTGGTTTGTGTAGAAAAACATTGTTGTCAAAAACGTTCTTCTATCTTTTCCTGTTTCTCTCTCTCTCTCTAGGTGAAGTTTATGCTGGGACGATGCTGTCAAAGCAACCAGTGGCGGTCAAGGTAAAATTCAATCTTTTGAAATAGAGAAGAATTCTGTATGTGTTCTCTTGGCATTTTCTAGACGTTGCTTAGTACTGCTTCATCCTCGCAGCGCGTGGATTTTTTGAAAGAAGCAATCATTATGAATCAATTTAGTCATGAGCATATCATACATTTATTAGGTGTTTGCTTTCAAAATGATAATCAACCGCAGTTTCTCGTTCTTGAATTAATGAATCGAGGAGATTTACAGAATTATTTGCGACGTTCAAGACCAACAAAAGAGAATAATTATCAATGTCAATTATCGTACGAAGATTGTTTAGACATTGCCAAACAGATCGCTGATGGTGCTTGCTATCTTGAACAACATTCATACGTGCATCGGTATGCAGACGAGTTAAAATTGAATTTCGAGACAATGTTTTCTTTTGTAGAGATTTAGCGGCACGAAATTGTCTTGTTTCAACATCAGAAAATGGAAACATGGTTGTTAAAATCGGAGATTTCGGTTTAGCAAGAATGTTGAGTCAACAAGATTATTATCGAAAGACAGGTGAAGCACTTTTACCTGTACGATGGATGGCACCTGAATCTTTGCTTGATGCTCTATTCACCTCGCATTCAGATATATGGTAAGCAGATCAATCGATTGAAAATTAAGAAAAATGTAAAACGCTGATTTTAGGTCGTTTGGAATTGTCATGTGGGAGATTATCACATTAGGCCAAGTGCCATATTCACCATTGAATAATCAACAAGTTATATCGTTAGTAACTACCACGCGAGGAACATTACAGAAGCCAACACAATGCACTCAAACTTTGTACGTATTCGAGCACGATTGTAGGAACATTATCACAGCAATATTTTCGTACAGTTTATGAGTCCTTGATTTCTAGAAATGGAAATAAATATTCGTCATTATTCGATAGGTTCGAAGTTGACAGCATAGTTATAAGTTGTACACGACCTTCACAAATACATTCAAAATACAGATTGAGTATAGTGTACATAAAACTTTTATCGAATGAAAGAGTAGACTAATAAGATGGCTGGAGGGATGTATTATTAATGTATTCAGCATTTTTTTGTTTGGTGTAAGAAGGTTATTTACTATTGACGAAAATTTCGTATTGAAAGTGATTTTGTTTTTTTTTCTTTCCTAGATATGAATTAATGATAACATGTTGGCATTATATCCCAGAAAATCGGCTGAATTTTCGAGATGTTCATTCTCGTCTGAATGAAATTGAATTGGATAAACAGAAAGAACAACCAGCAACGTGGTTTTCCTATGAAACATCTTCAGAAACAGTAAATCTCTTTTAGAACGTTAATTTTCTTTCAATAGTTTATGTTGTTGTCTAGGCTCGTCAAGTTGTCAATGGTGTTTTGAGTCATATTGAACCGCCAACATCCATATCATTTGAAGGTTCCGACGCAGGTGAATGTCGCTCATCAACATCAGGTTGTTTTTCATCAATGACCGAAAGCAACTCACAATTGCATCATCATTCAAATCGACTAGCGTCACCTTATCAATTGCGTTTAATTGACGATACAACGAGTAATGAATTCATGGGAGACAGTCACAGTGACATTATTGTACGTTCTTTGTAATAAATAAATCAATCGAGCAATGAATGAATCGATGAACGAATGCCTTGCGTTTTCTTTTGGTTGTTGTTGTCTGTCATGTCATGCACTTTCTTTTTTTTTTGTCTTTTTTTCATATTTCAGTTGTAACTTAGTTTTTTTTCTCTTGTTTTGTTTCTTACTTATTATGAATCTCATATGTTCAATGAATAAAAGACATCTAAATTGGCGAGAAACTATTTTTATCAGTAACTACTTCATACATGAGAGTTTTATTTGTTTTCCATTCGATTAAGATGTTGCGAAGTTCATGAATAAAGCCCATTAATCATTTTCTTTTCTATGTTGGTTTCCCGCTCTCATCTAGCCGGAGAATTTTACATCTACTGTCAAAATGTATGTGGTCATCAATTGCCAAGAACAATCGAAGAAATGATTATGTCACACAGATGGGAATATTTGCGTTTAGAGCAGAAATACATATACAGAAAGTGATGTAACTGCAGGAATTATATTAAGATTAGATGAGAGAAAATGTGGCAGGAATATTTAAGTCAATTCATTTGTTGCGTTGACGAACGAAGAGATGAAATGATTCCTTGCGAATCAATATCCGGTTCGCTTATTTGCTTTGTTCAGAAGAAAAACAATCTATTTAAGGAGACATTATGATCGACAGACTTCCTCTTCTGAAATCTCCTTTAATTAACAAACGATTATGGTTTCATCATGCGTCCATGAGTAATACTTCTATATTCGCTCGAGTTACTAAAAATAGAAGTAATCGTTTGCGGCCGCGCTACAACTTATGCTTTATATTAGTATTTGAATCAATTCGGTTATCATAACTCCATTTTAACGAATCTCATTCTCATCAAGCATAGGAAAGGTTTAGCTCACTGTCAGTTCATAAGTACGTACATGACATATCCTTACTCATTTCCTGCTCGTTACTCCTCGATCGTTTTCTTTCCTCCTTTCTTTGATTATGTCCTCTATAAAACAAGAATAGACATACATATAACAGTAAGACATGCTTAGCTACAGCACAATACAATAGCAAAAAGGAACAGCGGTCTCTTTCTCTCTTCGTTTTTTTTTCTTTTTTTCTTCTTTTTCTCTCTCCTCCGTACCAATGCGTTTCTTTCTTATACTGAAAAACGGACGCCTCAGATAGATGGCAAAGCCAGAAGTATTAATAACACGCAAGCTGAATATATGTATGTGTATTTGTTGTTTTATTCTATAACAGACGTTAGAGATATAATTAACCACAAATTCTGCGTTTTTACTGTTTTCAAACTGAAAAAGAAGTGAACAGTAAGGTGACTTTTTTTCTTCTCATGATATTTCGATTTCAGAAGACTAAAATAATATTGATTCACTTGTCGATAAATGTTATAGTCAAGTACTACTTAACAGAACCGCAAGAAAAAGATCTTTACCGCTTTTTTTATGCTTCATTTTTACTATGTTCTCATGTTCTTTACACATAACCATGATACAAACTGATATGTCGCACTTGTTTTTCATTTTGGCTTTAGATTGATATTGTATTAGAAGGCGTCTTTCGCTTGCAACACTGAACGAAGACCATGGTTGATCTGTTGTATTTAATCACACTCGTACCAACAGTTCTCCTGTCGACATTACGTTCAGACGATGATGGTTATGACATGATCAATTACAAATATACTGTTGCTTTACTAATACTCTTTTCAACGATAACGGCAACGAAGCAGTTTGACGATGATCGAATCGAATGCTGGAATCGAGCGAATTTTATTAAACCATATATTGAATACACAAATCAGATCTGTTATATATCGTCAACGTACTATGTTGATCGGAACAAAACCATCCCGACCAATGTTGAAGATCGGTAAGGAAAACTTGAATGAGAAAATGTCATTTATTTCTCGTGAATTATATTTTGACAGAAATTGTTCTCATTGATGCATATAATTCATTGCTATGAGGCTAAACATGTACGTGACATATAGAATATAAATACAATACATTGTCTATTTTTGAAACAGTTATCATTGTGTGTCAGATTTGAAACTATTGGTCCAATTCATTCTTATTCACTCACGTGCCTATAGGATCGGACTGAATTTTCAATGTAAATGAGTAGAAAGAAATTCGATACGCATGAAAAAAGATCCTATGCGTTGTTCCATGTTAAATACGCGTTTTTCTCTTATATTAATAGTGGTGTGTGGTGGATAAACAGATAATTTTCCTTTTTTTTGCTGATACATTTCAAATGCTCAGTATTAATTTCATCCTTGAACTTAATCAAAACAGCTGCTCACAAAATGGAAGAGAAAGGGAATGAATGCATCGAATTACCGATGCTTTGTCTGTTTATTGGTTTTGATGGCAAGCATTGTGTCGAAAAGACAAGAAAAAGCAAATATAATATTTTTTTATAGTTCAAGATAAAATGTATTTCGTTACAATACTCTTGGGCTTATTGTGATAGTATACTAATCAGATGAGATTGAAATCACTAATGTATAAGAATGACATATGATACGTTCTAAATGTACCTTGGAGACTTTCTCGAGGATTTTTTTTATCAAGAAAATACGAACAAGATTTTGTTTATATTGCGGTGAGAGACGGTCGGATGAGACTTGTGCTAAATCAGAAAGTTGTCTGTTTTGTTGAAGATGGAACATATTTGTTGATTCGCATCTACTCCAACTTGGATAATTAACTCTTCATTGTCATAATTACTTTCATTCGTCTTAAAATCAATACCTGTCTACATATGTCTACTTGGAAATACAAGAGTTTATTTGTATTCTAGGACTAGTTAGACACTTCCACATGAAAATCTACCCTCATCAAATTTTAACAACTGTTATTAGCGATATTTTCGAGATGAACTCTTCAAACTGAGGTTCATTCTTTTTGTATCTTGAGTAAAATGACTTTATCGTTCCATCCTATCAGAATTTCTTCTTACACTCCGATTCTTGAGTAAGATAGTATCTACCCTTAGTCGCTCGTGCATTAGCAACGGCGAAGTTCCATATAAAATACTTGAGCAGAACGAAGTAGATTGCGTTGTTCGTAGAGTACATATTATTTGAAGGAAAACTCGTTTAATTTCCCACCCAAATGAAACGTATGCATTGACTTAATCTATTAGAGTTGATCATTTACATCGTTTTCTTTTCCTCTGATAGCATTTATCGAATGAATACGTAGATTTGTCATGAGTAGGAAAAAATTTTACTTTAAACACGTCTATCTTTGAAGCTTATGTACTTTTGTTAGTAGCAAACTTATTTGATATAGGTTGTCCTTGAGTTGTATGTTGCTGAAGTTTACTCCCACCCTCTCTTGTCTTTTCTCTATTTCTTTCCTCTGGTCCCAATTGATCAATTCTTTGCAATGTTGCACTTACACATAAATATTATCGTTGGATAAAATATAAATACAAAGAGTAACAGAGCAGAAAGAAGTTTCCATCTGGTGCTATCGTATATATCTTACTTGTCTGGTTTATTCTTTTATTTTGAAATTGTGTTTGACAAACGGAAACATGGATCATCATTTGTATATGTTTACATTTTGTATTACAATCTTATTTCGTTCACAATCTTCGGATGATGATGATATTGATCGTCTAAATCGCAAATTTACGGTCTATCTTCTCATTGCACTTTCCGTTATCGCAGGTTCACGATTATTTTCCAATAATATCTCGTCGTTAATATCTTGTTGGAACCGAGCGAACTTTCCTTCCGCTTATATTACCTACACGAATTATATCTGTTTTACTACACATGTCTATCGATTAGGTTTTAATGAATCAATACCAAACTCTATAAATGACAGGTTATTTCTCTACCAAAGATTATTTCGTAGTTTGAATTCGAATTTCTTCTGAAGTCTTCTCATTCATTTGCATTTTCTTTTTGTTTACAGGAAAGCTCGGGTATTGAATTATTATCAATGGACGCCGTTTATCATCTTATTAATGGCATTGTTCTTTTATTTGCCACGTTTATTCTGGCGATCGTTGAGTGTTCGTTCGGGTATTGATCTTCTCGATATCATTGAAGCTGCTGGTGAAACCAGAACAGTGAAGGATTTTGACGATCGCGATGAATTGATCAAATATATAGTTGATACTATCGATATGTATGTCGACGACGCACGTCGACAAGTTTATGCAGAAAAACGACAAGCATCATTAATAAAAAAATTCTTTCAACTACTCTGTTGCACGACTGGTAAATTCTTGGGGAATTATTTTATTACTCTTTATATATTTATAAAGTATGTCGAAGGACAAAGCAAGGAATTTGTAATACTTTTATCTGTTCTTTTTTTTGCCGTAGAATTTATTATATATTGAATGTTATATTGCAAATCTGGTTACTCGGTCTTTTTCTTGGTACGAATTTCTTAAAGTTCGGTTTTGAAAGTGTGAAGTTATTTCGTTATGGTCTCAATCAACCGGAATCGCAGTACTTTCCTCGAGAAACTTTCTGTGATTTTCACGTTCGTGAACCACTACGCGGAGGAGAGCCACTACAGAGAATTACTGTTCAATGTGTTTTGACTGTGAATCTTTTCAATCAGGTATGACTGAAAAACAAAAACTACAAGTCTCGAGTGATTCACAGAAGAGTACTCGGAGTCTAATGAGACTTTATTCGTAAAAGTCGCTGATTTTCCTCAGGAAGAGCGATAAACTAACTCTAACTATTGTCTCACTGTTCTCTAACATTTGAGCATCTTTTGTATATTGCTAGAGTTCGCACATAGTTAACAATGACATTTAGATGATCACAACTGTTGACTGTGAATATCAAATGCGATTGTAATGCGTGTGCTTTTTTTTTCATTTAATTCTAGCAAATTTTTACATTACTATGGATTTGGTATGTTTTCGTGTTGATATGCAATGTATGTGCGTTGACATCTTGGTCGGTGCGGCTTGCTTCTTCCACTCGACAATTCGATTTCATTCATTCTCGTCTTGCTCGAACATCGCGACCTGAAATTCCACGTTTCCGCTTCAACTATAAATACGTTACACCTGAAGTCGGTGATCATGTTCAGAGGAAACTGGTTGAAGCATTTCTAAATGATTATCTCGAAGCTGATGGTTATTTCTTCATACGTTTGTTAGCAGCGAATGCATCTGATTTCATCGTTCAGGAAGTTCTTGAACAATTGTGGTCGACTTACGTGAAAAAATATGGTGAAACCGATGCTTTGCGTGCTCAAGAGGAGTACTTTGCCTTTCGAGGAGATATGCCTCGAGGTACGCTAATGACTCAACTATCAGCGCCTGCAAAATATTCCGAGTCAGCACCTGATTCGAGATTGAAATATGATAGGCAACATTCTGATCTTCGAGTAGGACTGTTACGAGCAACGACTGCGTACAGTCCGGAGCTCTCGCACGAAGTTTAATCTCATTTTGATAATATATTGTAAAGAAGAATAGAAGAATTGATTTTTCTGGAAATAAATACATTTGTTTTTATAAACGAATCTGTCAATGCGAAAGGACTTTTCTGCAGAGTGACAATCGAACTGAAGTTCAAATGTTAAGGAAAACATGTAGTGACATCTAAGGAATATATTCGTTCATTTCTGATTGACCAACGCCTGTCGGTGGATGACTCATCACATCATACAAGTATATGCACACATGTTTTGTTTTGTTCTACTCTGCTCTGCTTATCTATCTCATGATTCGTGCTCCATAGCTCTTTCGTTTATTTGTTGACCGACTTCAGCACTTGTCTGCATTGCTGTTTATACTTAATCGATCAGGTATATTAAATATTATGATTCTGGAAATCTTTTCTGACATTCATTTCATACTGATACTAATTTTCTCTTGCAGATATTTGTTTCCTTTGGTGCAATTCTTCTTTCTGCAAATGTCATGAATGTTAGTTTTCAATGTGGTGCAAAGTCGGATGTGTACGTGAAAGCTTACATTTGTTTTTTTATCTTAATTCTAAGCTTTTAAGCCAATATAAAAAAAAAGAATAATACTGAATTCTTCTTTATTTGCTTCTTTAGATGAATGATCGTGACGATTTTGCCGAGTTAGTCGGTAAGAAATGAACGATATTTTGTTTGTTTACCTAGCAATTAATGTTTTACAGGTAGTGCTCGGAGTGTTACAAAGTGTTCTTCGTTTCATTTTAATGGTCGAATTCGTTATGGAACAAAAGGTGAAAAAGTTGAAGAGCGTCTTCTGGTAACTTGACTCTGACAACTATTTCTACTTGATAGCTGTTTGTGTTATTTTAGTGCATGGACACGGTTAAAGTCTACATTTGCTCAGTGAAGACTCCAGTTAAAGTATGTCGAGTGTTTCTGGAAATAGATGCACAGTATCACTGATGATCGTTTGTTTAGATTGAATCGCAATTTAACATTCTTTCCATAAAATTGATCGAACATATATCTGATTCTCAAGTACGATGATTAATCTCTGTTATTTTGATTTTATCACGATAATAAATTTTCCATTTTGGCAGGTTTTAATCGAAGCTGATGAAAAACAAATTCATACACTATATGGACTGCATGATAAATCATCTCTCCAACCGTTCCTCATCGTTCTAATACGTAACTTACACGCTGTTTTCCCTCATCGATTACAATCGATGTAAGTACCTTCGAGTGAACTTAATAACAATTCATATTCTGTGGCTTTCTAGTGTGGAGATTCGTCCTGAGAATGAATATGAGAAATTACTACGCTTATCCAATGATTATTGCCAAGACGTTAATATTATGTCGACTGAACTACGTCCATGTGGAGGATTTTCACTACGTTATGAATGTGCGTGCGATTTCTATCAATTACCCTGTAATCGAACTGTACAGAGTGTAAGTAGGATGATGCAGATGCGTTCGAATGTGTATGTCGATACTTTTCTTAGATTGTTGATACGGTATTTGCCCATCGAATATCTCGGGAATTTACATTTCGAGAATTTGAAGCTTTAACACAAAAAGACTGGCTGCCGATAATCAGTGCTCTTCGTTACAATGAATGGTTCACCAAAATTACCATCGAAAATATCAAACTAGTTCGTTGTCTATATACTTCTATTCTTTTGGTTTACTGTTGAAATACTTTAGACATCAGAAAATCTTGATGAGCTTTGCACAGTTATTCGGTTGTGTAAAACAATACGAAGTTTATCTTTGATCAATTGTGGTCTTCGACAGTAGGTCTCTGCTTTGATCGAGATGTGTGTTCTATGCGTATGTTCTAGTGATTTTTGTACTCGTCTTGCGCATGCCTTACCCGTTACCCATGTTGAGAATATCGACTTATCAAACAATGCAATCGAAGATAAAGGTAAAGTTTAATTAAACGAAAAGTCTCGTCGAGCTTGTCGTTTCATCTTTCAGGTTTGATTGCATTGAGTTCAACATTACAACAACGGAAGCTACCACTTGTTTCCATCAATCTTCAATCATGCTCAATAACCCATAAGGGTCTACATGTTTTTAATACTGCGTTAGTTGCGAATAATAACTTAATGAAAACCCTTCAAACTTTAAATCTATTCGGAAATCGAATCAAAGAAGATAACGTACGTGTAAACAACAAAGAATTTCCACAAATTAGATCTATATGTTTGTCTTTTAGTGTCTAACGCTACTCTTTCAAAATTCTGACAATGTTCTCGAAGATTTATACTTGAGCGATCTAGAATTTAGTCTCGAATCCGTAAATATTCATTTTCATTCTTTTTTTCTTATCGCAACTTGTTATTGTTTTTCTTCAGTTTTTCTATACTTTGGGCACAACATCGTGTAAACTTCGTCGATTATACATAACATCGGCGAAATCAACTGTTTCTTCATCGTTTACTGGCGGTGTGAAGTTGTTCTTCACCAAAAATCAAACATTAGAAGTCATACAAATATCCAATGCCAATCTGTCAAATGAATTTCTTAGGTATATTGAAAAGACTATCTTCTCATTTGTTTGCTTTTTCTCCTCACCTGTAGAGAGTTATGTGATGGTCTTCATTCGAATGTTCATTTAAACAAACTCGATCTACGTCTTTGTGGAAACCAATTGGAAACATTCATACACGAATATGCCGTTCGATTCGCAACTATCCCAAATTTAACGACACTAGATATTAGCGGATGTGGTATGAACAATGCTTTATTTTCTCTTTTAATATAGAATTGGTTCCTTCTTTGTCGTTTAGATATAGATAACGAAATTCCAACATTGTTGAATGAACTGAAGAAGAATCGAAAGTTGAAATCATTGTATATGGGGAAGAACTTTAATAATATTAAACAAAGGTAGATTGAGTTTTCTTGTACGTGGGAGACTTTTGAGTTGTTGTGTTCTTATTATAGAAATATGCAAAGGACAATCAATGCAATGAAAGATCTTGTCAACGAGAGTGTAAGATACACAGAAAAGTCCAATGAATTTGTTGACAAATTGATTCTATGAATAGGATTTGGAATGCTTTTCAATGGCTGATTCGAAATTGAAGGAAAATGCCATCGATTTTCTGTCGATCGTAACTCAAAATGTTTCTTTGAAAGTGTTGGATATTCGGTATGTGGAGAAATATTTTCTTGATCGATAAAAATGCATTGTGAATAGAGGAAATTTAATGGGCGATCAAGGCGCTCGTCTCCTAACGCACATTCTTCAAATGAATCGTCATTTACACACGATACTTTTTGATCGAAATCAATTATCGTTGGCCAATTTCGAGGACATTGTCAATTCAATGGACGAGTAAGTCAGAACTCCACTTATAAGGGGAGGAGCACCCTCGTACAGCCCATACATAGCGCTACCATGAATTATAACTGTTTGAGAGAGGAAATTTCTGAGTTTTAAGTATACTCTTCCTTTCATCATCAGTTTAAACTTCTGAACATAAGAGTTATGTAGCGAATCTATTCATGAATGGAAATATCTGATTGGTTGTTTCTAGGAATTATACTATTCAATATCTACCTATACCAATAACGGACATTATTCTGATGAAAATTACTGAAAAAGATCGCATGGAAAAGGTTCAATCGTTGATGAATAAGGTTAAATATACTGATCATTTCTTTCATTTCTCTTATTTTACTTTGTGTATGATTAGCTTGATTCAATTTGTACTCGAAATCAACAGCAAAAAGAAAATTTCACTACGGAAAATTCACTGTTGTTAATAACTGCAGCTAATCTAACTCGAGAGATTCATTTAGCATGGGAAAATCAGCAGCAATTGATCGGCAATCAAGCCTCACTTGATTATGTTTTATCTTGTTCTAATCGATTGAATAATCACAATCATCCAACGACGATTAATAGCGATTTAAATTCAATCTTAACTCGAACAGCTAACATTAGCAAGGTATTGCCAACAACATTGCGAGTAGAGTGACTATTTTCTTGTTTTGTGAAGATTTCGGCTCAATTATATGACGAATATGTGAAAGAAGAAGAACAATTGAAAGACGAATGGAATGAACTGTGTAAAGTTTTCAAACAGAAATTTATTGAAAAAAACGAACGTTTGTCGAGAAAATTCTATCAACTGTTCAAAGAACAAACAACTATCAATTACGACGATGTAAGTCTGACATTTTCATCCTAGTTTCGGTTATGAAATGTTTTTTTAGAAACTACAAGAACAAATTCGAACATACTTTGCACATTCGAATGATAATATTGATCAGTTATTGACTAAAGAAATATCGAATCGAGTCATGAAATGCTCTCGTGAATGCTATATCAATGTCTCAACATGTCTACAAAAACGAGCGTACGATACGACCAATGAAACAATTTCCGACATGCAAAAACAAATGGTAAAAGGGTTCAAATCTATTGATAAGAACGTTCTGAGCTTTTTTCTTCTTAGGAAATTGATATGTTTCGTACAAACGCTCCTCAACACGGAACCTTAGTAATGGACGCACAACCACATACCCCAACATCAAGTATGATTTTTTTCCTCAAAAGAAAAAAAAATTTCTTCATGTGTATTACACTTTGAAAATTATAGCCCTTGAACGTGTTGTTAATCGTGGTAATCATGTTGTACAACGTTTAGCCCATCGGCATAATCAACCGCAAGTTGAAACCACTGATGATACATCTAGTAATCGACAAATAAAACCGATTGAATCGAGTGAATGTCTGAGAGGTATTTCTATTTGTGGAGAATAAACGATGATGATTATCGAAAATCATTATTCTCTATAGATCCTTCACCAAAATCAATTCGAGCAGCAGCTCGCATACCGAATGAGCCAGAACATCGTATTCCAACAGCAACACAAAATAGTAAAGGTCCCGTACCCACCTCACCTAAACCTGCCACATCAGCCTGGCGTAAATCAATGCTAGTGAATACAGCTGACTCGGAAACTATGTCAACAGTTTCAGAAACAATATACGGCAATGTTCATATTTCACAACGACTTAAGACCAATGAGTCGTCCGTTGAAGATGAAGGTGATCTTATCGAACATGATCTACTTGATATAGTCAAGGAAGAGGAACAAAAAGAGCAAATGAAAGAGACCCCACCAGCATTGCCTGTGAAAAAACGAACTGCTACAACTACTAGTAACGGACAAGAAAATAATCTTGACGTCGATATTGAATCAACTCCAAAATTAGTTCATCCAGGTATATCTATCAAACTTAATTTTCTCTCGATTTTGACGAAAATCATCTTGTCGTTTAGGCAAAGATCGCCCTCGTCGTGCAAACGTTCGACGACCGATCAAACGATCAGTAAATGGTGCTAACAATGATAGTTCATCCGATGGCGGTCTCCTAACAGATGATAATGATGACACGAGTGTCACGGACCCACCTATTCAAACGCCGAATGAAGTGACAACAACTATTCCAAACAGTACACAAACGAACGAATCAACACCGTAAGTGCAAAGCTTTTAACTAAAGTTTCACTCGTCGAATTTGCACAAACGTAAAAAATCTATCATTTACCATAGAAAATCAAGCAAATTCAAAAAGTTTGTGATAAAAATGCATGAATTTGCAGTGTATATAACTTTTTTTTGAGTCCTACGTTTAACCAAACTCGCATGACTATACTCAAACTTAACTGTTTAACTAAATTATTGTTTTTGTCTTAGAACGATTGCGAAAATTCTTAAACCAGTAATCAAAACCTCCAAAAATCCAAACGATGAGTCGACTATCTCGTCAAGTAACAAAACACCTGTACCTCAACCACGTCCCCCACCAATCAATCCAATGTCTAAGTCAATGACTGTCGTCAATAATGATCCAGCACAGATAGTTAATTTCGATCCATCGAACAGTTCATCACTAGGCAAGCCTTCAATGTCAACAAGTTTATATTCACCGGTCATATCATCGACTAATTCCGAGCATAAAGAAGTCACTCATTCAACCGAATCGATTCCGTCATCAGTTCCACCAGTTTCAACACGAACAGGCAAAATCGCTCTTGGCGCTCGGGTACTTCCTGTATCTGATCCTAGTAGTACTGATGCACCACCAGTCAAATTAAGACATTTTCAATCCGAGAGAAGACGTAAGACAACAACATTTTCTTTTCAGAGAAGAACACTTCCATTATTTTAGCAATCGCTGGAGTCATTTCATCCTTATCAGAAACAACTCATACATCCGATACTAACGCTGGTAACAGTGTCGATGTACCTACTGTTCCTTCTTCTTCACTATCAACATCTCATACTGACGAACAAACCGAACAGTACAAACGTATGTAGTTCTTCTATTTCCATTGCACTTGCTGATATTCATCTCTTGTTAGGATTGCCAGTGAAGGAACGCGCTCGTATGCTATCGACAACACTGACTGCAATGACACCGACCGATAAGAAAACGTTGACATCTACTAATACAACGACAAGTAAATAGATCGAACTAACCTTCTTTTTTTCTTTTCTTCCTAATTTAACTTCCAGGTTTCTAAAAAAAGATTTACTTTCACATCTTCAAGTAAGAGCGCGTGTTTCACCTTTCGTTTTCCATGCCTAGTTTGATTTGTGTGCTTTCTTATTCCGCAAACGATTATTCGCAATCACAATGAACATTTTTGTTTTGTTTTGTTCTATTCTAGTTTCATCATCATCAACTCCACCGTATACACCTCGTACGTATCGACGACTAATCGAACAAGTGAATTTATTCTGTTGACTTGTGCATTCCGAATCTTCTTTCGCTTCTTCTTTTCCATCTTTCTAATGCAATTTGATGCGTCACATTTCTTCATTAATGACCAATATTTGATATGAATATTACATCTTTTTATAATTTTCTCTTTTCGTCGTTTGTTCTAATTGCTTACGCTTGATTCTTACATTTGTTTTCATGGTGCTCAAATTCTTCTGTTTTTGTTTGTGTATGTGTGTGTGTGTGTTGTTCTTACTTTTTAGTTTGTCACACCTTTGCTTCTCCTTCTTGCTTAGATATCGAGATTGTTTTTTCATTCTTTATACGCACATTGGTTTAACTTGAGAAAAAAAACGAAGTCACGACAAAAAAAAATGAATATGTATATCACTCTATTCTTTATTTTTTTTCCATTTTGTTATTCATTCTTATATACATATATTTGTGTTGTGTGTGTGAATGTCTTTTTCCGTTCATTATTCAATAAGATAACGAGAAATAAAAAATCAAATTCGAAAAGCCAAAAAATGCAATCACGTTTCGTGAACAAGTTCGCGACATTTCTGCTTTGGAAAATCGATGGAGCGAACCGCATGAGAAGTGGAGCTTCTGCTTAGAAGAAAAACAGCTTAAAACCTGCTTTTAGTTTTAATCCAGAAAAGAAAAATAATGGGCTTGCTTTCCACAATCAATGAAATTGACGGGCAAGTTTTAGATTTTCAGACACGTTGACAATGGGTTTTCTCAAGTAATGAATCTTGGAAGAAAAACTTCGCCTATTTGTCATATTCGTTTTAGAGTATAATCATTAAAACCAGCTGTTTCTCATTTTAGATTATGTTTTCTTTTATCATCTGATTTTTTTCTTTCCAATTGACTCGATTTCTTTTTCCTATATCACGTGCAATGTCTCGAAAGAGTACGGTAGATTATCACACTGGATATCGATACTTATCTTCATCATCATCTCAGCTCAATACATTGTTCTCGATAATAAAAGTTCTTGGTTATATCGCTTTGTATTGGTGTTGCTCAATTACATTAACATTCTTCAATCGGACTTTGTTTCGTGATTATGAATTTCCACTTTTTATAACGACATTACATGTGGCTATTAAATTTCTCTCGGCTGCTCTTATTCGATGGTTTCTACATCGATTTTGTTTCTGTTCGTGCTGTACAACTATGTGTGGACATCAGCAAAATAATGAACGAGATAGAGTGAAGTTAACATGGTCTATTCTATGGCGGAAGATCGCCCCAACTGGTAAGCGAAATCAGTTTAGTTAGGTGCAGAACGAAATTTTGTCTTTCAGGTATCACTGCTGCACTTGATATCAGTTTATCTAATTGGTCTTTGCAATATATAACTATTTCACTCTATAGTAAGTTGGTACCTATTATGAACATGACAACGATGTCATTGTCATTTTTAGTCATGTGTAAGTCAACTGTGATCATTTACATTCTGCTATTTGGCATTATATTTGGCCTTGAGCGTTTCGTACGTTAGTTTCCCATTGGAGATATGGCATCGTTTTGTATCTATCTTTAGCGTTGCTCGCTAGTTGGCGTTGTGATTTTAATTGCCTCTGGTTTATTTCTATTTACATATCATTATACAGAATTCCATGCATTCGGTTTTCTTCTTATTATGATCGCTTCATTTCTATCTGGTCTTCGCTGGACGATTACACAATTAGTTACACAAAAACATGAACTCGGTAAAGTACAGCGCGTTATTTACTTTATTTATTTTCAATGAACTAATGCTTTGGCAACAAGACTTCCCGCTGAAGATATTGTTGCTGCTCGCGGAGCTTGTTCTGTACGGAAAGGTAGACCATAGAGTGCAAATGCGGTTCGTGCTCGACCGCCATCATTTCGGCGTCGTGCAAATGGATAGGAAATCGAATTATTCGAGAACGTATGTATGACTCGCGGAGTTTTGGTTTTTCGTCGGTGCGCTATTGATGAGGGTTGGCGTAAAGTTCGGTGTAATAATCGTTGCTGTTGTTGTTGCTGTTGATGATTACCTAGACGAGTTCGTTCTAATCCATACAAAGGACGACGATGTTTCCGAGAAAGGGATGATGGATTAATGAAATGTTCAAAAGCTGCCAATGCTTTCTTCCGATCCTTTTCTTTGGATGTATGGTACGCACGATAGCAATGTAATGCAATCATAAGGAAATTTTTCGCCATATAAAATATGATTGTAGGCTTACTACATCGGACTCGAGCGGCTAATAATGTTCGATAGAGAAGGAGGAGACCATCGTGAATGAACAAAGTCTAAATGCATGATATAGGAGGTTTAAAATTTACAACTATGAAAGATTTTACTCGAAAGAGTGGACATAGATTTTGATCTTGTAGAAAATGAATGCGTTTCTTGAGTTTGCCTTTTGAATTCAGCGTTGATGACGGTGTTAGACCATCCGTGTCGATAAATGCCATCTGAAACAAGCCAATTGTTAACAAAACTAATCCTATATACATCCAAAGGCGTTCCACGATAACATCATGATATTGTAACGAATGTGACATAGCCAAGAGATCAGCACCGTTCACAAGAGTGATTAGTAGAATGATACCACTTTTCTCTACAGTCATATGTTCTCGACTTAATAACAGTCGACATATGGCTAGAACGATGAGCATTGTTTCTTGAATTGCATCGAGCCAGCGTTGTTCGTCCATGTAGTACCATGCTTTATCATGACACTCGAGTTGTCCGATCGATTGAATAAGCGATGTGGAAGTGGATAGTGTTTGTGCTGAAGATGAATTTGTCGAAATGTACTGTTGACGCCGCATATGAACGGATGGACCAGTCGCTCGAGCATTTAGTTTATCTTCTGCTAGACGATATAACTTTCGATTTGCAGTGTCGAAATGTATTATCCATAAAGACGGCGTTGTGCACGACAAATAGAATATCAAGCAAAAAGCAACTCTAAAGATTCCATCGGACACTATGAATATGTCTAGTTGACTTTAATCAGTACGTACACTTTGAATTCGTGTCCATTTCGAAGCCAGATGACGACACCTGTTTCGACAAGCAGAAAACCGAGACCTATAAGAATAATCCAACAGTATTGATTGTCATTCGTGTCAATAACACGCCAGGAACAGACGAGTCCGTGAGCTAAGAGAAACACTCGCACTAGGAGCGACTTGACGATGGTCAAACCGTGCATTCATTCGACCATCTGTAATAATTTCGTTTGTCTCAACATAAAAATCAACAACAAATGAAATGAGGAGGAGAGAAAGGGGCAAAGCAACTAACTTGGTCAACAAATAATTAATGCCGACTAAGCCTTTTCTTTTTTTTTCTTCGTTCCTTTATAGGCTTGAGCAATCCGGTCGATGCTATGTACTATATTCAACCGTGGATGCTTGCCGTAATCATTCCGCTTGCGTGCATCAGAGAAGGTTTGTTTTCGTTTTATCTTTTTCTCTTCGTTACTTTATTTCTCTCGCTTAGGTCAACATTTATTATATCAATTACATTTACTCAATAAAAAATCCTTTGCACATATTCGCTCATCTATTGGACTATTTGGATCTAGTGCTTTGTTAGCGTTTAGTCTTGAATTTAGTGAATTTCTCTTAGTTTCGAATACATCTTCCTTAACATTGAGTGTATCAGGAATCTTCAAAGTAAAATTCTTCATTCATTGAATCAATAGTCTTTTCGAGCTGCTTTTCAGGAAGTCGTGATGCTGTATTTAGCAGTTGAATACAACAATAATGAGCTGAACAGAATCAATATAATTGGTCTTATCATATGTCTTACTGGCATAATCTTCCACTGTATTCTCAAGTTTTACAACATACAAAGTAGCAGACAACCAACATTGTTGAATCAATCTTTTTGACTACAACCATCTTGTTTCGTGTAGAAGAAAAACCCGTCATTGGTGATTCGATTGTCACTGAACGATTGTTGTTGCATCGATTAGAATCGACTGATGAATGGTCTTTGGACGGTGACATGGTGAATATCCGCCGCACAAGTGTGAATGATTAATATGAGACTTAGTAAAAAAGAAGTCATTTATGTCGCTTCTATTTATTCTGTTTTATTTTCTGATGATGATGAACGGTGATCAACCGGTCTTGTAAATATAAACAGATTAGAAAAAACAAAAGTCGATAATAAAATTCAATAAAAGAAACATTCAGGACGCAACAGCAATTTGTTTTCGGCCGTACGTGTTTGCATTGTTATAACATAACAAAGAACGTCATTGATAATGCGATGTTTTTACTTCGATAACAACGCATACGTCTTTCATCAACAACAAAGACGAAATTAACAGTAATTGCTGTCATTCTTCTTCGTTATTGTTCGGTATACCTAGAATACATATTTCGACATTAATCCGATTCGGATATGAAATGAATAAAGTAACTCTACAAATTTTAGTTATAATATCAACAGTATAACTTACAAAACGGGACCTAAGAGTGCTTTGTGCACTTCGATGATGAGTATGGCAACATGTTACAGGAGTACTTTCAGTTGATCAGAAATAATTGCCCGTATCTCTCATCGAAAGTATTGAAGAATAACATCAATTTGAAAAGATCACGTCGAAGAAACTAGGTCTAGATGGAAGTCAAATATAAATTCGAATAGACTGAGTCATATGCATGTTTTTTCTTCTTCTTACTGTTCTAAGAAGAACATATTGAGAACCATCTGTTGAGATGAAACTATTATTTATCATGAATTGATTCTTTTCGTTTATTGTCATGTTAATTTTTCAGCTAGAAATCTTTCTTTCTTGCGTCGATACAAAATGGACCGACACGTGCAAATGACAATATTGATTTAAATATTGTGATGACATTACTTTAGGACTTTTTAGAGATAACATTTATTGAAGAAATTAAATATTGAGCTATCGTGATCGACAAATAGTAGCCGATTGAAAAGGAAAGAACTCTCGAGAGAAAGAAAATTCAACAAATAGAAAAGTTTGACACAGAAGTCGATTATCAATGGCAAAAATAACAGAGATTTTTCTAGTCGCGTGATAATTGAATAGAAAAAGTACATTTCATATTGTAACAAGATGTACTTCATTGAAGGAAGAAAGATTCGTTGGATGAAAGAAATGTTTTGTTGTATGTCATTTCTTTTTCTATATCGTGATTTCGAGTATTTGATGTGCAGTATTTGATGACTACAGCCTTCAGTTTTTTTTTATTTCGTCTCCATTTCGTATTCCATATTCGTCTGCTTGAAGGGTGTAGAAAAAAAGAGTCATCATTAAATATTATATATATACATATATACATTGTGTGTCGAATGGCACTGTTGTCAATAAAAAGGCATCGGTAGCAACGATAGAGAACCAGTGTGCATATAATGGTAATGACCTTCATTCTACGTCTGTTTTTTCTTCAAGTCGGATTTACAGCTGTTACAGCAGTTACTTATTCTTGTTTATCGAATGCAACATGTGGGTGTTCATTGAACTCAGCTGTTCTAACCAAAATTGTCGGCGGTGAACAGGCAGGTACAGATACATTCGGATGGATCGTCTCAATACGTATAGGAGCGAATCATATCTGTGGCGGTTCATTGATATCATCGACAATTATCATAACAGCAGCACATTGTTTATCGGCAATAAGAACATTGTCAACTTTGAGTGTCAATGTCGGATCGAAATATCTATCTGTTCTTCGTCAAAAACGATCTGTCGCTAAGATATATGTACATAAAAATTACGACCCAGCAACTTTCGTTAATGATATTGCGATCATGCAATTAGCAACGCCCATCGATATGAACGATCGTTCGATTGCAGTGATTTGTTTACCAACATCTACTGCTGCAACAGCGAACGTCGAATATCCACAAGCCGGCATATCGGTCGTCGCAATAGGTTGGGGTGTTTTATCATCTGACAATAAAACACCCCCGAATACGCTTCAGCAAGTTACTTTACAAACTGTGGCAAAAACAGCAAGTAGTTGTCGAAAATCCGTCAATAATGCAACCGTCCAATTTTGTGCCGGTGTGCAAGGAGGAGGAAAAGGTATTTAAAGATCAAATCCATAAAACTTATCGTTTGACTTTTGTTGTTTCATTCAGATACTTGTCAGGGTGATAGCGGTGGTCCATTGATGAGTTTTACTGATAATCAATGGATGTTAGTCGGCATAACGAGTTATGGTACCGGTTGTGCATTAGCAGATTATCCAGGTGTCTATACGCGCGTCTCATATTACGTCGATTGGATCGATTGTTTCCTAACGAATAATACGTACTGTATCGAAAGTACAGTTTTCAAACAATACACTGTAGTATCAGAAGGCTTGACTTTATTTTTGAAAGACGCTATTGTACTTTTTCTTTGCCTTGTGATATCACAACTACGTCTCACGTAGGCGAAAATCTATGACAAGATGTATTGTTTACTATTTTCTCAATTATATCACTCACGTCCTTGACGGCTACATTTGCCCTCTTACACCGATGGGATTAGTACCTTTTGGCGTCATACAAATAACATACTATGTCAGATGAAGAAAATATGAAAACAAAATAATGAGCTTAATTAATTTTCAAGGTTGCTTCGAAATACTATAAAGATAGACAGGTAGAACTAACAGCAATAAAAATACTGTCTTTGTCATAAGATTTCAGTTGATAGTAAGATGAAAAGTTTTTTTCTTGTACTCATGTTTATAACATGGGATGTCACGACATCCACCGAATATACATGCGATCGACATGCTGCATGTGGTTGTTCAAAACGATCAACAATTGTCCTTTCGAAAATCATTGGTGGTGAACCAGTCAATGTATCTCATACATGGGGGTGGATAGGTTCTTTACGGCGAGATGGTTACCATCAATGCGGTGCTTCTCTCCTAACTCCACAACATGTGATAACAGCTGCACATTGCGTAAATGATATTATTTTACTCTCACGTTTATCATTGAATTTTGGGATAACAAATCTCTCATACATTGGTCAGTTACGTAATGTTTCGAAAATGTATATTCATCCTGAATATAATGCTGCAGCGTACTTAAATGATATTGCGATATTACGTCTTGATGAACCATTGAATTTAATGTACTCAAATTTATCGACAATATGTCTACCGGCAGTGAAAGATTATAACGTCAGTGAAAGTGAATATCCTCCTGCGAATGTTGAACTTGTTGCCATCGGCTGGGGTGTGACCGAAGCTTTAGGAAGTATACCTTCACAAATATTACGACAAGTTACTGTTCAAGCTATATCGCGAACAGATTCCAATTGTCAAAGTACAATTTACAATGATACAGTTCAGTTTTGTGCGGGTCTTCCCGAAGGTGGAAAAGATACATGTCGCGGAGACAGTGGTGGTCCATTGATGCTCTTTAAAAATCGACGATGGGAACTGGCGGGCATTACAAGTTACGGGGAAATCTGCGCAGCTGAAGGTATCCCTGGTGTTTACACGCGCGTTGCTTATTTTCAATCGTTTATCACAGAAACACTTCGTTCTGATGTTGCATCAGCATCGAAAGGTAAACAACTAAATGCAGATGGCGAAAAAAATTCTAGTGTAAAGATGTCTTATGCAAAAATGATCATTCATTTCATAATTCTTTATGTATCGTTTTCTGTTGTAAAAACCGTGTTTTGATCTAAATTAATTCATTTACATATGTTGCAGAAAAACAAAAGTTTCTCAGAATAAAACTCAAACTAAAAGAACGTCATGCCATTATGATAAGTAAATGTGTCAATAGAATTAATATAACATGTGTAGTTGTAAATATTTGATTAGCATGATTCATTGTTTCGTTGATCCATGACTGAAAGGCAGCTACACGCGTATAGATGCCAGGATAATTAGCTCGTGCGCATCCATATCCAGTTGAAGTAATACCAATTACTTCCCAAACATTGTTTGATGTGAACATCAACAGCGGACCACCACTATCTCCTTGACAAGTATCTAAATAACGAATTTGTTTTTGTGTAACGTAAAGCGGATGAGAAAAATCAGCCTAGTTCGTTACCTTTTCCACCTTCTGGCATTGTACCAGCACAAAGCTGAGTTTTGGGATCTTTCAGACGACTATTTTGACAATAAGTACTATTCGAAGCAACCGATTGAATTATCACCTGTTGCAATGTAGGTGACGAGATCGGACTATTCTCTTCTAATACACCCCAGCCGATAGCTACAAGCTGTAGATGACGAATAGAGAAAAAAAGGACTTAGTTTTACGAAAGAAGAAAAAGACTATTTGATCTATATTACATTAGTACCAACTGTAGGATATTCTTCAGTAGAAAGTATTGTTGATGAAACATTAGGTAAACAGATTAAATCGACACCAGCCTCATCAAGATTTAACGGTGATGATAGTTTCAATATCGCAATATCATTTTCATGGGTCGCTGAAGAATAAGATGGATGGTTGTATATTTTCGAAATGGTTCGTCTTTGCGCGTATGCATATGAATAGATCGATCCAACAGAAACTTGTATTTGTGAGGGGGAACGTATTTTAATCGTACAGTGTGCCGCTGTCAAAAGATGTGATTTCGATATGATTGATCCGCCACAAAAATGTGAATTCATTGATATTGAACTAAGCGAGGCTGCCCATCCCCATGTCAGACTAGCAGCCGCTTCGCCGTTAATAATTTTTGTCACCACAGCTGACTTAGCTGAACATCCGCATGGTGCATCCGCTGGACAGTTATAAATGACACATGAAAGTGTGCTAAATTGAATTGCGAATAGAGCACTCTGTATCAGAAATAATACGACTGACTTCATTATCACACGATGCTGAAAGGCAAAGAAAGAAACCCAATATGAGAAAAAGACTCCGAGACTGGCATACTACAATCTGTAAAATATCAAAGCGTTGTTATTGTCAACATGCTCAATATGTCGCTTCTTTGATATTTTTTGCACTACTCGAATGCTCGCTGTGATTTTGGTTTCTTTTCATTAGTAGTCATACTCTATGCGAAGAGTAAATTAGTAAATAACTGACGTTTATAACGATGATTTGTCGAAAGCAAAGAATATATGAAAAATACTTTTGTTTTCTTGTATTATCATGATTTCACTCTTATCCTTCGTTCTGTTTGTCATGGACAGTAGAATATGAAAACAAATCTCTGGTAATCAATATTAGAAAACAAAAAAAAAGTATATGCTTTTGCGTTGAAATATATCTGCAAATACTGGCAAAGTTCTCTGTTTGCTCTTGTCACATGACGTACTTTTATAGATGCAAAGCGAAAGCAACATTCGACTGACAAGAAATGGAATCAACGAATGATCCTTGAGCGTGTTAGAATACTTTAATCTCACTTACAAATCAGTATAATATTTGATAAAGAGAAAGCAAAGTAAAAATAAAAACGATTCATAGTGATGGATATTCATGTTTTTCAACAACAAGAAAAATTTCTTATTCGACCAACATAGACTCGTTTGTTAACTTATCTTCATTATGTACACCTCCGGCTGGTAACAAAGGTATAGTATAATCTGTTCGTCGAGGACCAACAAACCAGTGGCGAGCAGCAAAGAACCAATAGCCTCCTGCAAGTATGAAGACCCCGGCAAAGGCGACAATAGTGTAGTTCATGTTATCAATCGTTATCGGATATCTCATTGGAAGAAACATGATGATCGACGTTAGTGTCAACCATATCGAAGAAATGACTGCAACGGGTATACCAAATACCCCTAAATTAAATTCTCCTTTAGCAAATGTTTTTCGCGCGACTGTACAGCGAAACAAAATCGGCATTAAATAAGATATTTGAAGACCAATCGTCCCGATAGCAACCAAACATAAAAATAATCCTGTAGAAAATAATTGCGATAAAACAAACAATGCATCGAGAACAAATACAAAGATGATGTTGACCAATGGTGTCTTAGTTTTTTGATATACACGACGTAGATAAGATGAGTAAGGAAACACACCATCTCGAGCCAAAGAAAATCTACATAGAAAAAAGATCATGTGAAAATTACTTTAGTAATTTCCAATAGAAACTAGTTTTTCTGTACCCAATTCGACTGCTAACTGTCATAGAAGACATTCCGCCGGCATAAAGATTTATCAGGAGAATAAAAATTAAGATCTGTGCACCAACTCCTGGTACGGCCAATTGATAAGTAGCTACAGCTAAATTCATTTTACCATTTCCTCCTTCATGATGAGCCATAAAATCTTTAACATTTGGAATGGCAAACAGCAAAGCAAATAAATAGATAGCACCAAAGACAATGCTACACAAGCATGTAGCAACAATGCCTCTTGGAACTAAGAAAAACTTATGATTGAAAACATAACTTTATTTCCTAAAACAAGACAAAACTAACCTGCTCGACTTGCATTCTGTGTTTCCTCAGCTAGATGTGCACCGCCTATATTAGCAAGTATGATTTCAATCCAGTTATATCTCAAACATCGTACGTTACCTTCATAACCGGACAATGGAAATAACGCCGAGAGAATCCCAATAAGGCATACATAAGCAAATGGAAAGCCTGTACCATTGTATGTTGATGTAAACAATTCGTAAACAGTGACTTTATGTTCACTTCCTGCATATAGCACAAACACCATTACCAATGAGGATACTATTTGAAAAATTGCTGCAATATTATTCATCCATCCATTTTGATCGATACGAAGAGCATTTTGTGCGGCGTAGAGAAACAGAGTAAAAATACCGATGGCTACTTGTACGCCATTACTCAGTGCAGGTTTATCATTAGCAATGAATACTGAACTAATGACATTGGCAAAGCCTGAAGCGTATGCAGCATCACCTAATATAAAACAAAGAGGGAATGACAGAAAGAATATTGATATCTATACTCACCGGCGACATTCCCTAGAAAGTTGATCCAACCGCATATAAAAGACATTACCGGTGCTTGTTGAATAGATACTAACTGTCCAGCCCTAATCATCGAACAGTACAGTAGTCATATATTCGAAGTATAGAGTATCTTATGACAATTACCAATGATAGACCGATCCAGCACTTGGATAGACTGATGCAATTTCTGCTAAAGACAAGCCAACAAAAACAGTAAATATAGATCCAATTATCCAAGAATACAAAGCTACTGCTGAACCTCCAGTAACCAACGTGGAAGTAAAACCTAATGTTATCGATGCTAATACATGCATGGCAGTGAAACAAAATGTAAAAGACATAAATGGTGACATTCCGCGATAGAGTTCTTGTACATAGCCCATTTCGTGAAGGAGACGTATGTCGGCATCTTCGTCTTCTTTTTTATATCTATTCGTGATAGTATCTACAGGCATTATGCAGCGATAGTTTTCTAAAAATATACCTAACTATATAGAAATAGCTTACGTATTCAGAATACATCAACTGAACTCACAGTCATTAATCCTGCATTCATCTCTCCGACAATCTTTTATCACTTGACACGCGTCAACTAATTTTTCTAACTCTGATTCGTTCTACCAGATGAAAAGAGGGTAATTTTTTTAGATGCCCTAATAGCCTTTAGTAGACTCTCGGAAAAGCAAATATTCTACTGTCAAACAGTAATCTGTAAAACATGTTTTTTGCTCTTCACACTTGATTTGGTACACGTGTTTTCACATTCTACTATCCATGCATGTCCTTGACAGCAGCGAGAAAAATTTAGATATATTCATCTATCGAAGCTTCTAACGATAGACGCAACTGACCAGTATTCACTAGACCAAAACAAAAAGTTATATGAATGATTTGACCTGTATCAATTCAGTGAATGGTCGATGTTTGTTGAATGAGTGTTTATTAGAAACGATAAAAACATGTATAATTATCGAAGAGAATGACTCATGTTATGACTGATCGGTCCATCACATAAACATTGATCCAGTGTGGGAGCCATTTTGGTTATAAAATTGTCGATTATCTTTTTCTGTTCACGTATCCAATCGATTTCACGTATTAAACTTTGCTTATGTTCAATTAATATACTCAATTGTTCTCGTTCAGTCTTGTCATGTCGCATTAGCGCAGCTATTTGCCGATTGACATCTGTATCGTACTGTCCATGTAAGATTTGCGTTTCATTGCGTGTTTCTTTACTTAAATCAAGAAGTTTTTTCAATTGATCAGTAACACGTTGCAATTCGTCCTGAAAGTATCAATATGTACGGAAGACAACAAAATATTCTTTTGGTACTACTTGAAATTTCCGTGTTGTTGAATGTTCCGATTTCGATAGAATAATTTCTGTGTCTTCGCTGATTGGTGATGCTATTTCAAGTGAATTTTCATACCGTATCATTTTAGTTCTAAGTCGTTCGACTTGTTCTAAACGACCTTTAGCCGTATTTATCATTAAACGTAAACGTGCATCTGTATTCGATTGTAAACGTATTGCTTCTTGATGACATTGAGTAAGCTTTGTCAGTGTCGTATCAAGTTTCGATCGCGTCGCAGCTAAGAGTGCTTGTTCATTTTCTAATTGTTGACTTGCATCAAGATTCTGTGATGCTAGAATTTGCATCCGATTATTAATGAATTGTTCGGCTTCGAGAAAAGACTTTTCTAACAATGACGATAACTAAAATGAGCAGATATAGAAATGGAACCGAAATGAGTGGATTTTACATGTGTAGCTTCTGCATGGAACTTTTCAGCTTGATGAACATAAACTGTCGATGATTGTTCAACATTGTGTAGACGGTGATTCATATCCATTAAGAAACGAAGTAGAGGTCGGAAAACAATCCGATTCAAAGAGAATAGAAAGAAACACAAAATTGCAATCGAGGACACGTCATCATATATACATATATGTGTTAGCCACGAATGGCTTATCGAGAGTAATGTATGTACGTACTGAATGGACAAAAGGATATGTCGCTGATGACTACCCGATATGACAAGACTAATAAGAATCTAAACTATACAGATCTGATTTCATATTGGTTACTCAAAGCGGAACAAATATTCGTCCGTCAAGCACTCAAGAGACGGATCCACTCTCGAAAATCTGAGTTTAAGTCTAGTGATATGAAAGATTTACATGAAATGCCGTTTGACAATTTTCAGAATATTTCAAGACTTTTGATAGATTCCACTATGAACAACGTCAGTCCCGAGCGAAATATCTTTACGAACTCTACAGTTCGTTGATACAAGTAAACTAATTAAGAATGAAAATGTTGATTTTATGAGGATTCTCTTTTCTTTCCGTAATATATTCCTTTGAAAACATACATCGTACACGAAAACTATTACATGAATGTAAATGAGTAATTTTTCGAAAATATTCAGCTGGTGTCTGCAAGAAGAAAATAGGTTTTTGTATCACAATAACAAGAAATCTTTTGCTGTGTTGTTTTGTACCAATGAGATGAAACCTGTAATGGCTTATTATTTACTGTATTAGAAAATAGAATTTCTTTTCAAAGATAAAAGAACGTGTTTTTTCTCGTGAATAAGAACATTTTGTGCAATGAGACGCGATTAAATGACGAAAATTTCGAAAAGACTAAGCAACGCTCCCTCAATTCAAGTTGTTCGTGTTATTAACCCATCGAAATTTGCAAGCAAGTTGCAAGATCATATCGATACTCCCATTCGATCAGTTAGTATCAACAAGAATGAACGATAGAGAACTAAATGCTTTCATTCTAGTCTGTCGACAGTTGGCTAAGTAGTGTACCAAATGAAAAACCAAAAAAAGTTTCACAAAACCCAAAGAAGATCGTAACAAAACCATCTCAAATCAAATCTGTTCCTGAGTAAATCAAAATTTGTCATTATCATCACCTATTTGCTTCTAAGTACTTTAGTAAACCGCTTTACACTCGATGTCATATAGCGATCTGTGTAGCAGTGTTCGCCGTTCTGTTCATTTGTGGAATAGTTGGCATCATCCTAGCAATCAAACTACGTCAGTCAATTTTTCATTTGTATATCCTTTTTCATCGCCAATTTTTCTTTAGAACCATCATCCGAATCAGGCAGTTCAAGTATATCGAACCCACACTGATGTGCAAACGGTTTTGTCGAAGTTTTCTTTCCATAAATCTCTTAGAAAGTAACGCATTGTTACATAATCGTTGAATTCTATACATGTATAATTGCATTCGTTGTTGTTCCTTCTGATCTGCTTGTCTGTAATCATGAATAAATATGATTAAAAAAATACTACGCCAGTCACGTATTTCTCGGGAGAATATATGTATGATTTGTCGTGTTCATTACTTCGACGGATAGATAGGGAAGTGAGTGCAGAGTGGAAATATGTTCTACGCATGCGTTCTCTTTGTTTTCATCTGCTCAATGAATGCAGTTTTGTCTTCACTTTTTCGTTCGGCAGGTAAGCAATGAAGATGATTCTTGTTTCCGTGAAAATATCCAAGTTTGCGGTATTTAGAACAATTTTCAACAAGGAAAGATTGGATTGTTGAACCTGTGAAAGTCATACCCATTGATGATGGCCAATGGCATCATCGATACAAATTCATTTCATATATGATCTATCGACAAAATGAAAATTCCTCGTTATCATTTATTCTCGATCTGAAATTAAATGAACATTTTAATCCGCATATTCCAATCGAATACGATCGAATTCCAATCAAGAGTGGCTTAACAGAATGTTTGTTCTATACTGGTTCAGTGCGCCATTGGGAAAAGTCTAAGTCAATGGTTGCAATATCTACATGCCCTAACCTAGTATGAATGTATCATTTCAAACAAAAAAGAAATGCTAAATTTTGTCTTTCTAGGCTGGATTAATTTACAATATTCAAGATGGAATCAACTACTTCTTAGAACCCGTTATTAATAGTGATAATGAAAATGGACAGTCGTATATTCTTGCATACCAAAGAAAAATTCTTTCAAATCCAAACCATCTCTGGACATGTCAAGTAAATTCTTCCTCGACGCTGAATTATTCACAGTCATCTACTGATCGAAAACGTCGTTCAGTGATTCGCGAACGGTTTATCGAAACCTTACTTGTTGCTGATGCAAGTGTCACAGAATTCTTTTCACATCCACAAATTACTGAATTGTATCTGTTGACTATGATGAATATGGTTAACACCATCTACTCACACGTCAGTCTCGGTTATCCAGTGGAAATCGTTCTTACACGAATTGTAATGCTAACAAATCAAGTAACACACCTGTTCAAAATTTAAAATATATGTTGATCTGAGAAAGTGTGCATTTAGTCGGATTTTCAAATGGCATCGAAATCACATGAAACATTGAATAGCTTCTGCGAATGGCAAGAACGATTGAAAAAGACAAAGGAGAAAAATCGGACGATCAATCATGACGTGGCAGTTTTCCTAACCAGGTTGATTGATTCTTTATTTAAGTATACATCCTTTACGCTCGTTTCTAGGAAATCTCTTTGCCATAAGAATTCCCCCTGTTCGACTATTGGTCTTGCACATACGGCTGGTATGTGTGTAGCCAATCGAAGTTGTAATATCAATCAAGATCTTGGTCTGATTTCAGCGTTTACCATAGCGCATGAGATTGGGCATAAGTAATAATACTCGACTTTTTTTTTCTTTTTATTTCTTTGATTTAGTCTGGGTATGAGCCATGATGGTGATAAAGGTCATTGTCGAGTAGACGACGGTCTACCAAATAGTGATACTATCATGGTACCAAGTTATTCCACAGCACCAGTGAGAATGTGGTCAATATGTAGTCGTGATAATCTGACAGAATTCTTCGAGTAAAATAATAGAGAATAGTGAGTTTGCTTGCAAAAGTGAATGTTGTATTTAGTCAAGGCTCAGGTGAATGTCTCAATAATAAACCCATCGTCAGTCAACCATTTGATGATATATTGCCTGGTGTCATCTTCGATCTTGATGAACAATGTCGTTTAGCATTAGGTCAACACTCAACTTATTGTTTTCTTGGTGATGAGCCAACTATTGTAAGCAAATCTTTCGAAACTTCCCAATTGTAAACGATTGATTTAGGATGTATGCCATCAAATGATGTGTACTAAAATGCATGAGGGACGATCTGTATGCGTATCAACTATGACAAATCAACCAGCTGACGGAACTCTGTGTGGTTCAAATAAAGTATTTCCGAAAACAATCATCTCTCAAAAGCATGCTCAATCTTATTTTTCAGTGGTGTTTACACGGCAGATGTACTCCAATACATTACCGTGCTGAAACTCCACCGATTAATGGTGGCTGGAGCCCATGGACACCTTGGAGCTCTTGTTCACATACGTGTGGAATAGGTGTGGAATATCAACAACGAACATGTACAAATCCGAAGTAACAACGATCTCAGTTTATTTCTAGAGAAACAAAACGCGTTTTCTTTCCGTCGTTTAGGCCAGATCTTGGCGGCAAACATTGCCTAGGCGCACGAAAAAGATTTCGAACATGTACTCTTGCAGTAAGATAATCTTTTCTTTCATACTGTTATCCAATGAAACCTGTTTCTATTGAAATAGTCCTGTAAAAAACGACCAAATGACAACAATAAGCATGAATCTCACTTAAACTGCGAAGAACTAAACTCGAAATCCAATGGAACTAAATGGAAAACTGTTTCATGGTTTAGTTCCTTACGATGTATGGTATTTTGTACACCAATACACTCGTCATTGTCTTTGAATAATGCTACGACTTCAAGCAATTCGAACATTACCTTAACAGATGACGAAGTCGGCAAAATCGAATCGATCAAGTTTCGCGATGGTACGCCATGCACAATTGAAAATTCAGATGATAGTTTCATTACATACAATGGAATATGCATCACTGGACAATGTCAAGTACGATAATCTTCTCTTTAAAATCGAAGATGAAGTAAATATCAATGTGTTTTGTTTCATAGAAATTAGGTTGCGATAATCAGTTGTACTCCAAAGCTGTGGAAGATGAATGTGGAATATGTAATGGCAACCGTAGTCATTGTCATAAAATAACCAAGACGATATCATTTAAAAGGAATCAAACTGTTTCACTAGGATCTTATATTAAAATTGGCAATATCAGCAAGGATATAAGTACATTTCAAGTAGAGAAACCATTTCAGTCAAATAGTTTTTTGGCAGTTAAAATAAAAGGTTTGTTTTATTTTCAATGTCAGATCGAGTTACTCATCCATATAATTCTATTAAGATCGATACTATCTCAATGGAAACCATTCGATCATAGGCCATAAAAACTTTCAAATCGGCCAAACTCGAATTTGGTATGAACGTGCATCGAAGAAAGAAATACTTGAAGGTCGTGGATCACCACTAACTGAACACGTGGATATTATGCTTTTAATTCTCACCAATGACGTTGTGAACATTAAATTCACTTATTGGGAATTGGTGAACTATACGCTGACAAACAAGGTCAATGCTCTTCATAAATATTATATTTGGACGTTCGAAATTGAAACATATGATGAATGTTCGTGTACGACACGTCAACCAGAATGTGTTTTTAAATCACAGCAGAATGAACTGATTGTGGTTTCAGATCAATTATGCGATGCAAAATTGAAACCTACACCGATAAAATGTCGAACTACGAACTGTTCGACAGCAATGTCTTCCGCTCCACGTTGGCAAGTGGGAGCATGGGGTCTGTGTGAAGGACGTTGTTGGCCTCAAGAAGCTATACAACGACGGAGTCTTCTATGTGTACGAACGATACCGAACAATAAAACACACACAATACCTACAAGTATATGTCTCCATTGGCTGTCATCGATTCCTCAAACGATAAGAGAATGTCCTCAAAATATGTCATCAGCAATACCGAAGTGTAGTTCGTTGAAACTGTATCATCGGTGGGATGTTAGCGAATGGACTAAGGTAAATGAGCATACGATTAGCAGATGAAGCAAAAGACGAATTTCTCTAGAACTGTTCCTCGAAAAATCCATGTGCAATGCAACATCGTCTTGTAACATGTGTTGCACCTGATATCAATGCAATTTGTACAGCAGATGAAAAATTAAAACCACCTAATCGACGACCATGTAGCGCTCTATGTGGTCAATGGACTGTTTCACATTGGTCAGAAAATGTGAGTATAGCTTTTCTTAATGTTCTCAAGTCACGTTTTATTTATGAAATTATATCAGCATAACGTCTCTACTCACCACACGATAATGAGTATGGCATACTTAACAAAATTCATGAAATTCGCTATCATTAGATCGCAGAATGAAACTTGTTAAGCATTAACCTTTAATCTTTGTTTTGTCTTTTGAAGTGTACAGGAACATGTAGCAATGCAACAGTAACACGACGAGTGTCATGTTCTTCATCCATCTGCAACCAAAACGAACGACCATTATCAACACGTCGTTGTATACCATCGTATTGTACAAATGAATCAATTCATAAACAAATAAACATCACAACGACAATTCAATCTACTACTGTATCAATACAAAAGAAGTTGCCAAAGATCACAACTAAACATGTGGAAAAGACAAGTACGCCGACTACGAAATCTCGAGTACAGAAACCGATTACTACCACGCCCAAACCGCTTCCTGTAACAAAAGTAATCCGTACACAACCAACAACTACAAAGAAAAAGACTACATCAGCAACAAAAATAACTACAATTATCACGAAAAAACTTGTTACGACGACAAGTCGTAAAACAACCAATAAGAAAACTCGTGGCCGTAATAGTTGATTCGACTAAAAATAAACATTACTTGTACTTTATTAGTCTTACTGAAGTCTTTTAATAAATAAATTAACCGAGACATTACTCATATGCAGAGTCTAATTTTCGAATAAAATATTTTTAGTTCTTAAATTTTGTACTCGGTTCAATATTGCATTAACATTAATACTAAGCAATATCCTTCACTACACATTCATCCATCTTCATACCTGAAGCGGTCACTTTGACCACTCGTTTTCTGATTGAGACATTAAAGAAAGCTGTTCTTATTTTGTAATTGACACGCATCAAACATTCATACATAGAAGAAATGATTTTGTGAAACTCCATCTCGATAGAATCATGAGTAGACAAGCGATATATTGCCTTCAAAGTATTGTTATCCTATGAATAAATAACTATGCGAACCGCTAAAGATATCAAGATGTTGGTATTAAATATAATCGCTAAAGTCATGGTATAATTTCAGTGGTATGAAATATTCCTTCGCATTTGTGATTAAAATTTCATGCACTTTAGGATCCCGAAGAAAACGGCGTAGAACAACTAACCTTTCCCGAACAACACCTGGCTGATACGGACAATCATGAGTTTTTCAAAGAAGGAGAAAGAAAAGAGGCTCTCATTTATTCATTTTTATTGTATTTAAACGCCTCATTCTAACAATACTTACAGTTAGATTCTATTATATCACTATCAATGTCTGCAATAGTTTCAATCACTTTCTCTTTATTGATCTGTTATGTCACACTACTTTCCACTAACGGATTACCGGTCATGTCCATGAGTGATATCATCGACGACAAGAAAATATTCCTTCGGCCCCAGACCATCGATCAAGCAGTGGACAAGATCATTGAAGATAACTCACCAACATTACCCGATATTCGACGACGTAACGTGTTAATGCCGCGTATCTGCTACTTTTCGCGTGTCACAGCAACGGGTATTCATCAGAAATTATGTCTGCCTTATAATGATAAACGTTGATTTTCTATTAAACGACCAGCAAAGAAACAATAAATTGTAATCCATATATCCTAAAATCATTTATTTCTGTTGCTGTATGCTACGATTTACGAGATAAATTTTGTTTTCAAGCTTTAGTTCTATTGTCATTATCATTACCATGAGAAAAAGCCGAGCAGAAGATGATTTTATGTGTATACAGTTGTTTTCTTTGCAAAAAAAAGCAAATAAAAATACAGTCATTTTCAGTTTTTTCGATATAAAAAATTGAGATCAGATAATGATAAAAGCAAACTGCAAGTTTTACGAAGTTATCAACTCAATTGCGATATTACGCTGCGAGTTGATGATATCGAACGGCATATCACTTACATATGTGCATGACTTCAAGAAAAAGCAACTGTTGTACTTATGAATATCTCATAGCTATAGCTAAAATTCAAATGAACAAAGATGAAAGTATCGTCATCTGCGAAGTAGTTCATAGAATACTGACAAGATCGCAAACAGATTAAATATTAATGATTAATAACGTCATTCTCATTAAAAATACTTCGAGAATGTTACCAACTTCCTCTATCCATGAATGATGTAGGTGCATTTGATCCTTGTTTTATGTGTTCACATCTTTGAAGATGCTGAGAGTGTAACGAGCAAAATTTAAAGGCTTTGGAAAGCTGTCTATCACAAGAACGGTTATTGTGATTTCGAAATTACTCGGCATACCGTTGGTACTCTTTAACAATGTCTCGATCTTCAACCTACAGCTGTCGTAGACTATACAGACATTAGGCGGTGTTTTTGTACTAGTGTGATCATTGTAACTAAACTTGTTTGCATACAAAATACAGTTTCTAAGTTTTCTCATGGATGTTTTCGTACAGATAAGCTTATATGTACCTTTTGAGAAAGTGAACAGCTCATATTCTGATATGCGGAGTAAATGATTATTTCTATACACTAGAGAGTACATCTACTACTTTGAAATCTTCATGCGTCAATGTCGTTTACGTTGAAAACTAGGCTCCAGTCAGCCGAAAAATAAATCTTTTTAAAAGAACACATTTGCAAATGAGGCTGTATAGCAAAATTATGAGTGACAACTATCATCCTAGTGACAGTTTCCTACAATTTCCTGATGATTTTCAGCATAGTTCTAAAAAATATTCTTTTCACAAAACGCCGTATTCAAATATCATATTCATATCGTTACTAAATGATTCAAGAGATGAATAACAAAGTAGCTCCAATTGATTCCGTTCATCATCAAGCATGGAAACCTGAACAACGAGCACCTCGACGTCGTTCTATTATTCGCGAATTCGCTTTGAATACCTCAACACATGGTCTACCTGGTATTGCTCGCAGCGAGAGTAAACATAATTGTCTCTTTTGGGCAGTTTCATTTTTTATCTTTCTTGGTATTATGACGTTTTTTATTACACAATCGATCCGAGATTATTTTTCGTATCCAACGCAGACAACTTTATCCTATGTTGTTGAACGATCGCAAGCATTTCCTGCAGTTACATTTTGTAATTATATGCCAGCTCGGTATGATTATTTAATCATGGATGCCATTAATTATACCAATTCTCTCGGCATAACCAACACCAGCGATACAACTACTTTCACTATAAGTCAAGCAATTGCTATACGAGAATTTCTACGATACAAACTGGATGCTAATCAGTCAATAACTGAATATTTCTTCAGCATCGATTCAATGTTGATAAGCTGCACTTATAACAATCAGCAATGTACATCAAGCGATTTTATTACATTTTTATCTTCTCATTATGGGTCTTGTTACACGTTCAATGCAAAATTGAAAAATACTTCTCGTACTGGTATTCGCTACACAAGCGATAATGGCGGTGTAGGCCAACTTAAATTACGTCTGTATGCTCATAGTCATCTCTATGTTCCATACATAATTGAAGGTTTGTTTTCGAAAAACTTTGTATCGCTAGAGCACACCCTCTGTTTCATTGTGCTTAAATAGAAGTGTCTGCTGGAATGGTGATAATGATACATGATAACACACAGTTTCCTCAGATTGATGTTAGTGGCATGAACCTGGCGCCTGGATTTAAACATCAGCTGAATTACAGAAAAAAAGCCAATTATTTCCTATCGGCGCCGTATACAGACTGTACGGATAAGATCCCTCTAGCTATGAAAGCTATGTTTGATCGATATGAAGGTGCCTACTATGCTTATTCTCAAACTGCGTGCTTTACACTATGTGTTCAAGCTTATATGTAAGTAGGGTTACCTATCGATGTCTCATGTGCTTTTGTGTTAGTTATCAGGAATGCGGATGTGTTAGTCCTGTTGAATGGTCTGCCCGTTCTGTAGTTGTACCTGACACAAATAGGATTGTTCTAGCCTCACTGTGTGCAACGGAAAATCCTTGTTACACAGAAGCTTCTATTCGACTTTCCAATTCTACTGATCTTTGGAATCAATTCTGTTCGGATTGTACTCAGGAATGTACGAAGATTGAATACCTTGTTACACCATCGCTATCAAAAGCACCTTCGACATATTTCGCCTATATTACTAAGGCATTTGTTGAAGCTAGCTCGGTACCATTACCAACCAATTGGTCGAAGAATTGGATGACTGAAGTTGAAGAGAATTTTATTTCAGTTGAGATCATGTGTGGATCAATTCAAGTTGAAAATTATACTCAAGAAGCATCTCTCAATGCAGCGGATGTTCTCTCAAATGTTGGCGGCCTTTCAGGATTATGGATCGGTGTTAGTTTTCTATCTATAATGGAGTTCGTTGAAATGCTCTATCGTCTTCTTAGACGTCAATATCAGATCTTTCGTTACGGAGCATGAAATAACTTCTATTCAATCCGAATTCACTGAATATTTATATGTAATTGCACACCATTCTTTCACTATCAAACTTATATAAATTTTTTTTTCATATCACAAAGACTTACTAAGTACTCGATCTACATATCTTTATTTAGTTTATCCTTATTTCCCGGAAAAAAAATATACACTTTTATAAAAAGAAAAAGAAAAAGAACAATTGAAAGTCTGAATATCATATCACTGTTTTACGGTTTATGTGGCATATCATGTGGATGCGTATTTCCATGAACTTCTGGTGTGTATGTGAATAATACAATCAACGTCCATAAATGAAGTAGTATAGCATAGAAAATTACACCTAATCGAACAGCTGGATAACGTTTCAAGAAGATTCCCAGACGAATTCCTAGTTTATCCAGTTCATTTGCAGCTCGTTTCACTTTTTTTGCGATATCTGGATCATACGGTGTTTCACGTAACAACGGTATGCGATAACGTAACGATTCGTCGTGCTCATTGTCATACATACCGGTATTATCCATGTCGATAGCAATGGACGCTGTTGTGTTGAGATGACGTTTTGATGATTGTTGGTGAGCATGAATTGAGTTCGGTGTAGTTGAAGAAATCTTCTCATAATCATCTAAACGTTTCTCTAATCGTTCCAATTGCATCGTCAATGAACTCTTATCTGTTTGTAATGTTTCAATAATTGTTTGTTTATGTATCAAAGATTCGGTTAATGTTTGTAAACGTTTTTCTAATTCATCATCATTGACATGATTGATAGTTTTGGCTGTTAGTTGTAAACGAAGGCGCTCTAATTCTCGTTCACGTTCGTTTAACTGTGTTGAATGAGTTTGCTTTTGTTTGTGTAGTTCATCATGTGTATAAGCCAGTTCTTGCTTTAATCGACGATAATCTTGTTCAGCTAAGGTTAAACGCGAACGTTCTTCTTTCAATTGATCATTTAAATGATTTGTTTGTTCGTGCAGTTGTTCATCAGCTTGGTGCATAAGTAATTCTGCATCTTGAAGTTCACTTCGCAGTGTATGGATAATTAACTCTCGTGATTGTAATTCTTGTTTGAATAACTCATTTTCAGCTTTGATTTCTTCATATTGAGCGAACGCCCAGTTCGACGAGGTTGCAGATGACGATCCTGGAGAACTACCAACAAGGTTAACATTCAGGAGAGAAGAATCGTCGCTAGTATTAAGTGTGTCCATGTCTACGAAACAAATCAAATCTTGGCAATACTAACTAATAGAGAAGAACGCTTACCTTGTTGATCTCCACTAGTGGGTACACTGTTTTTATGCTGAATGATTTCTTTCAGTTTATTGATTAATTTATCTTTTGTTTGCAAAATTCGCTGAGCTTTAGCTTTATATTCATTCATATCTTGTTCTATTTGATGTGTTAAATTTTTCGCATGTTTTGTTTGTTGCTGCTGTTCAAGAATTTGTAAACGTTCATCGTTCAAGCGTTTCTCCAACGATTTTATTTGTTCCAGAAGTTGCTGTCGTTCATCGCTTGATCGTTTTTCGAAAAGTTGTTTTTCTTCGATTAAACGTTCATTTTCATTTGTACGTTGTTGTAATTCTTGTTCGAAGTGTGTTATGCGTGATTGTAAGGAATCGAATGCTTGAGATTGAATACCGGAAGCATCCGTATGGTCTTGTAAGATACGTGCACATTGATTTTGTAATTGTTCGCATTGCAATGTTTTAGTTTTGACTTTTTCGTCAGATTCATTTAGACGAACGCGAAGTAGAGCAATTTGAGAATCTTTTGCAGCTAACGCTTCATGAGAATCGGTCTCACGTGAACGTAAATCGCGTAGTAGTGCATCAGATTCAGCAATTTGATGTTGATATTGAACTTGTTGACGTTTGTATATTTCCAAATCGTGCTCATACTTTCCTTTATCGCGCATCAAGGTTTGAATTTCACTTTGAAGTGAAGCAATCACTTCGTCTTTCAAATTCGAAGATGGATGCGAGTTAATTTCGAAATTCGCGGAATTATTATCATCACTGGACGCGTCTTTTACCGAGGGTACATTCTAGGAAAACAAAACAAATCAAATTCGATGGTATTTGTCGCCTTTAAACTTACAAGAACTAAATCTTCATTGTCATCATCGTCGTTGTGGAAAGAAACGGCGGGTGTGGTCGATCGTGGTGTAACGGTGGCTGATTTGGAGGAAGTCAATTCAGCGGATTCAGATGCTTCATCTGCAATCAAATTAGGTGTACTAGCAGTACGTGCTGACTCGCTCAGAAGGTTATTTGATGTCGTTTTACGGATTGATTTATTCACTGGTGTGGAACTATTCAGGTAATCAATGAGATCGACATCATCATTTTTCTTTGGACGACGTGTGCCAGTAGTTGATCGTGTCGACGAGTTACCTTCTCGAGTTGATTTGTTCGGTAAGTTTACTGTCGAAGAGTCCATTACTGGGTTGTCGTTTGATTGTTGTGACCGAACGCCGTGCTGATTGATAGTTGCATTTGCTTGTTGATCGACTCGATTGAGAATATCTTCTGCTTGTTTTAATAGCCAAGACATTTTGAGAATGCTTCTACTCGATATGGATCAAAGACAATGAAAACAAAACTATGTGAGCAAAGAAAGTGCCACATAACAGAACAGCACATCATGATTCATCCAAACTAAACTGAAGCAACTAGAACATACCCAATCATCAAGCGAGAAATAGATGTCTCTTCTATGTATCGAATTACCATGATGTCAATAGATCGAGATTCTGATTGAATATTCAGCAGCAAAAATGAGTTCTTTATTCGAAACAAGAAAAAAAAGCTGGAATTAAACATCAATTCGCACAGTAACTGTTCGATCGCTGACGAAATCCAATCCATTGATATTCAAAACAATATTTGACATCCGTTTATTTTCAATCCAACAGGTTGAACCAGATGATAGAGGACATTGAAATATAACTTCCGTCAAGCAAACTAAAGTCAGTAAACGTAGATTATCATCAGCGATTTGTTCGTGTCGTTGACATGATAATTTATCCATAGCGAAAAACGTATGAACGTTATTCGAATGATCTGGATGATCGATCGATATCTTTGCTTGTTGAACAATACCATCGATATGTTGGTTATATAATCGTAAATCACTATTAGAATTGTAGTAAATCGTTGTTTCGAATGCTAATGAAAGTTGTGTACCGTTTTGGATCGATGGTTGTTTTCGAAATGAAAACGGTTTCGTACCATTGAACCATTGAAATGAGTTTGTTATGCGCACAATGATCAATCCTAATGCAGAACTGAATTTGTCATCTGTATACACATAAATCCCTGCCGTGTTTGATTCAATTTCTCGTGTTAATAATGCTTCATAGCATGAATCGTAGATATTAGCCGATGACGATGGAATTATGATATTTTCGAAAAGATAACAATCAACTCGTTTATTTATATTTTGTTTAAATATATGTCGGTTCTGGTATGTACTAACATCTCGAGTGTTGAATAAAGGAATCTCCATTGAGTCGCCTAGTTCGACAACTGTGATGAATGGTTCATCAGTACTTTGATTGATTTGTGAAACGGCATCGAGCCAAGCTTGACTTTCTTTTGACGATAAAATTGATAGATCAGTGCGAACCCAATGAATAGAACAGCTAACTACATATAGAAGAAGAAATACGACCGGTATCATCGTGATGTATTAGCTTTTAAAAATGAATATGATTTTTTTTCTGTGACAAAGAAAGATTTTTTTCAATCTACGTGTTTTTAGATATTTGATACATCGATTAAACTCGATGATAGATGAGTCTGAAATCAATACAATACGATCTAATTGTTATGTGAAAATAAATCAATATATTCTTTTAACTGTAAATGTACATTGGTATGACCAGATTAATACACTAAGTTCATATGAAAAAGAAAACACAACAAAACCTAATCGCTTGTCAGAGGCGACAATTCCGGTAAAGTACATTGGTGTATCACACTTTGGATATCTGCAATAGACCGATATCGAGAACTAGTTGAAGTGCTCGGAACAACACTGGGGTCTGATGATCGAATGGATACCGAACTACTGCAATGCGATGAGTGTCTGCATGTAAAGATGTGTTTTATCCGAGAATAATGAGGTCGTCGTTTTCTAAAACTACACATGAAATAAATTTAATGTGAGCATAGTTCGTTCACTGATAAAATACTCACAAAATGATAAGAACAATTGTTATTACGAGTATTACGAGAACACAGATGAAAAAGATGGAAACTATTTCGTAACCAGGAAGCCAATCTGGAATGAAAATAGGAATGCCTTTCACGGAGAAGGAGGATTTTGTGAAGTATCTTACGAAATAGACTGTTCGTGGAAATAGTTTGACATTGTTCAATACCTTCAGGATCGGATTGTGTCTGTCGACATTTCATACATATACGATATATTGTTTTGGGACGAAGATTAACAATATTATATGGACTCTTATTCGGTTCATGTACTGTCCATGTCTAAATGCAGATAATTCGAAACACATATGGTTGATTCATGCAGAAAAGTCTTTTGTTTACCCGATTTACACTGGAAACTAAATTTTGCATCACGCTCTTTTCACAAAATACTGGGGGATTTATCGGCTCAACATTCATTCTAATCGTGTTCGATGATACAGTCTGTAAGCTGAATCTCGGTGTTATTTGGAAGACTAAATAGAAACAGTCTTAACTTGGAAATTTCCAAATTCTGTGTAAATTACTTGGCGTCATGTCGAAGTAATAGGACGAATCTTCGATGTGTGGTAGAAATGCTTTCATGTGCATCCGGACTCCGTTTGGAAATTCACCGTCAATAGTTGGTTGCCATTTGAATGTCAGATTATCCTTTGTAGATTCGTTTTTTAAAAATTCGAATCGCGGTCGATAGGCTAAACGATCTGGTCTATCAAAGAAGAAGAAACAAAGATGCGTCGTAAGTCGATGTGAATATTTCTAACTTACGAATGCGCCATTTCGGTAAATTCGAATTTAACGGGATAATCATTTTGAACAGCGCGTGCAATCGTTGATGCTCGAATTACACATTTGATATATTGTCTATCGTAGACGCGGCATTTTTCGGCGAGCTGAAGCACACCTGGTGGAGCTGTAATATACGTTTGAAGCATTTCTTTTATCACAATCGCATGTAGATAAATATATATATATATATGTAGGAGAGAAAGAGAGATAGAGAAAAGTCTGTGCGATATTCACTATGGCGAGAATGATATCAGTGAAAAAATGTTCTCATTTCTTTACCTGTAACAATAATATCGGCACGAATGCCTTTACTCTGTTCGCCTTTCGCATAACACAACAAATGAAAGACGCCGACGTAGTTTCTCGATTCGAGTCGAATATGAATGGCTGATTGGTTCAAGATACTCGTGAACAATTGTATTTCATTAGTTGGTATTACTTTTGATAAATTCACTTCCAATGGTGAATCACTTGGTCGATGATTAAAACATGTAAAATTCGTCGTACTAGTGTGGTTGATGATTTTGAAATCGGGTACTGAAAGGTGAGAAGACCGAAATTTAGGAATGATGGCCAAAGTCATCATACTTATTTGTATATTCGATGGCCGAAAGTCTGTGGTTGTCGTCATCTGAGCTAGACTCGAACGAATGGCAACGAACAAAGTAACAATAAGGAGAATATAAGATCGTTTCTTCCAAATCGACATTATTCTTTATGAAAGAGAAACTAAAATGAAAGCATACATTGCACTTCTGTAGCTACCTTCAATACTTTTTAGTGGAAGTCGTACGAAGAATAGAATGAAACGTGAATAGAAAACGAATAAAAGAACTATGAAAAAACGACTGCCGTGCGATTTGATTTTTTGTTTTTCAAATGAATTCTAGTTGAGCTAAACTGCAACTGTACATTAAGAGAATAACAATCATCTTATCAAGATTAGTTGTTGAATTGTCGCCGAAACAGTCTCTTATCATCGGCGAAAAGAAAAAAATTATCCACACATCATGCCAAGACTCAGCATGAGTAAGGTATTTGCCTGGCACGGAAGAGCAGAACAGAAAAAAAATTTCTCTCTACTTCAAATGAAGAGAAAAGTATACACGAACGAAGTTTATTCCGACATACACCTGTCCACGTTAATGTCAATCTCACAGGCGTAACTCATATAACAAACAAATTTTTTTCTAAAATAACATTTATTCAAGAACGTGTTACTTTACTGATACTCTTGCATTGTGCATTACCTGACTGAATGAATTGTACACGTCAAGAACGAAATACTTCTTGTAGAAGAAGGAGAACTAATTTACGTAATCAAATTCATCAGAGTGAAGATTTTTCTGTGTTTCTTCTTTCACAATGTAAAGAAGTTTAATAGCCTTGAAAATGTTCTCTCATTTAAAAGAGAAACTAATATAATTGAATAAGGGCTCCTTTCTTTCTTTCTTCACATCCTTGGAAAAAAGGAAAAAAAAGAGTCTTTTAATCAGTTTGAACGCATCGAAGAAAGCTATGCTAAATCAAATATAAAATCATTTGACTTCTTCATGCGAAGACACGATCGTTATTTGTCAGCACGGATCATTCACCAACTACGCCAGTCACCTACAATAGAATTAGAGGAAAGTGCAATTCATATTGACAAAAAAATATTACCATCGGCACAATGAGAGGAACAGAACTTTGACGAGCGATAATTACATTGTCAGATTTTCTCTAAATATGTATCAAATAGTCAACAAATTCAACCTCTCTTTTTCTTTCTTACGCAAATAGATGATTGTTTAGTATTTCCTTTAAGCCAATTCCATTTTCTCTTTTTGAAGAATCTTTACAGGAGAAGAAGAAGAAGTAAAAATTTGTTTTGCAATAAGTTCATTTGTATGCAAAAATACTTACGCGAAGAGGACATAAATCAGTATCACACATAGGAGAAGACCACATGATGCGATCAGCCAAACCCAATTTTTATGGAATATTTTGGAAGAAAAATCTTGGAGAATATTAGACAATTTCGAAGTTTTGTACTGATGACAGACAAGATCGCTAATTGTATCGATTGGTTGCTTACGGTAACAGTAAAAACATATTCGATACCAAGTGTCGGGAGATAAACTAGTGAGGTCAAGACTTGTGCTATTCGTTTCATGAATCAATCGAATTTCTTCTTCCTACAGCGAAGAGAAACTCAGAAATGTCAACAAATAAAGTTGCTTCATCATTACATTCGAATTGACACTGTTTTTCATTGTAATATTTCCGTAGCAGAAAGACACGAACTGGGATTCTCGATGAGTAAATTCTATTTTTAATGTGATCGGTGTACTGTTGACAAGGTTGAAGTTCGATGTGATTCGAAAGACTATATTTATTAAAAAAAAAGAATAGAATGTGAGGTTTCGTATGAAAAAATAGCTTATACTTGGCGTCATGTCCATCAAGTAAGTCGATGAACCGAAAGGTTGTATAGTTGCCGTCACATTCATTTTCAATTTTGATGGAAAATAATAAGAAAATTCAGGAAGCCATCGATATGTTATTGTTTGATTGAGAAGATCGATTGACACTAATTTTGGAGATGGTCGATAGATTCTCGGTCGGGAACTAATCCAATCGAAAAACAAAGCTATCTGTTTATTAGGTATGAAAAATAAATTCTCTACGTACAACAGAGGCCGTTCAAAAAAGTCTATTCTACTCGATAAATGATTTGTAAACGCACGAACAAAGACCGGGGCGATGATTGTGCATTCAATATATCTATCATAGTGCACAACGCAACGTTTATGGCGCATCAATAGCCCAGGTGGTTCTGAAAGTAGACAAGTTCCGCATGAATGTAGGTTCATGTCTCTCTTACTGCCAATAGAAACATTCGAGCGCGCGTTTATATGTTGTTTTCCTTCAACCGAACAAATCACGGTGAATGCGCCAATGTAATCAAATGCTCGTAGAATGATTTTAACAGATGTATTATTGAAATAGTTCATTGATATTCGTACATAAGCCTCAGATATATTCGCCGATAGACTGACTTCGAACATCAAACCATCGTCCTGCTGTTTTGTGCAGAAGAGATTCACTGAATCTGTGGCGTTTAATATAACTAGTTTAGGTTCTATCAAATAGAAATGAAAAGTATGTCGCTTTCACGATTAAAATCGAACTAATTAGCGAAAAATCTCACCCAAATGAATACTTGATGAACGACATGAATTAAATTGGACAGAAAGTACTGAGAGAAATAAGTAAATGGAGAATAAGGTCATCGTCAGAAAGTCGTTTCTTAATGAAATATATAAATATTCTAGTGTGAGAAAACACACGTTCGCATATTGCCTCCAAGTTGTAAAACAAAGAGACCGAGTTGTTTTTTTTTCTCTCTTTAAAAACGTATATACGCTGAGTTTGATTCACTTTACTCAATTTGAAAAGGAATGTACGTTTCGCGCATGATTCAAGAGCAATACAGACGATTATTTATAAATGAAATCAGCGTGTGGAAGAAATTTCTTTACCAAACCAAAAACTTCCCGACTGTGTTCGTGTTTATTTTTCTTGACAAAAAAAAACTTCACGTGTAATAATCGGTTTGAAAAAAGTTCCCTTTCATCAAACAGAACAAACAGAAATTTATTATTTATTTGCATTCTATTGGACCCGAACTTATTCCAAAATATCACTTCACTTGTTTTGGCGTCAGAACAAAGTTTCTACCGATATTCATTAATAAATAAAAAGTCAGTTGTCATGAAATAGAGCTGAACGAAACTATGATTAAATATAAGAAACACGTGTATATAATGTATCTTTATTTCACTTGTATTAATAAAGATATGCTTATCAACATGTTTGTTTGCTGGAGATTTATAATCGTGTCATGAGTGTTTCTTTTCATTTTCTTCTTTTCACTGAAATATAATACTGGATATGGAGGCATATCAACATCAATATGATTTTCCAGTTGAAGAGGCTGTTAGTAAATGGCACGCATTAACAAAAGACGATGGTCTTCTTCTTGAACAAGAATTTAAAGTATATTGTTTATCGTATTTGTGATGCGAACTAGGCATTTCTTCGTGTAAGGCTCTTCGTCGGATGGATACCAATCGAATAACGATTGCCACGAATCCAATCAATAAATCTAAGAATCGTTATGCATCCGTTTATCCATGTACGACTTGCATGAACGAAAAAAGAAACGATTTGATGGCTTCTATTTTAGATGACGAAGGTTTTTGTCGTGTACGGTTAAAAACCGATTCGGAAGAGGCGTCAGATCAATCGTCGGATTACATAAATGCATCAATCGTTCGTTGTATTCGTCCGGTATGAACTAGATTGCAAGTTTCGAGTTGAAATTTCGAGTTTAGGAACATATTTCTAAAACGACTACCTCACGAATATTTTTCGCAGCTCAAGGTCAGAATGATCACTCAAACACGTCTGCATATCAATACTTAATTTTAGGACCAACCGAACATACACTTGATGATTTCATTCGAATGATTTTCGAACACGAAATTTCCGTCATTGTCATGTTTTCATATACATACGATCCCATAACATGTACTTATGCAGTTAGTTCACTTGATTTTCTTTCCGAAATGTTTGTATTTGATCGCAAATTTAGGAAGAACATGCAGCTTACTTTTCGGACAAAGTCAATTCTGTTATCGAAACCGAACACTTTCGAATTCGAACAACACTAATCATCCCTGCTTATCGTTATATCGGCCGACGATTACGGATTAAATCCAAAGTAGCATCCGCTGCAACTCAAAAGCTTTACATGTCACCGAGTTTTCTTTCTAGCTAACGAAGAAAGTTCACGAATGTGAACAATTTCACTATCCGCATTTTATTGATAAAGGTACTCCACCAGATTGCCATTCCATGATTGGTCTAGTAATGAGATTACGTGAACAAAATAACCGGCAACAATCGATGCTCGTTCATTGCAGGTTGACTCTCATTGTAACTTACGCGTTTCAATCATGATCAAAGAATACTATTTTTTAGCGCAGGAATCGGCCGAACAGGTGTTTTTATAGCATTGTATTACTTGATAAGTGATTTTGAAAAGCATCAAATGCTAAATGTAAAACAATTAGTTGACACAATACGTTTTTATCGACCACATCTCGTTCAAACAGTCGTATGTGTTTCATCATTCGAACTTTTCATCTATGTGGTATTCTCTCTTTTAGGCACAATATGAATATATCTATCGATGTTTAGCGGAAGTTGCTATACATCCATGCGATGGTCGACCCGTAGATGAATTTATTGAACATGTTAAAAAGTCATTTTCACAAGGACAGTTAAGAAACGATGATATTCATTCTGATTATACGGTAAACTTGCCGATCATAGATGATATGCTTTCCATAATGTTGCTCTCTGTAATAGAACAGAAACAATTCCATTCATCCAGCTGCATATTTTACAATAACCACTGCTCGACAATATCCGAGTTACAATCAAGATGAACGTTTTCTTCCTTGTAGGATTTCATATTGTTGATTAATGCCGAAGGAACATTCACTTGTTTAGATGATCAAAACCGTGTGATACTACATTCACCTAGTGAATCAATGTATCTTAATGCATCTACCCTGCCAGTAAGATTCAGAATGTTGAGTTGATATAGCGAAGAACATTTTATTAACATTTCAGAATGTGATCACAACAAGAGGGACGATTTTAACCCAGGAGCCAACGGAATCAACCCTACAGCCATTTTTTGCTATGTTACTACAAGAACATAAAAAGATGGTAGTCGTTGCTGAACAAGTATGCTTATATTCTATTTCTCTACAAGCATTTGTTACAATTGATTCTAGATGCAACCATCGAACTACACTGCATCAGCATTCGTTGGTTCAGAGGAAATTCAAGTAAATATCTCACAAACAAAGCCATCGAAGCATGAACTTAGTAATTATCATCGTTTATATAGAATCCAAGTTAACCAAGTAGATTGATCTGTAAAAACTTCATAGAATAGAAAGATACCGTTCTTCTTCTTCTCTAAAGGGTCTCGTACGACAATCAGAGATATTAATTTTTGAATTCACTGGTGGATGGACAGACGATGGAAAATGTACACCGAAGAATCTGGAACAATTTGTTCGATTTGTCGATCGATCAATTTGCTATCAAAAGAAAATCAATCCAAATCGACTGGGTCTTGTTGTTCATGATCGGTAAGCGAAGTGACGCCAAACGATGACATTTCAATGTTACAGTCGTTCGCACTTTTTTCTACACACTCTAAGTTGAAGTGAAACTTAGATTTTATTTGAACAGAATGATTTAGTGCAGAAAATTTTTCTTCTAGTGTCGGTGGTACTAAAGCAGCATTCTATTGCATCGTACAGAATATTCTCGATCGTTTGCTAATTGATGGTCGTGTAGCTATCGAAAATTTCGTTACACACATTTGTCAACAACGAATGAATGCATTGGTCTCACTTGTGAGTATACACATTGACTTACACAGACCTGGGAAAGTATTAATATTTCTTTTAGGAACAATACATTGCCCTGCACGAAATTGTCTGTATTTGGAACACTTTGAAAAAGCGAGGTGCTCTCACATGTATTCCGAATAGCGAACAAGTTTAAGTTCATTCAGAATTATTTTCTATTCTAATAAAAGAAAACGAATGATGACCAGTGGCGTCTTCTTTCGAATATGGACTCATCTTATTGGTCAATTAGCGCTTTTTGAGGGAACAAAGAAGCACAGAACGAATCTTTCCGTAGTAGACAGAGCATTGACTGGATTGAAACATGTCTGAGTTGAAACGTCTGTTTGCATCGGTAGAAAACGCTGAACTAGCTTATCGTGTTCAGATCGATGAGGAACACTCTTCGATCGTCAATCAATTACATGCACTCAGTGCACATAGTCATATGGTTAAACATAAATATTTGACAACCATGAAGGATACATTTGCTGGTCAGTTGCTTATTGCGGAAATACAGCTTTGATTGTAGAGAAATTTTCTTTTCTGTTTTTCAGCAAATCTCGCCCGATATCGCGACGAAGATCTTCGTGTGCGCAGTGCAAATCTAATCAGTTAGTAGATCGACCAATTCCCGAAATGAATCTTCTTTATTTCTTTTCGCAGAAGAGAAAACCATTCAAGTTAAATGGCCGTTAATCAACAATGTGAATGAAAAACAAAATGAGAATTTTGCAGCGTTAGAACAACTCAAAACTACCGACAACGAAAGTCATATTCCACCACCGTTGGTTATCAATAATAATCAAGTGCATCTCATCGATAACTTTGACTTAATTAAGCAACGGTATTCATCACTAGCTGATTTCAATCTATCACGGGGTATAATCACATTGTTTTTCGTTGTTTGACTCGTCTATTTCCAATGATTAGATGGTAAACAATTACAAATCACGTTCAAACCACACGGTATATTTGTTGTATTCGAAACCACCATCAATGGTCGAAATGGCGAAGGTTGGAAGAGTAAGTTGTTGTTTCGTAAGGGTTGGTAAACTTATTGATAAGTCGTTCGTGTAGTTATAGACTCAATGCCAAGTCTTCCATCATTTAATCAACTGAATACGATGATTCGACAGGGCAACCAACTAACAGCTGAACATTTATGTCTCATACGAGCTTGTTTACTTAAACAACAAGAAATAATACAATGATTATCTGAAATTCTCCTCTTTTCACATGTACAATGAACCAAAAACGAATAAATACGATATTTTAATCGAATTTTGTGTAAATAAAATCTAGGTCACGATATAGATACTATTCATATCTTCTGTTCATGTGAAAAATAAGTGCGAAATACGTTATTTTTGTCACGCTTCCATTTAAGATAAACAGGCTACTAACCATATAATTAGTTTTTTTTTCTACTTTTTGCTCGTAGGAAAAGATCGTCAGAATACTTTTTCTAAATCCAGGTGGTTTCTCTGGAGAGTTGTATTTTCATTACGGTATGTATACTAAAGTGACATCTAGCACACAGTATTACAATTAATAAAGAAAACATGAACGTCATCGGTATTAATTTTAATTTTTGTTTTCTTTTTTTTTCATACGAATGCGAGTTAGACGTCTTTAGTTGATTTAACAGAGAATTCTTTTGAATTCTTCTTGTTAAACAACAGAACAGCAACATTGCGACGATGTTTTAATCCGATCAGTTGGATATTATAGACATCGTCATGAGTTATGTCAAGTAAAACAGCGAGTCGTTGTTAAAAGTGCACGAGAAAACAATTTCTCAAACCAATAAGAAAACAGCGTAATGAGCATACTCGGATGAATTCAGCAAAAGAAAAATATAAAAAGAGGAGGAAAAAGAGGAACGCTCTATGTCGGGCTGATGTATTGCTGGAAAAGAATGGAAGAAAAACTGAAAAAAAGCACGTACAGAACAAAAAAAAAGCTGGAAGCAGAAAGAGGAAGGAGGACGAAAGAATCGACAGAAAGTAGCAGAAGCACACAAAAGATTACCACGCAGCACACATGACGGAACCAGTAGCATCAATGTCAAATGACGAGGACGAACCTCTTCTGAATACTGTTGTAGCAGAGAATTCAACAGCTCCTACCGGTAACCGTCGATGTCCAACATGTCAAGGTACAGGCTCAGTTTCAGCATCGTCGGGTCTTGTTGCTCTAATTCCTGTTGATGATGTTCGTTTGAAACGACGACATACATTTCTATGGATTATATTAACAATTTTCTTTTGCACTCTCGCTGCTTTGGCTGTTGTTACAACTATCCTTCCACGTTCTGTACATTTATCTTTGACAAATCCGATTGTTATCGACGCAACTGATGACTCATTTCGGAATTCAACATACTATCGTTTGAAATTCATTCATCAAGCAACTATTCGCTCAGATAATTGGGTACCAATACGTCTAATCAATTTAACAGCATCTGTTGAACATCAACTTGTACCAGTCGGTCCAACTGCACAAAAGATCTACAACCATCAGATGTATTTACGTCCATTGGGAACTATACAATCAAATCTGACGGTTCAATTAGACTTCTCTCCTTCAACAATGGCTTATCGTGCTTGCAAAGGAATATTTCGACAAATGCTTCTATTCAAAATTCAAACTACTCTGACATATGCAGATTTTCTTCTCGGTCGAATTCAAACGACTAATGACGTGTCTTATCAATACGTTCTATGTAATAGAGGAGAATGGAAACCACATGAAGATATTGCCGAGATGACAACGAGAGTAACTGCAGCCACAATCTGATCGTCGATGTTTTCTCTCTGATCGAAAAGTAAAGATTTGTTTTTTTTTACAATAATTGTTTTTCGTTTGTATGCATTATTTATTTTCATTCAATAAAATTCAATTAAATACGATATATTTTGAAAAGATTCTATTACCTATGAATAGAAGAGGCACGAACAACGAGTGTCAGATTTCAATCATTAAATGAAAGAATTGTTATGTGATAGCGAGCGCCATATAGAAAAACGCGCTTGGAGAGTCTGCAACAATGGGTTGTTCATCCTGGTTTCAACGAAAATTCAAACCAACTGCAACACATGACTACCCAACAGAAGAACAAGGCTCGGCGGTGAATAACTTCGATTCTGTACCATTCAGTAGTGTGTATTCCGTTGATGAACTGGTTCCTGAACGATATCTCGTTCTACTTACTGATCAGATGACTGAAATGCTTTTTCGTTTAATGACTTGCAATGAAATATCAGAAAATGGATCTGATTATCGAACAGTACACGAAAAAGATATTGATAGCAGTACCGTTTCAACGCCGCATGTTCAATCACCACTTGCATTGCAATCAGTGCATAAATCATGTGTGAAATGTAACATGAAGATGTTAACCATTGACGAGTTTCACGAATTACACAGTGCTTTTCGGCGAGTTGATCATGATCGAGATAATTTCCTTACACGAGATGAAATACGAACGACGCTTAGTTATTTATTTGAATTAACTGAATACGACATTAAAGAAACTATTTCCGTATTTGACATGAATAAGGATGATCGGGTATCTTTCGAAGAATATATCAGTCAGTATCTTCAATTGTTGGCCGTCTGGATGTATTTGTTGATTTAGACGAAATGAAACATCGACTATTACACGAATTTACACGAGACGAAATCAAACTAGCATTTGAGCAAGCTGATAGTCAGCGAAATGGATATCTGCGTATCGATGAACTGAAAAATGCAATCGGATATTTAAATTTACATCTACCTAGTCGACGAATAGTCGAAAGTAAACAATGGTTATACTATATACCATCGCTAACATTAACCTTTAGTTGCGAATGAGTGCATGAAAAATGAATTGGTGAATTCTGTTGATTTTGCCCTATTTGCAACTATTGTTGAATCCTTACATCGTCGCGAACCTATCACATTACAAAAATTCAAACGTATTCATCATACTGTACATCCAATAACAACGACCTAGTACTCCCAGTCAATAAAAATTAGAATCATTGAAAAAAAATTCCATGATTTTCATCTGTTCTTCATAACACATGACTTTCATATGTCTTCGAGTTATCAATAAGACATGACATTTTGAAATTGTTCGATATGGCATCGACTAGTGTATCAATCATTGTATTTCTTTTGTAAATAATATCATGTGTATGTGTCAATATGTATCGAGAAAGAAAAGATACGAGAAGTGTGCAATGAAGCAAAACGGAAGATGTACATGGATGCATTTACCGAGAGAATACTGACGAGTCGCAATATGTTCGAAGGATACTACGGTCGGCGTCGTTTAAAAAATTTATGTTTACTACTACTGAGTCTTCTCATTCTGTTAATACTCTACTATCGACGACAAGGTTAGAATTATTTGACAAATAACAAATGTTTTTTTTTTCTACATACTTTGTTTAGATAGTAAACGCGAAACAGCTCCAGCGATACCAATACATGTCGAAACTAAACCCGCAGCTTTGCCACTGGTATCATTGAAGAGGCCAGGCGTATTATCAACAATCGAATTTTCAAATTCACCTTATTTGGATTTGAACTCATTTTCATCGGATATCATTCCTGTTCTGGTTTTATCTCGAGCGTGTAATATTGAAGTCCGTGATGCTATACGTCGTACATGGGGATTTTATCGATCATATCGCAACAATACTTTACGACTGAAAATCTTTTTTCTCGTTGGTACAGATGATCTCTTAACCGAACGCATACGTATGGAACAAAATATTTTCGATGATGTTATTCAAGTATCAATTCCAGATATGTATTCATTCATAGCTTATAAAGAACTATCTGCCATGCTATGGGTACGAAGTTATTTACCATCACATTCATTCTATCTCAAAACCGAAGATGACGTTATTATCAATATGAAAATACTTGTCAACAATTTCCTCCCAATTATCGAATCTGTTTATAATCAGAATATAATCATTGGTTGGTTTGGTACTGAACATCGTGTACCACGTGGCAATTATCAAAAATTTGTCAACGCCATGATCCCACCTTCCAGTGGCAATATAAATTATGCAATGAGTTTATTGTATGCTATGACAGCTACTGCTGCTGATCGGATTATGGAAAACTTACAAGATATCGACTTGATTGAATATCCAGGTGATCCATTTGTAACTGGAATACTTCGCGATGCAGCAAAGGTTCAGATTAGTAATTTAGCGACGATGGCGGATAAATTTCAATATACAGTAGCCAGCGAAACATGTGAGACTGCATTTTCAAGAAATTTGAATTTATTGATATGTACATCATCGTTACATACTGGTTCTCCCAAATCGATGCCCGAATATTTCGATGCTTGGAATGTATTGATCGGAGAAACTTAACTTTTTCTTTCGAGAATTCCTATAAATCTTAGCGAACGGTCAAAGATCATGTTAAATATACACTGTTATGCCTTTCCTATCTACTCATCAAATAAAATATGCGATCGTTTTCATTGTTTCACGACAGATGTCATCCGTATCTAAGAGAATCAGATTGTCCTATTCGAGTGCTTTTAAATGATCCAACAGACAGATGCACTTTGTTCGTTCGTTCGTTAAATTAGTCTTCTACTATCTCGTTTCGATTCCTTTTCTCTCACTCAAGGCATGACATCAGCAGCTGCTGCAACTATTCGCCGTATCCCACCGCCACGTGTTTATGGTATACTTAATCATTAACTTCGAAGAAAAAAATTAGTTATATCACGTTTAATATATATTTTTAGCATCGATCAATCGTCGCCGATCGACTACTGGTGCAGGACAAACAGTAGTGTACGATAGTGATCATGATCATCATAAGTGAATATAAAAATTGCGGTTCGGTATCGAAATTTAAGATTGAGTGAATTTAGATGTTTAATTGAAGAGAATGAACTACGCGAATCGAATCGACGGCAACTCATTCGAATTGAACTACTCGAACGAGACTATCGACAACTAGATGATGATATTGCTCAAATTCAAATAGAACGTGATCTTCTCATAAAACAGAAACAATTGTAAATGAAAACATTTGTACAAATGAATTCTCTTGATTGGAAATCGTCATATGATTTCAGATTAGAAGAAGAACTTGAACGTTCATCGCATCATGCCTCAGCTAATGTAGATCTTCATGTATACACTCAACGACTAGAAAATGAATGTCGAGATCTACGTTGTCAATTAATTCTACGCGATAAGGAAAAACTCGAGTTGAATGATCTCATTTCAGATTTAGAAATACAAGTGAATAATCCACTTTGTTATTCGAGAGAAATTCAATTTATGTCTCTTTTTAAGATAAAAGGAGCACATGATCGACAAGAAGAATGGCGAGAGACGTGTGCGCAACTGGAATCTTTGGTAGAAGCAGAAAAGGTCAGTGGTTAAACATCAATGACCCTCTTTGACATTGATAGCTTTCGTAGGAAAATCGGCAATGTTTGGAAGTTCAATTGCAAAACACAAATCTTCGTCAAAAAGAGGTAGATGTTGCGAAAGATTCTCATTTACTTATGTGTATTTACTTTTTAGAATGAAAATCAAATCCTTCGTTTACAAAACGATTTAGAAGAGATTCTGTCAGCAAAACAAGAAATAGTGAAATCAAATTATGTTCTCGTTCAAAATGCTGAAGCACTTCGCGAGGAACTTCGATTGTAAAAACTCTTTTTAAATATTCTCGTTGAATTCATTACAGTTCTTAGAGCACGAACGCACGCTGCTGAAGTTCAAATGATTTGTCCTTCATCAAGCACATCGTTTGACGAATTCGATGAATCATTGCCATGTCTTATCTACGATATGAACGATGATGATGATACACCTGATTGTGAAAATAATCACTTAGAAAATTGTCAATCCTCTCTTTTCAGTGAAATTAACTCATTAGTAAATGTTCGCTCGTGCTTAGGGATGGTTTATGTTATGTTTGACTTTTGTTAGGAAACGATGTCCTATGACACAATAACGAAATGTCTTGATGGTACTGCAAATGATATTGAATTGGACTTACTTCTAGCAAAAACAACAACACTTTCATCGTCACTTTCATTACTGAATGAACTAGTTAGGAATCGAATAGTTTGAAAGATTTGATCATGTGGAACTGTACATTTAGATCAATGAAGTGAAATCTCTGCGTAAATATTTCATAAGCCAACAAAATGAGGATGGCTACTTTGAACAAGAACGTTTGACAACCATGAAGAGTTTGTTAAAACGCGTTTTGGATAATGTACAAGTTTTTGATACGAGGTGAGAATTCAATTATTGACCTATAATCATAAATATCGTTTTGTAGATTTCGTAAAATGCAACTGCTATTGATCGCTGGTCGAGGTATGTAAATCATTCGATAGAAACGAAAGCAATCTCTCGTTTGTTGACTGTGAATTGTTTTATAGAACAACAGCAGTGTCGTCAAGCTGAACTTGATGATTTCTTTCATTTGGTTGATAAACATTTGATGCATAAACTGGAAGAATCATCGAAACCACCACATCGGCTTGTGTCAATTCTTGAACTGTACCAACATGAACTCGATCGTTTACAGCAAATGATTCGTACAAACGATGATACCGTAAAGATTCTATTCATAGACACACTTTGATTTGACTGGTAATGGCATCTGTATTTTCAACCATAGATTCGTTCATGTGAGCGACAACTCGTCGAACAACAGAGTGCAGCAAGTCGATGGCGAATGGCAAATACATTTTTAGAAAAAAATCAACGAAAACTTCTGGATAAAATCAAGTGTGTTCAAATGAATTTTATTTCTTCTTGGTAATTCTTGATTTTTTTTACAGAGAATTAAATAGCGAACGTCGACAATTGATTGGTAAATATCTTTTCGCGGAATAAGAGTGAATATCATCGTTAAATCTATTCTAGAATCATCAACACAAAAACGAACACGTCGGCGTGTGGTACCAGCAGTTCTTGTAGATCAACAGCAACAAACAGATGTGAGTAACCACACTCGATGACTCTCATTATTTGTCAATTATTTAGCTACCAGTTGTCGTATCTCGCCCAACTGAACCAATCGTTCATCATCGTCGTAAGTTTTACTTTGAAATCGATGTCAATGGAATCTGTTCTATATGCCATGTCTAGTGACACGTACTCGTTCGTTACCATTATTGAAATCTTTGGATCATGGTCGAAAATCTCGTAATGATTCCGGGGTCGTTCTAACAGATGACATTTTTACTCTTCACTCTTTACCAACACTTTACAACCGACGTCGAATTAAGTCCGGCGCAAACAATCACCTCGTTGTGCATACATCTAGTCATGTATGTTTTCAAAAAACAAATCATCTTTACTCTTCCAAGAAACAATTCGTGCGTCGATCGACTCGATACCATTGGTTTTTTCTTCTATTTATCTTCGTGTCAATAGTTCTCTTCTCATGGATGAAATTCTTGCCTTTTTTTTCATAAAATAATCAATGTACTATAAAGTAGCTTTTCTTTTCATCTTTGGTGTGTCTGTGTGCTTCACCTCGTCATATAGTACTTCTTATTCAGTTAATATTAATAAAAAAAAAGAATTCTGTGTCTATGTAATTGGAAGGAATTCATTGTAGCCAGATATTTCTTGAGGTTATTTCTAAATCGAAGATGAGATGTTTAATTGAGCGTATGTTATTATGAGAAGGTCATAATCGTGATTGAACATCTATATAGATATGTACATACACTCAGATAGTCGAATAAAGAGAAAGAGAGAGAGAGAGAAATACGAACACACGCACACACAACAGAGAAGAAGAAATGACAATTATCAGACTTCGATGATTTCCTGTTCAGCAAGATGAGCATTCATCGTGGTTGAGGATTCTTTGCCTGAAGCACTTATTACAGGCATCTGAGAGAATGTTTTCAAGGTTCGTGGAACTGCATTTAGAGATGATGATAAGGACGAATCAAGATGAGAAGAATTTGACGAAGAAAAATAAGTCACAGTTATCAATTGACCATCAGGAGAGAGACTAACATTCGATGGACTTGATGGAGGAAAATAACGTTGTTGCTGTTGTTCAACGCTTGATGATGTTGTTTCATAACCACTGTCTCGAACGCGATTATAAGATGATGATGAAGTAGTCAACGAATGCTCTAGAAAAGAAAAGGAACTACTTGATTAGTTTTTCTTTCTTTCAAGCTACATAATCACTTACGTTCACTAGAATGAATATCACCTATGATATCGTAGGCATTCGCACTTGATTTGATCGAGAAAGTTTTGAATTCATTTGAATGCCTACTAAATTGATTGAGAAGATGCTAGAAAAGAAACAATGCGGCATGTTCGAACTGTCATAGTGTTTGCTCGGTAATTACATTTTCTCATATATCTTTTAACTGTCATCATGTTATGTTTCATTAATTCGAAAGGATTAAACTGGAAATCAAATCCGTCCGAAGACAGATGATCTTTTGCGTCATCATGCACACGTACACAATTTCTATTCATATCAAAGAACAGCTTAATCAATTGTTGATACGTGTATACAGACACATACATTTCAAGGCAAGACTCGTCTGAGTACAATGCCTTCATCTTGCTATCCAATGTGAAACGTGTATGCGATGTATCTATCACGATTAAATGAAAATGTAATTGTTCGACTTGCCACGAGCAAGTTACTTGTGTCGGTTAACGACATTAAATAGCTAATGAAATTTGTTGAAGGAATTCTTCTTTAATACGCTGATACTTGCTCACATTTGACAGACAAGAGAGCAGTCAGTCGTTTGGCTAGCCTTGTATGTTTCTCATCATCTTCGCTTCGTTATCGTTTTTTCATCTCTTATTCATCAACGGAGACGCTAGTTTGAATGCATTTTTAATTATCAAATGTGCCAAATGACAACGAACAATGTCGTTGTTGTCATTGCTCGATTATCAATAGCAGCGGTAATATAAGCACGAGTGATCGCCTCGTCGAACAATGTAGAAAGAATGTCACAGCAAGGGGTAACATATGGAGACAAAATTAACATTAATTCCTACGATTTTTCTTCTTCTCTCTTTCTTGACACCATCTGTTCGACTTAAACTGACAAGTTTTTCAAATCGTTTACCTGTTTTTGTTCGTCGTCATCAATCGAATGATTGATGTTGTCATTTGGCATACATTTACTATTTCCATCGATCAATGAGGACGTTAACGAATGTTCACCACGTTCATTTTCAAGCAATGGTAATTGAGTTTCAGTCGGACCTTGTAGACGATAAAGAGTCGCACCTGTAGCCGTACCACTTCCATTACTTCGTAATTTTCGTTTTTGTAATCGTCGTCGGCGATGACGTAAAGACGTCACTGATGATGTTGAAGATGACGATGTTGATGACGACGAAGATGATAATGATGAAAGAAAGATGAGTTTCACTGCTACTAATGCAACTATGATTGCGATTGATAATAAAACAAATAGAAGGATCACATTCAGTAATGTTAGATCAAAATATGAATGTGTACGTTTCGATGTTAGATGAAGTGCTTCGAGGTATTCCCGTGCGGTGTCTAATGCGACGGTTTGATTGGTTTCATTCGAACCGATTGTTAAAACTAATTGAATTGTTTGAATACATGGTTGATCGTTCTCGCCAACTAAATCACGAAGACGAATTTGGAGAATGTAATACTCCCGTTCCGGCATTGTATATGCATATAGGAGAAATTGATTGCGTTCCATTTCTTCCACTTGAAATATATCTTGAAAATTTAGTAGTTCAATGACACATGTATCATTGTCACCATCGAAGATTTCCAAATGATATTGATTTGTATGGTTTTCACTTGAGTTATTATTCCAGAGATCGATGTTGAAGAATAGAGCAGTCGAATTGTTCACTAATTCAGGACAGAAATCATTTCGATTGCGAATGTGAACTGTGACAGGAACATTCGTGCTTAAACCACCATTATCCACGGCCATAACCGAGAACGTATAAATTGAACGACGTTCATAATCAATACCTGCAAGAACAGTTTCCTTTCCTTTCCTGTTACCATAAAGACAAATCTACACTTACCAGCAGATGTTGATTTAAGATATAATGTCCCATTCATTGTTAATCCGAATGGCCATTCGTCCAATATGGTTGATTCATTACTAACTAATGTATAATGAAGATCACTGTAATATTCATCAGCGTCAGTTGCATGAACATGACCGATCGGAGCAAGTTTAGGCCATGTCTCCGCTATTTCGAAATGATATTCTGGTAAATCGAAGACAGGATAATTATCATTGATATCCAAAACATTTATTGTGCAATGAACTACCGAGGATAAGGACGTTGGTTGACCATGATCGGATGCGACCACATCGAATTCATAGAATGATTGTTCCTCTCGATCGAGTGGATTAATCAGGTGTAGTTCACCTGTTGTCGAATTCAATGAAAAGATCGTTTGATTTGTTTCATTAGCAAACTGATATTCAATTTGACTATTTGGGGTATTCTCTTCGTCATTGTCCGTAGCATAAAAGTGAAATAGTTTGCTACCAAGTGGAATTCTTTCTGAGATATTGATCGCATAGAATTCCTGTTCAAATTTGGGTGCATTATCATTTTCATCGAGTATAACCAACGTAAAATTCAATGTATTAGAAAGTGATGGATTGCCATGATCATGTGCTTCGAGATAGATCTCATGCCGAGATTGTTCTTCACGATCAAATATCCGTTGAGTAAACATGAGAAAAGCTTCATTATTCAATAAATCTTTACTAGTTATAGTGCCATTACTCTCAAGTGACCAGCTGACTCGGCCATTGTCACCCTGATCTAGATCACTGATCGAGATATGACCCTATTGGAGAAAGAAAAATAACCAAAATATAATTAGTTTCTTTTTAAGATTATCTCCTTCGATGGGACAAATAGAACGAGAAAATATATTCGTTTAAGGGTGGCGATGGAACATGCGAACACGCACTCATATGCAGACGTCACTACAGGGAATTATGATGGGAAGCGATAGATTAACTTTGTACGAAGGTCGAAGGTGAAAAGGAAAGCAAAACTTTTTCTTATCACGCACACAACGGGAAATCGAATGAAACACGAACAGATTTCTCTTACATAAAAAAAGAAGTTCAATCAAGGTTATCTACTTACGAGAAATGTTTCGTTAGGCGTATTTTCACGAATTTGTATAACACTACTATTCAGTACATGTTTAATACCTAAGACTGGATCGTCATTGAATGTTGGTGTTATCAATGGATAATTATCATTTTCATCTTTGATTTCGATATCAACTGTTGCAAACGCTGCTATCGAACCTTGTTGTGGACCATTGTCTTGTGCTTTGACTTTCATTCGGAAAGATTTCTCTTTTTCATAGTCGAGTTTTTTTCCAAGTCGTATGTCGCCCGTTTCTTTATTCAGAACGAATGTACCATTTGATTGAGGATCTAATGAAACGATCGTGTAATGAACAAGACCGTTGAGACCAGTATCACCGTCGAATGCATGCACACGCGCAACAAGTGATCCAGTGGAAGTTGATTCACTCAGGAGTACACGGATGTCTGTTTGGTCAAAAATGGGTGACATATCGTTAACGTCAAGAATATTAATACGAATATTTAATTTGCCTTGAAGTGCTTGTGGTTGTCCTCCGTCGTAAGCTTGGATAATATATTGTAATGAATCACATAATTCTCTATCAAGAACTTTCATAAGACGTAATGCCAGTAAATCATTTTTCTTTGAGTAGTCTAATTGAAAAGCTTGTTGAATTCGATTGGTATAGTTTTTACCCGTGGAATTATCTTCGACAAGTTTGTAACCTTGAATGGAGTTATTTCCGTAATCCGGATCGCTGGCTACATCGATGGGTATGACGTNAGCTTGGATAATATATTGTAATGAATCACATAATTCTCTATCAAGAACTTTCATAAGACGTAATGCCAGTAAATCATTTTTCTTTGAGTAGTCTAATTGAAAAGCTTGTTGAATTCGATTGGTATAGTTTTTACCCGTGGAATTATCTTCGACAAGTTTGTAACCTTGAATGGAGTTATTTCCGTAATCCGGATCGCTGGCTACATCGATGGGTATGACGTAGCCGACAGGTACATTTTCTAAAACGTCGATCGTCACTGACGATTTGGGAAATTGTGGCGCATGATCGTTTTGATCGTCGATGATAACGGACAGATCGTTGAAAAAGATTTGTCCAGTATGTACACATAAGACTTCTAATGTAACTTCACATTTTGAACACGAACACATTCGACGAAGACAAAAGTCATCACGATCAATTAGTTTTTTCGTTGTCACACGTCCCGTGTATGGATCAATAAGAAAAAAATCATTGGAATTCTTTTGACTATCGACAAATCGATATGTACCGGTACTGTTTTCTGTTTTACAACCTTCTGTATAAAATGTGTATATGGACGTACCGATAGGAAGATCTTCGATAATGTGTATCGATTCTTTGGATGTTGACGAAACAAAAAATAAAAAATTGATAAAAAATAAAAGTCGAAACATGTTTCTGTAAGTGTTTTGCTATTGTGGCAATGCTTGTCTAAATTGTCTTACTTGGCTAATTTGAATGAGTAAATATTGTCATCATCATCTTCATCGTCATAAGCAACTGTATTACTGTGTGTCTGTTTGTATGTATGTGAACAGGAACAATCTGCGAGAGAAGAAGGGAAAGGATTTCCTCATTAATATACGACATATTGAACACACATACATATAGACAGAAGAGAGAATGAGAGAGAAAGGAGAGAAAACGAGAGGGGGAGAAAGAGAGGAGAAAATTAACACTTAGACTCATAGCGGTACCATCGTGAAAGAGGAGAAGGAGAAGGAGAAGGAAAAAAAGTGTTCCCGTTGGAGTTTTTTTCTTCTTCTTTTTTTCTGACAAAGAGAGGAAGAGAGCAGGGACACGCGTACGTTCTAACTGTCTGACCGGTGTCTTGAAAAAAATGAGTCTTTCCGCTCACCAGACTCAATGGACGACTGATTACCTCTCTCTTTTCATCGCTTGCTATCCTTATTAGTCTCAA